CAAAAGTCGAAAAGCTCATAGTCTCCGATCGCGCTCATGTTTTGTGATAAGAGCTTGCGAACTCGGTGTCCTTGAAAATGCGTATCAAAGCTCCAACATTTTTTTGGAAAAAGTCAAATGGATTTTCGTGATCAGAGGGACATGATCTACCCTCAAAAAATGAGCTCGATCGGAGACTATGAGCTTTTCGACTTTTGAGGGTCTATAACTTTTTTCACAGACGTATTGGGCAGCTTTGGAATCAGCATAAAAAAGTACATTTAGAAAACATGGCCTCATTCAGAAGTCCCACTGTGAGCTGAGACTATTCCATGATGAATTAAATATTAGACGGACTGTAGCGCAGCAGGTTGTGTGCCTGTCTACGGTCCAAAGGGTCGCAAGTTCAATCCCAGTGAAAGACCCAATTAAGGAAAAGTATTCATAAAGCCAGAAGGTTTCGATAAGGTCATTGGAAGGTGTTCAGAAAGGGGTAGGAGTATCGATAGAAGGTGAAAAAAATTGAAAGCTCTGGGGGGCTACCAGAAGCCTTCCAGCAGGTTTACTTGTTGAAAAGCTTCCAAACGCCTTCCAAGGAACAGAAAGAAGGAGCTTCCACCTGAGAACTCAGGCCAGAGATTCCTGTCCTATCCCAAAGTTATTTACTCTAGTTTCAACAGAAAGAGAACACACATGATGTCCAAAATTGAATCTATTGTTGCCGGAAGTTTCGGCAATCCTGATTTTTGATGTGGTAGGGCTTTTTGTTCTGAAATGACGAGAAAGGGAACTTAAATTAGTTTTGCTCTTGGCTCCTGCAGTTCTTCGAGGTGGGAACGAGAAATGGTCGCATTTTCTTACAGAGGGGGTTTCAGGGGTTTAGCTTTGTTTAATTAAAATTTGACATGAGTTCTTAAAAAATCCGAGGACTTTATTTTCGAAAAAGACTTCCAGCCATAACTATTTAAACTGCGAGCACTTTCTACTTGTGACTAACTGATGAATTGCAATCTGGAAAAATGCTTTTTTTATTTTTCTTTAGGCAAAACCTTATTGGTAGCCATTTTTTTGAGAGACAAACGCGCTCCATCGATAAAACATCCGACTCTTCGTTTCTAGTCCTATTTTTTTCCCAAATTTTTAAAGTTTTTTTATTTAAAAAAATATTTTTTTCTTAAGACAGGTGGGATCAGAAATAAAAAGATTTGTATCATTTTCTATTGCTAATTTTAAGTCTCATTGCTTTTTTTCCACGGCTATTTTTTTGGCCTAAAGGCTCCTTGCCCAAAGGATTTTCCTGACCAAAAAAATATTTCTCGTCCTTTTCTGTATAGATTAATATAATAAGAAGCAAAACAAATGTTAATTTCAAGAAAAAAATTGTTTAAAGCCATTTTTTTTCCCAAATGCCTAGAAGACCACTGTCCACTGAAGCATGCAAAAACATCCGTCAGGGGAAAAATTGAATAAGTGGAATAAATAAATAAGAGAACGATCATTGGTTGCAGAAAAAAGGACCAAACGGAAACTTGTACGTAGCCATGCGCATGGATGAAAGAGAAAAGCTCAGAGAGCAAAAATTTCCCCAATTTTTTTTTCCTATCCAGAAGAAGAATAAATGAACTATTTTTCTTATAAATCGAGTGGGTGGGAGGGCTGTTTTTGGCAAAAACACACATGTCGAGCTTATTTTTCATCACTTTCTGTCGAGATAAAACTAGAAGTTTTTTTCTTTATTAATAGGAAAGTGAAAGCGAAAAATAAAGTTGCTTGCACAGAAGATGATCAGAAAAAGTTTTTGAAACTCAAGGAAAAAAAAATCAAAAAAAAGAGCCTATTTTCAAAATTTCGTTCTAATCTTCACTTCCACTGCTTATAATCAGAGATTGGTCTTTTCCATGAAGAATTCTAGAAAAAGCTCAAAAAGCATTTCATGTGCGCTCCATTGATAAAAATTTTTTTATTCAGATCTTTTAAATAAAAAATAAACATTTTAACCTAACAGTCACAATTTCATCATAAAACCCATAAAACCAGAAGTTTCTAAAAAAGAGGCTTTTCCAAAGAAGATTTCTTAAAAACTCCAGAGTGGTCTCTATAAGGGCCTTGGAAGGTACCCTCTAGTGACCACTTTATGAATCTCTAACAGGCCACAAAATTTGCAAAAGTGGCCCCTATAGGGGACATGCTAGTCAATAAAAACAAAACGTTACATAATTTCGGTACTTCCTTGAAAAGCGGTGGTCGCATTTGGAATGGCTCAATACGTCTTTTAAATCAGCTCAGGGCTTGTTATTTTGATGCATCATAGCGCAAGTCATTTCGGGTCGGTTGCAAGCCATTCCACTTGCCCATGACAAAAAAATTAACTGAGAAAGTTCTCTTCAAACTAATTTTTTTAACTGGTTTGAATAAAGCCAAAAATCCTTTTCATATAAACAAAAAAAAAATTTTTTTTCTGAACAAAATTTTTCGCGTGAGAACCCTCATGTAAATGACTCAATATTGAGGTAATTTATCATCGGTTTTTCAGCTGTTCGAGTTGAGGAAAAAAAATATAGTGAGTGACACGCGAAAACACTAGATTCCGGCGACTTTCTTGGAGGTACTCGGAAAAACTTTCAAAGAAGGAAGTTAATTAGTCTGATTGCGGCTCGAAAGCTTTTTCCATGTTCCTTTTCAGGCTGTGAGGGGGTTCCAGGAGGTCTTTTCGGTATCAAAATGATCAGAACGAGGCGCTCAATCTTCCTGTGAAGGCAGATTCCCTAAAAAAACCTTAACGAAATTTCAAAATTGAAGAAAACCCTTGATTATTTGTTCAAGCTTTAACTTCAAAAAATCACAACTTCATTTGTAGTTCTCCTAAAATCGAGTTTCAGGTATCAAAATGATCAGAACGAGGCGCTAAATCTTTCTGTGGGATCAGATATCGTAGAAAAGCTTAACAAAGACTCAAAATCAAGTGAAAACATTAATTTCATTGTCAAGCGTCAACTACGAAAAATCCCAAATTCATTGGTACTTCTCCTAAAATCGAGTTTCAGGTATCAAAATAATCAGAACAATGCCTCGATGTGTCTATAGGATCAGCTTCCATAGAAAAAGATTATTAATTTTATGGTCACAAGCTACAAAAAATCACAAACAGTATTAGCAGTTTTTCTAAAATCGAGTTCAAGGCATCAAAAGAATCAGAACAATGTGATCAATCCTAATGAGAAAGAAGCTTTCTCAAAATTCATTCACAAAAATTTAAAAATGAGCAAAAACTTTGAAAAAAAAAAGTTTTTTCGGATTCCTCGAGGAAACTAAGGTCAGAATAATAATCGAATTCGTTCGGCACAAAATACTCGATTTCGCGACACCTACAACGTTAGTTATAATTTCTTCGCGATCACGCGAAACAGTAATAAATCGACACGAATCGTAAGAGTCAAAAGCTAGGAACAGATCAAAGAGAAGCGGCTGACGGGTGGGGTGGTCAGTTGTCACTGCGAAATCCGATCCGTCTTCTTCTCGAAAACTCATTTCCGATTGCCAGTTGTTGTCCTTGTTTTTTTTTCGCCTTATTTTTCTCGGTGGGCGGAGGTCGTAGGTACTTTTGAGACATGGACGTCTAATCACGTTGGAGAAGGCCGAAAACATGCTTCTAAAGGCGTTTCTTTCCGAATAACGTCAAATCCGGGGAAAATTTGTTCATAGTCCATTCATCTCCAGCTTGGGACATTTCTGGTTATCACAGTAAGCTATTTGCTTCAAAAATCAGAAAAAACATTTGAGCATGCTCCTTTAATTTAATTTTTCTTTGTCAAGAACGTTTACCACGATTCAAATACGTCCAGTCCAGAAGAAATTAGTTCGCATTCCATTCCCCTTGAGTTTGAAACAATCCCAAGAAGATATAGTAAGCCTTTCTATCTATGATTCTTACAGGATTTTAAGAAGGCTCCTTCAATTCAATACAAAAAAGAGCCTGACACTCGAAAATCACGTCCAGTCCATGAAGATTGACCAATAGTCGATTGAAAAACTCATTATGACTTCAGAAAAATTCCTATTTAGTAAGCTTTTTCGAAAGATCCTTCTAAAGAGTTCGTTCGGTTATTCATAATAATATTTTTTCCAATTTTTTCATCTATTTTTAGAGCTCTCTTACACACTGAATTCTCAATAATCATTTCCACTTTATGAAAAATACAAAAAAAAAGTACCTGCTCCTTGCTCCAGTTGAAACCAGCTTCTCGTTGTTTTGAGACGTTTCAAATCGTTCAAAAAGCATCTAAAAAGCTGTACAATGGCATTGAGCTTGTTAAATCTGCAAAAAAAAAAAAATCTAAATTGGGATATTTCAGTTATTGAATCATAGTTACACAGCTAAGGTGATAATTAGTAGTGTAGTCTTTTTTTTTTCGAAATCTGACAAGTCACACCCAACGGAAGAGAGTTACCAGCTAAAGTGTGGAGTTGCACTTCGTGCACGGCGTTCCTCGATCTCATATTTAAAGTAAGTGGCACCAAAAATGTACTTCAAAGACAAATGTAAGAAGAAATAAGAAATAGAAATAGTGATTTCCCCAACTCCCGAATAAACAAACAGTTATTACCAAAAATAAACAACTTATTGCTGTGCTAGTGTAAACTTTAAGTTTTAGTTTTAATTTTCGCGTATTTTCAGTTTATGAAGGATCCCATCACTGAATTAAACCAGCTTCTTCCGTCAGTTTTCTGTAAATCGGATGATAAAGATTGCATCGCCCAGTTTGAGACGGCACTGAATATTGTAAGGAATAATCTCTTGATCTTAACCGATCAAAGAAACAACGTCGATTTCGTTGAAATCGGCTCCTTATCAATTTCGAGTATTCAAAAAAAAAGGTTCTATGGAAGGCTATGGATAATATGGTTGAAGTTATTATTTTAAAAAAAGTTTCAAAAGTTCAGAAACCTCTGGAAAAATCAAAAGGAATCAATTTCAACCTTCAAACACGAAATTTTAAATAGATTTGAAAGAAGGTAAAATTTTATTCGATGAAGAAGCAACGAGATATAACAATAACCAATGGGAAAAATAAATAGGAGGGCGAAATTGAAAAAGAAGTCGTCGTGGCTATAGTGGTAGTTGTAGTGGTAGTTGTATTGAACCATGAGGAAATCGTGGAAAACGTTGGGAGCTGGAAAATAGGAAAATGAATGATATGATTTGAAAAAAGAGAAACCGCAAAGGATGTTGAAAAAGTAGAAATCGATGGCTTCAGAGTGGAATAAGCGGTATAATTGCACTGGGAAGCGGGCACTAAACTGAAAAATACCCTCATTTTCGGATTTTAATCTGTTGGGAATTGTTTTTAAAAGCTCTGAAATAACACAGAAACTAGTAGTTCGCCTTAAACTTACATGACACAAAACCCGGAATGCGATTCGTTCCATTATTGTAGTCAGGAACGTCAGGTGGTAGGATACCGGTGAGGGCAGGATTTACCTGGAAAAAGTGAGCGGAAATGAATGAAACATTTAAAAAAATCTGATTTTTTTTTATGATTCGGTTAAAAATCTTTGAAGAAGAATTTTCAAACAGCAGAAAAAGATAGAGAAACCCTTCAGTTTTGGTCTTTTTCGGCCTTTTTCAATCTCTTACAAGGGTTATTTCACCTTTCTCCCTACAATGAAAACTTTTAAATACTTCTTTTTCACAAAATATTCACGCAGCGCGACCGCAACGCTTCAAACCATTCCAAACGCGGCCAAAGTTGGACTATACCCTATTCCAGACGACTTGATCAGTCTGTCTGTAGTCGGGCAACATTGCGAAAGTCGCTTCCCCGATGCTGACATAGTTCAGTTGCCGTCGACCTTGCACCGGCGTCCAAAACTTGTCAAGGAACGGGAATCTTCAAAAATTGTTCTCAACAAGAAGATGATTTTACTCTGAACTGGAAAACTGGTCTGAAAACTCTGTACTGAGGCAAATTAAAAATCTGAAGCCTCAATCTTCATAGTTTCATATTTTTCGATAGGGCACCCTTTAAAGGTGAAGAATCTCCTCAAAAGTTGGTTTGAGCCTTTTTTCCGAATCTTCAGGGTAGGCCTTTATCATATCAAGAAGCCAACCTTCTAATTTTCAAAAAATCCAAAAGATCTTCCTTCTCAAATACCCACCCAAACTTGGCGAAATTGGTCCAAGTCTCGCCGAACCAATCTAGAAGGGCGAAATCAACGTCGGTGGCAAGGCCAGCCGTCCACATATATTCTGGCATCCAGATGAAGGGAATTTCGGCGGCGTGGGGTACTGCTGAAAATTTAGGGGTCTAGGAGACTTTGTCGTTTTTTGAACGGAAAGCATGAAAAAGACGTTGAAGAAACTAACGATCCCAGCCAGGAACGTGATAAGTGACGAAGGAAACATTCGACGGATGGGTGTACTCGTATAGGTAGACGTTTTGGTTCCCAAATTCCAGCCAACTATCAATATCGCGACCAATGAACCCAGTGAATCCCCCGCAGGTCAACGCCTGGAAATAATTGAGACTTTTGATATCTACTGATAAGTTTATCAATCTGACTTCGATTTTCCATTGCTACAGAAATACACTTCCAGTTTTTCGCCACTAAGCCATTCCAATTGCGACCAAAACTTTATCTGAGAAATTTTACAATCATATAACTGACTCTATCATTGGCCTTGAGCCATTCGATATGATCGTCGTCCTTGATTTCGGGTGCCGCGTAGGTGTTCTCCATTATTTTACTATAATTTGAACTTTATAGACTCATTTAATGAAAAAAAGTATTCCAGAGCTATGAAAGTTGAAAATTTTTATGAAATAACATGTTAAGCAACTTATAGAGCGCTGCATTTTGGTCTGCTTAACTTTTTGAGAGCTGCGTTTCGGTCTGCTTAACTTTTTGAGAGCTGCATTTTGGTCTGCTTAACTTTTTGAGAGCTGCATTTTGGTCTGCTTAACTTTTTGAGAGCTGCATTCCAAGAGATTCCCCAAACCAAAAAAAAATTTTCAAAGCCTTTCAATTTGCCTCACATAAAACTTCAGGTCCTTAACCTGATGTCAGTCCCATTTCTGATTTTTGAAAATTTAATTTGAAAGTCTTTCCTGGCTTCACGGCTTAAAAATATTCAAATCTCCTCACGTGATCTGATCAGTCTCATTTCCAAAACTGCTGCCGACCATGGCCAAATTCGCTTCGAAAAACTGCCGCGTGTAAGTGTCCAAGGTTGTCGCCTGCTCCGCCAAGAGACTCAAATCTCAAAAATATCGATAGAATTTAGCGTTTAATGGAGTTCTACCGAATAAGCTGTACTCGTTGAGGTTGCTGCCCAACATAACCGGGATATTCTTACGGTATTTGGCCAAGTTTCTCGGAACATCGGGTAGGAAATAGTTATCTTGAGACATTCGCCAGCCGAAAAGCTCGTTCATCCCCTGAAATAAATGGACTTCACTTCGTTTCCTTCTGAGTTTCGCCCTCTTACATCATCCATCGGAAGCCATTTACGATAGTCCGTGTTCATCATACAAGTTTTCAAACTGTCAAAGTCGTTGCTGGTCCATTGTTGAAAAGTCGTGTTACAGAGCTAAATACTTGTTTTGTTTTTTTTGGATAACTAATGATAAGTTAGTGTTAGAGCATAACTATTATATTAAGCTGATTCTAGAATTTTCTAAAGTATTTAATACATTTCTAGTCTCATTACGTCATAGGGATCATGTGTAAAGGTTTCCCTTCTAGAAAATTCTACAATCTTCTCATTTGTTCTTTACCTTTCTAAAAGGTTCCACATTGTTCTCGAATGTTCTATTGCTTTCAGGACAGATCTCTAAAACTCTGGAATGTTCCATCTTTCACTCTAATCTTAATACTATCTAAACCCCACCCCCATTCTGGAACATTTCATAATCTTCGGGATCTCTTCTCTCAGCACTATATAACCCCTTGTTTGTTATTGTAAATAGTCTAGTTTCTTGTTACTGACAAATCTTCTACTACAACGTCTTCACTGGCCACCTACGGGCACAACGGTTAGTACTATAAATATAAAATTGAAGATCAGTAAATTATATAACTTGTAAAATTTCATAAGGCGGGGACAGAGGCTGTTTTTACTATAAAAAGTTTTCTCAAACGCATACTTCTGATCAGTTGCTTAATTTGAAGGACATTCAATGGAATTTACCAGGCAAGCACTTATTTCCTATTGGAAGTTCAAATTTTGAGGATTTTTTTGAACAGTTCCCGATGAGTTTCGTTCCGAAAAGCCTCAGTAGGATATAATTCTTGCCAGGAACACAGTTTCTCTACCAACCGCCTGAGCTCGATTGAATGAATGATTTGTGAAAGACAAGGCTCCCTCGTAGCAAGTCCAGACGACGCCCGACTCCATAATCGCGCCATGGAACAGGTCTGTCAAGGCATTAATTTCATTCAATTTTTTCGTTTTCAATCTCACTTTGACTCAAAGGAGAGTAGGTATGCGCCGAGACGCTGCATCCTCCGGCACTTTGGCCGAAAAGTGTGATTCTGTAGGGGTCGCCGCCAAACTTGACAATGTTGTTGGAGACCCAACGGATGGCTTCCACCTAAAAAGCTTGAAAAATTATAAAGTGTCCTGAATTATAGAAAAAGTTAAAGGTACACTTATACAAAAATGTAGACCACTTCTTTTTTTGTTTGATCCCAAACGGTCCAACCTGATCCAGTAGTCCCAAGTTCGGTGGGAAATCGGGCGAGTGGGTGGTGAAAAAGCCCAAAAGTCCCAGGCGGTATTGAATTGTGACGACGACGACTCCACGCGACACCAGGTTCCGAATGGCTCCCTAGAAAAATTGAGAAAATGAATTTTTTTTTTTTTACAAGGTCAGACCTTTGGTTGATAATCCATGGCGCTGCCGCCCTTCAGAGACCCTCCATGGATCCAAAGCATGACCGGGTATTTGACATCGGGTTTAACAGAAGGCGTGAAAACGTTCAAATACAGGCAATCCTCGGACATTGGGTAGCTTCCGCTCTGCGGACATGCAGGTCTGAAAATTTGTAAATCCAGAAGAACGAAAGTTGGTTTAGCAGGCTCAGAAGAATCCTTGCAGTACTTTGATATCCACAATTTTAATTAAGGCTTAAAAAACTTTTCAGAGCCTTTTTTTGAATTTTTCACAGTTCATTCGCCTCTAGCTCGTATTAAAAAAAAGTTAGGACTTTCTGAACATCTTTGCACCTTAATTAGCCAATCTTGCCTGTGTTATCCTCAATAAATATAGCCCGTTTTTCGCGATTTCGAAGGGCGGGACTTCTCTGCGCCCTCCTTGTCTCTCAACGAGCCTCTCATGTTTACGTGCTATTTCCTTGTATTTCTGACCTCGCCAGTGAGGGAACAGAGAGACGCAGACACGCGAAAACTGTCAACGGACTATTGCAAAAAACTCATTTTTTTACCCTTGCCCAGAACTTTTTTTTCAGCCAAAAACTTTACCTATAAAAAGTGGCATTGTACGGTGCCGGGCCAGGGAACTGACAGAGCTCCTGGGGCTTCTAAAGCTCAAAATATATATTAATTTTTTTCCAGCCAAAAAAATTAGAAACACACCTGGAACCTAAGATTCCCAATTGGGGGCTGAACATATGGGATGCCAAGGAAAACGTCAGCCGAGCCGTAGAAAAGCTGATCCGTGTCGTTACCGTAATCCACATGGTAGCCAGCGACTTGTCCTTGGGGCAGATTCACTAGCACTTGCTGCGCTATGGAAAATGAGACCAAGACGAGGGAAACGATTAAAAACCGCATGATACCCTGGAATTGGAAAAACCATTTAAAAAAGGTTTCGCGCGGTTCTTTTTGGAAAACTTCCATGTGCTCTTCTGAAGCTTTGGTACCAAGCAAAATCACTGTTGGACTTGATTTATTATCGGCGTATCGGTTTTTTAGACGACCTTTAAAATTAAGCTCAAAAAGCACTATTTAGATCATCTTTTGATTGAAATTTCGCACGAAATACTAAAATTGAACTCTCGAAAAAAATCTTAATGGACTAGAAGAAAGGAAGACCAAACTTCAAGAAGAAATCAAGAAATATCGAATCAGGTCTTCGTGATTCATATCATGTACGATAAAAGAGCACAATGACAACAGAAGGTGCTTAAAAAATCGTAAAGATTGGTAAATTCGGCCAGGTAACACGTCTTTTATCGTCACCAGAAATGGCTATTTGATTTTAAAATTCTTGTAGAAAATGATCTTTGAAATAATTATTTTGAGAAAAATGATTCTGAACTCTATACTCCATTCGCTGTTGACGAGAACACCACATAGACGCTTAACCCTCTTCTTTTCGTATACTATTTCGCTCTTGGTTTGCTTTCAGCCATTGGTAAATATACTAGAGATTTAAGATTGGAAAAAAACTTAAAATTTATGAATAACACTTGGAAAAATATCTAGCTCTAGCTGAAAACTAAAAAACTCACTTTTCGCAAAACTAAAATCAAAAAGAAGTCTGAAAAATTAATGTTTAAGCTCGTAACAATACAATCAGAAAAAAAAACTTCTATTTACTCCCCTGTTGAAACAGTGTTCACTAATAACAAATTACCTTAATTTAACCTAATAATACTTTCTAAAAGCCGCTGTAAAATTCGAGTTTAGGACCTTTCTTGGAAAAAAAAAGCACGAAATGGTGAAAATTTATTGAACAAATGATGCGAGGAAGAAATATCACGAATCGAGAAAATATTCCAGAAGCCGTTATTTTCGGATATACCAGTTCAGGGCGCAGGCAAGGTTCATCAGAAGGACTGATAATGGAAAAGAAATTTTTATCTTGAATTTTTCCTCTTAATCATTATTTTATAATCATTTATTCTTGCAGCTTGACAGATTTTCAAACCTTCATACTTCAACAAATTTTCTAGAACCGAGCTTGCGGAAACCGTTTTGTGGTCGGGTGCAATTTCAAATCGACCTCATTTATTTCCAAGTCATTCTCAGTGCGACAAAATTTTCAACCAATAGCAAAATCTAGGCAAAATGACTATAAAATTAGCAATAACACCCCTATTTTTTTTGGTACCTTCTAAAGGCCTAGTTTTTTTTTTTAAAGAGGTAAGACCTTGAACCCCTATAGAGTTTCCCCCTAATCCTTATAGGGACCACTCTGGAATTTCTATGACAGCCCTATTTATTTCTAATTTCTTCAAATTACTACAAGTTTTAACTTATTTCTGATTCTTCCCCTTCTTTCCATCAATAAAAAAAAAGGCAAAAATTACATCCGAGATGAGCGCAACAAAGGTACAGCGAAGTCTGCATTACGAGCTTTTCGAGGTACTTGTTGTCCGTGTAGAGAGGCTTTTCGGGGACTGGAAAACTCGAAAAAATCCACCCATTTTCCTTTCATAAGACTCACAAACGAGAAATAGAACGACTTGACCAACACGGAGGGCCAGCAATAAGATATCGGCCAGCTGGAAGTGATGGAAATTTTTTGAAAAAAGCTTTTTGAAACTCACAATCCATAAGACAACATACAGAGGCTTGTACCCAGTCGACAGCCAGAATATAATAATTTGAATCATAATCTAAAGTATGTTGCAAATTTCCAATTCCAGGCAATTTAAGTTCATAATCTGTTCAAGAATTTTTTTAAAGGTGCAAAATTTGAAAACTTCAAGCAAAACAAGATCCAACGGTATAAAAGTAAAAAAAAAATCAATTAAAAGGGTTTTTTAGCTTACAGGCAGATCTGTGGCATGAAGGTAGAGAACCGGAAAAGTTATACTTCCAAATATTAAATTACAAATTTTAAGAAAGCCTATTACAAGCTTTGTAGAGGTGTAAATAATGAAGAAATCTCGATTTTTAAGCGTAATACACCTTCATTGATTTTGAAAGCATCCGCTGAATTGACGAAAAAACGACAAGAAAATATAGTCTGTTCAGATTTTGAATGTCAAGCTGCCAACTCCGCCCCCAACAACGCTCTGTGGATGGCTCGCTCTCTGATTGGTTTAATATACACATGAGGGGCGGAGCTTGAGCGACGACTTGACATTCGAAATCTAAACTGACTATATACGAACATTTTCAAACTTTCAAAAAGTTGAGTAAATTCTTGAATGCGATTACTAATATACACAGTTATAGCCCATTCCGCACGTGAATATGCCGTTTTTCCGCAATAAGATAGTATACAGACTTGATCCAACTTCGCTTCGAGATCTTTTTTAGAGCGAAAATGGCAAAAAAATTTTCCCGCTGTGCTTTTACATACAAAACTCGATTTCGGAAAATATCTCAAATATTATTTTAATTACCATAAGACCACCAATCGACGCAGACACGACGCCGATTTCGACGTGGGTGACGCGAGCTTCCGAGGAGCTGAAGATGAGCGCGTAAGGCAGAATGTCGCGCGAAATCACGACCATTATGATGATCGCCGCCAGGCATCTGATCGGATTCTGAATATATTGCTACTTAAGCTCACGGGGAGAACGGCTGGCCAGCATCAGTTTAAAGAGTACGGTAAACTTGGAGAGACCAGACTCGTACTCTCCTCGCTTTACACACTATAGTCTGTTCAATTTTTAAATGTCAAGTCCTCGCTCAAGCTCCGCCCCCTAATGGCGCGGTAAACCAATAACCATCCACAGAGAGTTTTCGAATGACGTCATTCTACTTGACATTCAAAATCTGAACAGACTATATCTGAGGAGCTGCCCGTTGGCCTGCTGGTTTTCAAATTGGCATACCTACGGGCAGACAGTGTGTAAATCGAAGAGAGTACAAGTCTGGTCTCTCCAAGTTTACCGTGCTCTCTAAACTGATGCACGCGCGCTGGCATGCCGTTTTCTCCTTGACAGTCTCGAAAAGAACATATGTAGTGAAAAAATGAAGGAAATGCCCTGAAAAGCTATTCGCGAATAAAAGTGTTTTAAAAAATTTTAAAAAAAACTCTGTCACCAGCAATTCAACAAATAAATCTAAAATACACAATTTTATAAAAACGGACCCGAACATTGACGCAGGCGCAATTGACTTCCTGAAAAAAACAGTTCAACAATTAGCAATCCCGAAATATGTGTACCCTTTCCTCCTCCTCCGAACTATCTCGCGAATCGTCAGAATATGACCAGGGTCCATGCTGAAAAGAAAAATAACTGCCCTAGAAGTGACACAAATCAAAGTAACGGAAAATTTTTTTTGAAACAAGTCAAATTTTGATGAAATCCTCTTTAAAAAAAAATGTGATTGAAATTAAAACTTGAACATTTGAACTAAAACTTTTTAATTCTTTAATTTTAGCTTCCCAAAAATTATAATCAACATATTTACGTAAAAAATTTCATCAAAAAGAAAATACGAACGATAGAAGCCTAAAAGCCTTCATTATCCCCGTTTCTATCTTCATAAAATATAGCTGAATCACGGCTGACTTGAGCCATCAAAAAAAGGTCCTGACACGATAATGCACGAGATAGCGCCTAGCCCGTGGAGAGCGCAGACAGGACACGCCCCCTTAACGTCCTAAGCTAGCCGTAAATCAGCTATACTCGCTTTCTTATTGACGAATATTAAGGTACAGCTTCAAAAACAAATAATTTGCTCATGAAAAAACTGAGTAAAACCTGGAGAGTGCTGGAACGTTGGCTATTGACACGAGGTCGGCTGGAGGAAAGTTCGGGCGGAACTCGCGGCGGCGAATTAACAACAGCCGGACTTCTCGTGTCAAGAGTCGGAGCACTTCTTGAAGAAGGAAGCGTCGTGGTCGAACTTGGAGCGACGTTTGTCTTTTCCGTCACCATTTGTAGAAATAGAGCTCGACCTCACGCGATTTAGGAACGCTTTACAAACAAAAAAAACATTCAAACAATGCATAAAAATTTATAAACTTCTTCTTCTTCTTCTTCAAAAGGGTCAAGAGAGAACTGCCAAAATTGCCTGAGAGATGTTTCAAAGTTCCTAGTTTGTATTGAAACAGAATTTTTCAAGCCCTTCGACTTTTAGACGCGAAGCCTAAAATTCGAAAATATTTTTTTTAAACAGACACATTTTGAAGCCTTGAAACTAGACTGCAAGACAAAACACATGAAAAATATTTTCAAACTTAAAATCAAGGTCCTTTAAAATACCTCTCAGCTCAGTTTCAGCAAATCCTCTAAAATATTACTTTTTCCCTGCCTTTCTGAAGCAAAACCACGAAAAAACCCAACAAACAAGTATTTACAGACAAAATCTAGTACGGATCTTTGGAAGTAACAAAAAAACATGATAATAATGAGAAGAATGGAAATTATTTCTTCCTGTTGATGTGAATTGGAATGGGATGAATGCTTTGCTGGACTATTCTCGGCCCTTCGATCGAAAGTTTCCCGTTGGCCAGTGAAGATTTCAAGGCGTCAATGTCGACGTCTTCAGGCAGCATGAAGCTTCGCGAGAAGGATCTCAAACGAAAAAGTCGAAGTTTAAAAACAACGGTGTGAAAGCTAAAAACAATAATATTGTAAAAAATTTCACTAAAAATTGTAAAAAGGAGGTCCAGCGTTCAAATTAGAAAGCAACTTTATACATTTTTTCGCTTTTTTTTCTCAGCGCCATTTGAAAATTTCTAAAAAATAGCATTAATGTCATGTTTTCTCTATGACCTAGAAATCTGATAAGAACCTATTGGAAGACCCGTGCTCCGAGTGAGACTCATGTTTCCCCTCAACCGTCAATTTTCGTCCATCCAAGTTCACTTTGATTTCTTCGGGTCGGAAGTCCGGAACGTCGATTTGCATCACGTACTTCTTATCGTTGTAGACGACCTGGATTTTGGCGTTTCATTAAAAAATTTGCAAGTTAAAATTAGGGCTAAAATGAAGTAATTTTCATTTTGAATTGTTTTATAACTCTGCTTTGTGTTCGAGAACCTTTTGCGAATAAATTTTACTCGAATTTCAGACAATTTACAAAAAAAAACATACTAACAGGAAAAATTACACTGTGAAATAGTGAAATCAACTTTTGTTTTTTGCAACTTTTAATAACGGATTTGAAATAAAAAGGAATCTTTCCGGACCAAATTCATCCTCCTTTTCGTGAAAACGAGTTAACTCTACCTCGCGTTCATTGCTGGGCTTGAATTCGCGACTTTCCCTGTTTTTCCGAGCCCGGTCCATGAAATCGCGTTCAAACTCGCGCATTTCGGGAAACATTGATTCAAATTCTGGTCGGCGATTTTGGAATGGTGACCGATCCATTATCTGAACAAGAATGAATGAAAAAAGAAGAATTAGTTGAGAAATACCCGATTAATCGAGAGCATATACAAAATGAACCCCAAAACGAAGACGCTCTTTTGAATACTTAATATACATAAATCTTTTGATCGGTCGCTCACCTGTACGTTCAAAGTATGAAATAAAACTTTACTTTGCTCACTAACGAAAATTCATAGAAAACTATGAAGAAAAACAAAAGGTTGACACGGCGTTTTTTTTATTACGCAAGGTCAAGACTTCTCGTAAATTATGATGTTTAGGGTGTAAGCACACCGAGACGCACTATCGCATACTCAAAATTGTTTTTTTCAATTTTAGAATTTGCAATTTTAGGATAATAACTTCTGAAATGTTCGAAATCTTGTCAGTTCGAAGATTATGATGTGAAAAAAAACATTCACTTGCGTTAAAAAAAATTTAGGAACGATTTCGGAAGGGGAAAAACTCTAAATTACTAATTACAAAATGAAAAACAAAAAAATATTATGAAGGTGAATCAGCTCTAATTGAATAAGCAATTGTAAATACGAAAAAAATATTGAAATGAGGAAAAATTCGAGGAGCAAATGAAAAAAAGAAACATTTTATATACCTTGAAAAACCTAGCTTCAGAAAAAAACAAATAATGGATAGGAAGCAGAAATTTTTCAAAAAAACCTCGTATGGCGAAATCTTTGTTTAAATCCGAAAAAAACCATGAAACAACTGGAAAAAAATATAATTTAGATGATTCATATAACAAAAATCTTCAAACTGCATCAGTAAATTCAATTTGGCTCTAATTTACACGAAACTGGTTTCAAACTACGCCAAAGGAACTGGATAATAACTTTTACTCATAGAAAAAAACGTTAAAAGAAGTATTAATAAAGAAAAAAAGCAAAAAAATGCTTTTTTTTCAACTAATTCTTTCCGTAAATCTTGCGAGAGCTTTAAAGGGTGGGTATTGTAATCCAAAAACGGGTCCTGAACAGATCAAAACTACTGCTGCCGTACGATTTACGGCGCCCGCCCCTGGTATTTTTTTTCTGCATTTTCTTTCACTGACAAGAACGCCGTGTTGAAGGAATTCTGAAACCAATTTTAAAAAAAATGAGTCAACGACGTAAAATCGCAAGTGCGCCCCATGGTTCACTGTGCGAGTTTTCAACTTTCTTTTTTTTTCAAGATAAATAATTACCACGAATGAAAACGTCAGAAAAGAAACAGAAAAAAAAAACGAAAAAAGGACAATAGCTTTATTTCGAACACACCAAAACGCAAGAATTTCACTATAAAGTAAAAAAAAGAAAGAAGTTATGAATTACAATCGAAAAATAAGATTCAATCGCTGTTTTCCATGTACTCTTGGCTGAAGTCTATATCCAAGTCGTTTGCCTGTTTGCTTCTGTGAAATTTTTTGTTATTAAATTACTCAGGAAAAAGTACTTGTAACAAGGAATTTCGGCCGGTGCAACTGCACTGTAATCCGTGGTGTCGACGAAAAGTGCCGCAGTCATTCCAAGTAAAACGAGAACTATCTGAAATTCCCGCGATCGGGCCCATCCGTGACCCTGAAATAGAGAAAACTAATGATGAATTTGAAAAGTGGAAAAAAAAATCACTCAGGAAAAAAGAGTCTCTTGCGCTCCACGGATAAGCTACAGAGCTTCTATGAGTTTTCAAGTTTTTCACGACGTGCTCACTAATCAAAATGACATAAAACTGATGAAAAATGCTTTGAAATAGAAAAAGGACTTGTCTTAGCATTTTTTTTTTCATTTTTTGAGCTTTTTTTCGTCCTTTTTTCGCGGTTTTTTCTTTCACAATTTTGTTTCACAACTTTCAAAGACTCGCCTCGATACCACCACTGACTATATCGTCGAGAAGTTCAATAAGTGTGATTACAAACGGAAAAATGGCCATTCTCGAAGTCGCGGGAATGTGTTCGATGATCATCTTGAATCGAAAATTTGTCATGTTGGATCCAAAAGACTCACCAAATAACCAGTCAAATCCTTCATAATCGTTCCAATTTTAATGGTGAGGTAGAGGACAAAGGCAAGGTCAATTTGTTGGGCTGAAATTTAGGTGTGAATGTGAAAAATTACCTTGATAAGAAAATAAATATTTAATAAGCAAAATAGTATTCAAAGGACTTTGAAGGTCGATTTGCGCCGGACCACAAAGCGACTTGCGCAGGATGCTATCGAGAGTCAGACAAGCCTTTTGGAGACGCAGGAAAAGCCATTTCGAAAGTTTTATATATGTATATATTTTTAGAGCAGTTTTTGCGAGAAAAATGACACTTCTGTTCCAATGCGCCCGACCAAAAACGACTCTCGCCATCAAGAAGCCTCACAAGGGAAGTGTTTTTGGTGGCCGGTTGAACTTTTGTTGAAACTTTGCTGGAAGGTACTATAAGACCTCCTCTTTCTAGAACACAAATAAAATTTCTCGCAATAGATCTCGTTTTCGAGTTATGAAGCTTCAAAGTTTGCACGCTGAATGAGTGCTGCAAGGTAAGAGGGAATGTGGCTCGCGTACGATCCCTCTACTCCAGTTGGCAGCGTGGTATAGTGGCTAGCGTCCTTGCACTGCGGAGTCTATGACCTAGGTTCAGAACTTTTTGAAGAATTTCGTTTTTGCCTAAACTTTCCTAGGAGGAATTTATCGACATTGGGGAAATGGACCAAACATTTCTTTCCAAAATAACATAGTTTCTCATTTTGATTCGGTATACCGATTAAAATGTTTTCTTCCGCTTATAAAAATTATTAATAGTCCTTTTTGGGGGGAAAAAGTTCTACGTGCCTTTTAACCAGCGTTTCAGTCTAGTTGATAATTTAAAAGGAATCAAATAAAAACTTACGCCACAGAAAGATGAGTAAGTCTCCTCCAGATTCTTCTTGGAAAAAAAAAACAGAAAGCGATCCATTGATCATGCCTATAAGCCGCCGAAGGAAAATGCTTGTCGAAATTCTTGGTAAATCGAGTGAAATGAGAAGCTATGTTATTTTGGACAAAAAGTTTTGGTCCATTTCCCCAATGTCGATAAATTCCTCCTAGGAAAGTTTTGGCAAAAACGAAATTCTTCAAAAAGTTCCAAACCTAGGTCATAGACTCCGCAGTGCAAGGACGCTAGCCACTACACCACGCTGCCAACTGGAGTGGAGGGGTCGTACGCGAGCCACATTCCCTCTTACCTTGCAGCACTCATTCAGCGTGCAAACTTTGAAGCTTCATAACTCGAAAACGAGATCTATTGCGAGAAATTTTATTTGTGTTCTAGAAAGAGGAGGTCTTATAGTACCTTCCAGCAAAGTTTCAACAAAAGTTCAACCGGCCACCAAAAACACTTCCCTTGTCAGCATTATTCCCCACAAGAAAAATCTCACGAATCGGACGATCTTTCTGATGGCACTGGTCCTTTTTCAGGATTACACATCGTTGCATGGTCAAGGATATCAGGATGAACATTTGAGCGATGATTAGAGTCCCTCGGCGGCCACATCTGTAAAAGACAATCACTTTTTTTTTACAGTGAGTTAAAGATTTTGAATCGAGAAGAAACTTTGACTTCGGAAAAAGCTTGAAATAAGCTTTTGGAGCCTTCAAAATGGAAGAAAACACAAAAAGGCGATAGGATGGCATCTTTGTGAAAACCAAAAAAAAATATCTAGGAAGTCTTTTTCCAAAACATTTTACCTACATCCAGCTTCAATGCCCATTTTCAATCTTTTTTTTTAACCTCTTTTTTATATAATGACCGCTTTAGTAGACTCCTCAAGCTCCTCGGACCTTGGTCAGACGAATCGGATGCGTCGAAGCAATTCTAGTGACCACTTTAGTAGCGCCGTCAGCACCCTTAAGTGATCCCTAGAGTTGCCCAGGAGCGTCCGGAGGACATTCGGTTTTCGTTTTATTCAATAGCTCCTCGGACCATGTTCACGCGAATCGAACGCGTCGAGGCAATTCTAGTGACCACTTTAGTAGTTTCAGACCCCATAAGTGATCCCTAGAGTTGCCCAGAAGCGTATGGAGGACATTCGGTTTTCGTTTAATCAATAATTCCTCGGACCTTGGTAATGGGAACAGGACATGTCGGAGCATTTCTAGTGACCACTTTAGTAGCGTCAGACCCCTTAAGTGATCCCTGGAACTGCTTAAAAGCGTCCGGAGCGCGTCCAGATTCCGACGTCCGAGTATACATGAAAATGTTCAAGCCTTCTCCATAGAGCAATTATTCCCTCAAAAACTGTCCCTTGTCTGATTTCTAGTGATAATTCCAATAAAAATCGGGAAACGAATAATTTTTCTCCCATGGAGCGAATAAGCCCTAAGAACTTTTTAAATATTTTTTCTCTATAGTTTGAACTTCTTGCTCACTTCCTGATCAAGTACAGAGCCAAAAGCGACGCGGCAGAGTAGAAAATCGAGTCGACGACCGTCAGTTCAAAGTTGCTGTAGGGCATCAAATGTCGAAAATGGTTTCGTGTTTTGAGAGCCGACATTGATGTTATCCTGAACTTTGAGGGAGTTATAGCTGATTCACGGTTAGCTTGGGGGGCGTTTCCTGTCTGCGCTCTCCACGAGCCAGGCGCTATCTCGTGCATTTTCGTGTCAGGACCCTTTTTTCGATGGCTCAAACCAGCCGTGAATCAGCTATACATGGAGGAACAAATAGATAGCTTTCAAGGAAGAAAAGGTCCGAAAAAACTCGCAGGTTCTTGGGATTTTATAAGCGGCTGTTAAATTTCAATGGGCTTCATTTATTGATTGGGTCCATAAGAACTGAGTCCGAAAATCAGAAAAAAATAGAGAAAAAGAAGGAGGACCCACATCACCAAAAGCAACAGGAAGAGTTTCGAGGTGAACGCCGGGGCCTTCAGGAGATTCAGGACGGCTGAGAATCGGCTAGACGGAACGTCTCCAAGGTAGACGACGTCGTCAATTATCGCCTCGACGTCGATTTTGGCGTCTGAAGGAGGCTGTTCAAAACGACCCAACAATATATACCTAAGAGATCACCAGAAAAATAGAGTCAAGATTTACCTTATTCACCTGAACAAGGTCATAATTCAGCTCAAACCAAGCCAAAAAAAAGCAAACTATTGATCAAACGGAAGATCTCGTCAATATTTTCCATTTTCGTTTGAAAACAATCATTTTTTAACTTCTTGGACCTGATCCAGAAATAAATTCTCGTCTTGGCTTCAGAAGCTCATAGGGAATGTTCTCAGCTACAAAATGAGTTTTTTGAATGAGACTAGGCTCCCTAAAAGAAGTTTTTATGCTGATTCCAAATATGGTCACCCAAATTTGCTCAATCATTCTGTGAAAAAAGTTATGGCTCGAAATTTTGTTCCTTATGTTCATAGGAAAGTCGGAAAGGGTGGCAAAAGGCTTTTTTTGCGCCATTTCATGGGCTTTTATGCACCCTTTTTGCTGTCTCCCCTTTTTTTCCACCATTTCTTGAGCCTTCAAAATCCTATAAAAATAGAAGGCGTGATCCTTTTTGCTGCCTGTTTGCAGCTTTTTGGCAGCTTTTTTGCGGCCTTTTTGCTGCCTTTTTCCAGCTTAATTGCGGCCTTCTTGCAACCTTTTTGCTGCCTTTTTGCTGCCTTTTTTGCTGCCTTTTTGCTATCTTTTTTTGCGGCCTTACTGCAACCTTTTTGCTGCCTTTTTGCAGCCTTTTTGCAGCTGTTTTGCGGCTTTCTTCTTTGATATAGCTGATTCACGGCTAGTTTAGGACGCTAAGAGGGCGTGGCCTGTCTGCGCTCTCCACGAACCAAGCACTGTTTCGTACATTATCGTGTCAGGACCCTTTTTCCGATGGCTCAAGCCAGCCATAAGTAAGTTTTAACTAGAAGACAAGATTATTGAAAACCTTGGTTAGCATACTGATCAATCGACATTTTGATCGTGTCAAAGTCGCGGGCCACGATGGCCATCATCAGTTCCGGCGGCGTGAAAATGCAATAAATCGTGACGCTGACGACCAAAAGCACCACCAAGATCGCGTCGACGACGTCAATGTTGGCGAAATAACTCAACATCATTCCCGCGATCAGAGTTGTGATGCTTTTCTGGGAAAAAATGCATCAGACGAGATTTTCTCAAGAAGTTACAGTGAAATAAAAGGTGAACATGGCGAAATCCCTCAAGTGAACGGGAACAGTTTCGATGGCGGCCACCATCGCCACCACTAGTATCGTCTGAAAATGGAAAAATGATATTTTTTTAAAGGCATAAAAAACGGAGTTTCAGTACAAAGCAGTATTTTGTAGAGTTTTTCATTGCAAATCGAACGGTGAACTTGGAAACGTGCAGAAGTTTCTAGTTTTGGAGAAAAAATTAATCAAAGTCGGAGAAAGAAAATCTTGAGTTCCCGCGAAAAGGGCGCTTTGCAGTAAAGTTGCTCTATGGATAACACCTATCGCCATTTTTTTCGGATTTTCGCTTTTTTTCTTCATTTCTTTCAATTTTAAATTTTTTCTGTTGTCACCAAAGTTCTTTTCGTCACAAAAGCTTTCTATTCATGTATAATTTGCAAACTTTGATTGCAAAAATGCTTCTTTGGTGAAAAATGATGATTTTACATCGGTTTCGATTGGGATAGCAATATTTTGTGTTTCCTTTTCCATCGGTGTGTGTTTTTTGTTTGACTAAATGATTTTACAGAGTAGCAACCCTTGATTTGAAGCAGATATCCGGTTATTTCTCACAAAATGCGAGTCTAATGAGACGTCCGCAACATCGCGTGCACATCTACTGTAATCAGTTGTCCGTATACCGATCCAAAGCTTTTTTCAAAATTAAAGGCGGGAAAGTAAAATCGCGTTTTTCTTCAAAACTAGTCACATCTGTAATTTTTTTGAATATAGCTGATTCACGGCTAGCTTGGGATAGGGGGCGTGTCCTGTCTGCGCTTTCCACGAGCCAGGCGCTGTCTCATGCATTATCGTGTCAGGACCATTTTTTCGATGGCTCAAACCAGCCGTGAATCAGCTATACACCGTTCGATTCACAAAAAAAAAACTATATAAGATGCTGCTTTCACCTGAAAACCCATTTTTTACCGCCGCTCTTTCTTGGTGAATCGACTCACATAACACGCGCCGAACACGGACATTATCGAGAGCCGATTCATAAAGCCCAAGTTGAAGAGAAATAACAAGACGAAGAAGATAATAATGACGGACATGCACCAGAAAGCCACCCGTTTTGTGGTCACCTTGCTGGAAAATCAGTGATTCTTCGTCAAATTCCGGGGACCAACGTAGAAGAATACGCCAAAATAGACATGGAGATTACGCCACCGTAGGCAAAAAGATGCGTCAAGGTCTCCAAGGAGACCGTTCCGAATTGGAAGAACTGCAAAAAATGCTCTTTTGATCTTTTCTCGTGCAGTTTTTTTTCACGTTTTTCTCAGAATCTACACTTAAAAACAGAGGATATGTATGAAAAAAGTTATTGTCGAACAAGATTCGCAAAAAATGGCCAGCAGAAAGTTTAAATGTTCGAAAAGTCTTTGAAAAATAACACCTGGATCCGGAAATTTTTTTTTCAAATAGAAAAATTTTTATTTGTCGAGTCCAGGATTATCGAAATTTCAAAAGCGATCTTAAGAGAAAAATTGGAATTTTGGGCTTTTGAGTGCCGCTAAATTTTGATAAAGTTAAAAAAACGGAGGAAATTTTTTTGCTTTCTATATTTCTGTTCACGGGTAACTTGGGACGATGAGGGGGCGTGGCCTGTCTGCGCTCTCCACTAACCAGGTACTATTTCTTTTATTTTCGTTTCAGGACCCTTTTTTTAATGGCCCAGGCGTGCCTCTATAACTTCAAGGTATTGGTCTGCTTAACTTTCAAATTTTCTGACTTTCTAGTGTGTTTTGGTCTGCTTAACTGACTCATCAGCATTTACACGGCGTTTTTTTTTGCCGACGCCCCGCCCATACTTTTTCCGTAAAGTGTAGTGTGTCGTGTGCATACACTGCGGCGCTCTGGCACACGCCATGTGTTTTAAAACAAAAAAAAACAGAAAAAGCGCGTTTTGTTAATGAGAAATAGGTTCGTCTCATGACCCATTGATGCGCCTTCAAAATTTCCTGTAGTTTACGCGTTTTTTCCATGACGTCACATGGGAACGGCGGAGATTTCGACCACGCCCCCTTAATTTTTGGTTTTGCATTTTTTTTTTCCACTTACAAAAACGCCGTGTTTAGTAGGCCTCTTTGATGATACTAATTTCCTTCGGTTCAGTTTTTTTCTACGATAGTTTCTGTTCGGTGAGCGAATCCCCAATAAGGCCCGAAAGTGGACATTTATAAGCATTCTCGAATTGATTTTGAATCACAAAAGAACTCATAAACTCACCATATACCCATTATCGGCCGAGATGGCAGCCCGTCTGGTGATGAGTTCGTGGTGACAGTTGATGAACTCGTACTCGGTGCTGTCGGTTGTGCTCAGCCGCATCGTCTCGATGAAAAGGGAGCCGATCGCCGAGAGCAGCGCGTTCATCGCCATGTGTTTCGTGTAGAACTTGTTTTGGGCTCCTGAATGGTCTTGATTGTTCCAGTTCACATGTTTCAATTTGAATTTCTTTTTCTCACGCGGAAAGTGCAAAAGGTCGAGGTATTGGAATTTAATGAGACTTGGTATATAGGTACTTTCGGACACCCTGAATTAAAAAAACTTCGAAAAAAGTGTTCCTTTTTGGTTCTGGTCGAGTTATGGCGCCTCAAAGTTTGCACGCAAAAAACGCATTGGAAGGGAGGAGGTAATGTGTTGCGGCGGCTAACTTTAGCTGCTACTCTAACAAAAGTTGCGGTGCACCCCGCGTCGAACCGGCCATCGGGGTGCACCCCTCGTTGGACTCAGCGCGATTGGGTGCACCCCGCGTTGATGTTTTCGGTGCACCGAAAATTTGAAAACTCGGTGCACCCCTCGGTCATCTGGAACGATGTTCCGAACAACGCGTTTTTCAAACTTCAAGTTACGAAATTTGAAGTTTTCATTTGTTTTTTTATTTGTTTTAATTTATTACCACTCGCTTTTTCGTGTTTTTTTCTATTATTCGATGTTTTAACATTACTAGTGAGTTTATGGAAGTAGTTTCATATGAATTTCTTCTTCTTATTATTCTTATTGGCAAATTTTTTTGAGACATTTTTTTGAAATACAAAAATTCGTTGTTTAATTATATTTTTTTCGATCGCAAACTTCTAGAAATGATGGATAAAAAAAGTAATCTTACTTCCAAAAGCTCATGTAACTTTTTGAATTGAACATTTCGAATCGGTTTTTTTATTCCAACCTTCTTGAAGGTTTTTTTGTTCAATTTAGTCTAAAAAGCTGTATTGAACATTTCATTTTTTTAAGTTGTCAGGTAATCAAGGCTTGCGCATTGATTTCGCAAAAATAGTTCGCTGGAAAAATGCTTTTTTTGAGTCTTTCAAATATGCAGAAATCTTGCAAAGCCAAAATTATTTTTTTGCCTCGACATATTTTTTTCAATTTTTTTCGAGTCCAGCAAGCAATTTTTTTGAGAAACTATCAAAAATTAAAAAAACTATTGTAGATTTTAGTTAAAAAAACGGTTCGTTCTTAAAAAGTAAATATTTTTTTAAACTTTATTGGTTTCGCTAACTTTTCGCGACTATTTGTGAAAAAAAATGCGTTTCAGGTTCATTTGAAGAGAATAAATTTATGACCATCAAGGAAGAGAGAAAAACGCATATAATATGAAGGTAATTTTTTTAAAGCTTTGCATTTTAGTTTTGTAATATTTCAGATAGCCGTACGACTTGATCCTGATTCATAACAAACAGAAGGACTGCAGTCGAATAAGGGGAGCAGAGTAACTTAGCCGTTACTTTTTTCTTCTTTTTTTTTGTTCTTTAATAGCTGATGAAAAGTTTGAATAGTTGACATTGGAAGAGTTTGTCCTTTTTTTAGCTAAGACGAAAAAAATTAAATTTTTTTAAGAGCGCGTAGTTTGAAAAAAATAATTGATTCATTTTGAACTGACTATGCTAGTAATCTTCGCGAATTTCGTCGAAATATACCAGGGAATAGTCTCTAGTCGCAGTGGGGCATCGGAATGAGACCAAGTTTTCTAGGCATAGTTTTTCACGCTTATTAAAAATCTGGTTTCGAAAACGGCCGCGGAAATTTGGGAAAAAAGTTATGTACCCTCAAAAGTCGAAAACTTCATTTTCTCCGATTGCGCTCATTTTTGGAGGTTATAGATCTTGTCCCTTTGACAACATAAAACCAATTACTGTTTTTTTCAAAAAGTTTTGAAGCCCAGATATGAGAAAACCGCGCCGCGCGCATTCTCTTATCATGTGCGGAGCTTTAGAATACGCCCAAAGTTTTTTTTTTCGAAAATAAAAGCTTTTTTGAGACCAGAGGGTCAAGATCTATATGTCCTCCAAGAATAAGCTCAAGCGGAGACAGTAAAATTATCCGCTTTGAGGGTCCGTAACTTTTTTCCAGACATCCGCGACAGTTTTTGAGAACACATTTGGAATCAACATTGGCGAACTCGCAAACACTAGGTTCTACTCTCTCGCCGGTTTCGCATTTTTCTGGGCGCGAGGTCGCATTTCTCTCGCAATTTGAAAATGTTCGAAATGCAAGGTCGCGCCGAGAAAAATGCGACATTTTTGCGAGTTTGTCGATAACCGCCAGCGTATCGCGTTTATCTTGGCAGTTATTCTTAGTGAATATGTTTAGAGAAGGCTTAAAGTGAAGTTGGCACAAGTCAAAAGATCAAATTGGACAACTTATCCTTTTTCAGCTTTTCCAACGTTTTTATTCACATCTAGCTCGCTATGAAAATAATTTTCATCTTTAAGTATCGTTCGAAAAAAAGAGAAAACATACTGACAATGTTTTTAAAAAAAATTTGAACACACGTTCTCCGAAATTTTCGAATATACGTTGGTGATAATTTTGATGCAAATAATTTTAAAAGATTTTTTTAGCTGAAGTTCATATCAAAGATACTATGCAAATTTTTAAACTCATGTAAACAAGTACCGAAAAGCTCCGTATAAAAATTTAGTGTATAAAAATCAAGGCCATCTGAGGTCCCGGTTTTTATAGAGCTATAACAACTGCGGAAGTCGTCATTTTGCCAACACAATTGATGTTTCCAAAGGACATTTTAGAAGCGAAACGCTTTACGAGGAAAAAAGTTAGCTTCTTACAGTAATTTTGTCTTAGTAGCTCTAAAAGTGTGCGGAGCGTTTCGGTGCCTGAAATAAAAAAGGTTTAATAGTATGTGATATGAATTTATGCTCAAAAAATCATAATTTTCAAAATTATTGTACCAATTAATTTCCCAGTTCATAAAATTTCTCGGAAATCATGTGTTAAATATTACCAGTCAACTTTGTAAGTGTTATGAAGCCTGTTCTGTTTTTTGCCTAATTTTCTTCAGTACTATCCACTCTTTCTGTTGTATTCTCTTATTATTCAATTTCTTTCTCCTGATTTAATTTTCAGTTTCTATCAATTTTTTCGATTTATGTCTACTTTTTTAACATGCTCTCACGATTTTGGTCTAAAGTTGGCTAGATGCTTAGAAAAAAGGGGAGAAGGCGCAGAAAACAGCTCTAGAGACCTTTTTTCTTTCTCACATTTTGTAAACGTTGTTATTTTTCTTTATAAATCTTGTAAATGAAATTGTCTATCTTCGAATATTTTTCAAATACCCTATTTATTCGCTGTAATTTTTTTTTGTTTTATTTTGTTTCATTGTCTTATTATGTGATATATCATTTAATAAAACATATAAATTGAAACGTGGTCTCAATTGATGATATATATGGGATATAGAAGTATAAAGGTATTTTAAAAGTGCAAGAAGCAAAAATTGAAAAAATGAGGATTCGGTGCACCCCGCGTTGGACTTTTCGGTGCACCCCTGGTTACACTGCGGGGTGTACAGGAGAGTTCAACGCGGGGTGCACCGCAACTTTTGTTACAGTAGCAGGCGGCGTGGTGTAGTGGCTAGCGGCCTTGCACTATGGAACCTATCACGCAGGTTCGAATCTTTTTTGGTACTGTTAATTTTTGCCATTTTTTACCTTCGAAAAAATGAGGAATTTTCGAAGTTGGAATAAAAAAAGCGCTCTAAATTTTGAAATTCACTAATTTGAACAAAACTTTCGACAAAATTTTTTTATATGGTCAGTATACAGGTGCGCGTCATAAGTATCCTGTGTCAGATGCCTTCCTGTACAAAAGAGGATCTTTTTATACCCCTAAAATTAGATCTTGAAGCATTTGAGCGCAATCACAGAATATTTTCAAGCATCTTGTCTATAAATTTGCTCAAACAATCTTTGATGGACTGGGAAATCGCTATATGCGCAAACTTTTTGTATTGGAGATATGATTTTTTTTATTTTTTTTCCATTTAAGACACCGTTTGGAAGGAATGTGTGCGCGAAACAAGCCCTTGAATGACAGTTGGTAGCGTGGTGCAGTGGCTAGCGTGTCAGCCTGCGGAGCCTATGATGAGTGTTCGAATCCTTCTGCCGCATACTTTTTTTTGCCATTATTTTTTTTCACGGATTATGATGAATATATCGAAATTTCATGATTAAAAACGTTCGTTTCAAAAATTACTTTTTCAGTGAAACTTTTTTTTATTTTTCGAAGCCGCTAGCTTCAGCGAGCCATACAGAAATCTCATTACTTCTATAATTTTTCTCACCAAAAATATTCCAAATGTCGTCGATCGTCCGCATTCTCCCGTGCAACTCGACGTCATCTCGTTCTCTCTTGTGAACCAAGCGAACCTTTTTTCAAAATATTGAATCACATATTATTTTTTCAAACTCACGACTTCATTGGTTGTTCGCTCGGCGGATGGCGCCTCTTCAATTGATGCGAATCTCTGATAATCAAATTATTTTCTTAACGAGCTCAAAAAGAACCTCCTTCAAACGATCAAACAGATTCATCCCAGTAAATAAAGTAAAATGAATTATACTTTTCAAGGTCTTCACGGTTATATTCATTTTTATTTTGTTGGAATTGAGAACAGAATACATTTTCATTGAATGAGTATAGTTTGTGTACCACGGCTTGGAATTTCACCGAACGAGATTCCGCTGTTCCACCGGGCGCCTTTGCGAATCTCGGTCGCGCTTTCAATTTTTTCTTTCATTCAAATACTCGCAGTGGAACGATCATATCAGCAATAAAAATAGTCTGGAAGGGTGACCTAGATCTGCAAAGGCAAAGACGCTTTGCGACCGTACGCAGCGGAATGTCGTTCGGTGAAATATCAAGTCGTAGCACACAGACTATACCCGTAGAGCTGAAAACTCGACTTCAGGCGAAATTTTGACTTTTTTGAAGTGACAATCCTTCTTCTTTATATGTTTAGCTGTTGGAAACTTTCAAAAATGAGGAAAATATTTTTTTTTTCGAAAGAACCTATACACTTCTTTGCATGTCATCTGAAGTACCGAGACGCCGATAGCGTTTTGCAGTTCGAAAAACGAGAACACGAGACACTTTCAGCTTTTTAATGATCTCTGAATTCGTCATTCCGTTTTTGACACAATCAATGATTGCGGTACGGTACGGAGATGGGGCCACCATTACCTGAAAACTGAAAAGTGTGAGCTGTAACTTCAAACACATGATAAGTGAGCATGAATAAACGAAATAAACAGAAAAGTTCAAAGGCCAGTCCATTGTGCAAAAAGCAGCGATCAAACAAAAAACGGTTTCAATATTTATTGCGCACCCTGTATATCCTCGAAGCTTTAAGATTTTCTATAAGACAAATTTATACAAACGGTACCTGTACAATCTCACAAGGGAAATGTTTTTGGTGGCCGGTTGAACTTTTGATTGAACTTTGCTGGAATGTACTATAAGACCTCCTCTTTCCAGAACACGAAACAAGTTTCTAGATCTCGTTTTCGAGTTATGGAGCTTCAAAGTTTGCCCTCTAAATAAGAGCTGCAAGGCGAGACTCTACAGAGTTTTTGCAAAGTGCAGTGCCTATAGCGGCATTCTGCAAAAAAGCTTCATGCACTTTGCACAGAAGTACCTTGCATTTTGAACTTTTTTTCGTCTGTACAAAAGTGAGCCCAAAAAGAAATGCAAAATGCGAGGTTCTTCTGGGCAAAATGCAAAGCACTGATTTGCAAAATGCATGAAGCTTTTTTGCAGAATGCCGCCATAGGCACTGCACTTTGCAAAAATTCTGTAGAGGAGGGTATGTGACTCGCGTACGAGCCCTCTACACCAGTTGGCAGCGTGGCGAAGTGGCTAGAGTCCTCGCGCTGCGGTGTCTATGACCCGGGTTCGAATTTTTTTGAAGAAATTTCTTTTTGCCAAAAGTCTCCCAGGAGGAATCGTACACTATAACTTCCAATTTCTGAAAAAAAAAGAACTTTTGAGGTTTCGCTTCCCTTCCTTGTTAAATTAAGCCCAATTTAGAAGTTTTTCAAGCAATGAATCTTCAGAGAAGAAATTAATAACGTCGAAGACTTGAAATTCAATATTTTTGCCAACTTTCTTACCTAAAATTCAATCAACAAATCAGCCAAACTAGATTTTATTCCAACAAGAGAAGAAAAGTCGATTTTTTTGTCCTCTCAGCTTTTCGGCTTCGAACCGCTGATCATAAAGGACATAATGACGAGCGGTATCATTGCTGGAAAATCAATTGAAAGATCTGTTTTTCGACCAGAAAAACCAATCGTCGCAAAAAGGTGAAGATAGAAGAAAAGGCTGAAAATGAGCCAAACGCTGTGTTTTTGCTGTGAAACCTTCGATTCCTTGCCATCACCTGGAAAATGGGCTTTTTTTGCGTTTTTATCCCGAGAATGGCTTTTTGAGGTGCGCCCGACCAAAAACGACTCTCGCTCATGGTCATCGGAAAGTCTGGCAAAAAGCTTGAGCCATTCCAAATGCGACCATCAGCCACTGTAACCTACTTAAAACATCCCCGAAATAGGCGGGTGTGATGACGACTGCAAGTATTGTGTTTGTCGCCAATTCGGCCGCCTGAAAATCTCAGAGTCGTGCCTAAGAATGGACTATAAAATAAATAGGAACGTACCAAGACATAAACATGAATTATCCATTTCCAAGGGGTCGATAGTAGAAAAAGGCTGATAGCGACCGCATTCAAGATGATCTGGAAGTGGCAAATTTTCGCAAAAAAATGGGGGAAAGGATCATCCAATTTTTCCAAAATTGGCTACTTTCAACTTTCCGCCCGGCCGTTCTTTCTCGCGTTTCTAGTGATACCTTTAGTGGCTTCAGTACCCTTAAGTGATCACTAGAAGTGCTCAGAAGCGTTCAGATTTGCGTGAACGAGGTCCCAGCAACTTCCTAGTTTATTCACGTCTGGCTCATCGAAAAGGGTCCTGACACGATAAGAAAAGAGACAGTGTTCAGTTGGTGGAGAGCGCAGACAGGCCACGCCCCTTTGGAGTCCTAAGCTGGCCGTGAATCAGCAAAACAGTCCCTATAGGGGCCAAGATGGTCACGATAGGGGTTTGAGAAATTTTTGAGGGGTCATTATAGGGGTTCGTTGTTCTAGGGACCCCTATAGGGGTAAAAATCTTAAGGACCCCTCAAAAGTTTCTCAGTAGGGTCTGACCACTCTAAAGCTCAAGTGGCCCCTATAGGGATCTTTCAATTTCATTCAAAAAATGTCCCCTATAGGGAACACTTTCGCAAGCTTTTGTAGCACCTAAAGGGTTTGGTAAAGTGGTCCCTAGAGGGGGCCCTTGCCTCCATACTATGGAGTCCTTAAGCAGAGATTCTGTTTGCTGGAGCGCACTTGCATTTCCTACAAAAGAGCCGCTCACACTAATGCAGAACATGCAACAGACGGGCAACCAGAGCCAGTCCAAAATGAAAGCCACGAAAAGATCTCTGACTTCGTCGTTGAGCGATAGGATCGCCACCTCGCAAAGGAGAGTCACCATAATTACCGCCTTAATTAATTGATTAATGGTGTCTACTGAAAGGGACATACATCGACGATGAGGCAAATCTTGCCGACTTTCTCGCGTTGAACGTTCCAATCGTCACAGTCGGGCTGCATTTTTGGCATCGTCTAAAGTCTTGTTTTGATTTTGATCGGTTTAAAAATCAGTAGAAGCATCAGGAGTCACCCGTTGTACAATAAAAATAGAAAAAAGGCTTGAAATTTAGGGAAAAGCTGATTTTCGGTAGGCTTTCATTTTGAAAAGCTTCATTTCTCCCAAAGAAGTGGTCTCGAAAAAATTAGCTTTAAGATATGGTAAAAGGCTTTTGAAAAATCATCCCTTTTCCCTCTAAAAATTGTCCTCGACATTAAAATTTGTCAACCTTTTCTCTTTGAAATCGATCAATAAAAAAATCGAAAGGGAAATATTCTGAAAATTCTTCTCGAAATGGTACCGTTTTTTTCAGAAATGGCACCATTAGAAAAAAATTATTTTTTTCAATACATTTTTTTCAATAAAGTTTTTTTCAAGCTTCTATATCCCTCGTCATTTTCCAAAGGAGCTCTCAAAATTTGTAGTTTTTCTTGTTTTTATTTAGGGTCCGCAAGCCATTTCTTCAGAACGATTCAAAAAATATGTTTTTCACATTGTTCGATAGAGGAGACTGTCCATTTTCATAATCCGTTTAGTTTTTGAAAAAAGGTCCGCTAAGAAAAAAGTTATGGCCAAAAAACGAGCGCGCGCGGCGTACAACTGGAGGCAAAATCTCACGGTTTACCCGCTGCCGCACGCTTTCTTTTTAAATGTTTTTACGCGTTTCTGAACCGTTTTCGAATCGGTTTTCTGTTCTGAGAGGTTGTCCGAACTGAGCTCAATGTTTTGGTATAATTCTTTTTGTATAACTCTCATAAGAATTTTTTTGATAAAATATCAAAAACTACTTAGAAAAAAAGGTCAAAGGGATTTTTTTCAGCTTATTTTTTTCTTTTTTTCTACTCAGAAAAAAATTATTATCATTCGATTTGAAAGATAGAAAAAAATGAAAAAAATAATGTTATTTCGAAATAAAAACAGGAAAAAAAGTGCAATTTGACTCCGAAAAAAACGGCTCCTGCAACATTTAAAAGGGCGCATCGGTGTGTTTGACGCAAACACTGCTACGGACACTTGCAAGAAATCTTGCGAAATTTCAAAAAAAATTGCCATTTTTTCGAGGTTTTCCAAGCCGTTATTTTTTTCGCGTCGTTAGATTTTTTTCATAATTTTTTCATTGATAGAGTTTTGAACGCTTAATAATATAATCAAAAGTATAGACGCGATCCTATTCTCTCATGCGTCAACGAGGCAGGCGAAAAAAAGGAGGTTTTGGTAAAATCCAAATATAATTTGATTCGCTGTCCCAATAATTATTTTTCATTCTGAATTTTTTTATTTTTTTGAACACATTGTGAGTTTTTAAAATCAAATAAAAAAGTATACCATGTCGCTGAAATTTTTTTTCGCATTTCAGCTTCAAAGTTTGGTGTCACTTTACAAGCTTCGATTTTTTCGCGTCGTTAGATTTTTTTGAAATTTTTTTACTCGAAAAAAATAAAGAAAGTGTTAATAAGTAACATACTCAAAATTTGGAAGCGATCCTCACTTGGTTTTCTGAAACGCGACGATTTTGTGAAACTTCTCAGTTTTTTTCGAGTTAAATCTTACTTTTTCGCTTATTTTTTTGAAAAAAATACATAGTTTTAAAAAAATATTCAGCCCTGTAGAGCGTTGTCGATTACATAGGTTAACAGAAACAGTTCATTTTTAAAGTGGGACTTTAGCTAGTATAAACGCCTCAAAACCGTTTTTGCAACAAAAAAATCGTCTTTTTGGTGGCGGGAAGGGGCGGGGCTTTGCGCCCCCTATTTTTATTTTGATATTTTTACGTAAATTGATAGAATATACATTGCTCAAACATGCCTAAGTACAAAAGACTCGTCTTAAAAAGATAAATAATATTATTTCAGATGTTTGAAATGTTTCTGAATCTCACTTGGATAGTGACGAAGCCTTGCCGCTCATTTTCGCCCTCCGACGGCTGTTGAGTCACGTCCATCGATCTGAAACAATTATATTTTTTATGAAGTATCTGATAATTTATATAGTATCTGAAAATCCTGGAAGCTTGAAGAAACTCCAGAATGATTGAAAATTTCAAAAACTCAGGTAAAAGTTGGCTTCTGCTTCCTCGGAAGGCGTTTGGAAGCTATCCAGGAACGCTTCCCAACACTTTCTACTCAGAAAAAAAGGCCAGAGGCCTTCCAGAAGCTTTCCAGCAAGGTATTTTCCCTCTTCGCCTTCCAAACACCTTCCAAAGTCTTTCCTAAGACCTTCTTGCTTCCATACACCTTTCAAACACCTGCTGGTTACCTTCCCAGGATTTGCCAAAAGTCTTCAGCTCAAAAAAGTTTCTATACCTACCGAAAAGAAAATTTCAGCTTAATCGAGTTCTTTTCAATCCATTTTATCCAAGAAGAAGAAGAAAAATAACAAACAGCTCTGATTGATGCAGAAATAGCGGTCTCGACAGAGACTTGTGCGTCTTTTCCCGTTCCGTTTTCGGTTTTTCTGGCGTTGCTTCAAAAAAAAAAAGGTTTCAACTTATGGGACTAGAACCTTTTTTTTGAATCGATCATGAAATCAGACCGGTTTCTAATAGTTAAGATGAGCCTATACCGACATTTTTTTCGCAAAGACAGAATAAAATCCAGAAGCTCGAAAAAGAAAAAAAAAATTGGTACGTCTATAAAAAGGTACACACAGAAAGCTTCTTCTGATGGTGAGCTTGTCGTCCCTTTTAAGAAAGATAATTTTTTGAGCTCAATATCTTTCAGAAACTTGGAAGAAAAAAATGATTAAAAAGGTTTTTGATTTTGAAAAAAATATTCAGCTATCCAATTTTTTTCATCTGGAAATCTTTTTTTGAATAATAATAAATGAAAAATTTCCCGATTTTTTTCTCAAATTTTTTTTCATAAATTCCCGATGTTTCCGAGTATACTCTGTTCAAAGTTGGGTCTTTTAAAAGAATATAAAATTTTCCAGGTAAGCAGATTTAGAGCAAAGTTTAAAATTACACCGATCTGGGACGCTCTTACGAATCTGTGTGGGAAATTTGAGAAAAATGCCTTATTGAATCATTTTTCTCTGAATTTTTGATATTTTCTCGCATTTTTTCTGAATATTTTCTATTTGATTCTTCCGATTTTTTTTAAATACTCTCAAATAAATTCGAACCAATTACGCTGCCAGTTATGGAGGCCGGCGTCGCCATCTCGCCTTGTTTTCGAAATGGCGACCAATTTTCCACGTCCAACTTCTTTTCTTTTCGTACTTTGTATTATTTTCGAGGAGGAAAAACCGTTTATTTGCATTGTGATACAAGGTTGAGTTCTCTCATCAGCACTGCGCCGGGCAAACGTTCTGAAACCAGTCTTTGGTCTTGAGTCGCTTGTCTGGGTTAAATTTACCGGAATCGCTTCGGGTCGGGTGGTGTGTTTGTGAATGTTTCCATTGGTTAGAGGTCCTCTTGGGACGATCTTAAAAATTTAATCTTGAGCAAAGTCGGAAGGGTGGATAATGGCTGCTTAAAGGCTTGAAAAAGGCCACAAACACAGCCGCAAAGAGGCTCAAAAAAGGCCGCAAAAAGGCCGCAAACAGGCTCAAAAAAGGCCGCAGAAAGGCCGCAAACAGGCTCAAAAAAGGCTCAAAAAAGGCCGCAAAAAGGCCGCAAAAAAAGCCGCAAACAGGCTCAAAAAAGGCCGCAAAAGGCCGCAAAAAGAGCCCCTTCATTGAGCCTTCCATTTTTTCTGGGATGGAAGAAAAAAGAGGCAGCAAAAAAGGCGCATAAGAGCCGATGAAATGGCGCAAAAAGGAACATTTCTATGGAGCCTTTTTCCACCCTTTCCGACTTTTCCTATGATGATATTCTAATGAAAAAGCCTTTTAGAAGCTTAAAAAAGGCCAGAGTGCATTCTAGGCTCAAAAAAGCCCCGAATGGAAGAAAAAAAAAAATTAAACTTACAGTCCAGGTCATGCAGTTCTGAAGCGAAAAGTTTCTTGGGCCATTTGCGGCCAAAGGTCTGACGATTCGAGCCGTCAGGGTATTTCCTTAAAATTTCCACTCTTACCAACTTTATTGAGCCCCGAGAAAAACATGCATTTTTCAGGTACTTCAGAGTGAGTCCTATAGGTACAAAATAGGGTTTAGGGAGAAAAGAACCTCTATAGGGGCCGAAAAAGTGGTTCCCATAAGGGTTAAAATCAAAGTGGTCCATAGGGGTTTAGGGTCTGACTCCTGAGCCCCTAAAGCTCAAGTGGTCCCTATAGGGGTTCAGGGCGTGACTCCTGAGCCCCTAAAGCTTAAATGGTCCCTATAGGGGTCTTTAAAATTTATTAAAAACTCTTATTTATTCAATTTTTTCGATGTCCCTATAGGGACTAATTTCGCAAGCTTTAGTGGCCCCTATAGGGATTGGTCAAGTGGTCCCTAGAGTGGAGCCTACAAGAATCCCTAAGGTTGTCCCTATAGAGACCACTCTGCAGTTCCGGAGTAATTTTCATGATTCAATTTTTTTTTTCATAGATAAGTGTTCGGAAACTTGCTGTGAATATTTTTTCCAAGAAGTTAAAATCATAAAAAGATGGGGAAAATTGAGGTATTGAAGAAAAATATAAGGAATTTTAAGTGTGTGGATCCAAGGCTTATGAATGGACTTATAGAATATTTCTGTAAAAACCTTTTTTCACTTGAAGACCTACCATTATACATCAGAGTCTGAACTCCGACATTCGCATTGGAATCCAAAGTCGGGGGACCGTAGCCCTTGGTGAAGCCCGTGGAGACGCTGGGAACCCCATTGACGATTTTGAAGACGATCACTTCCAAGTTGGCCTGGAATCATGTCTTGTAGGTACATTTTTGGTGAAGCTTACCATTTTGGCTCCGAAGCCAATCGCGGTCCACTCGTTATTTTGAATGACGCCGTTTGAAAAGTCAATGGTCAGCATTCCATTAGAGGTCTGGAAAATTTAAATTTTAAGGTTTTTCATGAAAATTTAGTTTTTTCGATTTTGTTTGATAAGCAAATTCTTGAAGTAGAAATGCAGAAAAAGCATAATTTTATCAATTTCAAAGCGGCATATTTTGATTTTTAAACAATTCAGGTATCCCATTTCTCCTAATTTTGTGATTTTTCCGCGTATTTTAATAAATTCCAGCTGCCTAACTAACTTTTCAGCAACAAAATGCCGATTTCAAAATTATTCAGCTTGGGATTTCATTTCAACAAAAAAAAATACGTTTCAAATCTTCATTTTAAAAGATTCCTAACAGGATATTCGTCACTAAAAACCGGTAAAGTGACGCTATTTTCACCAATTTGTTGATTATCAAGCAAATAAAGATGAATCACTCGATTTGTACGAAATTTCCGGGAATGACGTGGGGAAATACCTGCCAGTTGACGTTGACGCCGGCTGCCGCGTAATTGCAATTTTGGGCCCATGCCAAGTTGAACAGGACGATGACCGAGGCGGCGAACAACATTCTGAACGGGAAAAATCTGAAAATTGCTGGAGCTGAGGAATTCCAGAGTGGTCCCTTCAGGGATTAGCGGGAAGATCAGCCTCTATAAAGACCGAGAAAGTGATCCCTATAGGGGTGAAATGCAAGTGGTCCCTATAGGGTTTTTGGGTCTGACCCTTTAGCCCCGAAAGCTAAAGTGGTCCTTACAGGGATTAGCGAGAAGATAAGCCTCTAGAAGGACCGAAAAATAGTTCCCTATAGGGTTTTAGGGTCCGATCCCTAAGCCCGTAAAGCTTAAGTGGTCCCTGTAGGAATCTTTCAACTTAAAAGCGCTTATTTATTTGATTTTTCGCATGGAAATGCATCTTCAGAGTTCATAAAAATTATCGATTAGTATGCCCCCTATAGGGGCCACTAACTAAAAGCTCTATAGGGATCACTTTGCAAGCTTCAGGGACCTCTATAGGGGTTGTTAGAGTGGCCCCTAGAGTGGACCTTCCAATTATCCCTAAGGTTGCCCCTATAGAGACCACTCTGTAGTTCCGGAGTAATTTTCATGATTTAATTTTTTTAGTGGCCCCTATAGGGGTTGGTAAAGTAATCCCTGTAGGGACCACTCTCGAGTTCCTAAGAAACTTGGGAAAAATTTGCGAAAAATTGGAGTCCTGGCCATCTTTCGGACGAATAAACGCAAATTTTCGAGTTTCAAGGACCAAACTAAGGTCGAAAAATTGAAAAAGGTGAAGAATAGATGACTATATAATCATGAAATTCAACTTTATGAACTTCCAGATTTTTTATCATACCCTAAAATGTCATAGTTTAAAATGTGGATGAAGGAAATTAGGTAATTAATCAATTTAATCAGAATTTGGCCAATAAATATTTTGAAAATATCACTACCAACAACAAAAAAATGACAACGAAACGGTTGCCGTGTGCCTTTAAAACAAAATTTCGCCGGAGACTTTTTTTTTCCCCTTCCAAACAAAAAAATGTCATCCTTCTCGAAATGCTTGGAGAAACGTGGGAGGGGAAGTCAACACAACAAATTGCATAGTCAATAGAGAAACCATGTCGCTACCGAAGTTCAACACAACCAAAGTTTTCGGCGAATAGTGCATTCTATTACTTATTTCAAAGCATAAAACTCGTCCTGAGTTTGAATTTTAACGACTCAAGGTGAAGAATGGTTCAATATGAAGAAAATTATATTCATTTTTCGTGAAACAAGTTTTTTGAAGAGTTGGTTTTCATCATCAATTTGAATCACTTCGAAGTTAAAAATACTGGGAAAATTGGCCACTATAGAGGTCCCTCAAGGACTATTTAAAGAGGACACTAAAGTGGCCACAAAAACCACAGCTACTGGAAAAATTTATAGTGGCCTCTATAGGGTTTTGACGTTTTAGTGGCCACTGTAGTAGTCTAATTAGGGGCCGCCTACAATGAAGATTTACATACTGGGAAAATTTTCAGTGGCCTCTATAGGGGTTTGACGTTTTAGTGTCCTCTATAGTAGTCAAATCAGTGGCCACTTAAGGGGTTGAAAGTTAGTGGCCGCTATAGAGTTCTAAGTGGTACTACAAGATAACTAAAACTACTACAGTTGCCACTAATGAACAAAACAGTGACCTCTATAGAGGTGGCTTTAGTGGCCACTTTAGTGTCCTCTTCAAGTAGTCCTTGGGGAGCCTCTATAGTGGCCACTAAAACCACCCCTATACAAGCCATTATCTTGAGTCTTAGTGGCCACTATAGTAGCTTTTAGTGGCTCAGTAGTATCACTTACACTTCTAGACAGGTCACTAATTTTTAGCCCCTCAAGTGGCCACTAAAACGCTAAAAACCTATAGTGGCCACTAAAGGGGATTAAATTTTATAGCTACCTTCATTTTTTGAACGAAATAATAGCTTTTGGACTATTTTCATGAAAAAAGGGCTCAGAAATTACAAAAAGGTTTTAATCCACATGTTGAAAAAGACACAAAGAAGATGAAAAAAACTCAATTTTTTTCTCGAAATCTTTTTTGAGCCTTATCTTCAAGGTAAACAAAAAGGGTTTTCGAATTACGGTAAAAAATTTGAAAATGGAACAAAATCCATTTTTGAAAGCTTCTAATGGACCAACCTTGTTACATTTTCACTATTTTGGGCATTTTCTCGTTCTCAATGGGTTTTTTCTTACTTTTCAAGTTTTACTGCGCTCAGAAGTCGCAATTTTCGAACTCCAGACAAGTTCTGTTTGTCCTCTGAACGCGCCGAGAACAATTTTGTTCAAAACTACAGTTTTTTGTGCTTTTTCAACGATCTGGACGTTGAAAAACAGTTGATCCACCTCTGGATAAGTTCAAAATGACCTTCATATCTTATTTTTATGTCTCAAAACGCATCACATATGATCAAGATGTAGTTATACTTCAGTTATATATGAAATTTTACTTTCAAAAATATTGTCCTTTTTCTTCACCCCCTTTAGAATCATACTAGACATGCACCTAAAAATAAGTGCCAAAGAAATCCAATAAAAATCGGTTACCGCCTACTTGATAAGAAATCAGTGATATCACTTTTGGTCGCCCTGCGATAAAATTCCTGCAACATAAAGGTATAAAAAATTCCCGATTTGGGCTCTTTTTCCACAGTGGAAATGCCGTCTTTCCTTCTCTTTGCTGCCATTTTTGGTAAGTCTCTTCAAAAAGAAGAAAATTTTTAATACTATAGCTTTTTAGAACTCTTAAGTGATCCCTAGAGTTGTTCCGGTATGCGTTACCGAGGTCCAGAAAGTTTCAAAATGCAAAAAATTGGCGCGTATTTTTTAGAATTTTTTTGTTTTTGCTTAGGAAATTCAGAGTGGTCCTTATAGGGATTAGGAGGAAAAACAGCTTCTATAGGGGCCGAAGAAGTGCTCCCTATGGGGGTAAAATCATGGTGGTCCCTATAGGGATTTACAGTCTGACCCGTTAACCTCTAAAGCTTAAGTGGTCCCTGTAGAGGCCCCTAACCCCTATGGGGGACACTCTAAAAACTCCTGAGAGGGTTCATAAAAAAATAATCGAATAGTCGACCCCCCTCATAGGGGCCCACTAACCAAAAACCCCCTATAGGGGCGACTTTTTGCAAACTCTAGTGCCCCCTATAGGGGTTGGTAAAGTGGTGTCTAGTGAGGATCCTTCAAGGGCTCCTAAGGTTGCCCCTATAGGGACCACTCTCGAGTTCCTAAGAAGTCAACAGTGATCCAAAAATGAAACAAAACACTGCAAAAAGCCTGACAGTCTTGCATTTTCAGGCCTCACCCAATGTCAACAGTTCCTGCCCCTCTCCGAGTTCGATCCCAACTTCAACGAGGACCTGAAAAACATTCAAGGCGGAATGAACGTCTACGTCTCCTACAACGAAATCGACAAAGACCTTCTAGACCAAATCGTCTTCCTTTCCGGCGGAGTTTCCAAAACGTGACCAGAACTAAAAGCCGAAAACTTCTGAAATCGAAATTTCAGGGCTTATGAAGTTTCTCAAAGCTACGCGGATCAAGCCTCCGGTCTGAAATCTCCTTGGAAACTCCCTGGTAACCAGCTTACCGTTATGAACTTGAACAACGCGACAAAATCCTACACTGTCAAGAGTTTCCTGTATATCCAATCGTTGGCACAGTCTCAAGGTAAACCATTGAATATTTCAGTAGCACCTTTCGGACTTCCCGCTGAAACGCAAGAAAGGGGCTTCTATAGCGATGGTTTTAGTGGCCACTTTAGTGTCATCTTCAAGAAACCTCTATAGTGGCCATTAAAAGCTTTGAAATTGTATCGAAAAAATGATAAATTTCTAATTTTCGAAAATTTCGTTCAATTTGATTCCTTCCAGACCCAACAATCTTCGTCTACGACATCGTCGGATCTCAAAATATCACCAGAAATGAAGATTCTTCCACCATCGTCCTGTTTCCACCCTTCTTGCCCCAGACGCTCGAGGGCCCAAAATACGGAGCCGTTCTTTCGAATATCAGTCAAGCTGCGGTAACATTCTTATTTTCGGAAAATTGAACAGGAAAAGTTCAGAATGGTTCGGTGGTCATGTACAGCGGAATTCCGCCAACAACCATTAATAGCGACGCGAATCGTTTCTTCAGGAACCCCTTGAGAATCGACCAAAACACGACTCAGTCAGTTATTTTTTGGGCGTTGAGCTTGAAACGTCATAAAATTATCAATCAAAAAAAAAAATTTTGCTGGAATATTCTGAGCTCCATTTGCTCTGCGACACATATCAGTCAGTTATTTTCGAAGCTCAAATTAAAAAGCTTCGAAATTTTAGTACTTGAAAAAAAATCAGTCACTGCCAAAGTCGGAAGTGCGGAAAACGGGTGCAAAATGGCCGCTAAGAGGGTTCCGTTTTGCGGCCTTTATTGAGCCTTTTTCGGGGGGCTAAAAAGCTTCAAAAAAGGGTGCAAAAAGGGTGCTGAAAGTCTGGGCCATTTATAATTTCCGATTATATCACTGTAGCACATTTTGGTTCATACACAGTCACCGGTGAAGATTATTTTCAATTTCAAAAATTTTGCGGTTCTCAAAGAGTCCAAAAAGGGTAAAAAAGGTCGACGAAAGGGTGAAAAAAGGCAGTGGAAAGGAATCTGTTGCCACCCGTTTAGGAACAATTATGGAAACCTTTTGATCCATAACGGACGCTCAGAGGGTCTGTAAAGGGTCCTTCCGACTTTAAAGTTCAATCAAAATTAGAAAAGGAAGGTGAATTTTAAAATTCCCTATTAATTTCTACACTGTGACTCATTAAAAAGCCCTAACAAGGGGGGTCATTTCACTTTAAGGCTGGGATTTTCCTGAAAATTGGCCAGAAAGCTCCTACCAGAAGAAGATTCTGGGAGTCTGAACCTGCACAATTTCCTCGTTTTTGAGAAAAGACGCGTCAAAGTCGAAGAAAACCCTCAAAATCCAAAAACAAGCTTTTTTGAGGCTTTGAGACCTTATTTCTCAAAAACTAGGAAGTTGTGCAGGTCTAGACTCTCAGGATCTTCATCCGGTAAGTCAAGAAGATTTCTGGCCGATTTTCAGGAATTTCCCAACCGCAAAGTAAAATGACTCAATCTTCGCTACCTTCTCCATGGAGAATATAGGAACGGCTCTAGCTTTTATTTCATTTCCCAAGCTCCATTTTAGCTCAAATACCGTTCTTATCTCAGTCGTCAGACTCCAAAAAAGGTTTGCAGATTCTTCACCACCATCGAACCGCTCCAAGTGACATTCCCGGCGTTCTATATCTTGGTCAAGGGGGGAATTTCTTTCACCGCCGCCATTGACAGTCTATGTAGCTCTGCATTCAATGGAAAGAGGGGACCTTTCGACTTTCAGCAACTCAAGCCGTGATCAAGACCTCGGCGGCCACCACCACCGGACTCATAATGACCAATGACTTCGCTACAAATATTTCTGTTGTTTTCTATCCGGACAGGAATCACAGTTATGTCTGTGGATACGATGTGAGTTGATTAGAGTTTTCTGGTCCTTGAAGGTTTCTTAAGAACTTCTTCAATTCAAATTAGAGCTTTTCCTGGAGTTCTTAGTTTTTCAAGGCGTCTTTTTATAAAATATATATTCGTTTTGACCCTCTCCTTCTTCCCCCGTTCTGAACCGCTTTAGCGGCGCTCCAAGTCGATTAGCCGAGGTCCTATCCTGATATCAGTGGACTGGCTCTAGTGACATATCCGTCCTTGTGCGTGACGGCTGGGGATTATAAAGCCGTGGTTTCTCACTACCAATACTTCTTAAACCCTTGGTTGGGTCGAGGCGGGGATCGAACTTGTGACCCTGCGGACCGTGGACAAGCATACAACCTGTTCGCTACGGTGCGCCCTTAAGTTAAAAAAATTGTGAACCTTTAAAAACAAGTTAAAAACCACCCTAACTTGCCCCATCACTTTGATCCCTCATATAGCTGATTTACGGCTGGCTTAAGCCATCGAAAAAAAGGTCTTGACACGATAATGCACGAGATGTGCCTGGATCGTGGAAAGTGCAGAGAGACCACGCCCCTTAGCGTCCCAAGCTAGCCGTGAATCAGCTATAAAATCCTTCCCAGCTGCGAAATTCCAAACTTTTCCCACTATTTGAAGTGATTACAGTGCGCGTCATAAGTATATCAATTTTCTCATCCCCCCCCTTTTTCAGGTCCCACCGAGACTATCCCATGTATGCTATACGGGAAATGGATAATGTCCGGAATTACGCAAGTTATGGGGGGCTAAACTCTTGACTCGCGCTGTATTGTAGAACTAGGCTCTAAAATCTTGAATACATTTTTTTTCCAGCTAACCCTGAACAAAGTCATCGCCCCAGTCACTCTTCTGTACGTTCAGCCGTTCTTCGTCGCAAATTCTACGTTAGTTTTTGAAAAATCCAAGTTAAAAATACACTTTAAGATACTCGATAGCTGTAATTGATGCGTTGGAGAGCTACCAATTCGCGGCCGATTATTTCTACGTCATTCCACAAAATCCAATTGCCGCCATCTACACGGTTCAGTACTTCCAAATTCGTGAGTTTTATTTTTTGGAAACGTTGAAAATTGGGTAGTGCGTGGATATGATGACGGTATTGAAGCTTTTAAAAATTTCTTTTTTTTTTTAAATCTGTGTAAAAGCTTGTTTTGTTCAGTTTTAAGATCGAAATAGGAAAGTTTCAGTTCTTTCAAGGCCTCATGATGAATAAATCCACTCAGAACTTTGAAAAATACCGTCAAAGCTTACACGGGAAGTGCAAAAGGTCCAGGTATTGGAATTTGATGAGACTTGGTACATAGGTACTTTCGAACACCCTGAATCTAATGAAGTTGAAAGAAAGTGCGCTTTTTTGGTTCTAGTCGAGTTATGGCGCCTCAAAGTTTGCTAGCAAAAAAAAAACGCATTGGATGGAAGGAGGGAATGTATTGCGGCGACTAACTCTAGCTAGTAGCAGGCTGCGTGGTATAATGGCTAGCGAACTTGCGTCGGGGAACCTATAATGCAGGTTCGAATCCACTTTGGGGAAATTTTTTTGCCATTTTTCTTTCTTGAGAAATTTTTCCAAAACAGACAAGAAAAAGTTTCAGAAGGAGCCTTGATCCCTCCTTCAACAACTGTTCCTGTTTCAACTGCGGTCCCTCCTTCAACAACCGTTCCTGTCTCAACTACAGCTCCTCCTTCAACTGTTTCTTCTCAAACAAAAGTTCCCCCTCCAAGCACGGTAGTGACATCAGCTCCGACTCAACCAACGATTCCACAAAAACCAACAACTACCATCCAAACCACAACGAAAAGCTCAACTTCCACTTCATTTTTAATCAGTCTTGTTTTGATTTTCGTTTCGCGGTTGTTCTAATATTGTTCAGATCACCTTCAAACTGTCATAATAACTCCTCTCAATGAGATTGTCAAGCTTCCACGGTTCTTTTTCTTCCAAAATAAACATTTTATTTCTCTTGTTTAATAACAATTTTGTTCATGGAGAATCGCAATGCGTTCTCAACTTCTCAAAATTGAAAAAAAAAAGTATAACATTGAAAAGTTTGCGAAAAATCTTTCCATTGACACTCTTTTTAAAAAAAACCGAAACCAAGAAAGGGGCGGAATCAAAACCTTCGCCATTCCGAAGTGACGTCATGGGGAACAAGCGTAAAAAATATTAAAGGGGCATGTTCAATGGGTCAATCGGTTTCCGAACTGAACTTCAGAAATTCAAAGATATATTGAGTTTAGCCAAAATTACTTTCAACGCGGTATGTGCGATACCGTCGCAGTGCATGCACACAACACACTACACTTTACGGAAAAAATATGGGCGGGGCGTCTTTCAGAAAAACGCTGTGTAAAATCAGAATTTTGCTAGGAACAAACTTGGATTATTGTGAAGGAATCGAGGTTGATAGAACTGTAAGGCTCTTTTTGCAGCCTTTCTCATTTAGCGGCCATTATCCACCTCAATAATCTATGGCTCTAATCTCAAAATCTCTCTTGTTTCTAAGGATTTTCACCAAGGTCTTTTAAATCCAAAAAAAGGGTCCGCAAAAATATTTAGAACCCTCGGGAGGATATTTATAAGATACCATATAATTTTTCCCCTTTTCAACTCCATTTTTACCTTCAAACCAACTGAAAACCAAACTAGAAAGGCCTCTATAAATATTTCCGACGAGAAATTTAGATAGCGCCTGAAAAGGATGATTCAAAATCGATAAGAAACCAATGATATCACTTGTCGGTCCCCCGCGTCTTGCAACGAAAAAAGAGTATAAAACATTGTTGGCCTGAGCTCTGGCGCCAGTTTTCCACGCTGAAAATGCCGATTTTCCTTCTCCTTGCTGCCTTTTTTGGTGAGTTGAATTGGACATGTCTTCGGCTTGCAATTTTTCAAAATCAAAAATGATCTCATTTTATAATTTTTGTGATATTTATTATACCCTAACAGCCTAAAAAACATTAAAAAGTTCAAAATCTCCTTCCTAGGGCAATGGAAATCGTTCCAAGACCTTTATTTTACAAATATAGGTTCACGGCTAACTTAAGGGGGCGTGGCCTGTCTGTGCTCTCCACTAACGAGACACTTTATCTTTTTTTCGTGTTAGGACCCTTTTTTTGATGGTTCAAGCCAGCCGTGAATCAGCTCTATTAGCTCGAATTATCAGTAAATTAACTATAAATAAAAACCCAAACGTTCAAAAAACAATTTCAAAATTCCAGGCCTCACACAATGCCAACAGTTCCTGCCCCTCTCCGAGTTCAACCCCAACTTCAACGAGGACCTGAAGAACATTCAAGGCGGAATGAACCTCTACGTCTCCTACAATGACGTCGACAAAGACCTTCTAGGCGAAATCGTCTTCCTTTCCGGCGGAGTTTCCAAAACGTGACCACAACTAAAAGCTCAAAACTTCTGAAATCGAATTTTCAGGGCTTATGAAATTTCTCAAAGTTATACGGATAAAGCTTCCGGTCTGAAAGCTCCGTGGAGTATCCCTGCCAGTCAGTTGACCGTCATGAACTTGAACAACGCGACGAAATCCTACACCGTCAAGAGTTTCCTGTATATCCAATCGTTGGAACAGTCTCAAGGTAGGGAATCGAAGATTTTTGGCTTATAGAGACTATTTCTGTGTAGCGTTGTCGCTCAAAAATCCACTGATTAGCTTCTAATCGCACCCGACTCTCTCCTACTTTCGCCGGGGGGGGGGAGAGCATTAGAGAAGCTTTCTTTCCCTTATAATGGAGCATAGTCCTAGATAGTCGGTTGTATTAAAGTCCGATTTTCGCGACTCGAAATGGTGGGACTTCTCTGCGCCCTCCTCGTCTCTCGACGACCCTCTCTTGTTGACGCGCTATTTTCGCGTTTCTCTGACCTCTCCCGTGAGGGAACAGAGAGACGCAGACACGCAAAAACTGTCAACTCGCGACGGACGGACTATGTCGAACTTTCCCTATTTTTCAAATATTTATTAAAATTCCTTCAATGATTCCTTCCAGACCCATCAATCTACGTCTACGACATCGTCGGATCCCAAAATATCACTAGAAGTGAAGATTCTTCTACCATCGTCCTGTTCCCATCTTTCTTGCCCCCAGAATTTGAAAGCCCAAAGTACGGAGCCATCCTTTCGAATATTAGTCAACCAGCGGTAAATATTTTTGAAACATCAATGAAGATAGTGATATTTTTAGAATGGTTCCATGGTCATGTTCTACGACGTCCCCCCAGCAAATCTATCGAGCAATTACGAGAAACGGTTTTTCCGGAACCCATTGCAAGTCGACAAAAACACCACCCAGTGAGTATACGCATCAAATTTCAATATTCTCATCATAATTCTTCAAAAAAACAATGGCAAAAAAAAGTTAACGGCAATAGGATTCGAACCCTCATCGTCGGCTCCGCATGCTGACACGCTAGCCACTGCACCACGCTACTAACATTCTTGCAAGGGCTGGTGGCGCGGCCAGATTCCTTCCAAACTTTATCACATGCTTAAAAATATAAACTTTATAAAATCATATCTCAAAAACAAGAAGTTTGCGTAGATAGCGACTATGGGGGGTCGATTCTGATCAAAGATTTTTGAGCAAATTTGTTAAAAATTCTGGAAAACCTTCCATGTCAGGCTTCAAAATTTTTGAATATTTAGATTTATTTTTCTAATATCGATCGAACGTTCAGGTTCTTCACCACCATCGAGAAACTCCAAATAACGTTCCCCGCGTACTACATCTCCGTTAAAGGCGACATCTCCTTCACTACCAACCATGCTTATTGTGAGCTTCTGATTTGTTTCGAAATGGGACTGAAATGAGCTTTTCAGCAACTCAAGCCGTGATCAAGACCTCGGCAGCCACTACTACCGGACTCATAATGACCAATGATTTCGCCACGAACGTTACTGTTCTCTTTTTCCCGGACAGGAATTACAGTTATGTCTGTGGATACGACGTTCGTTTTTTCTCTCTTCTCAGATTCGTTTTCTTACTTTTTCGCCTCGGAATACTCATAAAGATTTTTTTGATCATCTACTGATCATCTGATGATCATGGTTCAATTAAGAAAGCGCCTTGGGCCGTAAGCCGCTCTAGTGACCACTTTAGCGGCTTCAAAACCCTTTAGTGGCCCCTATGGTCCCAAGTCCCCCTTTCGTGGCCCCTATGGTCCCAAGTCTTCCTTTAGTGGCCCCTATGGTCCCAAGTCTCCCTTTAGTGGCCCCTATGGTCCCAAGTCCCCCTTTCGTGGCCCCTATGGTCCCAAGTCCCCCTTTAGTGGCCCCTATGGTCCCAAGTCCCCCTTTAGTGACCCCTATGGTCCCAAGTCCCCCTTTAGTGGCCCCTATGATCCCAAGCCCCCCTTTAGTGGCCCCTATGGACCCAAGTCCCCCTTTAGTGGCCCCTATGGTCCCAAGTCCCCCTTTAGTGGCTCCTATGGTCCCAAGTCCCCCTTTGGTGACCCCTATAGTCCCAAGTCCGCCTCTAGTGACCCGTATGGTCCCAAGAGGGGATTTTCTAAGAGCCCTCAAGGTTGTCTCTATAGGGACCACTCTGGGTTTCCTTCGATCAACCAAGTCTTATTATTTTTGATAGAAAAGCCAAAAATAGCTAAAATTTTCAGGTCACCATCAGAAATATTATCGCGCCGGTCACTCTTCTATACACACAACCCACATCTGTCTTCAATTCCACGTTAGTTTCTATTAATTAATCTCAGACTGGAATAAATCCCAGGTACGCTAATCCAATAACCGACGCTATGGTCTCGTCAAACTTTGGAGCCGATTATTTCTACGTCATTCCACAGAACCCAATAGCCGCCATCTACACGGTTCAGTACTTCCAGATTCGTTAGTTATTTCGATAAATTTTCGGGAAATGCACATTTTTAGGAGCTTGAAATCTTGTCTCTAGCTATCAATAGAATCAAAATTGAGGCTAAAAAATCAAATTCAAGCCACGCCGAGCTATTTCTTGGACCAGAACCAACCAAAAGCCTTTCTTTACCAGTTAAAATCGAAAATTATCACTATCATTTACAAATGGTCGAAATTTCTGTCGTGAAATAACGATTATTTGAATCAAAAAGGACCAGAAGACCCCTTTAGTCTCTATTTGGGTCCCTGGAAAATAGGCAAATTCGGAAAGGGTGGAAAAAGGCTCCATAGAAATGTTCCTTTTTGCTGCCTTTTTGCGCCATTTTATCGGCCCTTCTGCACCATTTTTGCAGCCTCTCCCTTTTTCTAGCATTTCTTGAGCCTCCAGAAAAATAGAAGGCTCTATAAAGGGACTCTTTTTGCTGCCCTTTTTGAGACCTTTTTGCGGCCTTTTTTGAGACCTTTTTGCTGCCTTTTTGCGGCCTTTTTCGAGCCTCTCCTTTTTGGCGGCCATTATCCACCCTTCCGACTTTCCCCTAGTATATCCTTGACCAAAAACCATTTTAAGCCATTCCCATCCCTAGCTCCAAAACCTATCAACCTCTGTCCTAAACTTGATAAAAACCTAAAAAACCAATTTCCAGAAGGAGCTCTAGCTCCGCCCTCAACAACGGTGGTCACCTCGGCTCCCACTCAACCAACATTCCAACAAAAATCCACAACAATCATCCAAACCACCACGAAAAGCTCAACGTCTTCCGCCATTTTCATCAGCTTTTTCCTGTTTTTCACTGCTAGATTGTTCTAAATTCCATTGTAGCTTCTCAAAAACGGCCATAATAACATATCGAAATGAAATTATTGAGCTTTAACGAGACTTTTTTTTTGCAATAAATATTCTTCTTATTTGCTCTGACTCAAGTGTGATCTTTTGAAACTGTTTGCAGGCCTAACGTGGAATTTTTTTGAAAGGAGGGGTTTTGATTGCGAATGGGACATTGATAAGGAAAACAGATAAAAATATATATTGTCATCATCATGATTACGATGAGTCCACTGTAGAGAACGAATAGTTTGAGAAAAAGCCGATTTCAAATAGCTTTCAACATTTTTGGATCATTTGGAATTAGTAAATTAAAAATTTCTTAAAAATAATAAAAACTACTGTGAAAGATTACCCAACTATTCATTTTCAACAAGATTATTTTTAAAAAATCAGCATCTCCTGAGAAACTTCTGAGGGGTCTCTATAGGGGATTCCATTGAGGCCCCTTTGAGGGACGTCTAGAGGGACTAATGAACAAATTAGTGGCCTCTGTAGAGGTGGTTTTAGTGGCCACTTTAGTGTCCTCGTCAAGTAGTCCTTGGGAAGCCTTATAGTGGGCACTGAAAGATTTCACAGTTAGAAAAAGTAATTGTTATTTTTACTAGGCTCTTTTAATTTTAAAGGACTTGAAAAAAAAAGTGTGTTTCTTATTCATTTTGTAGTTGACACCTCGAGCCAGCGGTGAATCAACTAAGAATGAAGGTTTTTATTTAAAATTCTTGGATCGAAAATCTAATTTCGAAATTAAACGTTTTTCTAAGTTTTCCTAGTCAAGTTGAACATAGATCTTACCTTCGCGAAAAATTTCAAAACTTCCAATTTTCAAAATTCTCCTCTCACATCTCCGTTTCAGCCCGTTTAACAACACGAATTAACTCTTGAAAATCCTCAAATTCGTTTCGAAATCTCTCCCGAACTTTATGACCTTCAAAAGTCATCCTCGATGACTCAAGACGTCTTTCAAGTTTCTTTTTATTACTAACTAAACAAACCAAAAAGGAAAAAAAAAAGACAAGAGCTTTTGCATTGATAAGGCCTGAGACTTTTTGAATAGCGTCTTTTTCGATTTCTGTCTGGTGCGGTCATGTCTGCGGAATTCTTCGCTTTTCTTCTTTTTCTAGCCTTTGCTGGTACGGTTTCGCAATTCTTTGGAAAACTCAGATAAAAATATGATTTTTAAAGGAAATCCGTGTTATTTTTGTTGAGGTTAGGTGATTCTAAAACATTCTACTGTAAGTTAAGCCTCAAAGAATTCTAAATTTGAGTAAAACATTTTCCAACGGCACGAATTTCACTACAGGCCCTTCGTGCGCTCAAGTATGGATGCCCCTTTCTGGCCTGAAACAGGGAATGTTGCTTCAAATCGACAAAGTCGGGGCCCACGTCTACATTTCTTCGACTGACGATGCAACCGCTTTGAAGGGAATCAAGTTGAAGATGGGAACGACGGTGAAAACGTGGGTTTTTCACTTTTTTTTTTCTGAGTAAAACGTGTATTTTTATCTACGGATGGACCCATAACAAAGCTTGAAGGCCTTTGGACTTTTTCCAAACCAAAATCCGTTTTGGAAACAAACACGTGCTATTTCCATATTTCTCTGACCTCGCCGGTGATGGAACATAGAGACGCAGACATGCAATAACTGTCTAGTTGGAAGGACTAAACAAATTTTTGGACATAATTTTTCCCTACAAACCCAATTTCCAGTGCCTTCGACGTTTCTCAAAACTACACGGACGCTCCAAATGGGCTGAAAAAGCCTTGGGTGGCTAATAGTGTCGATTTTACCGCCGATATCGGAACAGTCGATGTCAAAAAAATGAAGGGACATCTCTACATCACTACTCTGGAACAGGCGAATGGTAAGCTTAGAAAAATAAGAAAGGAAGCCGAAATGTCAAGGCTAAGTGAATCATACTGGAAAAGGAATCAAGGAACCGATTGAAACTGCAATTTCATTCAACTTTCCAGCCACATTGATTGAGATCTGATTTTTGTATGACCTCGACCAGAAACATCTTATCAAAAATTACAATACTTCTAGACCCAAACTTTCTCGTCTACGACGTCGTCTTACATGCAACTCTTGACTATTCCGCTCGGAATGCCAAAACGACGATAGTTTTTTTAAATCGTCTCACTGCCAGTACTGATGTCTCCGCCCCGGAGTACGCCGCTATCATTGACCACTACTCCCAAAAATCTACGGTATCTATTTTTTGATAAGACCAATCGACCAATCAAAACAGTAGATCCTGACAGTCATCCTAGTACTCAATAGACCAAACTTCCACTATGTGAAAATTAATGAACTTTAAGATATTCATTCTCGAAAAATAGCAAGGTTACAAGTTTAGAAGTTCATTGAGAAGCGCTTTGGCCATGTTTCAAAAAATCCTTTGTTATAGTAAATCACCTCTCTCCTTGGGATGAAAAAATTTAACTCTCAGGCAACTCTAACGATCCGTTCCGGAGTCCCACAGAAACAGGAAACAGCCGACACGATCGCCTTCTCCAACCCCGTCACCACCAAGGACTTCACCAAGTAAACTTGAGAACTATCCGTTGAGAAATGCTCGTGATTTCCAGATTTTTCCCCAAAATCGAACCTCTCCAAATCACCTTCCCCGCCTTTTACCTTGTCGTCAATGGCGGAATCTCCTTTCAAGCTTGGAACCTCTACCGTAACGGGAACTCAAGTTTAAATAACTTTTTTGAAGTCTTTAGTTGATGAAGCGGAACATATTCAAGCGACAGGAGAATCATGCGGTTTTCTGATGGGCCAAGGCCGGATGAAAGAGAAAAAGATCATTTTTGATCCGACGCCAAATCAGCAAAGATGGACCGGTGTTAAAGTGAGGAAAATGTACAAGCTAAAATCTTAAATTTCGAAAAATTGAAAAATTCATTCATAAATCTCGATTCAGGCCCAGTCAACGCTAGTCTCGGCCAACATGAAGTTCATATTTGTCGATACGGACGGAGCTCCGATGGAATTCGAGTTAGTTTTTCAATTTTTCAGAGTAATAGTTAGCCTACTCTTGAAAATGGTACTTCGATTGACAATTCACCCACTTCAAACTGATTTAAATCGCAAAGAAAATTCAAATTTACCTAGTCTTTATCGATTTCCTCAAATTCTGTTCATCGACGCAAGACGAATCTTGGGACTGCCAATTTTCAGAAGCTTCTATTAGTGCTGCTTTTGGGACTGCCAAATTTTGAAAGTTTCTTTTAGTGCTGCGTTTGGGACTGCTAAATTTTGAAAGTTTCTTTTAGTGCTGCGTTTGGGACTGCCAAAATTCGCTCATTTTCAGCTTCGGGCCAGCTCTCCAACAAACTGTCGACTACTGGGCGACTTTCCAGTCAGATTACGCTAGACTTACCTTAGAAGATCCAAACGGACAGTACTTCTTCACCATCCAGTACTACACTTTTGGTTAGTATCCCCAAATCTGATGAAACTTCATTTTTCTGATTTTCAGCAAAAAATCAAGACGTTGGCGGCAGAACAACAACTTTGGCCACAACAACTAAGTCTTCATATATTCATCAAAACGCTTTCTGCTTATTTTTTTATCAATTTTAGGGGGTATTTTTTTGTTGAATTAAATTGGTATATTTTTTTATTTTTTTGAATAATTTCATTTTTTTCCCATAAACTTTCAAAGCTTTTTGTCGGAACATAAAAATCGAACTAACCTTTGTGGATACTGGACAAAAATTTCATTAAAAATATCGTTCCTCTTCGTCAGATCAGGCCTTTTTTTCTCCGTGTTCACATTTTCAACTTTTCTCCATATTTCGCTGGAAGCAACGTTTTTTTTCGGAACATATTATTCTGTGAAACGTAAATGGATGCATAGAAAATTTCTTGAAGAAGTGTTTTTAATAGAAAACTTTTGTGAGATCGCACGAAAAACTTCGAAAAATCATAGTAATTGTCTCTTTTTAATAATAATAATTTATTGACAGATCAGCGTGAGCCCTAATGAGTTAACTTGGATCTAGAATTTGAGAAAATACATTAAAAAATACACTCTTGGTTCTGTTTCAATTCCTAGAAAGACAAAATCAAACATTCGGAACCTGCTGAATTTCTAAATATTGAAGGCAGCTATCATTTGATAAAATCTAAAACCTTTCTCTAACTTTTTTGATCCGAATATTTTGGCGATATTTTTCATAAGTAATAGCTGAAGTAGACTCTTTCTTTAACAAATGAACAAAATTAAGCCAAAATCAAAGTTTTTATCGAGTCAAAAAATACCCATATTTACAACAAGACACGTAAATTCAAATCTTCAAGATATTCAGAAGAGGCGCTGAAGAATGGCAGAGAAAAAAAGTAAAATGGAGAATGTTTTGAAATCAGCGGATTTGGTCGTGGTGGGAATTATGGCTTTTTGTGTTGTACTAGTGATAGGAATTCTCGAAGTTGCTGGATTCGTGGGTTGATTCGTTTGTGGCGGAGCAGGAGATGTAGGCAGAAGCGCTCCTCCTAAAAAGGATATCCGTTTGAAAATGTGCTTTGTCGATTTTTAAACTCACTGATGTTATAATACTGGAAGCTATAAAAGCCCATATTAGGCGAGGTCGCATTAATAACGAGCTGTTGAGCGTAGAACTTATTCTCACGAGAGAAGTACGGTTCGGTCTTGTCGAAACTGAGAATGAAGTGATAATTTATTGTTCAAAAGAAGCTAATAACTTGAAGCCACTGAGATAAGTGATGCTGTAGAAAAAGCTGTCGACCTCGACATAGTCCACCAAATCGGACACAAACTGAAGAAAAAATCCTTTTTTGAAGGTTCCCTAGTTTCTAAAACTGACCAAGTTTCCACAAACACCATCGTAATTCTGATCTGCGTTGAAATTAACAGTGTAATTCAGTGCGATTTCGTCGTCGTTGACCATAATCAGGCCAGAAGTCGATACGGCGGTTGTGTTGATGGTAGTCACTTGGACTGCAATCAAATTTTTTCTGGTTTTTTTATTATTATAAGAACAATACTTGCTCCAGATTCCATGGTGAAAGTTGGGCCACCTAGAGTTCCAGTAATGTAGAAAACGGGTAGAGGAATTGAAAGAGGCTCGATGTTCGTGAAGAAGCTGATAAAATATAGTTGAGACAAAGAAGACAAGAAAAAAATAGGCGTTTAAGCGTCTTTAAACTATATTCTTTTATTTTGAATAACAAACTTACTGGCTGTAACCGGTGTCATTGAGCGGATTGGCAAAAAACTTGGTAACATTTCGCAGTTGTTGTCCAGGAATACCAGTGCTCATCACAAGAGTGCTCGTCTGAAGATAATAGTGATAAAATCATTTGATTTTGATAAGCCAACCGGGTCCTGTTTCAAGTTGGAAATGATGCCGGAATAATAGGGATAAGAGCCGTCGACGGATCGATTGTGGACGTTGAAAAGAACATAAGTTTTGCTCAAGTTGTCAGTCGGAGTGATGGTTTCACGGGCAACGACGTCGTAAACTTGGAAGTTTGAATCTTGAAAATAATAATATTGTTGGAGACTTTTTCTCAAAATAACGTTTTTGAAAGGTTTCTTGATTTCAGAGCTGCCCTAAATTAAAGAATGGGACTGCCAAAATTTGGGACTGCCAAAACTTAGAACTGCCAGTGGGAATGCCAAAACTTAGGACTGCCAGTGGGACTGTCGAAATTCAAGACTGCCAGTGGGACTGCCAATTTCAGGACTGCTGGTGGGACTGCCAAAACTTAGGACTGCCAAAGTTTAGGACTGCCAGTGGGACTGCCAAATCTTAGGATTGCCAATGGGACTGCCAAAACTTAGGACTGCCAGTGGGACTGCCAAAACTTAGGGCTGCCAGTGGGGCTGCCAAAACTTAGGACTGCCAGTGGGACTGCCAAAACTTAGGGCTGCCAGTGGGGCTGCCAAAACTTAGGACTGCCAGTGGGACTGCCAAAACTTAGGGCTGCCGGTGGGACTGCCAAAACTTAGGACTGCCAGTGGGACTGCCAAAACTTAGGACTGCCAGTGGGACTGCCAAAACTTAGGGCTGCCGGTGGGACTGCCAAAACTTAGGACTGCCAGTGGGACTGCCAAAACTTAGGGCTGCCGGTGGGACTGCCAAAACTTAGGACTGCCAGTGGGACTGCCAAAACTTAGGGCTGCCGGTGGGACTGCCAAAACTTAGGACTGCCAGTGGGACCGTTTTTCTTTAGCGAAGCATCCAATTAAAAAATCCTCAAACCTTGAGCTTGAGCCGCGGTCGTGACATACAACTGGCCAAAAAGCTTTTTCGTGATTGTATTGTTGTTAGAAGTTGTTATGAAAACACCTCCCGTGACCTTCAAACCAATCTTCCTGCCAGAACTACCAGAAAAAAATCGGTTCGAAATATCCAATGCACTAAAATATTGATCAGAGTTGAGCCAAGTAGAAAGTTACCGACTTGAATGTTGATCCAGCAGTAACGATTTGAATATTCTTGAGATAAGTGGGATCGTCACTGGAGGAAACGAATAAAAAGGCGCCGTCTTCAACGTTATTCACTGATGATTGGAACTCGGAGCTGAACGAGGAGAGTCGCAAAATGTGTTGACCATTGATTTCGATGACTGGAAAATTATATTTTGTAAAAGTTATTGTTTTGACTAGAGAACCTGCCAACGAAAGGAGCAAAAAGTGTAGGTAGAACCGCATTTTTGCAGACCTGCCGCGTTATCTTCGGCATGCCATTCTTTTATATTCCCCTTTGCTATCGGGGCAGACCGATTGAAAACGAAATTATTTGACATCATGGTGACTAACGTACTTGAATGGGGGGACTGAGATAAGGTTTTTGGTTTTTTCGTGTAGGTTGTATTTTTTTGTCATCCTCGCGGTTGTGCAATATTGCATAGGGAATTTTTGAATTTAGTGAAATTTATTCTGCAGTAAACTTAAAGTCAGCTTTTGAGAATGGTTCAATTTTTTGTGATACGTTGACATATGTACATAAAAATTATTTCTGTCACAAATATTTTTTCTTAAATCTTCACTTCGCCGTTTCTGGAAGACTTTATCATGATTGAACCTGCCAAGTTCTTTCAATTTATGAAGAATGATGTATGATTACTTTAGAAAAAATATATAAGAATTATTTTAACTCGAGTTGATTCGCCTTACTTTTAAGCAGTAATATATATGGCAGAAACGTTCTTTTTTCAGTGATTCATAATCTTTTTTCGCAGTGTTTACCTGGTGATCACAACACAAACTTCATCCGACTGACTACAAGCTAAATTTGAGTAAGTTAGTCATAGATGATAGATCACTGATTATTTCTAAAAGTATCGTTTTCAGCTTTCCAGACAGATAGGAAACCCAAATATAAAAGAATGACATGCCAAAGATAACGCGGCAAATTTGCAAAACGGCGAAAATGCGTTTTTACCTGCACATTTTGCTCCTCTCGTTTGCAGGTTTGTTTAAGTAGTTCAAAAATTTCGAAAATTCGATATTTTTTTAGCGGTAGTGAATGGTCAACATATTTTCCGGCTTGCATCCTTCAGCTCTGATGTTAAATCGACGCTGGCTAACGTCGAGGAAGGCTCATTCCTGTTTATTTCCTCCAGTGATAACCCCAATTATCTCAAGAACATTCAAATTGAAACCGCTGGATCCTTCTACAAGTTGGCAATATTTTACTCTCCTCAATACCAATTAAAATTTCAGTGCGTTGGATATTTCCACGCGAATGTTCTCTGCTTCGTCGGGGCGAAAAATCGGATTGAAAGTTCTGCGCGGCTTGTCGATAACGACTACAAATAATAATACAATTTCTAGCAAGCTTTTTGGACAGTTGTACGTCACTACCGCAGCTCAGGCTCAAGGTTTGAAGATTTTTGAAATTTTTGATGTTTTACGAAGATTTGGCAGTCCCAAAAGCAGCACCAAAACGGTTTCTAAACACTTTGGCAGTCCTAAAAGCAGCACCGAAACGGTTTCTAAACAGTTTGGCAGTCCTAAAAGCAGCACCGAAACGGTTTCTAAACATTTTGGAAGTCCTAAAAGCAGCACCGAAACGGTTTCTAAACATTTTGGCAGTCCCAAAAGCAGCCTTATAATGACTTTTGGCAGTCCCAAGCGTTGAGACTTTTTGGTGAATCTTCCCTTCGGCTTTTTTCTTTCTCGAAAAACAAGTTGTGACTTTTCGAAATAACAAGAATATACTTGAAAGTGAAGAAGGTCTTTCGTCCGCTTCCCTTAGATCAGATAATAATCTACAAATAATCACACTAAGGTGGTTAATTTTATTTCAGATCCCAACTTCCTCGTTTATGACGTCGTTGCCCGTGAAACCATCACCCCGACTGACAATTTGAGCAAAACTTATGTTCTTTTCAACGTCCATAATCGATCCGTCGACGGCTTTTATCCGTATTATTCCGGCATCATTTCCAACTTGACGCAGGATCCGGTTTGGAACTTTCTGAGTAAAATTGTTGAATTAATCATTTTAGAACAGCGTCCTTGTGATGAATACAGGTATACCTGGGCAGCAACTTCGAAACGTCACGAAATTCTTCGCGAATCCGCTCAATGACACCGGTGTCAGCCAGTGAGTGTTTTTTTGAGCCTATGAAAAAAATTCGTTCCACACGTTTCAATTATATTTCCAGCTTCTTCACCAACATCGAGCCTCTATCCATTCCCCTACCCGTTTTCTACATTTCTGCAACCCTTAATGGTCCGACTTTCACTATGGAATCTGGATCAAGTACTTTTCATAATCAATAGTGATGAAAGTCTTTCTTTAAAGTCCCAGCGACTACCATCAACACAACCGCCGTATCGACTTCTGGCTTGATTCTGGTCAACGACGACGAACTCGCTCAGAACTACACTGTCAATTTGAACGCCGATCCAGCTTATGATGGCGTCTGCGGATTTTTGGTTTGTTCAGGTAATCTAACATAAGTTTCTCTGTTCCAGTACGTCTCGGACCTGGTCGACAATGTCGAAGCTGACGGTTTCTTCTACGGAGCCGTTTTGTTCGCTGGCTTCAAGTGAGAAGAAGAGCTTTTTATTTGAATTCTTGGGTTATGAATTCCAGTTACGACAATACTGAGCCGTATGCTTCGCGGGAGTATAAATTCTACGCCCAGCAGCTCGGAATCAGGCCAACCTCGCCTAATATGGGCTTTTATAGCTTCCAATATTATAATATAAGTAAGTTGAGAGTTCTATACAAGAACAAAAAAAAAGATTTACATGAACTATCTCAACTTTTCCTTTCCAGAAGGAGCCCTTCTACCTACACCCCCTACCCCGCAGACGAATCAACCCACGAACCCAGCAACTTCGAGAATTCCTATCACTAGTACAACACAAAAAGCCATAATTCCCACCACGACCAAATCCGCTGATTTCAAAACGTTCTCCATTTTACTGGTTTTCTCAGCAGTTTTCCAGCGCCTCTTCTGAAGATCTTGAAGATTTGGATTTACGTGTTTTGTTGTAAATATGGGTATTTTTTTTTTCTACAATAAATTTTCTTCTGTTTTCAAATCAGCGTTTCTGAAAGCTTAGGCGACATTCACGATGGTGTAGGTGTGAAGCATTTTTTTTTTTAATAATTCATTAAAGCTTAGAATGTCGTCTACATCTTAGAACTACTCTATATAAGCTGCCGATAATACTATAGACACAAAAAACCCGAATCTTTATTTCCAACCCTTATCTGAGTGTCCCTATTCAAGTGCGTTAGTCACCATGACGTCGAATTTCGTTACGGCCGATAGCACAACGAAATATAAAAGAATGGCCCGCCAAAGATAACACGATCACTCTTTTCGAACAAAAAAATGCGCTCATCCCTACACTTATTGCTCCTTTCTCTGGCTGGTTTGAATGGAAAAAATTATAAAAATTCATCTTTTTTCTAGCCGGAATCAATGGTCAACATATTTTCAAACTGTCCACCTTCAAATCGGAACTCAAATCGACGCTGACAAATGTGGAAGATGGCGCCTTTCTATTCATTTCCTCCAGTGATGATTCTAACTATCTCAGGAACATTCAAATTGAAACTGCTGGAACTCAATTCAAGTGATTGCCATTGCTCATTCCTTTGATAACGATTAGAAATTCAGTGCATTGGATATTTCTAATCGATTTTTCTCCGGTACATCAGGACGGAAAATTGGATTAAAAGTTCTTCGTGGCTTGTCGATAACGACTACAAATAATAATACGATTTCTAGCAAGCTTTTTGGACAGTTGTACGTCACTACCGCAGCTCAGGCTCAAGGTTTTGAAGATTTTTGGAATATTTGGCAGTCCTAAAAGCAGCACCAGAACGGTTTCTTAACATTTTGGCAGTACTAAAAGCAGCACCAGAGTGATTTTCGTTAGCTATTCCTATTGGATCGACTTAAGTTTTAGCGCCAAATTTATCATTTTATAACCATAAATATTGACGTGAGCTCCAGCTAGGTCAATCTGATATCCGATTAGTATTGAAGAAAATTTTCTTCCTATTCAACCCTATTCAGATCCGAACTTCCAAGTTTACGACGTCGTTGCCCGTGAAACCATCACTCCGACTGATAATTTGAGCAAAACTTATGTTCTTTTCAATGTTCACAACTACTCTGTCGACAGCTCCTACCCTTACTATTCCTGCATAATTTCCAACTTGAAACAGGACCCGGTTCGGAACTTTCTGAGTAAAATTGCTGAAGTAATCATTTTAGAACAGCATCCTCGTGATGAATACCGGTATACCTGGACAGCGATTACGCAATATTACCAAATTTTTTGTCAATCCTCTCGATGAGATTGCTTTTGGGCAGTGAGTGTCGTTTTCCTTTTTGAAGCCGCACAAGAAAATAAGAGACCGAACCGCGCTCAGGAAAAGTCTAGCCACTGGTCAATCGGGAGGTCGATACAAGTAGGTACCGGGTAGTGACTTGAAGTCAATCGGTGGTCGTTTGTATGTGACCGGGTACCATCTCTCTCGTACCTGAATACTACCGGCAAGGTATCGGAATGCTACCGAGTAAGAATCCTGACCAGCGTATGCTTTCCGGCACCATGAAAGTAGCAAATAAGTACTGCCCGGTAGCTACCTCACGAGCGGTCGCTATCCGGTACCTACTTGCATCGACCTCCCGATTCACCTTTGGCATTTGTAAGAGGGATTAGACACAGAACAACACTCGTTCCAAACCAACTGTTGCACACTTCTCAATTATATTTTTCAGCTTCTTCACGAACATCGAGCCTCTATCCATTCCTCTACCCGTTTTCTACATTACTGGAACTCTAGGTGGCCCAACTTTCACCATGGAATCTGGATCAAGTACTTTTCACATCAATAAATAGTGATGAAAGTCTTTCTTTATAGTCCCAGCGACTACCATCAACACAACCGCCGTATCGACTTCTGGCCTGATTATGGTCAACGACGACGAAATCGCTCAGAACTATACTGTTAATTTCAACGCCGATCCAGCTTATGATGGAGTTTGTGGGTTCATGGTAAGCTTCTAGAAGTTGAATGAAGTTAAAAAGAAACATTTGAAGACAATTTTCTTTTTTCAGTACGTCTCCGAATTGCTCAAAGGTGTCGAAGTCCAGAGCGGCCTTTATGGCCTCAAAGGCGGATTCACTGGCTTCAAGTGAAAAACTTTCTTTTTGAAATGAAATAAATTGTAAGTTGCAGTCTTGATGACGGGCTCTCTTATGCTGCTGGCGAGATGGAAGGTTACGGACGGATGGTCATGGTTAATGCTACCGCGCCAAATATGGGTTTCTACAGCTACCAATATTATAACTTGAGTGAGTTGAAAACAAACGAAACAATCAGAAATGTCTCTTCTTCTTGAAAAACCTGAACACTCCTACTACTAAGAACTTACTTCTTTAAAAACTTTCTGAGACAAATTCTGTGACAAATCTTTTTTCCTCTGGATCAGAAGGTCACTTTGAAGCTCTTAATCAATAAGAAAGCCTTGCTGATCTTCATATCACACAGGAACTTTCTTATTGTATTTTTCAGGAGGAGCGCTTCTGCCTACACCTTCTGCAACGCCGACAAACCCACCCACAAATCCCGTAACTTCAAAAATTCCTACCATTACGACAGAAAAGGCCATTATTCCCACTACGACCAAATCTGCTCACTTTGAAACATTCTCCATATTATTCGTTGTCCCCGTCTTTTTTCAGCGCTTTTTCTGAACATTGTTTGAACTTGATTTACGTGTGCTTTATAAATATGGGTATAGTTTTAAAATGAAACTGAAGTCCGTTTTTCTGTTCAAAACGTTTCCCTGTAGTTCAAGCTCAAGCCTTGCAAATTTTAAAAACTGTTGGAAGTCCACGTAAAGTTCTGGCAGTACCATGAGCGGCTCCAAAAAAAGTTCTAACATATTTTCTCCAAAGATTATGGGTGAAATGGGACTTTTTTGAGCCAACAAAAAGTTTAGCTCCCTTCATATCCAACTCAGAGTCTCGACTGTTACTTCATGAAAACCAGCTCAGGTTATTTAAAAGGGAGGTCGTTTCAGTTGGGATTTTCCAGAAAATCGGCCAGAACGCCCCTTGATGTACCAGAAGAAGCTTCGGAAGGTCTCAACCTGCACAGTTCCCCCGTTTTTAAGAAAAGACGTCTAGAAATCAACGGAAACCGTCGAAATCCAATAAAATATTAGGATCAGTTCCGAGAAGCTGGCCAGTTCCTAGAGTCTTTTGTGATGAATACCGATATTCCTTTACAGAAACTTTGCCATGTTACCACATTAATCCGCTCATGGCGTCGTTTTCAAACAGCCATGGACTTTTGAACCACAAAAAAAACACAAATAAAATTTATCAAAGCGAAAACAGAAAGATCCTCAACAATGTGAATGATACAAGAGGCAAAAAAACACTCGTTCCGAAGGACGTATTGCACATGTCTCCCTTGCAACAGCACAGACTTCCATCAGGAAGACAATCCTCCGCGAGACAGTCGATTCGTGTCGGAACTCCTTGTCCACTTATCTTTCCAGCCGTCTTCGAGCAACCTTTGGCGCTGACTCCGTTGGAGGAGAGCTGCAAAATTCTGAGAATCAAGCAGACCAAAACAATTCTCACCCGGACACAGTAATCATCCCCGTTTTGGCACTTGTCAACACCACCTCCTATGTCCAAACTTGACACACTCGATTTCGCTTCGAAGGCACACCTGTAATATAAGAAGAGAGTAAACCTAAAAAAAATCACAAAAAATGATTGCTGTACAAGTTTGTATTGCAGATCTGGTATAGTCTGTGTGCCAAGACATGGAATTTCACCGAACGACATTCCGCTGTTCCGCTGCGTCGCGAAGCGTCTTTACGAGCCTTGGTCTCGCCTTGGATCGCTTCTCATTTCTGATAGATGGACTGTTCCACTAGGAACACGTTTTGGCCGAGTTCTTAAATAAAAGGAAAAATTAAAAGCGCGCAAAGGCACGCAGCGAAACAGCGGAATGTCGTTCGGTGAAATTCCGAATCGTGGTGAACAGACTATAGGAAGTATTTTTTATTGGGTAAAAGCACAAAAAAACCCTTACTTCAAGGAGAGGACGCCTGTAGATAGCATCACAACTAGGAGAATCTTGGGAAGCATCCTGAAAAGTGTACTGAAACATGCCTTGAAGCAGTTCAATCATCACGTCGGACTGTTTCAAGAAGGGGCAAAAAATTACGTTGCAAGAACTTTCCTCGCCTGGCAAAGGTGGTTGTTCTCCTCCAAGAAGACCGTTTTTATAGCAACATACCTGAAAGGTACGGCGCGATAAAAATTGTTCAAATAGGGAGAATCTGGAGTGGAGAATTTACTTTACAAAAACGTGAAGCAAGAAAAAAAAAGACGCGAATAAAAATAAACAAATGTGTCTCAAAAAGCTTGAACATTCTGAGCTAACTTGAATTTTTTTAAACCATAGTTTATTCATTTTCAGCTGAACCTCTTCTGCCGACACCATTTTTCACGCTATTCTAATAATTTTCAGTAGCCCTTCTATTCAAACACTGAAAGCCATGACTCTCATCAAACCCAAATCTGTTGGTTTCAAAGCTTTTCCCACTTCCTCCCTAGTTTCTGCGACTTTTCAACGCTTTTTGAAAACAAAAATTCGAAACATTTTTCACGGCGTTTTGGTCCATACTTAGGAATTTTTAGAGTGATCCCGATAGGGGTTAGAGATCGCAAAAGTGGTCCCTATAGGGGTAAAATCAACGTGGCCCCTATATGGGTTTAGGGTCTGTCCTCTTAGCCCCTAAAAGCTTAATTGGTCCCTATAGGCGTCGTTCAACTTTTATTCGAAAAACGATTATTTATATAGTTTTTCGCATGGAAATGCTTCATCGCATAGTGTTCATAAAAATTATCGATTAGAATGTCCCTTATAGGGGCCACTAACTAAAATTCCTCAAGGGACCACTTTTGCAAGCTCTAGAGGCCCCTATAGTGGTTGGTAGAGTGATCTCTAGAGAGGACCATCCAAGAGCCCTTAAAGTTGCCCCTATAGAGACCACTCTGGAGTTCTTAAGTATGAGTCATTTCCTTCCAAAAATGAAGTTCCTACTTAAAACGGTCAATGAAACCTTATTGAATAATGATTTCAACGAAATTCCGGAAGGAATGCGGCAGGCAACCAAAGGTCTATTTTCAAAATATCATACATTTTTCCTCGGTGAAAAGAGGGAATAACAGGGATGAATGGTCCTTGTAAACATTTTCTTTGTACAAAAAGGCAAATGTTGGTGACTCAAAATTGCATTGATAAAATCGGTGATGAAAGGTTTTTTTTTCGAAGAAACGTGCCAAAGTGGTTCTTCGGGAAAAAAATGCTTTCACCTTTCATTTTTTTTTCTGGAACCTTGAAAAACCGTTCTTGATTTTTTTCCTTCTCATTCAGCTAAAATCTTATTTTCTTTTAAACATGCTTCGATTGATAAGAACTGCCTATTTTTCTTCTCTGAATTCTTTTCAATGGATCTTTGTTAATCTCCACCCAAGAGCCGCAAAGTTCGAAAATGATTCAAAAAGGAATACCTACGCATCGGAAACGACGGCCGTAAAACTTCAAACCTCCTTCACCGGCCTCCTTTCATGTCGATGTGTCATAAAGTCCGATCCATTTAACTTTGATGAGTAACAACCTTCTTAAACCTCCCACTCTCTTTTTTTGAGTTTCGAAAAGATAAGATAAACTTGGGCGGAGCTTGTGGTCGCCTTTTTCAATAGACCTATAAAGCGGTTAGGTTATACGGAACGATAGGTAAATTGGAAACTTTTTTTTCCAGACTTCATAGTTATTCCTTAGGTGGCCTTCTGCTTGTTGAAAGTTTTTTTCTTGCTGAACACATTTCTTCGATTTTTCGAACACTCCAAAAAAAACTGAAAAGCCTCTTCCTAATAAAAAAATTATTTCAGAATGCTCAATTTTTCAACAATCGCCTTATTTTTGGCTGCCACTGCCGCCAACTCGCTCATCATCCCATTCTCTTCGCTTACAAATAAGCTAATTTTCAAAAACGGCTCTCAGCTTTTTGTTTCGTCAGAAGAACCTCTAGCCACACTTCAAAAGATTGTTTTCTACAACTCGGTCGAAAACAAAACGTAAGTTTAAAATTTCGAAGTTCAATCAATAAATTAAAGATCACAAAACGGCTTAACTACCCGCCCCCCTTTTTTAGAAAGAGGAATCTTGACAGCCCGTGTACTAAAAATAGATTTTGAAGTTTTGGTAGTCCTAACTACAGCAAAAAAACAAACTTTAAGCAGTCCCAAAAGCAGCTAAAAAAATACGGTTATGGAAACCCTTATTTCTATTCAACTTAATTTTCCATCTAACTTCTTAACTCTAGAAAATTATACTCTAGCCACCCAGCATTTTTTGAACTCAGTGAAATCCAGAAAATTGGTTGTCTTCAGAGCCTGGGACATCTCGCAATCGTCGGCCGGGAAAAATGGGCAAATCAGCGAGAAAATCGGCTACATTCTGCCGGACGACTCCCAGCTCTCCATTACCGGCGTCGATATTCGAAGAATTGACGGATTTGTCTACGTCATCGCTCCCGAAGACGTCTCCACTAGTGATTCTAATTGAATGACCACAGAAAAACTATCAATTCAGGCGGCACTTTCCACGTTTACGACGTAAAAAGTCGAGCTGAATCGTTTGTTATGAAGGACATTGTCAGCACGAACGTCTTCTTCTCAACGTATAAGCCGACTACTGATGCATCTATTCCTGCTTATTCTGCGGTCCTGAGTAACTTCAACTACCCTTCTGTAAGTTTACTCCATTTATATAAAAATTGAGAAAGAAGGAACTTGAGAAATGAATCATTTTTTAGACTACTAAAATCTCCATTTACTATGGCGAGCCTTCGGCTGCTAATGAGGCTTCTCGATTGCTTTTCGACAGTTCTCGTAATAATGGGTACGTTAAATCTTGAAAAAATGATCTATTATTGATTTTTTACGATCTTTATGGTAAAATCTGATCTTTTTCAGGAACACCAAAATTCAAAGTTTGACGATTCCTCTCGGCAACTTTTACGTCAAAACTAGCGGCGGCCTCTGTTCTTTCGACATTCGACAAGATTACAGTGAGTATTTTCTTTGATGGAGGTCTCTTTAGAAAAAACGGAAGACTTTTTGAATCACAAGAGTTGAAATCTGCTTTTCTTTATGAAACTTAAATAATCATAGTTTTTGAATAATCGATTACTAACTAGAAAGGTGAGAAGATTCAAAACCTGGTTTTTCGAGATAGAATGATTTTTGAAGTTGGCGGAGCAGCTCCAAAAAGAGTCCTGAATAAGTTCTGCAGTCGAACTTCATAGGGGAGTATAGAAGGCAGCTTCAAGTTTTGGCAGTCCCAATCTCAAAATTTTTGGCAGTCCCAAGAGCAGCTCCAATCAGAGCTCCGAAATTTTGGCAGTCCCAATCTCGAAATTATCCAAAAGTTTTAAAATATTTGGCAGCTGCAATCACTGCTTTCAAATTTTGGCAGTCCTAATCTCGAAATTATCCAAGAGTTTTAAAATATTTGGCAGTCCCAAGAGCAGCTCCAATCACAGCTTTAAAATTTTGGCAGTCCCCATCTCAAAATTATCTAAGTTTTAAAATATTTGGCAGTCCCAATCTCAAAAATCATCTAAAGTTTTAAAAATATTTGGCAGTCCCAAAAACAGCTCCAATAACAGCTCCGAAATTTTGGCAGTCCTAATCTCGAAATTATCTAAAATTTTTCTAAAGTTAATAAACGGGTACCAACGCGCACAATGGAAGAATCACTGAATCATTTCAGACCCTGTGACGAAATCTTCGGCTTTGACGACAATGGGCGCCTTAGTCAGCCAAAACTATCCGAACACTGAAGTTGATGCAATGGAGACCAATGAAGTCTCTTTTGAAAACCCAAATCTTCTCAATGTCACTATTACTTTCAATGTAAGTGAAAGGACTCACGAAAAAGATAACCAATACTTTCAGGTCCTTCTGAAAAACCTCAAATCCCTTAAAATAACCCTATTTGGCCCTTCGAACTCCGAAATCTTTAGGTTTGTCATGATTCCTCTCGAACGCCCAATTTTTTTTCTTAAGCTTCACTGATACCGAACTTCCAAACAATCTTGACTCAAACTCAACCTCTGCGGAAGTGACTCGCCAATTCCCCATTCAAAGGATTCGATTCGACTCGCTTGGACCATTTGCCGTTCAGTATAACCTCGAAGGTTGTGTATTTCCCTCAAAATAAATTTTATAAGGAATTTTCAGCTCCCTATGCATCAACTACCGCCGAAGTCATTACAACCACCCGATCCAGTTCTGGAACCAGTCTTCTCACTCTCTTCGGCTCCCTCTCCCTCCTGACTCTTTTGAAATAATTTCTTATTGGCTCAAAATTCTATTTTGTACTCTTCACGGGTTACAACTTATTTGCATAACAATTCGCTTTTTTTGAATATTAAATTTTTCCGATAAAAGTTTATTTCCAGACTAAATTTTCATTGACACACATCGCCCTTCCCTTTCTGATTTTTCTCCTATGGACTGATGAACTTTATTCAAAAAATCATTTTTTTAAATGATGAGCAGAGAAGACTTTGATTTTTAAATAATTTTGAAAAAGTTTTCAAGCAAAAAATACAAACCGACTGGCGTTACGGTAAAGACATCTTTTCGCCTTTTTTTCTGGTCCTCGGATACTGATCGAAGAAAGGCGGTCGCTTGATGAACGACGCCGCGGCGGCGGCAACGAGGAAGTAAAATTCCGCAGTTGGAACGAGTGGACCGGCCCTCGTTTGTACTGATTAAAAGAAGGCGGCGCCATGGGACCGATAAGTCGACGAATAAGAACCCACAGCTGGCCAACGGTCCGGCATCTTTATTTATTTATATCTGAAACAAATACTCCGTTTTTTAATTTCGAAAAAATTAACAATTTGCGTTCAAAGTTACTTTTTAGGAATGATTTACGTAGACCAAGTGACCGCGATAAAATAATCAAGTTTCATCCCTTTAATCTACGTTTTTATTTGAATTACAAATCTGCAAATTCACTTCGAACGAAAAATAAAATAAAAATGCAACAAAAAAAGAAACAAATGTTTGATAACTTTTTTATTTAAAGGCGCATGCTTGATTTCATTTCTGCAACATATCAACGAAGAGAGTTTAGTTTTTTTTTAACTCCTTTTTTTTATTCTTAAAATTCTTTTCTTGTTTTAGATTTCATTTATTGTCAGTTTAGAGCTCTTTTAAAGTTTTCTGTGAGTTCTAATGAATCTCAAGTGTTATTTTAATGAGCTCAAACTTTGGAAATACTTTTTGTGTTGATTTATTCCTCCTTTTCCCCTTTCAATTATTTTTTCTTCGGATGATTATTGGAAACTGTGTTCTTTCTGTTCCATGCGATTTGAACCCAATTTCATGTTCGATTAGCAGAACTGAAGCTAAGTATGGTATCTTGCGTTTAATTGGATCTTAAAACGTCTTTTGTGTACCGGCGCCACTATGTCATGAGATATTTCTCCAATTTTCCGTCGCACCCATACCCGTCTTTTGCGCTTTCGGTGAAATATTCAATCAGAAGGATCATTTGATCAATTTCCCAAGTATTTAGGCGCGTTCAAGCGTTTGTTCCTTATCTATTCCTCGATTTATTCATCAAAGACTACTGTAATTCCAGAAATGAGCCTCCAATCTACTTCCAAAGACCTTCCGCACCCAATCGACCGCACTGTCGATCAAAACCGTCCACTGTAAGCTTTCAATCATAATTCATGATCTTTGCATTGATTGCGCGCGCTTTTTATGTAGTGATAAACTTTCTCATTGATAAGCAGCCGTTTACAATCAAATGATGCCCAAAAAAGGAAGAAAATGAGATCTTTTGTTGTTTGATAGAACAAGTTCTTTGGCGCGAAAATACTTCCGCGTTTTGGGCACGGGCCACCCGATTTTTGGCGACGAATTCTTTGGTTTTCGATGCCAAATTTACATTGACGGTTTGTGTTTCGACGCTCGATTAGGCAACGTGGTTTTTGTTTGGTTTTCTTTTTTCTGCAAAAAAGGGGCTGTCTGAGAAGTTAACTGCAAAAGTTCTTCGGTAATGAACAACTTGAACGATTGAAAAAAAGGAAATATAAACTTTAATGGGCAGATTTTTTGAAATCTCAAAGCTTCCTTTGTGGTTCTGTTAAAGATTTATGAGTTTTCGGTTTTATTATTATGAGATTCCTTTTGCGCCTTTTAATCAATTTTCACACCTTGGTATAGGTGATTCACGGCTGGCTTGAGCCATCGAAAAATGGGTCCTGAGACGATAAGAAAAGAGATAGTGTCGGGTTCGTGGAGAGCGCAGACAGGCCACGCCCCCTTAGAGTCCCAAGCTAGCCGTGAATCGGACGCGATTCGGACGGTTCGGAGCATTTCTAGTGACCACTTTAGTAGTGTCAGCCCTCTTAAGTGACCCCTAGAGTTGCTGAGAAGCGTTCGGAGTTACAAAAGTTCGAGCTTTTAGTCAAAAAGCTCTCCTTTTTTGCAAATAAGGACCAGAAAAATGAAGACCAATGTTCTTGACCAACTAAAATCTTGACGATGTTATTTTTTGCCAAGGAAACTCTTAAAGTACGCGGAAGGCTTCGGTTTTTTTTCTCAGTAAATAGATACCGAGGCCTCGTTTTGTGCAATCGTGCATGTTTGCTGCGAGTTCGCCGCTCCGTACACAAACACCGGAGCGAAAAACCGATTCAAAAACGGGCCAAACCGATAGTTTTGAAGCGTCAAAATATTATTATCATGCTCTCCGACGTTCTTCTGCGACTTTTACGATCAAAATCGTTCCGATATTATGCTATTCTGAAGGCTAGAAGGTTTAGTAATGATATTATTATTCACGGGCGAATTTTTGGATTTTTTTTTGAACATCAAGGATCATGCTTTTAAAGGGTTCCGTTTTTTTTTTCTTTTTATAAGTTCCCGACACCATGTCATCGTCTTATCAATCAAAAAATTCTGGTATCAATCAAATTTCTTCCTGTTGTTTTTCCATCCGTTCTTTGTACCATGGGTTATATGGATGCGAAGAAAAAAAAAACGTAAAAGAATAATTTTTTATTGCCCTGACAAGCTTCAAGTCAATGTGTCCAGGGAATTCGAAGAAAAAATAATGATTTTTGTTATCTTGCTTGAAAGTTCAGTAGTGAAAAGCTGACAAGGGAGGTAATTTTGCTTGGGATTCTCTTGGAAACAAGCCAGAAAAATCCTTGATGTACCAAAGGAAGATCCTGGAAGTCTCAACCTGCTTCACGAGAAATAAAGTCCCTAAAATAGCCTATTTTATTCATTTTTCTTTGACTTTAAAGTGTCTTTTCTCAAAAACGAAAAAGTTTTGCGGTTTGAAACTAAGAATTTGCTTCAAGGAACTTTCTGGCCAATTTTCAGGAAAATCCCAACAAAGTGACCTCCCTTGGGAGAGACCTTCCTGACTTTTTTTTTTTATCGAGAAAACTAGTATAAAAGTGAGAAAATGCGATAAATTGAAGATGGTCGGCGATGGTGGCGTCGCTGGTGCTGGGCAACGCTCGCGGACTACTGTACGACGCGACGACGGCGACGCTTCGCGACCTCTGCGACGCCTACCGTCGCGCGCATCTCGCCGGACTTCGCGTCGTCGATTCGCTGCTCGCGACGCGATCCCACGACGCCGAGATCGTCCGATTGAGGGCCAGCGGATGCTTGGCCATCCGGTCGGTTTTTATTTTTGAACGGAAAAAATTATAACTTTTGGTTTTTGGGTTTTTGAGCGTCATGGAGAAGGTTTTTGGTAATGATCCAAGAATCGATAAATCTGAATTTTTTGAAGGTATAAAAGCTTGACCATGAAGTTGGAGCCCTGAGAATTTTCCTTTTTGGCCCCTTTTCAAGGTCTTCAATTTATTTTTCAAACTTCAATTTGTATCTTCCCCTGCTTATACCAGAAGTATAGAAAAACTTTTATTTTTTGTCACGGTTCAATTTTTTTAAATTTTTTCTATTCTGCACTTTCCAAGACCAATCAATTTTCACTGAACAACCTAACTTCATTTTGCCGAATTTTCCTTTCCCTGCTGATACCAGAAGTATATAAAAACTTTTATTTTTCAATTTTCCAAAATTTTCTCCGCACTTTCCAAGACCAATCAATTCACTGAACAACCTTTTTCGCTCATGCGTCATGACGACCCGATTATCATTATCTTTCGTTGTTTTCCTCTCGTTCTCTAATCTTTTGAGCAAACAGTATGCGAAACACGCGAGCAACCTTGGGACTTCTTATCAAGTTTTTTGAATAATTATTAATTGAGTCGGCCGGATTAAAATCGGAATGAGGAACTAATTTTGTTCGCCTTTGCTTTTGCAAAAAGAACAGAAATTAAAAAAAAAGGCGATAAAACCGATTTCCCTTCAGTGGCTACTTGACCGTTGTACATTACTTTTCTGAAAATGAAAAGATGTTAGATCTTACAGTATCCTGAAATGTTTACTGTCTACTCTTGAGTTAAGCAAAACTTACTCATTTTTTCGAAGTTTGGAGTTTTTGTCCCATCAGACTGAAAAGAATTTGAAAAAAACAGTGGCATGGGTTCAAGATTTCTAGAGTGGTCCCTATAGGGATTAGAGGGAAGAACAGCTCCTATAGTAGCCGAAAAAGTGGTCCCTATAGGGGTAAAATCAAAGTGGTTCTTACAGAGGTTCAGGGTCTGACCCCTTAGCGTTAAAAGCTTAAGTGGTCCCTAAGGGGATCTAAATTCAGTTTTTTTGCCTGAAGTTTATAAAATTTATCGGCTAGCATGTACCCTATAGGGGCCACTAGCTAAAACCCCTAAAGAGACCACTTTTGCAAGCTTTATTGTCCCTTGTCCCTACAGGGGCCACTCTGCAGATCCTAAATAATTAATGTGCAAAATCAAAAAATTAGGACCTTCCCTACAGTATCCCGAACCATCTCCTTGTCTTCCCGAAACTGCAGAGAACCAACTAATTTCGGCGCTGGGTGGTGTGAGATTTTCTCTCTCTCGAATTCGACTTCCGAGGCCATTTTTCTCTCGCACTTCCTTTCTTTCTCTGTCAATCACCCCCAAAACGATCTGTTGCTGAAAAGCTTATCAATTCCGAGATTTACTTCCTCGTTCAGTCGTACTTTTTTCCTGTTGGTCATGGTTTCTGATGGAAAGGCTTAGGAGATGGACAAGGAAACATGGTTGATGACTTTTTTTTGATGACAAGAATAAAGATCATGATGAGAGGTTGAATATGAGAAGGCTGAAGCTTATAAAACATTAATAATTAATTTTGACTTTAAAAGTTGAATTTTCCCTATAGGGGCGGAAAAAGTGGTTCCTGGTTCCTACAGGGGGTTTCGGGTCGGACCCCTTAGCCCCTGAAGTTTAAGTTGTCCCTGAAGGGGTCTTTCAATTTCATTAAAAAGCTTTTTTAATTTGTTTTTTGCATGGGAATACTTCTTAGCTTAGAGTTCATAGCAGTTATCGACTAGCATGACCCCAATAGGGGCCACTTATGCAAGCTTTAGTGGCTCCTATAGGGGTTGGTAAAGGGTCCCTAGAGGATATCGTCCGAAGGCGTCTAAGGTATCCCCCATAGGGACCACTCTGGAGATCCTAAGAAAGTAAAAGAGTGATATCAAAAAAACAAAACAAAAAATTTCCATTTTGAGTTTCCGACTTTTCAGAGAGCCCGACGCGTTCATGGAGCAGTTCACCCAGGTTCCAACCGAAGTCCTGGACCTCGTTTTCCAGAGGCTCCGCAGTGCTGACATTTGCCGCGTTCAGCAAGTCTCCCATCATTGGCGCAACCTTGCCCTGTGAGAATCACTCTTTTCTGAACAAAAATAGAAAATCGTGGGTCTGAAAAATCTGAAATGAACAGAAAAACTTCTCTCGGCTTGTCTTATACTTTCATACGCTGATAGGATTTTTTTCTAGACTTGGTTTTAAAATTCATAAATAATACTAGTAGGTTTATTCACTGCATACGATGAGAAAATGTAGTTATAAAAATACAGAAAGGAGCGGTAGAATAACCAGCATCCTTAACCGTCAGTTCCATACCGGTCCTGAGAAAATATCCAGTGGCCACTATAGCGTTTTGACGTTTTAGTGACCACTGTAGTAGTCAAATTAGTGGCCACTTAAGGAGGTAAAAATTAGTGGTCACTATAGAGGTCTAAGTGCTACTACTAGACCACGAAAAATTTTAATGGCCACTTGAGGGGTCAATGGAACTGGTCCAGTCTGTTTGTTTTAAAGTTATCAGAGTTACTGGAAGGATTGCTGGATGAAAAAATACTGAAGTGGTCGTTAAATAGAGAACTTCTATAGTGGTCACTAAATTAGAAATTAGTGGCCCCCATAGAGGTGGGTTCAGTGTCCTCTCCAAGTAGTCCTCGGCGAGCCTCTATAGTGGCCACCAAAAATTTGTTTCCACTTTTTAAGCCCTGAAAGGAACTTAGAAGTATTCTAGATATATTTTATTGTTTGAAATGGTTCAAAAATTGAAAAATTCACTGATTACTGCGCAAAACTTCACAATGAGTAGCGTGTTTCCAAGGAGAAACTTTTTTTTCGTGAAAGGTTTCATTTTCCTTCTTTCCAGTGCAAGAAGAAGCAAATACGCAAAACGGGAACTTGGCTCTTTGACAATTGACTACAATAAGAAAATCACAAGGATTTCGGACTGTACTGGATCGATTGGCATCTTTGGCGGCGCCCTGAAGTTCGTTTTTCAATGTTTAATCACTTGTCTGATTTCCCAATGAATTGTGGAGATGAACCGAAAATTTCAGCTAGGAATAAAATTAAAAATATTGTTTTTTTCAGAAAAAGTGTACCCCAACGAGCTGGTGCCAGGCTACGAGAACCTTCGAATCGCCTCCCTGGATATTAATGTCCATGGCCTGAATGATGACGTCACGCCGCTTCATCTTGATGACGTCGACGCTCGCGCCGTCAAAATCTACTTTTATATAAATCTTCACAGCGAGAAGGAGTGAGTTTATCATGTATTTTTGGACATGAAAAATCAGTTTTGGTGATTTTTCGGATATTTTTTTTATTTCTGTTGAAAAATTTAAAGGCGCAGAACGGGATTTTTACTTGTTCATCTCTTTTTCAAAAATCGTATTCACATACCTGAGAATATTAAGGTAATAAAAAAGGGTTTTGACTGAATTTAATTAGTTTACCTATGACCTGAGATTACAAATTGGGATAGCAAGATTTAATATAATATATTAAATCCGATTTTAATTCTCAAAATTTGCAGACGAGTTGAGCTTCTGGTGTCAGCCGTGACGTCAAATCCGCGAGTTCAACGGATTTCCTTCGTCTCCTTCGGCAACGGCTCCGAATTCCCGAAATGGTTCCAAGAACTTATTCAAGATAAATCCGACATCGAACTCAGTTGTTATTAGATTTTTCTCCAGTTATAAGGAGCCTCTTGAGGGTTTTAAATGGTCCCTGGAGTATTTTTGTAGTTCCTGACTTTTTTTGTGGCTCTGGTAGTTCTACAATTTTTGAAAAAGGATACCCTTAAGTGATCACTTGATGTATCTTCTTCCTCTCCTATGTATCTAAGTTTGGATCCTCCTCTTAATGTTCACTACAACTTTTCAGGAAGACCCTATAGTGACCAATATTATTCTCACAAAGTACCATTAATAATCCTCGTTGCAATATCAAACCAATTGATTGTATATATTTGACCCCTTGCCAATATCCGGGTTTCTTTTTCAAACTTCAAAAAAACTTTTTTTTGACAAAGTTTTATTAATGCGTAAAAAAAGAAGAGATATGTAAAACAAACGTGTCGCAATAATGTATAATAAGACTGAAGCATATTCCGTGTATAAAAGGGGTAGAGGTTAATCGACCAAACAATCGAAGTGACCAAGTTCGACGAAAGACAAGAATTGAAGAACTCGTAGAGGGATCACCTCATTGATAAAAGACTGGATCTATCATACAAAATTAGGTAATTAGGATGATCAAGACCGACATATAACAAAAATCATGAATAAGTATCACAAACGGGGAAATTATATATAGTTTCAGGACTTCAGTTCTGCTGGTTGTTCTGGCTCGGAGGCAGCATCGGGAATCCGAATGGGAACATTGGCATCGGCATTGGCATCAGGCTGAGAGCATTGCCTGCAAAATAATCATTGAAATTTCGGAAAAAGAGTAAAGGACTACAGAAAAAGGTTGAGAGGGTGGAAGTATGAAGAGAGTCCGGAGAAACGAGAGGTATCATTACAGCTACCAAAAAGCTCTCTTCATCCAAAAGCTTGAAGTTTCTTGATACCATCAAGAGAAGCTCCAAAAGACGGAGAGGTGCTGCTTTTGGGACTGCCAAAATTTTATCAAATTTTTGGTGCTGCTTTTGGGACTGCCAGAATTTCATCAAACTTTTTGGGGCTGCCAAAATTTTTTATTAATTTTTGGTACTGGTTTTTGGGACTGCCAAATTTTTCATCAATTTTTTTGGGACTGCCAAAATTTTTTATTAATTTTTGGTGCTGGTTTTGGGTATGCCAAAATTTTCATCAGTTTTTTGGTGCTGCTTTTGGGACTGCCAGATATTTCATCAAATTTTTTGGGACTGCCAAAATTTTATCAACTTTTTTTGGTGCTGCTTTTGGGACTGCCAAAATTTTTATCAGTTTTTTTTTTGGGACTGCCAAATTTTCATCATTTTTTGGGACTGCCAAATTTTCATCATTTTTTGGGTATGCCAAAATTATCATCAATTTTTGGTGCCGCTTTTGGGACTGCCAGAATTTTCAAAGTGTTTCAATGCTCCTATCGCTGAACAACCATCTCGTTTTCATAGAATCTTTTCAATTTTCAAAACCAAGCCCCCTTTCAAATCCTTTCTCAAACCAAAAAAGCAAATCACCATTGTTGAAGTTCTGGTTGGCCGTCATGTTGGCAAAGTTTTGCTGCATGGTGAGCATCCAGCGGATGTATTCCATCTGCATGTTCGACATCTGCATGTAGTTCGCATGAGGGACCGCGACGGTTAAGGCCGATGGATCGTTCAAGTTCGGCATCATTGCTGGGAAATTGGCAGCTGCAAAAGTGGGAATGTAAGTAATTTGGTCTGAAAAATGAGGAAAAATTTGAGAAAGGATTTTTCATTTTTTAAGTTTTTTTAAGGTTCTTATACTTCTATAATTAACGACAATGCTTGAGAAAACCTACCGAACGGATTCATTGGCGGAAAAACAGTCTGTGGCGCTACCGGGGACGGAAAAATGCTCGATGGCGGAGTCGTTCCGACCGCGTGGAAGGCACTGGATTTGCCTGAGACTCCGACTTCCGGAGCGATCTTCAAAATTCTTCCATCTCATCAAATTTTCAACCATCTCCTATTACCTCCGGACCGAAATCAGTTTCCCGCGAGAGAACCGGCGGCGAATCGGAATCGGCATGAAGTGAGAGAGCCGGCGACGGCGTCGATTCCGAAGACTTATCGACCGATTTCGTGGCGATTTCCGGGGCCGTCATCTTGTAATGCTGCATGAACTTTTGCACCGATTTGGTCTGCAAAAATTGAAGCTGAATAAAAATCTGTCGCAGTGGATAGCACTCTAGTCTATGGCATAGGAGGATGAAAGTTCGGTTCCAAAGCAGAAAGTCAAAAAACTCAGCATTACGGATAAAGATCAAAACGTTGTATCCTAATCAAGAGGACATCAAAAACGTGGGAAATTTCTTAAAATTTTAACGTTCATAGCTTTTTTAAAGCTTTAGCGCAGCAAAGAAAGAACTTGTCTAAGGTCCAAAGGGTCACAGGTTCGACCCCAGTCAAGGAGGTTAAATTTTTGTCATTATTTTTTAGTCATTTCCCAGTATACTAACCACAACATGCGTCTTTCTGTGCTCCAAGAATTGGTCGCCGGTCGCGGCGACGAATTTGCAGCCGGCGGTAGGGCACGCGATTCCAGTAGGAGCCGGCGGCGGCGGAAGTGACGTCTTGGCCTTGGTGTTTTGCTTGGTGACGATGCGAGTTGAGCTCGTCGTCGGCTTCGTTTCAACGCTGAAAATTGTATATTCATTTAAGGAAAAATGCTTTTTTTCTTACGGAATCACGCCATTTTCCTTTCTCATATCCGCCACACGATGCTGGTTTGTGTGGGCTTGCAAGGCGTCCAATGTGAAGCAACTGAAAATTTCTTATTTTAGAACTTAGCTTTGAGAAAGTTGGATTCAGAACATTTCAAAAGATTGAAAAACCTACAAAACCGTCTTTTTTCAATGAACATATTACCGTATGCAAGGAAGAGTCTAGAATGAGTGCATTTTCCAGGAAAAATACAAACCTGTAAGAGCAGGCGGAGCAGGTCAGGGGCATCTGGGCGTTGTGCATCCCCAAATGTTTCTTATAATCGGCCTTCTTCTCATACTCGTGAGGACAGTTCGGCTCGGGGCATCGGAACTTTTTGACGGGTATTTCTTGGATTTTCGGCGCCTTGACGGCCGTCTTCGGGGTTGACGTCGCTCTGGCGGGAGCTGGCGTGACGTTTGTAATCTTCGGCCGTTTTGCTGGCAACTCCGGCGTCTCCGTCGACTTTGGATAGGATCTCTTGGAAACGCCCGACGCCGATCTCGTCTTCATCTTCTCCTTCGCCGGAATCTCCACTTTCTCGGCATCGTTCACGGGTTTTCGCGCCCTTCTTCCGGTCTTCTTCGGCTCCTCCTCCGGTTTCTTCGCCGGAGAGGATTCCACCAACGGCTCGCTGAACCGAACTGAGCCTCGTTTCTTCGCCTCGTCCAATTTCGACTGGTAGAGCCTGAAAATATATTTTTGAAATAAAGTTACAATTTTCGAAGTAATCTTCCTGATCTTCTCCACTCACCTTTCGAGGGTAGATTGAGAAGAAATCGTGGCACATTGACCAGGACCAGAATCGGTACTGGAGGTCGATGCTTCGGAATGCAGTTCCGGCGTCAAGATTGGCGTTTGAAGAGCTTCTTGGACTGCTTGTTGAGCTGGCTTCGTGGAAACTGGAGCTGGAGCTGGAGTCGGAGGTGGAGCTGAAGCTGGAGCACGTCTAGCTCGTGGCCGTGAAGCTTTCTCTTTAACAGGTGAAGCAAGCATAGCACGGAGAAGTGAATTAGGTCGACTTAGAGGATGTCTAAGAGGAGCACACGAAGCTGGAGTTGCTCTAAGAGGAGCACATGAAGCTGGAGTTGCTCTTGTCTCTTGCAAGAGAGACTGGATGGGAGTTAGAGCAACTGAGGCTGAAGCTGGAGCAGGTGGAACTGTAGCAGCACCGACGACTTCCCGAAGAAAATTGATCGTGGCTGGAGCGCAGGGAGCTGGAGCAGATGAAGCTGGAACAGGTGGAACTGTAGCCGCTCCGATGGCTTCCAGAAGGAAATTGAATGTGGCTGGAGCGCATGGAGCTGGAGCAGATGGAGCTGGAGAAGATGTAGCTGGAGCAGGTGGAACTGTAGCCGCTCCGATGACTTCCAGAAGAAGTTGGACAGGGGCTGCAGCGCATGAAGCAGAAGCAGATGGAGCTGGACCAGGTGGAACTGTAGCCGCTCCAACGGCTTCCAGAAGTACTTGGAATGGAGCAGAAGCACCTGAGGCAGAAGCAGATTGAGCTGAAGCAGGGGGAACTGTAGCCGCTCCAACAGTTTCCAGAAGAACTTGGAAAGATGGAGCTGGAGCTGGTGCGGCTGGAGCTGGATCAACTTGTTGAGGAGCCAAGGGGGCGTTGGCATTGATCAGGTTGAAAAATTTCCTGATTGACATTTTGGGGTCCACTGACGCGGCCATTTCCAATTGTGGTCGATATTGTTCGATCAGAATCGCATCAGAGACCGAAAGTTGTAATCCTCTTGGGTCTTCCTCGACTTCTACAGTAGCTGGTTCTACAGTAGCTGTTTCTACAGTAGCTTCTTCTACAGTAGCAGCTTCCACAGTGACGTTTTCGACCGAAGCCGGTTCTACGGTAGCTGGTTCTACAGTATCCACTTCTACAGTAGACGGTTCTGGTAGCAGTTCAGCTTCCTTTTTCGGCTCGGGCCTAAAAAATTTATTTTTTGAACTTTTCCCCTTAAGTCAAAACTGACCTTGGCTCGTCGATTGGCAGCACCCGGGACGATCCAGAATGAATTTTTTTGTGTCGATAAATCCGTTGGTAGTCGTGGGATTCCAAGGGACAGCGGCTGGAAAATTCAAAATATCGATTTTATTGATTTTTGAGCTGAAAGGAGTTGATCTCATCTTTTTTCGGAATGGAAAACTCTGGTGCTGTTTTTGGTGCTGCGTTTGGGACTGCCAAAATCAATAGTACACTTCAATGTGCTCTAATCATATTTCCTCAATTTCATACCTGCAACGGAACCATCTCCTTGCGACCGACGGACTCTGGTTGGGTGGCGATGGCGTAGAGATCGCAGAGAGCGAGGAGGCGTCCGACGACGAGACGCGACTCTTCTGGCTACCGTAGTCCTTGGAAGAGTTCCGACGTGTTGACACCTGCAAAGGGATATCGTAAAAGCGTTTTTGAAAATCAATGATTTTCTACCTTCTTGACGGCCTGGTGCAGGATCGAGTGGGACTTCAGTTTGCCTGGCATTTCGCTGGAAAATGAGCAATCGGTGCACTTTTCGCCAAACTCCTTGGCTCGATGATTTCTGAAAAGTTTTTTTTTAATGATTCCTTTTTTTTCGCAACCTAAAAATGACCCTAGTATATTCCTTACCGAGAATGAAGAAGGAGATGAGAGAAGAAGGAGCACGCGTAGGGACACTGGTTGCAGAGGTAGATGTGTTGGAAAAAGCGACCGATTCGATGACCGACGATGGCTTTTTTGGGCCCGAAAACCGTTTGCTTTTGGCTTGAGGAGAGCTGGAATGAAATCAAGTCTTTTAGAGGAAGTTGTGGAGAAAAAAAGTCAAAAAAGTGATTGAATTTTGATTTGAAAGGAGGAAAATGATAAATCAATGGAAGTGGTCACAGTGCAGTAAGAACTGGCAAGAAGAGTCAGAAGTTCGATTCCGGCAAAGAAAGAGGAATCAAAGACTGAGAAAACTTTTAGCAACTACTATAGAGGCTTGGAGAGGACACTAAACCCACCTCTACAGTGGTCACTATAGAGGTTCTCTAGTTAGTGACCACTTTAGTAGTTTTTGATCCAGTATTCCTTCCAGTTAAACGTCAAAAACCCTATAGAGGCCACTAAAAATTATCCCAGAATGTTGAAATTTTAGCATTTCATCATTGAAAACAAGTTTTTTTACTGAATTCCAACCCTTATAAGAGATATTGTTTACAAGTCAAGAAAAATGAGATCAAAAAGCGTAGCGCAGTGCGATTTTTCTCGCTTCTAGTCTGAAAGGTCCCAAGTTCAATCCCCTAGCCGCCGTAAGAGTAGGTTACCAAGGTTTCACGATCCTCCACAAAATGACCAACTTTTGATGAAGCCAGTTCAAACATTATTCTCATTAGGGCGAAAAGGATGCGAATCCAGGTGTGCATCATTAGGCAACAGGTAATGAGGCTATTTGGAAGGGAAAGGAGAGCTTGTCATATGATTTTTCAAGCAATTCTCAATACAACTATTCTAAGAGAATATTAATGACTATTTTTCTCTCAAAAAGTGGATAGTTTTCTTAGAAAGATTATTTTTTATGTGTTATTGAGATTCGGATAAAAATCGATTTTTTTTTTTTGAGAACTATTCAAGAATAAAGAATGAGAATTTTTGAGAATTGATTTTTTTTAACTCTGGAGGAAACGTACGAAGAGGAGGTTGACGTGAGAGAAAAAAGACACTTTGAAAAAAAGATGGAAGTGTCTATAATAATTGTGAGACCGTAAAAACGTCATTGTAAATGATTTACGGTCTCGAAGTTGGGAAGTGAGAATCAGAGGAGTGTCTGACCTTCAATACGAACCTCTAAGTGTTCTAGGACCTTAAGACTTCAGAATCAGTTGGAAAAAAAGAGAAAAAAAGAGAATTTTTTGATAATCTATAAGCTGTATAGATTCTTAGGACTTCAGAATCAACATAAAATCGAAAAAAAAGAAAAAATATGAAGATTTTTTCATAACCTATTAGCCATATTGAATCTTAGGACTTCAGGATCCGTTGAAAATCGAAAAAAGAGAAAATATGAGGCTTTTTCGATAATCTACGAACTTAAGAAAAAGAAAAATAAAGATTGGGTCCAGACAGCCTAAGAAAAAAAAACTCTGACGTCACTCCTCTTCTTTCCTCATTAAGAACCGCTCGTAATGATTTGAGCTCTATACGAGGAATTCAGAAGATGAAAAAAGTTGGAAAAGGAAATGATACACAGGAAAGCTAAGAAAAGAAAGAGCTAACCGGCCAGAAAAGACAACAAAAACAACAATAACTGGGGGGTGGGACGCAGTTTCTGGGTCCCGACGGCACGGACCTAAGCACCGCCCACAAAAAAGCACGCCGTGCACACAGGATCTCACACCTCGGTATGGCCATCGGCGGCTTCTTGATTGACACGTGTCCCTGGTGAGAAACTGACCCCGGAAGGTGTGAGCCGAAGAAGCGTCCGGGAGCCCGGTCAGTTTGATATGGGGTGTTACCGTGGGCTTGTCCTTTGCTTATGGGAACTTGGGAGAGGATTTGAACCTTGCTTGGGATCATTGGAGCAGTGGGAAGCACGCCTGTTTGAGGTGGCCGGTCGTATTACGGTAGTTTGGATAGGTTTTTCAATAATAGAATGAAAACTTGTGTACTTTTTGTGACGTAACTTACCTCGTGACCTTGAGAAATAGGTCCTTAACAAATTGGAAGAAAGAATAAAAATTAAAAAAATTTCCTGGCTCCGAAACTGACTGCGCAATATTTACCGGCCACCGGCCGCCGTAGTACGGTCTCAAAAATGCGTGGAAGAGGTTCAAAAATATTATGTCTACACAGAAAACTGAAAAAGAAACATAGAAGCTTCTCTTGAAAACTTTATAGTACTGGTCTCTTTTTTCTTCAAGGATTATGGAAACAATTCAATTTTGCTTAGGATCATTGGAGCAGTGGGAAGAGGTTCAAAAATATTATGTCTACACAGAAAATTAAAAAATGAACACAGAAGCTTTTCTTGAGTGAAACTTTATAGCACTGGTCTCTTTTTTTCCTCAAGGATAATGGAAATAATTCAATTTTGCTTGGGATCATTAGAACTGTGGGAAAAGCAGCAATTTTTTCTCTAAAAATTGCAAGAAGCATGAAAAATATTGAACAAGCTTTCGCTTCTCATACTAGAAATGAAAAAAATCTATAACTTGTCAAACTTTCGAGCTTAACTAGGTCAAGAGCTAATTTATATACTTCTATGCTTTCTTTTCTCGAAAATCTATCAGTTTCAAACAATAAATATTCCTTTTAAAGACGTGAAAAAACGGCTATACGTCTGAGGAGTACCAAAAAAGTACCTTTTTAGGGTTTTCTAGATAAAACGCGACCTTTATAATTCCGAAAAATAAAATCAAAAAAAAAGGAAAAAACTTTCATAACAGAGATGACCTTTGAAAATGTTTACTTTTCCTTCTCATACCTAATTTTTTTCTGACCTTTTTAGGGATTTTCTCGGCAACTAGTGTTAGTAGAGGTGAGTGACAGGGTGAAGAAAAAACCAAACAAAAAATCTTGGGAAGCGCATGACCCCATTCAAAAGCCCACAAGCATTTATTCTCTTCCTACCCTAAATGAGGTGTGAAAAAGCTTGGCTCTTCTTTTTTTTGTAAAGTAATCTGGTAGTTTAAACTCGATTACAATCAAGTTCTTGTTTTTTAGAAAAAATTTGCTCTTAAAGAGGTTCCCAACGGTTCTAAAACCCCGCAAATTGGTAATTTCTCAAATTTTTCAAGCATGTTCATCCCTAAAATCTTTTAAAACTTTTTTTTTCTCAGGACCTTCGAGAAAAATAAACATTTTCAGCTTTTTTTGCATTTTTCAAAGAATCTATCTCTCAAATCTACTCCATACGAGATTCCTAAGGGTTAAAAAAACTGTAAAATGGTAATTTTTTTCGAAAATTTCAAGCAATTTCATCACTAAAAATCTCTCAAAAAGTTCTTCTTTTTACAGGGTCTTGGTGAAAACTAACATATTTAAATAAAAAAACTTGATATAGGAATGAAAATAAAAAATGGCCTAACTTAATACTAACGTTAGTCGCAACTAACAAGCAAGGTACTTGAAAAAAATAACCATTTTGAGCTATTTCTTGCATTTTTTTCAAATAACCTTTTTTTCTCAAATTTAAGACAAATTAGAAAAATTAACTCGGTACTTCAAACTTTATTAAAAATCAAGTTTCTGTTTTTAAAAAAATCTGTATCTAACGAAGTTTCAAACAGTTCGAAAAACCGATAAAATGTTGATTTCCTGAAAATTTTCAGCTCTGTCACTACTATAATCTTTCAAAATTTCGTTTTTTTAAAGGAAAATGAGCAAAATATGAAAAAATGACATCGGAAGAAAATTTTCCTTCTTTTATACGTTCCCCTCCGCTATTTATAAGCTTGACCATGTTTCCACGGTGCTCTTAGTGGAAAAAAGGAGATGAATCATCGGAAAAAAAAACTGTTAATTCGATCTGCATAATGGATTGAAAAGCGATTCCGGAGCAGAAAAAACCCAAAAAGGCTTATTTTCCATGCGAATTAGTCTCATTTTTAGTTATAAGAAACTGTCAATGAATTCTCGAAAAACGAACAATTATCTGATTGCACCGTAGATGAAGAGCCAAATGCTTTAGAAGCTCGGCTTCATCTTCAGTGGAGAAAGAGCACTGAGAGCAGTGACGAGATGAAGAGAGCGCATGACGGTCAGAGTGGGGCTGGAAGTCGGCCAACGACGGCGAGGTGAACGGGCACTTCAGGCAGCGGAACTTCCGGGTTTTGCCGTTCTAAAAAATTCATTTCTGGCAGAATTTGAAAATTAATCCTCCTCCTTGAAAACTGTACAAATCAGGAAGTTTTATAAGCCGGAAAAATGAATAATTTGACAGTTCAAACAACATGAAGAAAAATATCTTTTGAAGGACCAGAATATTCGGAAACGCAATTCAATTTCGACATTCTCTCGTTTTTCGTACAAAAAAAGCTTAAATTGGTCTAAAAGCGATGGTGCGAATTCCATGTTTTAATCAAATTATTTCTAGACACTTTCTACAAAAAAATGATTTCTCCGTTTCAAATATTTCCAGGACTTTTTTTTAATAAATATCAAGGAATTTCTGGAATAAAGACACACAATGACGCGGACAACGTGCTCCACACTCGAAATCGGCCTTCTCAGGATCCAGGAATCGGTTTTCCGGCCAACGACGTCCCAATGCTTGTACCGGTCCCGGAAATCGTCCTCGGTGTCGTCGATCTCGCACAGTCTTTCCTGAGAAGAAAAACTGAGGTGAATCGAAAAAAATTCCCACTTTTGTTAAAATTAATCCGAGGCTCTTTGCTCCTTTTTCCCGTCAAGATAATTTTCCAGAAAAAAAAAAATTTTCCGAGCCTTTAGACTGATAATAGCTTGGGAATTTTAGAGCGGTCCCTATAGGGACTAGGGGAAAAAACAGTCCCTATTTTACCTCTATAGAGGCCGAAAAGTGGTCTCTATAGGGTTATAATCAAGGTGGTCCCTATAGGGATTTAGGATCTGACCCCTTAGCCTCTAAAGCTTAAGTGGTCCCTAAAGGGCCGTTCAATTTTAATCAAAAAGGTGTTTTTCCAACTTTTCGCATGGAAAAGCTTCTTCGCATAGAGTTAATGGAACTTATCGACTAGAATGTCCCCTATAAGGGCCACTTTTGCAAGCTTTAGTGGGCCCTTTAGAGGTTGGTAAAGTGTCCAAGGAGACCTGAAGTTGCCCCTATAGAGACCACTCTGAAGTTCTTAAGAGAAATGAGTTCAAGTTTTCAAACTTGAGATTTTTTTGTTTCTATAGCCGGAAAAGATCGAAAATAATGATTTTCAGTGAAAATTTCAAGAAAAATGCATTCAAAACTTTATTTGAAATGATTTTTTTCTTTACCACAGTTCTCCTGTTCATAAGAAATTAATTTTAAAGGAAATTAAGAAAAAAAGTTTTCATTGGGAACCTTTTCTTTAACCCAGACGAGTTTTATAATTTTTTCAAGTATCCTAATTTGCTCGTTCTCCAGTTCTACCTGTTTTACGGATTTTACGTCAAACATTATTCACTTTTTCTCTCAAAAACTTCGATTTTTCCACGCCACAAAACTCTGTTCAATTTCTCAACCTGCTTCCATTCCCAGCGATCGTCCGTGACTTTCTCGACCTCCCGTCTGATTTTGTGGGTCTCATAGGCGTTCTGCACAAAGTAACTGAAGGCCAAGGTTTATTTTGAACATCTCCGATTGAAAATAACTTCTTGATGAAGGGCTTTCCGACCGCTTCGATGACGAAAAACGGAATGGCTTTCCGGAGCGGCCGTTGACCATGTACCCGGCGGTTGTGGATGAATAATTTGCCGGGACTGTCGAAATTCCTGTCACAGCGGACGCAGAAGTGTTTCCTTGGTCGTGGTTTTTGAGCCACGTGACGGAATTTTTCCTGGAATCGCTCCAATTTTTTTTATTAGGAGAAGGAGGGTAAAAACTTTAAAACTTGAGTTTCTACGAGAAGATACCAATAAAACGGAAACAGTTCTCAGAATCCCATTTATTTCAAAAATCTACTGCAAAGTCCTCTAATAAACACAGCTGACACTGAAATAAGGCTGAAATCGAGAAAAAGAAAACATTTTTGAGCCCTCCTGAAGCAAGAGTTGCGCTAATCAATATTTGAAAAACTTGACTCCGAGTTTCGTGAAATATAGATACTTTAAGCTTAACAAAAACACCTAAAAAAATATACTTATTAATAATATAAATATGCGATACATTTCCTATTATTAAGGATTAAAGGCATAAAATCTTTAGCATGTCGAAATTCGGTATAGAATAGAAATAAAAATGGAGGATCACAACCGTCTAACGTTATACTAACATTACTCGCAATCAAAAAGCAAGTTTGTCGAAAAAAAAAAACCAATTTGAGTATTTTCCGAGAAAAATTTTTTTTGCCAAGTTCAAATTGATTCCGCGAAATGCAAAATAGCCGTCAGAGAAAGAAAAATGTAACTAAAATTGAGAGAGTCAGAGATAATTTTGTATTTTGCGGAAATTACTTTGGTTTTACACAAATCAATACAAACATCCAATAATTCGCTGTAGGTCCGATTCTTGCCATTCCGAAGATACATCGGCAGGACGAATTCCATGAACGTGTAGCCGCGGGATTTCTCGCGGATCTTTGCGATCAATGCATTTCTCAAGATGTTCTGTTAGAAGATGTTTTTATTGAAAATCGCTTCAATTCTTGAAAAAATTATGGAAAAAAAAACTTTTTTTACTGAAAAAAAATGAAAAATCGACAGAAGAACATAGTTCTACTTCAAAAATGAAGTTCCACGCTAGATTTTCGGTTTACAATTTTTTTCCGTTCTAAAAAGAAATCACTTCAAACTTACTTGGCGCGGACTATTTGGCAGTAGCTCCGTAGCGGGTCTTGACAATTGCATTCCACAGGTAAATCCATCAAGGTGAGCCCAGAAAAATGAAGAAAAAACCAAGATTTGGGGCTTTTTTGACAAGTTTACGGGAAGTTACTAAAAAGTTTATGTAAAGCTTCTTTTTCCATTCCTCAAACAAGGTTTATTTTCTTGTTAAGATTGAGAAAAAATTTTCCAATACGATCCCAGAAAAACTTCACCCATACCCTCAATTTCAACAGTTAACCAATGATGGAGCAAAACCAGGAAAAAAAGTTGATCATGTTTTTTGATAAAAAAATTTATTAAACAACAAGAAAGACAAACATTACATGCAATATTTAACAAAAATAACACATTAACAAAAAAAATAAGTGAAAGACTTGAGCATCGACCGGATTCTCTCCATTTACATCAGGCGCTCTGAAAATCATTTGTGGACAAAAAGGAAAAAAGAACACTGACAGCCGTGTTGAACTCCTGGCCAAGAGAACCCTTCCTGGGGCTGTTACCCGTCATAGCCATCATACAGAGACGGCATCTGAAGTTAATTTTCTTCAGCCTTGAATATTTTCTTTTCAGACCTCTGAGCACCGTGACGAGCATGACAATGATCTTTCGGCTTGATACTTTTCATCATTTTGACTTGCTTCCGAGATAAGCGGACGTTTTCGCCCTCTTCACAGTTTGGCACACCTGTAATTAAAAGCTTGATTCATAGGTAAAACGGAAAAATTCCTTTGAGGATCCTTAAAGGATCCTGAGAGGGAGATAAAAAGCTTCCTCTAAAAGCTCCTAAAATGATGTAAAAAAGCTTTTGAGCACCTTTTTCATAGCCTCAGAAGATCCTTTTTGAATCCTCTCGGATCTTTTTAGTTGCTTTCCAGCATCTTTTTTGTCAGAGGATGTGAAAAAGACGCAAAAGAGAACTGAAATGATGTAAAAAAGATCTGCTGGGGACCCTTTCAAGGTCTTTTTTTGAGAAAAGCTTTTGGGGAGCTTTTCAGTTTTGCCTGAGTTTCTTATTAAAAATTTCAATTTGAAAAATTCGCGCTGGGGTTTTGAAAGAAACATAACAGCTTGAAAAAAAAAATTCAAAACATAGAACTTTTTTCAGTTTCATTTTTCTTCGTGCAAAACTTCTGTGCATTCATGAATTCTAAAATAAAACGAAAATTTTCAAAATAGTTGATCAAAAGATTCTGACGTTGAAAACTAGATGAGAAGATTTCAGAAAAAAACATGAAAAATTACTCGGTGCAAAAAGAACTTTCTCCAAGAAATGGGCCGGGTTCTGATGAGCATCTCCATTATTATTGTTGTTGCAGCAAAACTCCTTGCAAGTACACGTATTCCCATTGCCGTTCGCGTCGACTTTAGCGTTCGTAGAGTATTTTTGAAGCAAAAGAGACAGAAATTCCTGAAGAGATCTCTGAGCCTGAAGTCGATGCTGGTAGTGGCACGTCAGTTCCTAAAATCAACATGATATTAGAGAAAATAGATTTAAAAAAAACCATCAAAGTAGCCTTAGTTTCGTCTCCATGTGCCATGAAGCTGCATGAACAAGAGTCAATGTTATTCTGAAAGTGAAAAAATGAATATAGTGCTAAACAAGTTAAAAATAACCGTGCAAAACTCCATTAGCTTCTCATCAGTTTGGTTCGATGGAGAGCTCGACTTTCTGCCTTTTTTCTTCTTATTCGACTTGGAATTTTTGTCGGCAGCAGGACTCAGCTGAGCTTCCAGCTCATTGAAAAACGAGGCGGCGGCCTCTTTGAACGATTTAAGCTAAAATAATTGTAGACCTTACTATTTCGATTGAAAAATTCACTTTTTGTGGTGAAAACATTGCCAGAGCATGTTCGTCACCTTCTTCGAAGAAAACGTCGTCACGCTTGATGCAAACCATCTTGCCCACCTGTTCCGTGCAAGACCATCTTAAAGTTAAGAAAGTGGCTACTTAGCTCCATTTGAACTTACGAGCGAACTCTACCGCAGTGCAAGTATTGCATCAAACGTTGCTTCCGCTGTAGAAGCATCATCTCACGCGTTCTTTCCTCTTCGCCTTGGTCCTTCCAATATTTATCGAGGTCTAGTTCCTCTTTCCTACCGGGTTTCTCTCGTAGAAACCTTGTAAAAAGTTTCTTTATAAAAATTAAAAATTTAGGAAAACTTGTTCATCAAAAAAATCCAAGATAAAAGTTGTTGAGAGACGGGGTTGGAGCTCGACTGGTCCGCGTCTGATTCGTTACCAACTTTTACATTCGGTTTTGAGCTATCAATCATTTTTTTTCAAATCTGTAAATCCTTAAAAAGTGAAAAAAAAAACATCAAGAGAATAATGGTTCAACAGGAGAGACAAAAAAGGTAAAAAAATTCTTCAATCGGAAATGACGACTGATTCAAGAAAAATTCGGGTTCTAATGAATACTTTCCAATTCTACGTTTTCCGGTTTGAACTGCCATACCAGCCAAAGAAATCATGAAGATAAAAAACTCCATTTTTTTCGAGGTTTGTTTTCATTAAGAAAAATGATTTTCGTGCAATTCTCGAATGTTCAGAAAGCTTTAAAGTGATCTTTAAAAGTTGAAACCCTATAAAAACGCGGAAAATACGAAAGAAAAACACAAAAAATCGAAAACACAACGAGCGGCGTAAATCGGCGTGAGACTGCTCCGCATACGCAACGCGAAGGAAAAATAGTCTCACAGCGAAGAGATTCAACACAAAATTTTAATTTTTTTTCTACGTTTTTATTTTAATTTTTTTCTTTGCTTTTCATCTATTTCTTTCAATTTTGCCTATCAATATTTGCTCTAATTTTTCAGACAACATGGATATCGACGAACTCGATTTGTTTGAAGAAACAAAAGTTGAAGAAGTCCGTTATGTTCCGAAAATAGTGAATGGAGGTTTCTTAATGATAGTTTTCATTCGATTTTTATTACATTTATAGGAATCGCTGGTATTGTTGGCGTGACCTGCGTTTTTCCCATGGATTTGGTCAAAACTAGACTTCAAAATCAAACCGGAGGACAGAGATACAAAGGAATTATTCACTGTTTCCAAAAAACTTGGGTTTCCGGCGGCCCTGGACGCATCAATCAGTTGAGAAACATGTACCAGGTGTGATTTGACTTGAAATTCTTTTGAGGAATTTGACTTATAGGGCGCTTCTGTGAACATTTTGTTGATCACTCCAGAAAAAGCGATTAAACTGGTGGCGAATGATTTTTTCCGTCGACAACTTTTACGCGACCACGCAGAGCGATTATCAATGGGCCGTGGAATGCTGGCCGGGGCCTGTGCCGGTCTTTTTCAGGTGATTTTTTGCGAAAACTTGCGAATTTAATTTTTTTTTTCAATGTCGTGTTCCAAATGTAGTCCCGCGAAATTCAAAATTATTTCGTCCCAAAATTTTTATATCTTATCACTCTGTCATTTTGGATTTTGCGCGAATATTTCGAGGGACCTAGAACCATGAATTAGGAAAAATCATATAAAAAATAGCAAAGATACGTAAATTATAAACAAATCGAAACAGGAATCAATTGAGAACAAATATAAGTTGTTAAGAAAAGTTGGTGTAAGAGTGCAAAAAGTGACCCTCCATGCGTTGCCCCTCCCTTACGTCATATGACGTAATTTTTGGCTGATCCTTCAACTCGCCAACCGCTCGCCACACACACAACTTGCATTAAATTTTCGAAGATTCTGGCTTCTCAAAACCTTTTTCCATTTCTTCTATTTCGTTTCAACTAGGTGCGGGATAAAATGTTTATAAAAATTCAGGGAAGTTCATTTTTGATTTTCAGTTTTCATAAATTTGTCCTTGGGGCGTATAACAACGTTTTTTTTCGCACGGAAATGCGCGAATTTGAATTCGTTTTGATAGAAATTAAGGACCGGACTCATCAAATTTGATAAGCTCTTATCTTGGGCTAATTTTTTGTAGCCCTTATTTTTACCAAGTGCGGGGAGTTTCTTCTTTCTTTCATTTCTATTGAATTTTTAGGTTTTGAAAACCATTTTCAATACTTTTCCTCACTTTATATCTACTTAAAAAGTATCCCTTCAAGCCTAAAAAAATAAATTTTGGACTTCCTTCTGTATTTTTAAGTTCTATCATTCAAATTCGTTGTTTAAGGTGAAAATCCTAATTTTCCTTCAGGTAGCGATAACGACGCCAATGGAACTGCTCAAAATCCGGATGCAAGGCTCTTCGAAACACAAAAAAGCTCTCGACCTTGTCCGAGATTTGTTGCGCAGTGATGGGGGTTTTATCTGCTCCATTGATAATTTGAAGCTGAATTTTCAAGGCATCTTCTCACTGTACCGCGGACTATTACCGACTATGGCCCGTGACGTTTCATTTTCTGCTCTCTATTTTCCGCTTTTCGCCTATCTTGACTCCCTTGGACCACGAAAAAAGGATGAATCAGGTTTGATTCAGCGTTTCATCGCTTTGAGGTAAGATTTTTGAGAGTAGATTCGGAATCGGCGTGAAAAACTGCATCTAGTGAACTTAGTATCATTCAAAAGTCCATCAGGAAACTCCCTGATTATCAAGTCATTTTTTTTAATTTTTGAGTCATTTTTTCGTTAAAATTCAACGTTTTCTGGGTTTTAAGGAAGATTTGTTGCTCATAAATTTTTTTATATGTACAAAAAAATACAACTCTCTTAAAAAAAGCGAAGAAATTAAAAAACTTCGAAAAAAATTTTTCCTACCATTAGTCTGGTCGAAAAACCGGACTGGTTTTTCCTCATTTTTGTCTTTTTCACAGTTTTCTAAGCAATTTCTGAACCAGTATGTCCTTATAACATATGTACGTAAAGAAAGATGTGAATTTTACTCGGAAAAAACCGAAAGACCAACAAAATCGGATCATTTTTCAAACTGGTCCTAAAAATCTTTTCAAAAAAATCAAAAACTTTGAATCCGGCCTTTTTTCGCAATTAGTAGAGCATTTGCTTGTTCAGAATCTCTCAGTGAGATCAGAAATATTATTTTAAAAATTCGAAATGTTGAACCGCTTTTAAGGCTGAGAATGACTATATTCATATAACGGGAGTCTCTAACCTTTTTAATAATATTGTTTATTTACAGGCAGAACAAAATAACATGTACAAAAAAGAAGGAAAAAGTTGGCATTTAAGCCTGAAATAAATAAATAAAAGGCACTTGAGGCCCTCCTTCTTTCGGGTGAAGTCGGAAAATTCTAGGTGATGCTGTCTTTTGGACGAGTTTCTTTTCGGGTTTGGTAGCCGGAGCGACGGCCTCTTTCTGTGTGACGCCTTTGGATGTCATCAAAACGAGGATACAATATGGAAAGGTCCTTTTCAATGTTGAAAAATCCTTATCCTTGGCTTGAAACTGGACTTTGAAACTTTGGCGCCATTTCAAAAATTATCCCATTTTCGGATCGCTCGTGAGCGCTCTCTTGCGTTTAGAAACATGCTTAGGGTACCTGAGTAGCCTCTATAGGGGTTAGGGTAGAAAAAACCTCAATAGGGGTCGGAAAAGTGGTCCCTCTAGGGATTTATGGTCTGACATCTTAGCTCCTAAAGCTCAAGTAGAACCTATAGGGGTCTTTCAGTTTCATCCAAAATTCACTGATCTATTTTTTTTTCGCCTTCTTCCCATAGATTTCATGAAAGTTATCGACTAGCATGTTCCTTATAGGATCTACTAACTAAAACCTCTTTAGGGACCACTTTTGCAAGCTTTAGTGGCCCCTATGGGGGTTGGTAAAGAGGTACCCTCCAAGAGCCCCTTTAGGGACCACTCTCGAGTTTCTAAGTGTTCCGTTGCTCCGATGAACACGTCTAAAATATTTTCTTCAGACCAACTACAAAAACATGATTGATGCCTTCTTCACATTACTTCGCAGCGAAGGTCCAAGAGCGTTTTTCAAGGTGAAAATTGAGATTTTTTATGATTTTAAAGAAAAGTATCATTTTCAGGGCGCAGTTTGTCGAATGATGGTCATGGCGCCGTTGTTCGGAATCGCCCAAACCGTCTATTATATCGGCGTCGCTGAATATTTGATGGGATATGAGAAATCTTCACGAGTTTGAACTTCAAGTCGTCCTTTTTGAAGCTCTATCCATCTTTTTTTTTTCTCTTGCCTCGAATTGAAGTTTCTCGCCGCATGTTGAATGGCTCAAAGCGTTGCGGTTCTATATTACATTTAAAAAATAGCTTTAAGCTTTCAAAGCCTTTGCGCGAAAATTGTTTTGAGTCGGACGCGCTTCTGAGCCATTCCACATGCGACCCTTGGTTACCAAGTCAAAAGGAAATAGTGTGTGAAAACAAAAGAGTTTAGAGAAATTCATTTTTTCTAGTTTTCCTTGGACTCGCTGTTGAGTAGAGCTTTTTGTTCTGTAATTTCGTTTTTTCCTCCTTTTCTATTTTGCTTTTTTTTCGTTCATTCGATGATCTCTTCTACTACTTTATCATTTTTGATCTCCTAACTTTCATATTAATATGCATGTTTTATTGAACTTTGATTTTTTTTTTTTGTTAACCCTTTCTTCTGTTGATTTTTATATATTTTTTTTTTTTTATAAATCAAACAGATTTTTTTCTTCTTTCGTCTTCCCTTAACGATTATGCTTTTCTCGTATTTATATTGAATTTTTGAGCGTAAAAAAATAAAAAAATTATGAAATTTTCACGATTTCGAGTACGGTAGCGCCAAAGTCCGCAGACACTTTTTTTCCTAATGGCTGATTTGGAAGTTTTTTTACGCTTTTTTTCAACTCTTAATTTTATTTTTTTAGAGTTGCACTCTTTTATAAGCTGTTTCATAAGTTAATTTCGATATTTTCAGGTTTTTTTCACAGTCATGTCGTCAGATAAATATCTTGTTTTTTTATTGGCGGCGGAAATATGGCTTCGGCTTTGATTCAGGGAGTCCTCAAATCTGGTAAAAATTCTAGAAATTCCAATAACTTCTTTACAAACAATTTTTTTGAAGGTTTCACCACCCAGGACAAGATAGCGATCAGTTGCAAGAGCGAAAAAAACTAAAGAAGAATGGAAGGTTTCATCGAAATTTCTTTGACTATATAATTTCATTAGTTTTTTTTTTGTAGAAGAAAGGATTTGAGCACGTTTTCACGAGCAATTACGAAATTCTCTCCATTTTTTCGAATGGTGAGTCTGTCCAGATTAATGGGAATGGACTCGTTATTTATCAGAGGTCATCGTTCTTTCGGTTAAACCTCAAGTGATCGAGGAAGTTTTTGCACTTTGGCCGCCCCACGCGAATCCCAAACTGATTATTTCGATAATGGCTGGAATCAGCGCCCAGAGAATACGCGATATAGTTGGTTCAATCAAACTTTCGAATCAGGCCGATGCAACGATGTCTTAAGATCCACAAAATCAATCCGGAAATCTCGGTACCGGTTATTAGGATAATGCCGAATACGCCCTGCGCCATTGGTGCTGGAGCTTCTGCTCTTTCTTATGATGGGGATGTTTCTGAAGAAGATGTGAGTTGGAAGAAAATTCAAAGAAATTAAAGCTGTATTTAAGATTGCATATGCAAAAAGATTCGCAGAGTGTGTTGGAAAATGCGAAGTTGTCCCGACGAGATGCTATAACGCTGCAGCGGTTGTTGGCGGCTGCACGCCTGGTTGGGTTCGTTTGTTGGGAACAAAAAAGTCTGAATTTTCTGGAGAATCTATGAAGAAAACTATGAAAAGAGCTTCATAACTTATGTATTTTGAGAAATTATAGGTAAAGTTTGATTTTCCTATAACTAATGCTCATACTCTACTACAAAAACCTCGTTCTTTCGCAATTTTGCTCTTATTTTTTAATAAACCGTCCCAAAATCCTCCTCTTTGAAGTTTCAATGACCATTTGAAACTTTTACGAGATAAACGAGACTAAAATCCATGAGCTGTTTTTCAATAATCTTCTTCTTCTTCTTCCTACGCCTTTGTACCGCTTGAGCGGCGTCGGCGCCCCAAGTCGATTAGCCGAGGTCCTATCCTGATATCAGTGGACTGGCTCGAGTGACATATCCGTCCTTGTGTGTGACGGCTGGGGATTTTGAAGTCGTGGTTTCTCACTACCAACATTTCTTAAACCCCTTGGTTGGGTCGGGGGATCGAACTTGTGACCCTGTGGACCGTAGACAGGCACACAACCTGTTGCGCTACGGCCCGCCCCTGTTTTTTTTAATAATATGGGAGCTTAATATTGTTCTTGCCTTCAAGATTTATACTATTTCACGGGAACTTTGTCAAGGCTTCAAAATTTATCATCAATCGGCTTTTCTCAATTATAAGGAATAGTTTCCAGGCTTTCATGTTCATCGAAGCCTTGGCGGATGGCGGCGTTGCTGCTGGTCTGGGCCGTAACGAGTCTCTACGGCTCGCCGCTCAGTCTGTTATGGTATTTTTTTTTCTTGAAACGGCCGGCTAGGTATTATATCTAGACGGGATCCCACTATAAACTTTGACACGCAAAGAAATTATTCAAAAGTACTCTGCGAAAGAGGTTAGAAGTATATATGTTCAAAGCGTTTGCGATGCGCTCATGGCGCCAGTTCAAAAATTATATAGCTTATACAGCGCCAGCTTGTCACGATTTTTATTTTCCCACGAGCTACAGAACCCTTCCGGGAGCTTATTTTCCAAGTGCGCGAACTACCTTTACTTCAGCCTAAAATTTGGTTAATTTTAAAGGCGCATACACAGGCGCAGGCCCCGCGCATTGAAAGGAATCTTCCCTGAAGGGTCCTGTAGTTCGTTAGAAACGAAACGGAAAATAAGTAACGAAATAAGACTCCTTCTAGACTTCGTTCTGATGAAATGCATGTAAACCATTTATACGCCTTAAAACTACAGTAAAAATCAATCGTATCCTGAAAATTCTTTCATAATTCAGTCGTCGATTTTCACTGTTTTCATTGAAGGGTGCCGCGAAAATGGTCCTAGAATCAGGGGAACACCCGGGCGCCCTGAAGGACAAAGTCTGTTCTCCTGGTGGAACCACGATTGAAGGCCTTCGAGTCCTGGAAAACCGAGGTCACTTTGAAAGTTGCTTTTTTTAAATCTGCCTTTTTTAGGCTTCCGCTCGGCTGTCATTGATGCTGTGGTTGGAGCGACAGAAAAAGCGGACCGCATGGGAAATAAGAAAGATTAATTTATTATGTTGTTATTGCTCAGTTAAAGTTTTACACTTTTTACCAAGAATGTTAAAGAAAGTAGTATGAAAATGCGCTAAATTGCGTCTTGTTAACAAATAAAAATAACAACAACTCACTTCCCGGTCTAATTTTAGAACCATTTTCAGGACATGTGACAAAATTAAAGCCCAAAAAAGAGGTCTTTTCCATTTCCGATGATTCACGAAATTGACGTTTCCGCTTCATTATTTGTGCCCACCTTATCACTCCCCTTTCCGTCATTGATAACGGCTACCTGAGGACGTTTAAATATCCCAAGAGGAGTTTTATTCGTTCGAGTTCTTTCGAAAACATGCAAAAATTCTTCCTTCTACTGCTCGCCCTCGTCGCTTTCGCCCTGGCCGCCCCAAGGCTGGCTTCTGATGAGGAATCTGTCGAAGATGCGATAGTCAGGGAGGAGGTTTGTACTGGGAAAATAGGAACGATTCAATTATCTTGGTTATTGCATCAGCCTCCATCATTTTCTTAAACACTTAAAATTGACCATTTCCAAAGAGAAACTTGTAGGCAATAAAAAAGTCAAAAATCTTTTTTTGAAGGACCTAATTTCACAATTGAACAAAGTTACCATATAAAATCCAAAAATCACTGATTTTTCAAGTCTTCCATGAGTATTTTCAGTTCAAAAACCTTGCTGTAAAGTTGAAAAACGCATAAAATTTCGAACTACTTTAATGACGTTGAAAAATTAAACTTCTCCTTGAAAGCTTCATAATTTTTTTTTTGTACCTCTTAGCCATCCAGTGAGTATTTTTAAACGAAAATCCTATACTCCATAATTTTCTTAAAGCTTGATTTTATTTCTTATAAATGAAAATCGTATATTTCATAGAAGCCCCTTAGAACATTTAAAAAACGCGATTTCTCTGTTTCATTTTTTTTAAAACCAAATGCTGTGTTGAAAATAATTCCGCGAAATTCAAAATAGCCACCAGAGAGTGAAAAATATAACTGAACTTCAGAAATTAAAATAAGATTTTGAACTTGCCAAAATTACTTTGAACGTGGCATGTACGAGAGCGCCGCGGTTCATGCACACGACACACTAAACTTTACAGAAAAATAGGGAAACGGGGTCGCCAAAAAAAAAAATGCCGCGTTTTCAAAACGATATTTAGCTCATTTTCATGGCTCAATCGAAAAAAAATGACTTTAGGTCATCCTTTAATTCTGATTTGCCTGATAGCTCAATTGGTACCGCTCCAAGCTATGAATAACACTATCCTTGTTTGAATCCTGGGAAAAACAGTTCATTTTTGCCTTTCGTCCTTCCTTAGTATTAATTTATCTTTTTTGTTATTTTGAATGCCCTAATCAGCCTTGTCCTACAAGATGGAAAAATTCAGGACCCGGAAATCACGAGAATAAGACGTAGAAGCGTCGAGGAACGCGGGTACCTGCACCGAGCTCGTCACGGAAGGAAGCATCCTTGGGACAGGAGTCAGGAGTTTGACAGCTTCAGTCAGGAAGAGGAGCCGAGAAAGATCCGCGCCCGGCGAACCATAAGGGTTTGCGACGTTTCTAACATCTCAGATTGGAAAAGTCCCAGAATTCTTTCTGATTCAACCGAAAAGGCATTTATAGCTTGCCAAGTCTTAAAAGTTCTTAGTACTACCAAAAAGTCATGATAGAACAAAGTTCTTCTCACAAAAAAATTCCGAAAAACCGTGCTCATTTCAGGACGAGGAGAAAGAAGCTTACCAGATTTCTCAAGAGCTTTCAAAGGTTTATCAACAGCATCTACTCCATGTTCAAGAGAAAAAGCTCTCGGTAACTTCAAATTTCAATAAAGAAAATGCTAAGAAGGAAGTTTTCAGCACTCCCGGAAAAGAAGAACCATTGGAAAAGGAGTCGGTGTCAATGAGCGACATCAAATTGGAGAGGGGATTCGGGCACAGCCTGAGATTGTGGTAGGATTTGTTCAACTTGATAAAATGCATGTGCGCTCCATGGAAAATTAATCGAAAATTGGTATTTCCGTAGAATTTTTGAATCAACCATGTACAACAGACCCAAATATAGGCTATTTTTGAATTTTCAAGAAGAAAAATATGTTGTATTTACGTCCCAGAATTTAAAAAAATTGAGCCGGAAAAAAACATTTATTTAAATCACAGAGTTTTAGGATATGTCCTAAGCCGAAAAAAATTGAATTTTTTTCAAGCATATTTTGAGCTAATTCCATTCACGGGGGAAGGGGGAGTTCCTGAGCCTTTTCAAAAAAACCAGCTCTGGTTCTTATTCCCTTCAAAAACTAGTAAAAAAAAATTTTTCTTCATCAATAAACCTCAAAAAGACCACTCTATTAGCAAATTATCATTAGAGCGAACAAGCTCGACAATTTTGAGCCTTTTCTTTCAAAAAACCAGCTCTGATTCTTATTCCCTTCAAAACTAGTGAAAAAAAAAATCTATTCATCATCCATAAACCTCAAAAAGACCACTCTATTAGCAAATTCTCAATAGAGCGAATAAGCTCGAAACTTTTGAGCCTTATAAATAGTTTTTTTTTCTACAGTAGGAAAAAAGTTTAATTGAAAATTTCAATTTGAAAACCTACATCTTTGTTTGAAGATTGACCGAAGCGATAGTGAATCGAATGAGAAGATCTACGACGCCTACGGCAACCGATTTTGAAAAACTACTTTTCTGTAAATATTTTGTTCATATTGATTTTCATCAATAAAGTATTGATTTTTACACGAGAATATTCCGATCTGGTACATTCAAAAAAATACATATTTGTTTGAAAAAAGACGAATTTTCCCTGCCTTTTCTCGTTGGAAGGGTGTAAAATGGCCGCTAAAAGGGTTAGGCTCAAAAAAGGCCGCTAAAAGGTAGCAAAAAGGGTCCCTTTATCGAATTATTCATTTTTTCTGGGATCAAGAAACTGTGGAGAAAGGAAGAGGCATCAAAAATGGTGCATAATAGCCGAGAAGAGGGCGTAAAAAGGCAGCAAAAAGGGAACCTTTTTCCACCATTTCCGACTTTTTCTGAACTCTCTTTTCCCCAACGTCTCTCATAACACTTCCAAAAATTCAAATATCGTTCAATTTTCACTGGAAAACCTCTTTCTTCACGAAAAAAACGTCTTCATAATAATTTTCTTTCAAAGCTTCTTCCTTGTCAAACTTGTTTACCAATCTATACGAATCGATAAGGCAAAAAGTCAATTTTATCATCATTTGATTGAGCTTTTCATCTATCAAAAAGAGGAAACCGTCACGTGAACTGATAAGAATCAATAAACAGGACTCGGCCAAAAAAAAAAAACAGTCGGACATCTGAACGATAAGACCATACTACTAGAGAAGAGTACTAAAAGTCGAAATTTAATATTTCAGCTGATAATTACAATTTACAATTTATTCAGTCTTCAGAGTAAGATGTAGAAGAAATCTCTGCTGAATCATGGTATAATCGAAGAGTTAGTCGTCGGGGCGGGTTACGGTCCACAATCGTTGCCCAATAAGTCCCGGCGTGACAGTTGGGAAATAATGTGGGCCCGTCGGTAGTACCAGCGAATAAACTGCTTCACCATGTTGGAACAGTACGGCGCGCATCTTGTCCAGGGCTGACGGGCGTCGGAATATTATCCCATGAGAGAGCGGCAATGAGGCCGACTAGTCGACGTGATGAAATGAGATAATAATAATAATATATTATTATTATTATTATCTCAGCTGATAAAAAAAGAGAAAAAAATCAATTGAAAAAAATAGTCCATTCCTTGTAATGGATGAACGCCAATTAGAAAAAAAAGGGAAAAAAGGAAAAAAATAAATAAAACGCCGATTGAAAAAGGTTATAAGCAACGAAAAGTTGTAAAAAAAAATCAATGGAGAATTATTTATTATCTCAAAAAATTGGACAAGATTCATACAATTTTTACAAGGTCCAAGAGTAGAAGTCTGAGAAAAAATAGCCGCCAAATAACGGAACAAATGCGCTCTATGGATAATTCGAACTTTTTGTAACTGGAATGAATGAGCTTTTCACATCATGTTTTCTTCATAAAAATGAATCAAAATTGAAAAATATTCATATTCACCATAGAGCGCAAATTCCCGGCCTTCTGTTTGGGAAAAAATAGCTGCTATTAATGATAGAAGTGCAACCTATGGATAAATCAAGCTTTTTTTTGTATTCGAGATTTTTTGAACTGAAATAAATGAGCATTTCGCATCATTTGTTCCACATAAAACTGAATCCAAATTGAAAACTACTCAAATTGGCCATGGAGCTCACTTCTATTCATTCAATTTTCAAGGCTTTTCCTTTAAATCATGCAGTTTTCGTTCCTCCAGTGATATCCTCGACCAAAATGACACTCGAGTTATTTTTCCGTTTCGGAAAAATCAAGTTGATCATTTCGGCACGCAGGGAGGCGTTGAACAACGTGTAGATGACCGGAGGAAGGCCTGGAAATGCATTTTTCAAGAGGATTTTGGTTTTTTTATACTGAAAAAGCTTCTCACTGTGGTTGCCGATCCAGGCCAAGTGGCAGATGACGTTGAAAAAGGGCGCCATCTCAAAGTATTGGATGTAGACGTAGAGGAAGCAGCCGATGAAGTGACAGGTGCAGACGATTAATGATTGGTAGGTTACCTGAACGACAGCATCGTCAAAAAAAAAAGCGATGACCTTTTTTCAGAGCGAAAAACGGTTTCCAGAAAGTTTTTTGAAAGTTTCCTGTGCCCTAAAAATTTTCAAACTAGAGATTTGACGAGCGGTTTTGAGCATGCTCCGCCCCTTTTTGAGTTCTTGAAGGCGTAGGATTGAGCTATGAATAGTTTCATAGCGAATAAATGAAAAAGTGGGTTCTGAAGCTTTGTGGGACAAGATTTTGAACACCTCCCCCCTCTTAAAGTTCAAGTTTCCTTCAAGACAACTTCGAAACTGTTCAAGTTCTCTACAGAAAAAAAAAATTTATGTGCTCTTATTCTGAGATTTTCAATTCTAAGCCCCTTTTTTCGTGTTTTCGAACGCGCAGGATTGAGCTATGAACTGTTTCAGAGCGAATATATTTAAAAGTGGGTTCTGAAGCTTTGTGGGACAAGATTTTGGCCTCAAGTGTGCCTCAAAAAAATCAAGTTTTCTCCAAAACGACTTCAAAACTGTTCAAGTTCTCTACAGAAAAAAGTTCATTATGCTCTGAAAACCTTCAAAATATCATTCTGAGATTTTTGGCCCATTCAAAGCCCCTTTTTTGAGTTTAGGATGAAACTTTGAACTATTAGAAAAGTTCAAAAATAGGAGCTGAATTTTCGTGGCCTATGCGCCTTTAAAAAATTCCAAGCATTCTTGAACCTTTTATAAATTTTTTTTGGTTACTGAAAAAAAAAATTCCCAGTGCCCAGAAGCTTTAAAAACGTAATCCTGAGCTTCTAACTCCATTTACAGCACCTTTTTGAGTTTTTAAAGGTCAGGCTGGAGCTCTGAACCCTTCAGAAAGTTCAAAAATAGGGGCGGATTTGGTTTGTAGCCTATGCGCCTTTAAAAACATCCAAACTTGACTGAAAACTGTTCCAGTTCACTACAAAAAAGTCCTAGAACTCTATTACCCTTTAAGGCTCCGCCCTGCGCCTTTAAAAACATCCAAGCTTGACTAAAAACCGTTCCAGTTTACCACAGAAACCCTTAGAACTTTAATCCTTCCTCGTACCCCTCTTAGGCACCGCCCTGCGCCTTTAAATTCATCTAATCTTGACTAAAAACTGTTTCAGTTCACTATAAAATGCCCTAGAACTCTGGTAACCCTTTAAGACTCCGCCCTGCGCCTTTAAACCGACCATTCTCGCAATCTTCGTGCTCGACGTCTGTACGGTCTTCATACTGTAGGTCTGAAAGAGCAGATAACTACAGATGAAAATGTAAGTGATGGCAATGGAAATCATGACGAAAAAGTTGTTGAACAAGTATGCTTCAACAGTGTACTGAAACTATTAAAATTTCTTGTAAAGCAAAAAAATTATACCAATCCTCGATCGAAACCTTCGGTCGCCTTAGACATGGGGTTGAGTAAAAATGCGGAAATATCGGGTTGGAAAAAGGTCGGTTTCGTGAAGAAAGTGAAATAAATAAAGTAGAATACAGGTAGTGAGAGGAGAATTTTGAACCAAAGTCCTTCGAATAAGAATCGGCTGGAAATCCCATATATTATATAACCCTTTTGAGGCTTTATTTGCCAAAATTTTTTGCTGTGGATAGCTTTAAACAGTGAAAAGTTGCAGGACTATTCCTGCATTTGTTTAATTATTAAATGTTTGATTAATTAATTGGATCCAATTTTTGATAGCACAAAAAACGACTTTATTTGTGGCTCATTTTTCAAATAAAGGTCATAAAAAATAATTTTTTTCGCGCCAGATCATTTTTTAGTGGTCCAATTTAAGGCGCATGATGAGACTGTTGATGTGGTCTTACAACGAAGAATGGAAAACTAGCCTTGTTCTTACTTTTTGGTTTAGAAAAGTCTTAAAACAAAGCGGAATCACTTATTTTGTCAATTCACTGCTGCCTGAGGTCAAAAATCAAAATTTCAGTGCAATTTCAAAAGATAAATCTTCAAACTGGCCACAAAATCACCATCAGTCTGTAGTTATTCCATCTGCTTACAGTCACGGCTGGCTTGAGCCATCGAAGAAAAAGGGTCCTGACACGATAATGCACGAGAGAGCGCAGACAGGACACGCCCCCTTAACGTGCCAAGCTGGCCAAAGCAAATTCAAGGTAGAACGCTGAGGGGCGTGGTCTGTCTGCGCTCTGCACCGTTCTGACACAACCTCTTTTTTTCAAAATCGTGTCAGGACCCTTTTTCGATGGCTCAGCCAACCGTGATCTGCTCTGGAAATGAACTAACCAAGCATGCGGAGCGACAATCTCACAGGTCCGATCGAAAGCCAGTAGAATGACGTAGGCGCAGCTCATGTGCCACAATCCTATAAAATATTGACCGCTCTATTTCAAAAAAATAGAGCCCACCAAAGACAAGGCATCCAGTTACATAGGTAAAATGAATATTGTAGCATGGATGTAGGCCGACGATCGAGTAAAATCCAGCAAAGTCGGCACAAAATATCAGACAGCAAGAGTCGGACAGGCCTAAAATTCATAGTGTTTTCAAAAATATTCAAAATGGAGTCACAAGAACGTTCTAGACTGCCTAATAGAGATATTATAGACGTTAGAATGAGAATATTTTTTTTTTGAAATTTTTCTCCGTAAAGTGTCGTGTGTCGTGTGCATGCACCGCGGCGCTTTCGCGCAGATAATTGCGTTCATGTAGAGAAATTTCGATTCGTCTCAAAGACCTCTGGCAATACGACGGCCTGCGCCTTTAATATGCTTTTTTACGCTCTTAGAGCCGAAATCTCTGCCGTTCCCAATGACGTCACGTGGGAACGATGGCTATTTTGGCTCCGCCCACCGTTTGTTTGATTTCGCATTTTAGACTCTCTTTTTTCGAGATAAAACTCTCCCGAAACATTTTTTATAGGTAGTTTAAGCTTCACTATTCTTCTTTTCATGTATAAATACACGGGGAAGCTTGAAACTTTTTTAAAAAACGAACAAACCAAGAAAGAACATGATGCGGTAACAAGGCAAGGCCCATAAAGCTTTAGATCGAAATATGGAGACGAGAACGGTGAAATATAAAATCTGAAAATTTACTAGTTAATTCATGACGTTTCCAGGGTATTCCTACCCAATAAAAATATAAAACTGATTAATTTTTTTATCTTTAAAAATTTAAAAAAATCCAAACAACTATAAAATGAACCCTTGAAGAGTTCCTGCTACCAATATCTATGCTTATGATTCGCTTGATAGCCTTTTTAGACTTTTTCCAAGTCAATACGAGCCAGAGTTCGCTGGAGCACACTTACCTGCGAAAAAACGCCGATGGACAGATAAATAACGCCGATGGGAATGTACTGCTTCGTATAGGGTGACGTTCCCGTACAATTATAAAGTCTCTCACTGAAAAATTCATTTTTTTATTCCTTAAAAAAACCTGGTTTTTTTAAAACTTTCAATTTTTTTCGTTTAAAGAAGCTCGGGCATTTTTTTAAATGGAAATTTTTGAGGCGAAAAAAACAATTTTAAGTTTTATTCAAGGTCAAGCAAGGCTTCTGCGCTTCAAAAATAGAACAGTAAAAAAATTTTTGATTTAACGGAATATAAAAAAAGAAATTGAAAAACTTACTCATAAAAAAGGGCTGCCAAAAAAAGGCGCTGATTAGCATTATAATCAAAATTTGGGTAGTGAAGAGCTTCCCTGAAAAACCATGTTTGAAAAAAATACAAATACTCCAAAAATAAAAAAATATTCTGTCAAACATCTTTGAAAGTCAAAAAAAGAGCTAAAATTCAAATTCAGTAAATTAGACTTTATAATATTAACACCTAATCAAATAGAGCGAAAATCCCAGAAACCTATCAAATTCCAGAAAAAGAAAGCGAAAAACAACGGAAAATTGAACTGAATGAAATTTACAGCTCTCAACGTCAAAATTAACTCGCATAACTTGGATTTCTTGGTAAATTTACTTTTTTTCGTATGTTTTCGATAAAATTCTATTTTTTTTAACTTTTCAAAATCTGAAAAATCACCTAATCTTCTTTAAAATCCATTCAAATCGATCGATTACCTTAAACTCCATTTTTCAAGGTAATTGACCCTCAGGCGAATTCTTCATAAAGACCAAGGGAAAAAAATAATAATTTCATTAAAAATCTATTCAAAAAAACAAACATATAAAAAGAAAAATTTGAAAAACCAATAAGCTTATAAACTTGTGTCTTGAAAATTGCACTTGGAAACTTAAAAAAATCAAGCTCTGATAACGAAAATGACCCGCAAAATGGTTCAAAAGCTCAAAGGAATCACGATAAAATATCTGAAAATCATGACCTAACAATTAAAAAGTGAATAGAAGATAACCGGCATCCTACCCAAAAAATTCAAAAAAAGAAACGAGAAAAAAAAGCTTTAAAAAAAAGTAGATTCACCGCTTTCCAAAAGACGCCTCAAAAAAGACGCTCTGGCGCACGATTTCATCATTTTCAGCTTCTGATAGGAAAAACGGTGAATCAACTATATAATAAAAATAAACAAAAACGAATCTCGAAAAAAATAGTCGATTCATCGCTCTTCAAAACACGCCTCAAAAAAGACGCTCTGGCGCACCACTAGATCATTTTTCAGCTTATTTTCATAGGGAAAACGGTGAATCAACTATATAATTTAAAAAACATCAAAAGAAAATTTCAAAAAATAGTCCTTTCACCGCTAGCTGAACAAACTCTCTTCATTTTGCACACTGTTTCGCTTTTTTTCAATCGAGCGGTGGGTGAAATATGACAAAAAATATTCAGGAAAACGAGAAAAAGAGCCTTAATGTACAAATAAACGTGGGGAACATGACAGATCTTCTCAAAATCAGACAGAATTGCTCGATGGAATGGGTGGAACTCCGCCATTGATGGATTTGGTCGCGTAGACGTTCTTCCAGATTTCGGCAAAACAGACCGAGCTGTGGAATCGGTAGAAAATGGTCAGCGGCGAGAAACTTCGGACCAGGAACACCCAGGAGCGTTTCCCGTAGTAGTCTGAATCCCATCTTTTTCGCCTTTTTTTTCGAAAAATTTCGAGAAATAGAAAAACCATCAATAAGAAAAGTTTTTTTTCTCACTAGTCAGACTCACTTATGATAATCTCTGAAACTCCAGCTTTTTCACTCTCGAACAAGTTCATGAAGAAGATGGAGACATTGGCGGTGAGAAGGAAAGTTATAGCCTTAAAAAAATTGGATTTTTGAAATTTAACTACTCTTACCTGTTTTCCAGGCTGAGCCTCACGATCCTCTGATCCGATTCTAACACTTTTCGCGACATACAACAAGAAAGTTTGGGTTCCAATCTAAATATAATTTAAATTTTGACGTTTTTTCAATCAAAACCTGAATCAACCGACAAATATGAACGAAAAGAAGTGTGAAAACGAGGGGAGTCCAGGAAACTTCGCCGGTCAAACCGACCAACCCAGCAACCGAATAGATCAGCTCGCCGACAAGGCCAACCGATAAGAGGATTTGATCAAGAAGTTCCTAAAAATCGATTGATTTTTGTGGTCCAGATTAAAATCGATACTTGATCTCTTGGGCCTCGAACTGGCGGCTTATGGAAGTACTTGAGGGCCCGCATTTGGTAGATTGCCAAAACGCAGCCGATCGTCGAGAAAACGTACTGGAAAGAGAAATTTGGTTCCCAAAGCGAAAAGGATACTGTATCTTTGTACCTGAATGATCTCGGTGAAGGCGTAGACGAAAGCGGCATGTTTTGACCTCTTCAGAATCGTATATCCATAATAAACGACCATCGAGGTGAAGGTGAAGGCCAAGAAGGCGAGGCCAAGAAAAAGCCCTGAAGCTTCTTTATTGAAATTCTTCAGGTAAAATGATACCTGTGGTCGTTTTCGAGCAATCGACACGAATCTGATGTTTCCTCTTGACATAGGTTGACCCAATGTTGTGACGGCCTGAAGTTGAAATAAAGCGGGAGGTACTGAATTTATTTTGAGTACCAATATTCCGCCAGACGATATACATAACCGCTGCGGCGATCAGAGAGTATTCAACGATTGCCGTAAACATCACTTCCGACACGCTTCCTGAAGAAAATGTCCCTTTTTTTCAGTTTTCCACCATTTTTAAGAGTCTAGAGTTTCAGTTCAAATTCTCATATCTTCAAGCCATTTCTCAGCAAAAATCCATGTTGAAAAAATTATTTTTGCATCTTGAATTAAGTCAAAAATAGGTTTCACCCATTTTTATAAAATATCACTTTTTTCCGTTTTCCCACCGTACCGAAAGTCTAAAAACTGCGCCTTCTTGAGTTTTAGTTCAAACACTTTATAGCTTCAAGTTTCTATTCACCTTTGATCTCAGAAATTAACGATGTTGAAAAATTACAAAAAAAGGTTTTACCCACTTTTTCTTTGTACAAACTTTCTAAGGAAACATGTCCCTTTCTTCATTTTCCATTATTTCAAAAAGTCTAGAAAGTTCTTCTCCTTGAGTTGTCCGTTCAATTATCCATCGCTTAAAATTACTTCATGCTGTTTTTTTCAACAATAACCACTTTTTGAAAAATATTCCCTCTTTCTTTAAATTCTACTACAAGAATGAGATATAACCTATTATTATGTGTACAAACCATTGTAATAAATAAATGATGTCTAATTTCGGCTCCTACTTACCTTAAAAAGCCTCGAAATTTTTTTTTCACTACGAAACCCTTACCCAAAACAGCTCGCATATCAGGTAAAATGTAAAAATGGTGTTTTTCTAATTGTTGTTTCAGTTATCGACCTTTTTAGTTTTCTAAACAACTTATTGGATTTTCTTTCTTCTGCTCACCTAGAAGACACTCGGCAGCCTGACATCCCGACGTGTCGCCGTGGTGTTTCCCACGACTCGATCCAAACTCTTCAGAACTGCTGCTGCTCTCGTAGTCGTAGCTCAGGCTGTAGTTTTTGTTCTTGAACACTTCTCTGAAAAAAGTTCCATCAGTGGGCCGCCTATCCTTGGTCAAAACGTATTGACGCTTCTTTTTCGTGTATTTTTCGGATTCTCTCTGAAAAAATTTTTTAGTGAGGTCGTCTAGAAGAAGTCCTCAAGCAATACTCATTCTAAGTCTTCCTTAGGTGAAAAAGCACGTTTAGACTTTTTTTTTTGAAAGATCAATCATCTTACTTGATCTCCTTCTCCATAACACTCTCTTCCATCAGAACGTATCTGATCCAAGTCCACAAATTGGCGGCGATCAGATGCATCGTTCCAAGTCGTGAAACCATATGAGACCCCGTTATTGATAACTGAAAATTGATCGAATTTCAGTTTCTAAAGCAAAGGCAATGTGACGTGACAACATGGAAGCTCGCAGAAAATGACTTCATTCTTGAATTTTTTGATTCACAACCACAGGACGACGAAAATAAACTCACTATTGATTTCATCCCAATTTCTCTAAATCTTCGGTTCAACTTCTATTTTTTTTCCATTTGTGTACGCAAACCAACCTTCCAATTGCAGAAAATGAAGTGCATCTGGATGAAAATGAACAAAATGGCCGAAACATCAAGGGCGATGCTCAAATTCGTGCATTTGTCGTCAGAAGTGCAGAGAAAGACGAGAAACGCATAATATACAACTCCAACGACTCCAAAAACTGAAAATGAGAAGCTCCGTGGTGAAAAAAAGGCGTCTGTTTGTTTAAAAAAAAGACAAGGAAGGATAAATTCACTTTTCTCAAAAGCAGCCCTCAAAGTCTGTAAAATCGTAACCTCAAACTAAAATTCATCTTAACTCTCACCAAAATTCAAGGAAGGAAGAAATGAACAAAGCTTCAAAATCAGCACAAGACTTGAAAATTCAAGTTTTCCTCATATCAAGCCAATGATCGAAGCTATCAATTCTTCCTTTTACTACATTTTCAGTCCATTTTCAAACCTATGCATCCAAGTCGCAGAAATAAACTGCCAGCAGATGGACTACTATGGGTGACTTTTCTGACTGTAGCCGCCGCTGACGATAAAGAATCCGAAGACGACGTCTTCTTCGGCCGGAAACATATCGACAAAAGTTTCTGGAGTCAAAATTCCGTCCAAAAACTCCGTTTTCTCAAAAACCAACCTTCAAATAATCCATTGTCGAATACCATCTTGGGTTTAACAGCAATACAATGTACATATACAGGAAGAACAATAAAGAGCAGCCATACATGTAAAGGCCGAAAATCTGAAAAAAGGAATTTATGAAATCTGTGCCACGCGATAATTTCAACCATATCTTTCGTGTTGATTTTTCGTTGATTCTCGTCGTTCAAAAGGTGCGAAAGCTCCAAAACTAATGAGAAAATCGTCAAGAATAGTGCGTAGAAGACCGTGCAGGCCGTCAACATGGACGTTCTGAAAAGATAGATTTTTCAAAGAGTATTTTGAATCATTCTTTATTTCGTGGAAATTCATTTCCTTTGAAAAAATTGTAACTTGTGAAATATAATTTTGAGACCAGAACAAAATGATTAGCTTTGACAGTCCTAAAGGCAGCACTAAAAAAGGCTTCTTCTAAACTTGGCAGTCCCAAGGGCAGCACTAAAAAGTCTTCTTCTGAATTTGGCAGTCCCAAGGGCAGCACTAAAAAAGGCTCCTTCGAAATTTGGCAGTCCCAAGGGCAGCATTAAAAAGGCTTCTTCTAAATTCGGCAGTCCCAAGGGCAGCACTAAAAAAGGCTTCTTCTAAATTTGGCAGTCCCAAGGGCAGCATTAAAAAGGCTTCTTCTAAATTTGGCAGTCCCAAGGGCAGCATTAAAAAGGCTTCTTCTAAATTTGGCAGTCCCAAGGGCAGCATTAAAAAAGGCTTCTTCTAAATTTGGCAGTCCCAAGGGCAGCACTAAAAAAAGGCTTCTTCTAAATTTGGCAGTCCCAAGGGCAGCATTAAAAAAAGGCTTCTTCTAAATTCGGCAGTCCCAAGGGCAGCACTAAAAAAAGGCTTCTTCTAAATTTGGCAGTCCCAAGGGCAGCATTAAAAAGGCTTCTTCTAAATTTGGCAGTCCCAAGGGCAGCATTAAAAAGGCTTCTTCTAAATTTGGCAGTCCCAAGGGCAGCACTAAAGAGGCTTCTTCTAAATTTGGCAGTCCCAAGGGCAGCATTAAAAAGGCTTCTTCTAAATTCGGCAGTCCCAAGGGCAGCACTAAAAAAGGCTTCTTCTAAATTTGGCAGTCCCAAGGGCAGCATTAAAAAGGCTTCTTCTAAATTTGGCAGTCCCAAGGGCAGCATTAAAAAGGCTTCTTCTAAATTTGGCAGTCCCAAGGGCAGCATTAAAAAGGCTTCTTCTAAATTCGGCAGTCCCAAGGGCAGCACTAAAAAAGGCTTCTTCTAAATTTGGCAGTCCCAAGGGCAGCATTAAAAAGGCTTCTTCTAAATTTGGCAGTCCCAAGGGCAGCACTAAAAAAGGCTTCTTCTAAATTTGGCAGTCCCAAGGGCAGCATTAAAAAGGCTTCTTCTAAATTCGGCAGTCCCAAGGGCAGCACTAAAAAAGGCTTCTTCTAAATTTGGCAGTCCCAAGGGCAGCATTAAAAAGGCTTCTTCTAAATTTCGGCAGTCCCAAGGGCAGCACTAAAAAAGGCTCCTTCGAAATTTGGCAGTCCCAAGGGCAGCATTAAAAAGGCTTCTTCTAAATTTGGCAGTCCCAAGGGCAGCATTAAAAAAAGGCTTCTTCTAAATTTGGCAGTCCCAAGGGCAGCATTAAAAAAAGGCTTCTTCTAAATTTGGCAGTCCCAAGGGCAGCACTAAAAAGTCTTCTTCTAAATTTGGCAGTCCCAAGGGCAGCACTAAAAAAGGCTCCTTCGAAATTTGGCAGTCCCAAGGGCAGCATTAAAAAAAGGCTTCTTCTAAATTCGGCAGTCCCAAAGGGCAGCACTAAAAAAAGGCTCCTTCGAAATTTGGCAGTCCCAAGGGCAGCATTAAAAAAAGGCTTCTTCTAAATTCGGCAGTCCCCAGGGCAGCACTATAAAAAGGCTTCTTCTAAATTTGGCAGTCCCAAGGGCAGCACTAAAAAAAGTCTTCTTCTAAATTTGGCAGTCCCAAGGGCAGCACTAAAAAAGGCTCCTTCGAAATTTGGCAGTCCCAAGGGCAGCATTAAAAAGGCTTCTTCTAAATTTGGCAGTCCCAAGGGCAGCACTAAAAAAGGCTTCTTCTAAATTTGGCAGTCCCAAGGGCAGCACTAAAAAAGCTTCTTCTAAATTCGGCAGTCCCATAAGCAGCACTAAAGAGGCTTTTTCTAAATTTGGCAGTCCCAAGGGCAGCACTAAAGAGGCTTCTTCTAAATTTGGCAGTCCCAAGGGCAGCACTAAAAAAGGCTTCTTCTAAATTTGGCAGTCCCAAGGGCAGCACTAAAAAGGCTTCCTCTAAATTTGGCAGTCCCAAGGGCAGCATTAAAGAGGCTTCTTCTGATTTGGCAGTCCCAAGAGCAGCACTGAAGAGGCTTCTTCTAAATTTGGCAGTCCCAAGGGCAGCACTAAAAGAGGCATCTTCTAAATTTGGCAGTCCCAAGGGCAGCACTAAAAAAAGGCTTCTTCTAAATTTGGCAGTCCCAAGGGCAGCACTAAAAAAAGGCTCCTTCGAAATTTGGCAGCCCCAAGGGCAGCACTAAAAAGGATTCCTCTAAATTTGGCAGTCCCAAGGGCAGCATTAAAGAGGCTTCTTCTGATTTGGCAGTCCCAAGAGCAGCACTGAAGAGGCTTCTTCTAAATTTGGCAGTCCCAAGAGCAGCACTAAAAAAGGCTTCTTCTAAATTTGGCAGTCCCAAGGGCAGCACTAAAAAAGGCTCCTTCGAAATTTGGCAGCCCCAAGGGCAGCACTGAAAAAGCTTCTTCTAAATTCGGCAGTCCCAAAAGCAGCACTAAAGAGGCTTTTTCTAAATTTGGCAGTCCCAAGGGCAGCACTAAAAGAGGCTTCTTCTAAATTTGGCAGTCCCAAGGGCAGCACTAAAAAAAGGCTTCTTCTAAATTTGGCAGTCCCAAGGGCAGCACTAAAAAAAGGCTCCTTCGAAATTTGGCAGTTCCAAGGGCAGCACTAAAGAGGCTTCTTCTAAATTTGGCAGTCCCAAGGGCAGCACTAAAAAAAGGCTTTTTTTCTAAATTTGGCAGTCCCAAAGGGCAGCACTAAAAAAAGGCTCCTTCGAAATTTGGCAGTCCCAAGGGCAGCATTAAAAAAAGGCTTCTTCTAAATTTGGCAGTCCCAAGGGCAGCACTAAAAAAGCTTCTTCTAAATTCGGCAGTCCCATAAGCAGCACTAAAGAGGCTTTTTCTAAATTTGGCAGTCCCAAGGGCAGCACTAAAGAGGCTTCTTCTAAATTTGGCAGTCCCAAGGGCAGCACTAAAAAAGGCTTCTTCTAAATTTGGCAGTCCCAAGGGCAGCACTAAAAAAGGCTTCTTCTAAATTTGGCAGTCCCAAGGGCAGCACTAAAAAAGGCTCCTTCGAAATTTGGCAGCCCCAAGGGCAGCACTAAAAAGGCTTCCTCTAAATTTGGCAGTCCCAAGGGCAGCATTAAAGAGGCTTCTTCTGATTTGGCAGTCCCAAGAGCAGCACTGAAGAGGCTTCTTCTAAATTTGGCAGTCCCAAGAGCAGCACTAAAAAAAGGCTTCTTCTAAATTTGGCAGTCCCAAGGGCAGCACTAAAAAAAGGCTCCTTCGAAATTTGGCAGCCCCAAGGGCAGCACTAAAAAAGCTTCTTCTAAATTCGGCAGTCCCAAAAGCAGCACTAAAGAGGCTTTTTCTAAATTTGGCAGTCCCAAGGGCAGCACTAAAGAGGCTTCTTCTAAATTTGGCAGTCCCAAGGGCAGCATTAAAAAGGCTTCTTCTAAATTTGGCAGTCCCAAGGGCAGCATTAAAAAGGCTTCTTCTAAATTCGGCAGTCCCAAGGGCAGCACTAAAAAAGGCTTCTTCTAAATTTGGCAGTCCCAAGGGCAGCATTAAAAAGGCTTCTTCTAAATTCGGCAGTCCCAAAGGGCAGCACTAAAAAAGGCTCCTTCGAAATTTGGCAGTCCCAAGGGCAGCATTAAAAAAGGCTTCTTCTAAATTTGGCAGTCCCAAGGGCAGCATTAAAAAGGCTTCTTCTAAATTTGGCAGTCCCAAGGGCAGCATTAAAAAGGCTTCTTCTAAATTTGGCAGTCCCAAGGGCAGCACTAAAAAGTCTTCTTCTAAATTTGGCAGTCCCAAGGGCAGCACTAAAAAAGGCTCCTTCGAAATTTGGCAGTCCCAAGGGCAGCATTAAAAAGGCTTCTTCTAAATTTGGCAGTCCCAAGGGCAGCACTAAAAAAGCTTCTTCTAAATTCGGCAGTCCCATAAGCAGCACTAAAGAGGCTTTTTCTAAATTTGGCAGTCCCAAGGGCAGCACTAAAGAGGCTTCTTCTAAATTTGGCAGTCCCAAAGGGCAGCACTAAAAAAAGGCTTCTTCTAAATTTGGCAGTCCCAAGGGCAGCACTAAAAAAAGGCTCCTTCGAAATTTGGCAGCCCCAAGGGCAGCACTAAAAAGGCTTCCTCTAAATTTGGCAGTCCCAAGGGCAGCATTAAAAGAGGCTTCTTCTGATTTGGCAGTCCCAAGAGCAGCACTGAAGAGGCTTCTTCTAAATTTGGCAGTCCCAAGGGCAGCACTAAAGAGGCTTCTTCTAAATTTGGCAGTCCCAAGGGCAGCACTAAAAAGGCTTCTTCTAAATTTGGCAGTCCCAAGGGCAGCACTAAAAAAGGCTCCTTCGAAATTTGGCAGCCCCAAGGGCAGCACTAAAAAGGATTCCTCTAAATTTGGCAGTCCCAAGGGCAGCATTAAAGAGGCTTCTTCTGATTTGGCAGTCCCAAGAGCAGCACTGAAGAGGCTTCTTCTAAATTTGGCAGTCCCAAGAGCAGCACTAAAAAAAGGCTTCTTCTAAATTTGGCAGTCCCAAGGGCAGCACTAAAAAAAGGCTCCTTCGAAATTTGGCAGCCCCAAGGGCAGCACTAAAAAAAGCTTCTTCTAAATTCGGCAGTCCCAAAAAGCAGCACTAAAGAGGCTTTTTCTAAATTTGGCAGTCCCAAGGGCAGCAGTAAAGAGGCTTCTTCTAAATTTGGCAGTCCCAAGGGCAGCACTAAAAAAGGCTTCTTCTAAATTTGGCAGTCCCAAGGGCAGCACTAAAAAAGGCTCCTTCGAAATTTGGCAGTTCCAAGGGCAGCACTAAAGAGGCTTCTTCTAAATTTGGCAGTCCCAAGGGCAGCACTAAAAAAGGCTTCTTCTAAATTTGGCAGTCCCAAGGGCAGCACTAAAAAAGGCTCCTTCGAAATTTGGCAGTCCCAAGGGCAGCATTAAAAAGGCTTCTTCTAAATTTGGCAGTCCCAAGGGCAGCACTAAAAAAGCTTCTTCTAAATTCGGCAGTCCCATAAGCAGCACTAAAGAGGCTTTTTCTAAATTTGGCAGTCCCAAGGGCAGCACTAAAGAGGCTTCTTCTAAATTTGGCAGTCCCAAGGGCAGCACTAAAAAAAGGCTTCTTCTAAATTTGGCAGTCCCAAGGGCAGCACTAAAAAAGGCTTCTTCTAAATTTGGCAGTCCCAAGGGCAGCACTAAAAAAGGCTCCTTCGAAATTTGGCAGCCCCAAGGGCAGCACTAAAAAGGCTTCCTCTAAATTTGGCAGTCCCAAGGGCAGCATTAAAGAGGCTTCTTCTGATTTGGCAGTCCCAAGAGCAGCACTGAAGAGGCTTCTTCTAAATTTGGCAGTCCCAAGAGCAGCACTAAAAAAGGCTTCTTCTAAATTTGGCAGTCCCAAGGGCAGCACTAAAAAAGGCTCCTTCGAAATTTGGCAGCCCCAAGGGCAGCACTAAAAAAGCTTCTTCTAAATTCGGCAGTCCCAAAAGCAGCACTAAAGAGGCTTTTTCTAAATTTGGCAGTCCCAAGGGCAGCACTAAAGAGGCTTCTTCTAAATTTGGCAGTCCCAAGGGCAGCACTAAAGAGGCTTTTTCTAAATTTGGCAGTCCCAAGGGCAGCACTAAAGAGGCTTCTTCTAAATTTGGCAGTCCCAAGGGCAGCACTAAAAAAGGCTTCTTCTAAATTTGGCAGTCCCAAGGGCAGCACTAAAAAAGGCTCCTTCGAAATTTGGCAGTCCCAAGGGCAGCACTAAAAAAGGCTCCTTCGAAATTTGGCAGCCCCAAGGGCAGCACTAAAAAGGCTTCCTCTAAATTTGGCAGTCCCAAGGGCAGCATTAAAGAGGCTTCTTCTAAATTTGGCAGTCCCAAGGGCAGCATTAAAAAGGCTTCTTCTAAATTTGGCAGTCCCAAGGGCAGCACTAAAGAGGCTTCTTCTAAATTTGGCAGTCCCAAGGGCAGCATTAAAAAGGCTTCTTCTAAATTCGGCAGTCCCAAGGGCAGCACTAAAAAAGGCTTCTTCTAAATTTGGCAGTCCCAAGGGCAGCATTAAAAAGGCTTCTTCTAAATTTGGCAGTCCCAAGGGCAGCATTAAAAAGGCTTCTTCTAAATTTGGCAGTCCCAAGGGCAGCATTAAAAAGGCTTCTTCTAAATTCGGCAGTCCCAAGGGCAGCATTAAAAAGGCTTCTTCTAAATTCGGCAGTCCCAAGGGCAGCACTAAAAAAGGCTTCTTCTAAATTTGGCAGTCCCAAGGGCAGCATTAAAAAGGCTTCTTCTAAATTCGGCAGTCCCAAGGGCAGCACTAAAAAAGGCTCCTTCGAAATTTGGCAGTCCCAAGGGCAGCATTAAAAAGGCTTCTTCTAAATTTGGCAGTCCCAAGGGCAGCATTAAAAAAAGGCTTCTTCTAAATTTGGCAGTCCCAAGGGCAGCATTAAAAAAAGGCTTCTTCTAAATTTGGCAGTCCCAAGGGCAGCACTAAAAAGTCTTCTTCTAAATTTGGCAGTCCCAAGGGCAGCACTAAAAAAGGCTCCTTCGAAATTTGGCAGTCCCAAGGGCAGCATTAAAAAGGCTTCTTCTAAATTCGGCAGTCCCAAGGGCAGCACTAAAAAAGGCTCCTTCGAAATTTGGCAGTCCCAAGGGCAGCATTAAAAAGGCTTCTTCTAAATTCGGCAGTCCCCAGGGCAGCACTATAAAAGGCTTCTTCTAAATTTGGCAGTCCCAAGGGCAGCACTAAAAAGTCTTCTTCTAAATTTGGCAGTCCCAAGGGCAGCACTAAAAAAGGCTCCTTCGAAATTTGGCAGTCCCAAGGGCAGCATTAAAAAGGCTTCTTCTAAATTTGGCAGTCCCAAGGGCAGCACTAAAAAAGGCTTCTTCTAAATTTGGCAGTCCCAAGGGCAGCACTAAAAAAGCTTCTTCTAAATTCGGCAGTCCCATAAGCAGCACTAAAGAGGCTTTTTCTAAATTTGGCAGTCCCAAGGGCAGCACTAAAAGAGGCTTCTTCTAAATTTGGCAGTCCCAAGGGCAGCACTAAAAAAGGCTTCTTCTAAATTTGGCAGTCCCAAGGGCAGCACTAAAAAAGGCTCCTTCGAAATTTGGCAGCCCCAAGGGCAGCACTAAAAAGGCTTCCTCTAAATTTGGCAGTCCCAAGGGCAGCATTAAAGAGGCTTCTTCTGATTTGGCAGTCCCAAGAGCAGCACTGAAGAGGCTTCTTCTAAATTTGGCAGTCCCAAGGGCAGCACTAAAGAGGCTTCTTCTAAATTTGGCAGTCCCAAGGGCAGCACTAAAAAAGGCTTCTTCTAAATTTGGCAGTCCCAAGGGCAGCACTAAAAAAAGGCTCCTTCGAAATTTGGCAGCCCCAAGGGCAGCACTAAAAAAAGGATTCCTCTAAATTTGGCAGTCCCAAGGGCAGCATTAAAGAGGCTTCTTCTGATTTGGCAGTCCCAAGAGCAGCACTGAAGAGGCTTCTTCTAAATTTGGCAGTCCCAAGAGCAGCACTAAAAAAAGGCTTCTTCTAAATTTGGCAGTCCCAAGGGCAGCACTAAAAAAGGCTCCTTCGAAATTTGGCAGCCCCAAGGGCAGCACTGAAAAAGCTTCTTCTAAATTCGGCAGTCCCAAAAGCAGCACTAAAGAGGCTTTTTCTAAATTTGGCAGTCCCAAGGGCAGCACTAAAGAGGCTTCTTCTAAATTTGGCAGTCCCAAGGGCAGCACTAAAAAAGGCTTCTTCTAAATTTGGCAGTCCCAAGGGCAGCACTAAAAAAGGCTCCTTCGAAATTTGGCAGTTCCAAGGGCAGCACTAAAGAGGCTTCTTCTAAATTTGGCAGTCCCAAGGGCAGCACTAAAAAAGGCTTTTTCTAAATTTGGCAGTCCCAAGGGCAGCACTAAAAAAAGGCTCCTTCGAAATTTGGCAGTCCCAAGGGCAGCATTAAAAAAAGGCTTCTTCTAAATTTGGCAGTCCCAAGGGCAGCACTAAAAAAAGCTTCTTCTAAATTCGGCAGTCCCATAAGCAGCACTAAAGAGGCTTTTTTTCTAAATTTGGCAGTCCCAAGGGCAGCACTAAAGAGGCTTCTTCTAAATTTGGCAGTCCCAAGGGCAGCACTAAAAAAGGCTTCTTCTAAATTTGGCAGTCCCAAGGGCAGCACTAAAAAAAGGCTTCTTCTAAATTTGGCAGTCCCAAGGGCAGCACTAAAAAAAGGCTCCTTCGAAATTTGGCAGCCCCAAGGGCAGCACTAAAAAAAGGCTTCCTCTAAATTTGGCAGTCCCAAGGGCAGCATTAAAGAGGCTTCTTCTGATTTGGCAGTCCCAAGAGCAGCACTGAAGAGGCTTCTTCTAAATTTGGCAGTCCCAAGAGCAGCACTAAAAAAAGGCTTCTTCTAAATTTGGCAGTCCCAAGGGCAGCACTAAAAAAAGGCTCCTTCGAAATTTGGCAGCCCCAAGGGCAGCACTAAAAAAAGCTTCTTCTAAATTCGGCAGTCCCAAAAAGCAGCACTAAAGAGGCTTTTTTTCTAAATTTGGCAGTCCCAAGGGCAGCACTAAAGAGGCTTCTTCTAAATTTGGCAGTCCCAAGGGCAGCATTAAAAAAAGGCTTCTTCTAAATTTGGCAGTCCCAAGGGCAGCATTAAAAAAAGGCTTCTTCTAAATTCGGCAGTCCCAAGGGCAGCACTAAAAAAGGCTTCTTCTAAATTTGGCAGTCCCAAGGGCAGCATTAAAAAGGCTTCTTCTAAATTCGGCAGTCCCAAGGGCAGCACTAAAAAAGGCTCCTTCGAAATTTGGCAGTCCCAAGGGCAGCATTAAAAAGGCTTCTTCTAAATTTGGCAGTCCCAAGGGCAGCATTAAAAAGGCTTCTTCTAAATTTGGCAGTCCCAAGGGCAGCATTAAAAAGGCTTCTTCTAAATTTGGCAGTCCCAAGGGCAGCACTAAAAAGTCTTCTTCTAAATTTGGCAGTCCCAAGGGCAGCACTAAAAAAGGCTCCTTCGAAATTTGGCAGTCCCAAGGGCAGCACTAAAAAAGGCTTCTTCTAAATTTGGCAGTCCCAAGGGCAGCACTAAAAAAGCTTCTTCTAAATTCGGCAGTCCCATAAGCAGCACTAAAGAGGCTTTTTTTCTAAATTTGGCAGTCCCAAGGGCAGCACTAAAGAGGCTTCTTCTAAATTTGGCAGTCCCAAGGGCAGCACTAAAAAAGGCTTCTTCTAAATTTGGCAGTCCCAAGGGCAGCACTAAAAAAGGCTCCTTCGAAATTTGGCAGCCCCAAGGGCAGCACTAAAAAGGCTTCCTCTAAATTTGGCAGTCCCAAGGGCAGCATTAAAGAGGCTTCTTCTGATTTGGCAGTCCCAAGAGCAGCACTGAAGAGGCTTCTTCTAAATTTGGCAGTCCCAAGGGCAGCACTAAAGAGGCTTCTTCTAAATTTGGCAGTCCCAAGGGCAGCACTAAAAAAGGCTTCTTCTAAATTTGGCAGTCCCAAGGGCAGCACTAAAAAAGGCTCCTTCGAAATTTGGCAGCCCCAAGGGCAGCACTAAAAAGGATTCCTCTAAATTTGGCAGTCCCAAGGGCAGCATTAAAGAGGCTTCTTCTGATTTGGCAGTCCCAAGAGCAGCACTGAAGAGGCTTCTTCTAAATTTGGCAGTCCCAAGAGCAGCACTAAAAAAGGCTTCTTCTAAATTTGGCAGTCCCAAGGGCAGCACTAAAAAAGGCTCCTTCGAAATTTGGCAGCCCCAAGGGCAGCACTAAAAAAGCTTCTTCTAAATTCGGCAGTCCCAAAAGCAGCACTAAAGAGGCTTTTTCTAAATTTGGCAGTCCCAAGGGCAGCAGTAAAGAGGCTTCTTCTAAATTTGGCAGTCCCAAGGGCAGCACTAAAAAAGGCTTCTTCTAAATTTGGCAGTCCCAAGGGCAGCACTAAAAAAGGCTCCTTCGAAATTTGGCAGTTCCAAGGGCAGCACTAAAGAGGCTTCTTCTAAATTTGGCAGTCCCAAGGGCAGCACTAAAAAAGGCTTCTTCTAAATTTGGCAGTCCCAAGGGCAGCACTAAAAAAGGCTCCTTCGAAATTTGGCAGTCCCAAGGGCAGCATTAAAAAGGCTTCTTCTAAATTTGGCAGTCCCAAGGGCAGCACTAAAAAAGCTTCTTCTAAATTCGGCAGTCCCATAAGCAGCACTAAAGAGGCTTTTTCTAAATTTGGCAGTCCCAAGGGCAGCACTAAAGAGGCTTCTTCTAAATTTGGCAGTCCCAAGGGCAGCACTAAAAAAGGCTTCTTCTAAATTTGGCAGTCCCAAGGGCAGCACTAAAAAAGGCTTCTTCTAAATTTGGCAGTCCCAAGGGCAGCACTAAAAAAGGCTCCTTCGAAATTTGGCAGCCCCAAGGGCAGCACTAAAAAAAGGCTTCCTCTAAATTTGGCAGTCCCAAGGGCAGCATTAAAGAGGCTTCTTCTGATTTGGCAGTCCCAAGAGCAGCACTGAAGAGGCTTCTTCTAAATTTGGCAGTCCCAAGAGCAGCACTAAAAAAAGGCTTCTTCTAAATTTGGCAGTCCCAAGGGCAGCACTAAAAAAAGGCTCCTTCGAAATTTGGCAGCCCCAAGGGCAGCACTAAAAAAAGCTTCTTCTAAATTCGGCAGTCCCAAAAGCAGCACTAAAGAGGCTTTTTCTAAATTTGGCAGTCCCAAAGGGCAGCACTAAAGAGGCTTCTTCTAAATTTGGCAGTCCCAAGGGCAGCACTAAAAAAGGCTTCTTCTAAATTTGGCAGTCCCAAGGGCAGCACTAAAGAGGCTTCTTCTAAATTTGGCAGTCCCAAGGGCAGCACTAAAAAAGGCTCCTTCGAAATTTGGCAGCCCCAAGGGCAGCACTAAAAAAGCTTCTTCTAAATTCGGCAGTCCCAAAAGCAGCACTAAAGAGGCTTTTTCTAAATTTGGCAGTCCCAAGGGCAGCACTAAAGAGGCTTCTTCTAAATTTGGCAGCACTAAAAAAGGCTTCTTCTAAATTTGGCAGTCCCAAGGGCAGCACTAAAAAAGGCTCCTTCGAAATTTGGCAGTTCCAAGGGCAGCACTAAAGAGGCTTCTTCTAAATTTGGCAGTCCCAAGGGCAGCACTAAAAAAGGCTTCTTCTAAATTTGGCAGTCCCAAGGGCAGCACTAAAAAAAGGCTCCTTCGAAATTTGGCAGTCCCAAGGGCAGCATTAAAAAAAGGCTTCTTCTAAATTTGGCAGTCCCAAGGGCAGCACTAAAAAAAGCTTCTTCTAAATTCGGCAGTCCCATAAGCAGCACTAAAGAGGCTTTTTTTCTAAATTTGGCAGTCCCAAGGGCAGCACTAAAGAGGCTTCTTCTAAATTTGGCAGTCCCAAGGGCAGCACTAAAAAAGGCTTCTTCTAAATTTGGCAGTCCCAAGGGCAGCACTAAAAAAGGCTTCTTCTAAATTTGGCAGTCCCAAGGGCAGCACTAAAAAAGGCTCCTTCGAAATTTGGCAGCCCCAAGGGCAGCACTAAAAAGGCTTCCTCTAAATTTGGCAGTCCCAAGGGCAGCACTAAAAAAGCTCCTTCTAAATTCGGCAGTCCCAAAAGCAGCAATAAAAAGGCTTCTTCTAAATTTGGCAGTCCCAAAGGCAGCACTAAAAAAGGCTCCTTCGAAATTTGGCAGTCCCAAGGGCAGCACTTAAAAAGCTCCTTCTAAATTTGACATTCCTATGGACAGCGCTCAAAAGGCTTCTTCTAACTTGGCAGTCCTAAGAGCAGCACTAAAAAAATGAGAAATAGAACATTCTACATTGACAAACGACAAAAACTCAAACTAAAAACCATCAGAATGAAAAAAAGAAAACTAACCAGACCGTAGAAAATTTCAAAAATGAATTGAAAGGCTCTTTTTACCTTTTTGACCAACAAAAATCATAAAATTTACCTCTGCTCTTGACGAAACCGCTGTTTACTTTTCAAATCGACGTCGGAAGTTAAACTAATTCTCATAGTTCCAATATTATTGGAAACTGGTAAAGTTTGAAATAAAACAAAAACGAGAAGACGTGAAAAAGACGCCGAAAGTTCGGAGGACAGCAAATCTCCAAAAACCACGCTTATTTATTTGTTGGTGTTCCAGTTTTGGATAAATATAGCGTTCCATAACAAGCTAAAAATGAAGATTTAAAAAAAAATTGCTCAAAGGAATAGGAAAAGGACACACTACAGATGTTTCTTATTTGGTAAAATGTAGGGGGAGCAATTTTCTAGTAATTTGCTTGCTGAACGTTCAACGCGGATTAAAAACTTTTTTCTCGGTTTTTAGCCGTTTCAAGGCGACCTACTGGACTGTGCGGGAACAAATCACAAAAAAATTGAAATTCGTTTTCTAGTTAACTTATTTTCAGCAAAAGTGTCTATTCTCATATTCGACTCAAAAAAAGCACTTCAAGTTCGGTTCAAAAAGTGGTGAAAAGAGATGCCAAATACAATGGGAGAACTCCGAAATTGGGGCACAAAGCCCGAAAAATTCGTCGCTTATTTGCACAGTCGTTTTTAGGATTACAGCTTCGGAAGCGTGTGGAACCGGAGTAGGAATTTATAGTAGGGATAAAATTGAGATCTATTCCTTGTATCTCAATAAAATCCCGAAAAACTTGTTCAAAATTTTCTGAACACTTGAAATGGATGAATGAAATGAAAGTTCTCGGCAGAATTTTCTTTGATTTTGAAACTGAATTTTGTCTTTGAAGATGATACCAATATATTTTCCACTATGATTGAATTTGAACTTGGCCGTCTTGTTGTGGATCCACATGTCTTCAGCTGATCTCGCCGTCGTTTCCGGCTCCGGAGTTCCATCGTTGCTTTCGTCATCGAGGGAAAGTCGACGGGGAAGCTGAATCAATAAAAGTTCTTCTTATTTCTTTTATTATAATGACTATACTTTTTAAAAAAGCATACGAATTTAACTTTCCAACGTTTAATTAAACTTCACGGACGAGTATTGGAAATTCAAAAAAAGAATACTAAATATGAAGCTTAAAAAAACATTAAGTTCATTTATAGTTTGTGTGCCACGGCTTGGAATTTCACCGAACGACATTCCGCTCTGCCGCTGTGCGTTTTTTTGCGAACCTTGGTCACGCTTTTAACTTTTTTTAAAAAAATTTATTAGGGTACTCTACTTTTATGTGCTCCCACAGCAATAACAATTAATTGGAAGCGTGACCTAGATTCGAAAGACGCTTCGCGAACGCACGCAGCGGAACAGCGGAATGTCGTTCCGTGAAATTTCAAGACGTGGCACACAGACTACAACATTCATAAAAAAAATTCCTCATGAACCCTTTTCCGTTCTGACTCAAGTTTCACTAAAATTTGATAGCATTTTTTCGAGTATCCTAATATTCTATTTATTCCTGTCTTAATGAATCTAAAAATCCATGAAAATGCAACTGCTCAAATTTATAAAGTAGTTGGTCTACCCGGAACTTGAGAAAAGCCTGGCAAAAAAAATAGTTTAAAAACTTCAATCCACCAATTTTCCTTGAAAAATCTTCCCAAACCATCGCTCCATCGTGACTCTCTTTTTTAAAAAATTATTTTCAAGTTCGAAAGAGCTGTTTTGATAAGATGAATTGAATATTTTACCCTGTCAGGTCTTTCGATATTTTCTCCAACTTGAAACGCCACACCGGCTTCCATACTGTCGTCTCTGGACTGAATTTGATATGGTTAGAAATCGAATTTTTTTGAGGTATCTTACAAGAACTCCCATCGGATCGGAATTGTCGTTCGATGAGCCACCGGCCACTGGATCACGGTTCAAGCTGAAATTTTTAACAATTTCTCTGAAAATCTTGGTTTTTTGGTCTAAAGTTGAGCCTAACTCAGCCAGAACAAAAGTCCATTTTCCGTGACTTGAAAGGGCGGGACTTCTCTGCGCCCTCCTCGTCTCTCGACGACCCTCTCTTGCTGACGCGCTATTTTCGCGTTTCTGTGACCTCGCCGGTGAGAGAACAGAGAGACGCAGACACCCGAAAACTGTCAAGTCCCGGTGGACGGACTATAGAACAAGTTTACGTCTAATATGTGTGAATAAAATATTTTTTGAACGTCATTCAATTGAAATAATTGAAATAATGTAGAGATTGAACTTCAAAAAAATGTTCTACGGACTCAAAATTGCTGGTTCTCAGCCACGCCGAGGTGAAGTCGTTGGAGACTTGCGGATTGGTGGAATGACGGCGAGCGAAAAGGGAAAATCTGCGAGTTGGCGGCGGTCCGACGGCTCCAGACGGACGGTACTCCGACAGGAAGCGAACCAGTGGACGCGTGCCGCCGTTGACTGAAACAGAAAAATCAAGGGATCAAGGGAAAAATCACAAATTTCAGAGGCATAGTCAAGTTGAAAAAAAAAGTATTCAGGAAATCCAAAAAAGGGATTCGCAACCTCCTTTCTTAATGAATGGCTCATTCTTGCTCAATTTTTGCAGCTTAACCTTCAAAGTGAAAAAAAAGACACTGTTCAGAAATCTATCTATTTCTCGCCTACTTTCTCTGTAGACAAACAGAAAAGTTCGCCGTTCAGACAGGTTACTTTTTTTGGGACCCCTTGAGTCATTTGGAGTTCCTTAGGTTCAAGTAAGCCAAAAAAATCACAAAAAAAAATTGAACGTAATGAAACGCGGTCATTTCAGAAAAGCCCGGAAAATTTTTGAATGTTTGTTCTTTGGACCGCTTTTTTCCGGCAGAACAATCCTCTCAGATGAATCACGGCCGGAAAAAAACGGGGAAAATGACTAGATCATTAATATTTTTAAACATCGGTGGACACAACCAAAATATAGACGATAGTAGAAATTTTTTCAATGAAAGAGCTGGTTTTTTTTTTTGACGGAAATGTTTCGGTTTCTGAAAAAACTGAAGAAAATTGCTCATTTCCAGTAGGTAGGATTATAATGAATGATCTCAAAGAACTGAGTTTTATTTAATTTTGCAAAAGATAGAAGCCATCAGGTTCAAAATATGTAAATAAACTGATAAATCTAGAAACAACTATCAAAGTTGAAGAAAGTGAAATAGAAGAATTATTTTTTTCAAAAATTTTCACATGATGAGTCGGAAAAAGACAGAAAAAAAGGATCTGATTATGATAAATTTAGTTTTTTTCAGTTCATGATTGAGAAAGAAAAATGCATTAAAAGAGATCCTAGAGGTTTTAAAAATGTATAAGCATAACCATGGCAAAAAGAATCCAGTAAAACCTGGCTTCGATTCCCAATGGTCCAATGACAATGAGTAAGGAAACCTAGAAAAAACTCGAGAAAAAAGACGCATTGACAAGAAATTGACCATCAACTGACCTCACCGGTGCGGGGGGATTAAACCGGTGCACGATCAACACACATGAGGGAGAAAGAGCCCGACAGGCGCTAAACTAACTTCACCCCGACCGAAATTTGTGAAAAAAACGGCTTTTACGGAAGTTGTCAGTGAAAAAAATCAACCTTTCAAGTTCATCAAGACCTTTGCGACTTCGAAATTGATCTTCTTGATTTAGTTGGTATGGATTAACAGCCAAATTAGCTTACAAAAAAATTCTCTTTTTCTCTTAAATCAAGGAAAAAAATTAGTGAGAATTGGTTCATTCTTTAAAAAAAGCTTCTGAAATTTCGTACGGTACAAAAATTATGGTCCGTTCTGGCTTGAAAAAAAGTGGTCTTTTTATTCAGAATTTTCAAAAAAATTGCTGAGCAAATATAGTTAATTTACAGGGGGAGGGCAAAAAAATTGCTTAAAAAGAGGAAAAGTTCAAATGTCAGCAAATCTTCTTGACCCAGGCTTGCGGTGTATAAAGTTTACATCACACTTTAATTATACCTCTAAAAAGCTTCAAGATAATTATTTATATTGGATCTAAAAATTCCCCCTAGCTGTTCAAAGAATTTCAAGGGAACTCCTAGTTATCTTAAATTTTTTTTTACCTTGAAAATGACTCCAAATTCACCCGAAAAAAATCGGAAAACTTCTCTAAATGATTCCTATCTTAAGAAAAAAACAAGTCGGAGGATTAAAAAAACGATTCTAAGCATTAAAAAAAGCAAAAAAACAAAAAGAAGCCGAGTCTTTTTTTGGCCATGTTTGGGAGCAGGAACCGAACGACCTCGGCAAACATCGGCCGGTCAGAGACGGACACCGGAAATCGCCGAAAAAAAGCTGCCAACCCCGGTCGGCGGGGGAAGGGGGTTGAAAGGCAACAATTTGTTTTGATTTTGCGCTCTAATAGTGATTTTTCAGATCAAATTTCGAAATGGGGAAAAAATGTAAATGTTAAAATCGACTTCAAAATGGAACAAATTGTTTTTGTCGAACCTACAGCTTCTCAATAAGAAGCCTTAGCATGGTACCCTACAGTGTTTAGGCAAGATCATCTCATCAAAATCATTAAACTACATCCATTTTCGGCTGTTTCATTGGACCTTTCAAAGCTCTGGCCATAAAATTAGGACTTCCTTATGTGCTGTTTGAAAAAAAGAACGTCATAAGTTCTGGTTGAGCTGAAATCATTCAAAGTAAGCTCCAGACTTACTGAAATTATTTTATGAAGTTCCAGCCATGATAAAGTTTCAAGGAATTAAAGGCTAAAACTTTTTATTCGCAAAAAAAACTCTACAACCTTAGGAATTCCAGAGTGGTCCCTTAAGGGGTTAGGGACAGAAAAAGTCGTCTATATAGGGGTAAAATTCAAGTGGTCCTTAAAGGGGTTTCGAGTCTGACCCCTTAGCCCCAAACCTCAAGTGGACCCTATAGGGGCCTCACAATTCCATTCAAAAACGCTTATTTGCAAGCTTTGGCAGCCCCTAGAGGGGTTGGTAAAGTGGCCCCTAGAGGGGACTTTCAGGTTGCTCATGTAGGGACCATTCTGGAGTTCCTAAGACGTCGGTATGACATGTTGGGTTTGTTCTAAATAGGAAAAAATATCAACTTTTGATCTACCTGGATTTTTCATATTTCGAAATGAGATTGTAAAAATAAACTCAAGAAAACAATTTCACGGAAGTTACCGAAGAAAAGACCTTGAAACGCTAAATATAAGCTTATATTAGGAGTACGGTAGGTGTTCTCCAATGAGCAGATTTGTTTGTTGCGCTGACAAAGTGGGAAGCTCAAATAGACACGTTTTCAGAAATCACTTTTTTACAATATTACGGTTTCAGTTTCCTGGGTTCTAACCTTTCCGCGCGGAAAGTTTGCAAGCAAATAAACTTTTCGTCACAAATTACATTTTTTTTTGAGGTTCTAGAGAAAAGGAGTCGATTTTTTCAAAAGTTACTAAATATTTCACAAACTGAAGGGATCAAGACGCTTAGAAAACTAAGATTTATATTTCAAAATCATTCCCTAGAGATAATTTTTAGCCTCTCTAAACTATAGAGGGTTTCATATAAGTTCCAAAAAAAGCTTGAATATAACAAAAAAATATTAAAAATAAAAAAAAATAATCTAATAAAATTGAGAGGGTATTTACAAGGAAGGTCCTTTAACTTTTCGGATGGGATTTTCTCAAAAATTGGCCAGGATTCTCCTTGAGGGACCAAAAAAAGACCCTTCCAGCCTGCACAAATTCCTAGTTTTTGAGAAAGAAAACTTCTCTCGAAATCCGTTAAAATAGGCTAATTTGAGGGCCACATTTCTCAAAAACCCGGGAGTTGTGCAGGTTAAAACTTTCAGGATGGTTTTCTGGTACATCAAGAAGTGTTTCGGCCAAATTTCAAGAAATCAGAAAGTGAAATGACCTCCCTAGGAAGCTAAAAAAAATAATTTCATTGTACTAAATTTGTTCAGGAACACGGACCTACACAGTATAAAAATCATAGTTTCATTCAAAGTCCAGAAAAAAGTCCACAGTCAGCTGTACAAAACGAGAGCAAATTCATGATTTTGGCGCATCTCCGTCCAAGCACTCGAGAGTGCGGAAAGAGCTCGAGCACGACCTCTCATGTTCGTCAGAGCGAATTTGAATAATCTCTTGGAATGAACAAATATAAGACATTTCTGTACCTTCTAAACTCCAAAAAATGGTCCAAGAGTAAGATTGAGGGAGGGAAAAAAAGTGGATGAAAGCTCAACCGGGGGGTACCACCAGAAAGACCATCCGGTCGCACACGCGCAAATACACGTCAGTATTCTTTCGAGCCGGAGACAGGTTATTTCCGTTTTTGATTTTTGCGTCTTTTGAATTCACCGGTGATGTTCAGAGAACAACTACGCTAGACATGCTGTCTGGTAGTTGCAAGTTTGAAGAAATCAACTTTACTTCAAATCAGAAAAATCAAAAATGTTTCATTTCTCGAGAAAGAAAGAATTTAACCAAGGAACGTTTTCAACCCCCCAGGTTGAACTTTTGCTGAAACTTTGCTGAGGTGTAATTTAGGACCCCCTGATTCCAGAACAAAAAGAATATTTCTCGCAATTGATCTTGTTTCCGAGTTATGGAGCTTCAAAGTGTGCAAAATACGAAAATTAGACCAAAAAGCGCTATTTCGGGCTTTTGAAGTGTCCTAACTCGAAAACGAGATCTATTGCGAGAAATTTTTTTTCAGGCGGTAAAAAACGTTCCCTAGTAAGAAAAGTTTGCTTCTGAATAACTTTGGAGCAGGATTTTTGAGAAATGAGCGCCAAAAAAAAGCCACCTCAATCACTGCCAAACTCGGAAGTGTGCAAAAAGGAAGTGACTGCAAAATGGCCGCTAAAAGGGTTCCGTTTTGCGGCCTTTATTGAGCCTTTTTTTCTTGGTGGGCTAAAAAGCCTCAAAAAAGGGTGCTGAAAGACTCGGAACTTTCCGATATTACTGTATAGTCTGTTCAGATTTTGAATTTCAAGTCGTCACTCAAGCTCCGCCCCTAATGGTACAATAAACTAATTAGAGAGCGAGCCACACACAGAGTGTTTTTGAATGACGTCATTGCTCTTGACATTGAAAATCTGAACACACCATAGCACATTTTGGTTCATACAGGGTTGCTGGTAAGATTATTCTCAATGTAAAAAATTTCGTGATTCTCAAAATGGTCCAAAAAGGGTCGATAAAGGCCGGAAAAAGGCAGTATAAAGAAAACCTTTTTGGGAGCAATTTATGGAAGCTTTTGATCCATAACGGACGCTCAAAGGGCCCGTAAAGGGTCCTTCCGAATTTTCCTATGCTATAAGCTCAAAGTTCCTTTTTTTCTGATTTTCAAAAAAAGGCTCCAGAAGGAAAGTTCAGGAGCGATCAGTTGTAGAAGTCGAAGCCGAGAAAGTTAAAAATCTATGTTTTTTCGAGAATAACTTAAAGCTCTTTCCAACTTCTCGGAGTAATAACTTTGGAAAAGACAATATCTCCATTTTCTACTGAAATCATAACTATTCAAGCTTCAAGGTTATCGATTTTTCTTGACTAGAAAAATTGGGCCAAAACTATGAGCTCAACATAAAAGTGAAGTAGTCGCTTCTAAAGGTATCTTTTTCAGAACCTTCTAATTTAACTAATTTCCGTTCCCTGAAATTTTGTTCCTTCAAGCCAAATTTACCATCTTCCTCGTCGATCACCGGACAATTGACGGGGGAAAATCGGAGGGGTACTTCCGAATTCTGATTGGCGACTGGCGACGGCTTCTGATTGGCGACTGGCGACGGCGGTACCGAAGTTCCCATCGGCTGTGTATGAGCCAGAATTTCCTAGAAATTTTCAATTTATTCGAAAAATCATAGAAAGAAGGAAAAACCCTCAAATCCTGCATTGAATGCGACTCGACGGAAGAGTTATCCGAGGACTTCTCTTGATTATTTTGGCCTTTCATCTTGAAAATCGCTTATTTCTGTAATTAAACAGATCAAAAACTTGTTCAAAACAGGGAAAAAATAGATTGAACATAGGAGATTCGATTTTTACAAGGTTTCCTAGCCTTTTTTTAATTTTTGAGGGGGGGCGGGGGAATTTTTTTACTCTCGAGTTTTTAGAACTGTCTGTTTGAGCTTTTCATAATGGATCTAGAGCCTTGTAAACTTTAAAAACCAAAGAAAACTTATTTGGCGGGGGTGGTTTTTCAAGAATTTTGATACCCTATATTGCAACCATTTCCAATAGATCTAGAACCTTGTAAACTTGAAAAAAACCTAAGAAACTATTCTCGATGGGGGAGAACTTTTTTTGAACTTTCTTATTTAAGCTATTTAAAAATGGATCTAGAACCTTGTAAACTTAAAAAAATGTAAACTTGAAAGAAACCGAATATTTTTTTGAGGGGGGTTTCTAGAATTTTGAAAAACCCCTAATTTTATCTACTTCTGATGGATCTAGAAACTTAAAAACTTCGAAAAAATTTTTTTTTGAAAAACACGGATTTTTGGTACTGAAATCTTTTTATTAAAAGCAAAAAAATTATATGAAATCCGCCAAAAAAATTTCATAATTTCCACATGTCCATGCTTCTTTTTTTGTTTGCTCTCCTGTCGAAAAAAACCGATGTTTGCCACGAAAAAAACAGTTCGGAAAAACTTCCCTGTCCCTCCAAATAGCAACTTTTTGAACGCATCTTTGAAATGGGAGTGGTGAATATCCGAAAAAATGAAATCAAAGCTCAAAAAATTCTTCGGAAATATTTTTTAAACTTCAATTTTCATATCAGTCCCTTCTCAATGATTGCTCTCAAGGTCAGAATGTTTGAAAATAAGACGAATTTTTCAGAAATCATGCTACACGATGAAAACCATCATGAATAGGAAAAAAAATTTTGCTTTGAAAAGGCCAAAACTTTTTAATTCTCTCGATTCAACGGGGATTCATCACAACAAAAAAATCACTAAATATAAATACCAATCTGTAAATCTAAACATTTTTCAATGTTTGGAATCATTTTGATTGACGAATCAATCAAAAAAAGCCTTTTTAGAAAAAAAGCGAAGCATGAGAAAAAAATGATTTTTTTGCGAATCGCCCCATGGAACTTGGGTTAGTAAGTTTTTTTGAATAAAGATGTTCTGAAAAGAAGAAAAAACTTTATTTGATTCAATATATCCATCCAGACAAAATCAAAAAATATCTTTGGAAACTTCTAAAAGTCACTACCTGCAATAACTCCTAGATCATTAGAAAGAGTCAGAAAAAGGGAAAATTTAGAAATTTTCAACTTTTTTAAGTTTCACGAAGGTTTTTAGGCTCGAACCAGACTAAACATTTTTGATATGCTTCTCTTGAAACCTTAGAAATTTATCGTAAACTTTAAGAATTCATTTTTCTTCAGACCTTGCAAAAATCGAGCAAAAACGAATTTCAAAACGGAAAACCCAAGATGAGAATGAGTCAACTGTCGGAATGAGTTATACCGAGTATCAATATTTGCCCCTTCTTTACTTCATTTTGAAAAGCCCTGCCAACCAAACGAACCCCACGATCTGCCGCACAAACTTTGGTTTTTATTTTTCCTGCGCGCCAAAACCTAAACATATGAGGCTCAAGGATTGAAGTTGATTAAAAAAATGAGCTTGAAACTAAAAAATATAATATTTTTTCACTTGGACTAATTTTTTTCATTCATTTAGAAGACATGAAAATTAAAAAATTCAGGTTTTATTTTGAGTCATGTGATATGTAACACTTCCGAAGTCAGAAGGGCGGAAAACGGGAGCAAAATGGCCGCTAAAAGGGTTTCAATTTGCGGCCTTTATTGAGCCTTTACATTTTCAGGCTCAACTTATCGGTCAGGACTTTCGAAAAAGTTCTTTAAAAGTACACGAAAATTTTCAAGACCCTCAAATTTCCTCAAGTTCAGTTCTCCTACCTCAAATAACAGGTTACATAAAGATACCTTCAATTCAATTTTTCAATTCAATTTATTCAGTCTTCAGAGTAAGATGAAGAAAATCTCTGCTGAATCATGGTATAATCGAAGAGTTAGTCGTCGGCGCGAGTTACGGTCCACAATAGTTGTCCAATAAGTCCCGGCGTGACAACTAGCGGGAAATAATGTTGGCCCGTTGGTAGTACCAGCTAATAAACTGCTTCACCATGTTGGAACAGTACGGCGCCCAGCTTGTCCAGGGCTGACGGGCGTCGGAATGTTATCCCATGAGAGAGCGGCAATGAGACCGACCAGTCGACGTGATGAAATGAGATACCTTGGACTTCCTTAATTTTTCCATTTTCTTCTTCCGACTCAAAATTCTTAACGCCTATATCATTGTTCAAAATACAATAAAAAGCTGGGCGAACCAATAAAATAATAAAATTGAATCAATTCAACGTAATAGAACAACGGAAATGGTGTTAACTTGATTGCCATGCAGTTAGGGTGGCTTTCAAGTTTTATTCGTATTTTTTGATTTTCATTCTTTGGAATAAATAAAGTCGCATAATTTTAAAAATTTTAATGTCTTCCACGTTGTTAGGGCATAGGTTATACGCCATAGAAAAAATTAAAGACCTTTGAAAAATTTTTTCAATTTTTTTTTATTATAAAAGATTACTGCAAAAGGTTCTTCGCTTCAATATTTTTGAAAATGCATTTCAGAACAGATTAAAAGTATCGTGTTTCTTTTGAACGTTAAAATTAGCTAATGATGTTAGTGATTTCTGAAAAACCGTCAATTAATGGACTTCCTTCTTGATAAAGCTAATGAATAAGTCTTGTCTGAACACCTACTTTCTCTTCAATAAACGAGAATTTGATTACCTTTTCCAGAATAAAATGCTGAACCAGGTCGTCTACCTCATCGAAGTCGTCATTTTCAACACGATCGGCTTATTTGGAAATATAAATATTTTGTATTTGACCTACTCGACTCAAGTTTTTCATGGAAAGTCAGGTTATTGGAGCACAGAGGATCATTCAAAATGCTATAAATTCCCCCTTTTCAGCCTATTTCGGTTCAGAAAATCTTTTTTGTGGTCTTGAAAGGAGCATGGACCTTTTTTTCAATGATATTTGGAAATCAAGAGCCATGTTCAGTGAATTTTAATATATTTTCTACTTTAAAAAAACCTCAGCAAGAAGTTTCCAACCGGTCATAGAATCATTTTTTTCAGAGTAAATCCAATTTGAAACGAAAAATTTTTGAAAAATAAAAACTCGCTTTTTCGAAATTTTCGTCCTTTTTTTTGTCGAGGGAACGTGTTGACGAAAGTTGATATCATCTGAAGCGGAAAAAAATTATAACACACCCGAAACAAACGCACATTTATCCAAGCCCAAAGAAAAAAAAAATTAAAATATACAAACTGCAAAATTTTTCCGCCGAACTTTATGAGAATGTCTAATGAAAAGCGTTAAATCTTCTACATTATTCAAAACTGCAATAATATCCCTTTGAACCAAAAAGAAAACATGAAAACACATAGAAAAAGTAAAATTTCCTTTAAAAAAGTAATTAAAAAACTTGCGCGTCAAAATACACTAGGAGCGTCTACGTACCAGACGCATACCGTAACACCTTCGTAAAAATATCCTTTTTCGTTGTAAAAAATTAGTTTTTTTCCAGCTGATTTGAAATTTCAGCATACCTCCAAGCGACCTTAGCCGCAACGCATGTTGTATGCTTGCTTTTTGAAATTCCGACCGCTTTTTTGGGAATAATCGGGGATAAAACGACCAGAATCCAGTGTCTAACTTTTATCTTCCCTTATATTTTCGCCATTTGTTTTCAAAACATGCTCATGTTGGCTTTGTTGTTGGATATATTTGCAATGATCTTTTTTCCGATTTGGTGAGCTTTGAAAACCATTAGAAGTATTATTTTACCCGAAAAGGTATCGGAGAACGAGCTCTTCGAACTATCTATTGATTATGACGGCACCCGCCGCATTTTATGGAATTATAATCGTCATCTTGGGGTTTAAGTACGCTAATGAGGACGTCATCGTTTTTTGCAACCCGCCTGGAGGTAAGGTTCATTTAAAAAAACCCAGACTGAATTGACACAATTATGCCGTGTTCACTGGAAATTCAAGCTACAAGGTGCAAAGTTCAATTTTTTCAGCAATACATCCGCGAGTCAGCCAGATTTGGACGATTGGCAAATTACTGAATAACTCCCTTATTTTGTTATTTTTCGCAGCTTTATTATTTTTCTTCAGAAAGAGTTGGTTTTTTTTTTATAAAACCATTTTTCCATACTCTACTAGAATGCTTGGATTTTCTAAAATGAGTCAATAAATCGTTTTCTGTAAAAATCATACCAGTGAAAAATATAATTTGAGCATTAAAATTGAATAAAGATTATAGTCTGTTCAGATTTTAAACGTCAAGTGCAATGACGTCATTAAAAAACACTCTGTGGATGGCTCGCTCTCTGATTGGTTTATCACACCATTAGGGGCGGAGCTTGAGTGACGACTTGAAATTCTAAATCTGAGCAGACTATATCATTGCTTTCACAAACTCCAGTACTTGAAAAATGACTCAAAGGTTGTAATCTTTAAAGGCATAGGGGCAGTAAAAAATGGGGTTTCAGGTGAAAGCAGTATCTTATATAGTTTTTCATTGTGAATCGAACGGTGTACTCGAAAAAATTGAAGATGTGACAACTTCAGAAGAAAAACGCAATTTTACTTTCCCGCCTTTAATTTTGAAAAAAGCTTTGGATCGGCCTACGGACAAATGTTTACAGTAGCCGTGCACGCGATGTTGCGGACGTCTCATTAGACTCGCATTTTGTGAGAAATAACCGGCTCTCTGCTTCAAATTAAGGGTTTCTTTTCTGAAAAAGCGTTTAGTCAAACAAAAAACACACACCGATGATAAAGAAAACACAAAATAACGCTATTCCAATCGAAACCTGTGTAAAATCATCATTTTTCACCAGAAACGCTTTTTTGCGATCAAAGTTTGCAATATATACATGAATAGAAAGTTTTTGTGACGAAAAGAACTTTGGTGACAACAGAAAAAATTGAAAATTGAAAGAAACAAAGAAAAAAAGCGAAAATCCGAAAGATGGGAAAGCCTGTTGTCCATAGAGCAAATTTACTGCAAAGCGCCCTTTTCGCGGGAACTCAAACTTTCCTCTCTCCGACTTTGAATTACTTTTTCTCCAAAACTAGGAAGTTTGGTACATTTCCAAGTTCACCGCTCGATTCGCAATGAAAAGCTCTACAAAGTACTGCTTTGAACTGAAACACCGTTTTTTACTGCCCCTATGCCTTTAATGTCATCGCGCGCAACTCGCTTTTCGGTCGGGCATACGTTCATAGCTACCTTTGCGGGCTCTTTGAGCGTCATTTAGGGATCAAAAAGCTTCCATAAATTGCTCCTAAACGGTTTCCTTTTTACTGCCTTTTTCCGTCCTTTCATCGGCATTTACCCATCCTTTTTGGACCCTTTTGAGAATCGCGAAATTTTTTAAATTGAGAATAATCTTCACCAGTGACTGTGTATGAACCAAAATGAGCTACAGTAATAAAATCTGAAATCATCAATAGCCGAGTCTCTCAGCACCCTTTTTTGGCTTAGCAAGAAAAAGGCTCAATAAAGGCGGCAAAACGGAACCCTTTTTGCGGCCATTTTGCACCCGTTTTCCGACTTCGGCAGTGTACCAAGTAATATTTTTCCGATATTCAGGCTCCTCAACAAGTTGTCAAGAAGCGAAACGAGTCGTACGACATCTCAAAATAAATCTTCTAATGTTCGTTCTCTCCTGGTATATTTGTATACTCGGCCTGAATATTCTCATCGTCTTGGGCTTCACTGGCGACACCCTGCTTTTCCTACAGAGTAAACTGGTTTGTTCATTAGAAATTTTTTATCCAAATCAGCTTTTAAGGTTTTATTCGCTCTCCTCACCTATTCCCAGCCTTTCTACGTGCTTCTCTGGCGTTCGAAAGACTACCGGAAAGCGTTTTTGAAACTTTGGTTCCCGAATTTAGTACCAGTCGACCGGACTCTAGTAGTTTCTGGTCGACAGTCAAAGATATCAACTTTTTGAAAATCGGAAAAAAAAGTCCAGTTTACTCGAAATTGAGACAATGGTCAAAAAAATGTTCGAAAATTCGTTGTAGTGAATTTTGGTTGAAAAATTTCCCAATTTTCAAAAATCGAAAAAAAAAGTTACTCTCTGATTTTTCTTCATGTATCTGTATAGCATTTCTATGATTTTTTTTTTTCAAACTTTTTGAAAAAATAAATTTCCCACGGCGTTTTTGTTAGTGAAAGAAAATGCGAATCCAAAAATTGAAGGGCGTGGTCGAAACCTTCAATGTTCCCATGTGACGTCATGGGAAAAACGTAAAAAACAGGGAATATTAAAGGCACATCAATGGGTCATGAGACGAATCTATCTCTCCTTTAAAAAAACGCGATTTTCCTGGTTTATTTTTAAAAAAAAATGCCGTGTTGAAAGTAATTCTGCGGAATTCAAAATAGCAAATGCCATGTGCGAGAGCGCCGCGGTGCATGCACAAGACACACTACACTTTACGGAAAAAATATGGGCGGGGCGTCGACAAAAAAAAACATAATTCCTGTTCTCTTCTTTTTCATTATTCTTCCGGTTTTCAACTTGTAATAAATTTTTATTTGTTTAATGGGACTTAGAAAAATTCAAAAATTGCTTTAAAGAGCAGAACCAATGAGATAGATGGAATATAGCTTGCTGAAAATTTAAAAATCTTTAAATACAAAGTTCAAAAAACTTACAAATGAAACCCGCACTGTCAAAGGAGAACTGAACAAAGAAACCCGTCGAAATCCCGTCATTCATCATTTTGATCGTGATTTCCGAGGAGACGAAGCTCCCAGTCGCATTTTGAGGCGATTTCGAGTCGATTCTGAGATTTTCCGTGTGTTTTCAACTTCTTATCATGAAAACCTCGCCACATAACTATTTTTATCACCGTTTCCCGAAATAGTAATGAAAGAATTCGTGGCGCGCAGGTTATCCGTCGATAAAGAATAGAAAAAAGAATAAGGTGTTTTCAAGTTACCTGTAATTTCAAGGTAATTGGTAGATAATTAATGGATTTATACCATCATAACTTGAGAAAACGTCGGTTCCCGCTTGATTTTTGTCGGAAAAGGGATAATTATTGGACATGACGAATCCGCTTCGGCCAATCCTTGGCGTACCCCATTTGGCTGGAAAAAAAAATAGCAAAGTATTAAAAATAATTCGGAAAAAGAGTCCATTTTCATTTTTAATTGTACTTAGAAGTCCCTATAACAACAAACCCCTATAGCGACCCCTCAGAAATTCCTCAATGGGCGTTTTGCAGAAAAGTTGCTCTATGGACAACACGCTTCGTCATTTTTCAAACTTTCTCGGACATTGGTAACGCGAAACGGACGTGCTCCGGACGTTTCTGGGCGATTTTAGGGATCCCTTAAGAGTTCTGAGGCTACTAAAGTGGTCACTAGAAATGCCCCGACACGTCCGATTCGCGTCCCGTTCGCGTTACCAAGGTCTGAGTGTTTGCTTTTTGCTTGGCTTTTTTGAAATTTAAATTATTTCTGTTGTCACCAAAGTGTTTTTCGCTCTGAAAACTTTATACTTTTGAAAATTTGCAAGTTTTGATCGCTACTCTGGTGAAAAATGATGATTTTACACAAATTTGAGAAATCGATATTTTGTGTTTTCTTTGTTATCGGTTGGTGTTTTTTGTTTGACTAAATGTTTTTTCAGGAGATAAACTCTTAGTTTGAAGCAGAAATCCAGTTATTTCGTACAAAAGGCGAGCCTAATGAGACGTCCGCATCATCGCGTGCTTCAAAGCATTTTTCGAAACTAAACGGCGGGAAAATAAAATCACGTTTTTCTTTAGAAATTAGTAATATCTGTGACTTTTAAATACACCTTTCGATTCCCAGTGATAAGTTCTAAAAGGTACTGCTTTAACTTCTTTTTTACTGCCTTTAAAAACCAACCAGTCGCCGTATTCCTTGTGAAACCAATACTTCCAGCACCCGACGAAAAATAATAAGTTCTTAAATATCCTCGAATTTCCTGCGGCAATCGATTAGTTAAGTCTTGTCTCCTATTCAAAATTTATGAATATGAAACTTTGAATTTAGAAAAACCGATAGGTCGCAAGCTTGTTCCAGGGGTCAACCATCTTCAGGCCGGCGAAAATCGTCAAATTTGAATTCTGAATTTTTTTTTTCTCAGTTCATTCACAAGGCTCTTGAATGAGCCAAGAAAGAAAAAATTTATATCAAAAAACTTCTTTTTCTAATTTTATATAGAGATAGCACCTTCCCAGCTCTAGAAAACTGGACTTTTCTCAAAAAAAAACCTCATTCATATCAACGTTCGTCAGGTATTCAGCATCACTACTCCCTAATACGGTAGTTATCGCGGCGGGACCTTTGGAGGCGTCGAAAGTCGTCGCACAAATGGGCGTGATACACAACGGTACTTGATATTCGACTATGTCGCGGGTGTCTGGAAAATTACTTTTTTGGTGATCGGAATTAAATTTTTTTAATGAAGTTGTAAGCAAAACAGAATGTTTCAAAAATTCGAGGTTAAAAAAATTTCAACACTTTTAGAATAATCCCTGGTTTCCGATACTGTCTTGCGCAAGTAGTTTTTAGTCGGGCGCATGTTTTGACATTCCTAGTGCGATTATACTTCATTATTTTGCTTGGGCTTAAAATGCATTTATAAAAACAAGAAATAATTTAGCTTACTATTTTTGTTTAATTGAAAGGGAAATGACCCGATATTGTCTTGCGCAGGTAGTTTTTGGTCGGGCGCGTGTCCCTAAATTCCTAGTGTGATTATACTTCATTATAAAATTAAAAATAGCCCCCAGAGAGCGAAAAAATACAACTTTATTTCAGAAATTCAGATATGATTTCGAATTTCGCGAAAATTACTTTGAACGTGGCATGTGCGAGAGCGCCGCGGTGCATGCACAAGACACACTACACTTTACGGAAAAAATAGGGACGGGGCGTCGCCAAAAAAACGCCGTGCAAGACATCGCGGTCGCGTTGCGGCTTGTTGACTTAAACTTCATTTTTTACAAAAAAAAACTTCTCAGGCAATCGGAACTGTATTTTCCAATCAAAGTGATCAGAAATCGTCTTTTTTCACGTTTTCTTACTAAAAAAAAATCCCTCACTGTCATAATCTTGAATCAAGATCTGCTGATGAGCGCTCATTCCAGCAAGGGTGAAAATCGTTAATTTCTTTCCAGTTGAGACCAACTGCCTTTTCTGACTGATTCCGGTGTACAAGCTGGAAAATTCCTACTTTTTTCGATGAGTCGAAAAAAAAGTACCTTCCAATGAAAGTGGCATTGATCGAGTCGCCATCATAAATCATGGTGGCTCTCAGGAAAGGCAGAAAATCGAGAGTTCCCATCAAAGGAGTTGCCAGGACTGACACCTGGGAAAGGTACAATTCATTCCGATTCTACAGTTGTTGAGCGCTAAGTACAGGGACGTCATCCAAAAGTGCTAGGTGGATGGCTCGCTCTCTGATTGGTTTACCGCGTCATTAGGGGCGGAGCTTGAGCGATGACATTCAAAATCTGAACAGTTTCTAGAGTCCATTCACGCGACTCGAAACTTCTCTGCGCCCTCCTCGTCTCTCGGGGACCCTCTCACGTTGACGCGCTATTTTCGCGTTTCTCTGACCTCGCAGATGATGGAACAGAGAGACGCAGACACGCAGCGACGAACGGACTTTACTTGGGAGTTCTAGAGTGGTCCCTGGGGTTAGGGGTCTGACCACAGCCCTTAAAGCATGAGTGGTCCCTAAAGGGATAAGATCAAAGCGTTCCCTAGAGGGGTTAAGGGTCTGATCACAGCCCCTAAAGCTCAAGTGGTCCCTAAAGGGATAAGATCAAAGTGTTCCCTATAGGGATCCAGGGTCTGACCACAGCCCTTAAAGCATGAGTGGTCCCTAAAGGGATAAGATCAAAGCGTTCCCTACAGGGGTTAAGGGTCTGACCACATCCCCTAAAACTTAAGTGGTCCCTATAGGGGTCTTTAAACTTAATTTTCAAACGAAAAAGTTATTTATTTAGTTTTTCGCATCATAAAAATTATCGACTAGCGTGTCCCCTAAAGGGATCACTTTTGCAAGCTTTATTGGCCCTTATAGGGGTTGGTAAAATGGTCCCTTGCCCCTATAGGGACCCCTCTGGAGTTCCTAAGTACCTGGGTATCAGCCGTGACGATGAGCGGCGAAATCGTGTCGTCGGCAGAGATCAAAAAGCCTTGGGCGTTTCGAACGACCATTTTTCTCGACGTCGTGTAGTTATTGGGTACTCAAAAATGGACTTTTGGGGTCAAAAAGGAAGTTTAGATCTTTGAAAAATTACCGCAGCCCTTTCAAACTTGCATGAATAATCTCAGAAAAAACTCACTCTCGACCCAGTGAACAACAAATGACAAGGATCCATTCGTGAAAGCCGTTGTAGCCAAATCGACTTTGAAATACGGCTGAGTGTAAAAATAGTTGGTTCCTTGCATGTCAATGTGGATTCTGGAAAAGAGTCCAAAAATGAAAAACTAATTTTTTTTTGTATCAATGTTTCCCGGCTATTTTGCTTCAAATCGAACTTTTTTTTTGGAGTTTGGAAAAGGTTAAAATTTTCCCACGTTTTCAGTTGTCTTCAAAAAGGAGAAAAGTTCAAATTGCTGCTCGGGGAAAGCCGGAATAGTGGATAATGGACATTAAAAGGGAGAGGCTCGAAAAAGGCTCCAAAAAGGTAGCAAAAAGGCAGAAAAAATGAGTCTTGGTCGCCCTGAAAAGAAACTTTTTATGAACCCTTCTTCCACCCTTTCCAACTTTGCCTCTCGGAAAATCCTCGAAGGAATTTCGGGTCCGCAAATTTTCGTGAGCGTGAACTGTGCGTACACCAATCTTGGTTTTTGCAAACTTGATCACCTCTTTTTTTTTTCAAAATTCAAACTTGCAAAGATTCAAGCCTCCAAGATTGGTGTATGCACAATTCACGCTCACGAATATTGGCGGACCCAAAATTTCTTTCTACTATCAAATCGTCTTCTCACAAAAAATTAAAAGACCTCTAGACCATTTAAGCTTGAGTGGCTCGGGGTCAGACCTTATATTCCTAAAACACCCACCTAAATTTGAGCCTTATAAGGGCTGTTTTTCGCCCTAACCCCAATAGGGATCACTCTGGCCCTACAAGATTTCCAGATCTTCTATTTTTCGTCTTTTTTCTAATAATACCTTTCCGCATTGCCGGCCGAGTCGGTCAGAACGAAAAAATCACTGATAGTGGTTGACTTGAGATACAATACAGCAAACTGGCCAGCTGGGACGTTGAACTACAAAAAAATATATTCAATCTCTTCAAAAATCCAACCGTCCAGGAACAATTCAAGTTCGGCGGTAGAAGCGCTGGATTCTCTGTACCGTTCCAGCCAGTTGGAACCGAATAAATCGTGTCGAGACCGCCGTTTACTGTACTTTTTGTGTCACAAGCTTAATTTTCAATTTGAGAAACCGAAAAATGAGTTGATTTCTTACTATAATCTGAAGAAACAGCTCCGATTAGAATTGTAAGACTGAAAATTCTCAGAAGAGCTGTCATTGTCTGAAAAGAAGAGAAGAAAATGATTCAGCTGATAAAATTGAACATTTTGATAAGGTTCTTTGTGGAAATGTCACGGGAAAAAGTGTCTCCCAGGGAAAAAGGCCAATTTTTGGGGATCCCACCTTCATCAAGGGGTAAGAAAGTTGATGGAACTATTTTTGCAATCCGTATAGTCTGATTAAAAATTATCGCAGATCATTGATAATTTTCGCAATTTATGAAAAGCTTATGCGCCTTTAAACACCCCTAAAAGGGGCACAGATCACGGCATTTTTTGATGAAGCCACGCCCACTTTTTCTCCGTGAAGTGTCGTGTGTCGTGTGCATTCACTGCGCCGCTTTCGTGCAGAAAATTGCGTTTTTGAAGAGAAATTTCGATTCGCCTTGAAGACCTCTGACAAATACGATGGCCTGCGCCTTTAATATTCTCTCTTGAGCCAAAATCTGCCGTTCCCATGACGTCACGTGTATATTTTGGCTCCGCCCACCGTGTTTTTAGTTTCCCATTTTCTTCCACTAACAAAAAAACGCAGTGAGGTATGATACAATTTTTTCAAAAAAACTTGATTTTGAAAAAAATCTTTTTTTGGATAGTTTCAATATTTTTTTATAGAATCGATCTAGTTCGAATTTCAAGAAAGCTTCCAAAAAAACTGTCACGAAAAACGTGAAAAAAATTAATTTTTTTCAGCTCTATCCGTACTTCTAAACTTCCTCGACCGATTTTTTGTTACAAAAATTATGAAAACTTCAAAATAAGATCAAAAACTGATTGCTTATCTCGCTCACCTATTTTTGGAACATTTTACGATTCCTTGTACTTTGTCTTTGCAATAAAAAACGGTAAAAAATACGTCTTTGCAATAAAAAAGGGCAAAACGAACGGTAAATGCCATTTTTTGATTTCTAGTCAACTCACATGCATTCCTAATTTTCTTAACGACTTTCGCGTCGAAATTTCAAGCTCATACTGTCCTATGAACCTTTAAAAAACCGACTTCAATCCTGCTATCCAACATATTTTTTGTAATACCCACGAAAAAAATTAACTTTATTACAATTTGAAAAAAATTACGTCACTAGCCGTAGAAGAACGCCAATGGAAACAAGCCAAGTTATCGTTCGACTTCCTGAAAAATAATCTGTTTATTGAAAAATGGGAAAGTCATACCAGAAAAAGCTGCCTTGTCGAAGGCAAAAGTCAGGAAAAAGCCCTTGGAATTTCCTTGATTCTTGATTTCAACTGAAGGATTCGTTGCAATGAACGAATCACTGGTCCCGAGTTTACTTGAACTATCCAAGCTGGAACAAAAAAATGGATGAATCTGTTCAAATTGAGATAAATGATAACTGAATTAGATATACTCGGATCTTGAGAAAGTGATTCAGAAGAGTCGGAGCATTTCAAGTGATCACTTAAGTAGTTTCAGAACCATTAAGTGGTCCCTAGAACTGCTCAGAAACTTCCGGCTACCAAGGTAGAAGTATGTATTGCTCAGAAAGTGTTTTTCCATGCTATTTTTGAATCAATTATACACAATTAAATATTTTCTCTGACTCTCCAAAGTTGTTGTGATCTTTGACACTCTCTGACAGTCATTCCTACTTCCCCAAAAGGCACTTCGAAGGCGACACAAACCTTCAAAAAAAAAATTCAGGAAGATTTGATGCGCAAACATTTCGAAAATAGTACAAAAAAGTCAATAAAACGGAAAAAAATACGAAAAATTCTGAAAGACCAAAGTTTTCAGGTGCTATATTTATTTTCGGAAAATATACTAGTAAAAAAGGTTAGTATAATAAAACTTTGGTTCCAGAGGTTATTTTGTACCCGGAATCGAATGATGGCACTAGCAGATTTTTGATACCTTTTCTACAGGGTGAAAAATAAATATTGAAATCGTTTTTTGTTTGATCGCTGCTTTTTGCACAAAGGACTGGCCTTTGAATTTTTTTTGTTTATTTTGTTCATTCATGCTCACTTATCGTGTTTTTGAAGTTACAGCTCATAGTTTTCAGTTTTCAGGTAATGGTAGCCCCATCTCCGTACCGTACCGCAATCATTGATTGTGTCAAAAGCGGAATGACGAATTCAGAAAACTGAAAACTATTCTTGAATTTTGTTTCTATATTGTATGAATAAAATTTTTTATAAGTTTGGTGGTGTTTGGTTGACTTTTGAGAAAGTTATAACGTTTCAAAAGCGTTTCTTTATTTATTGCTCACCCTGTAGATTTGCCAAAAAGTCCGAAAGGGGGGGGCCTATTCTTATTGGACATAGTAAATTTGAGAAAAGTTTTGAGCGGTCCCATCTGAATGGAAGAAATGATAAAAATTTCAAATAATAATATTATTCTCTGGAGTTATTTTCCCCGCAGCAGGTTTTTAATTTTTTCAGATTTCCTGGACCTCGTTTTTATTTATACTCCACATACTTTTCTTCTATCCTCTTGAAAAAATCTTTTTTGGTCATTTTCGCAATTTCCTTGAAAATGAAAACCAACACTGCATTATATTCCTTCTTTCCATTGCTTCCAGAAATGACAATTTTCGAATTTCCATCCACAAAATCGCCAGCTTTCAAGGTGTACGTAAATTGGAAAGGTGTGCTTGAAGTACCTGAAATTTTTTCGTATTTTCGAGAAAACCCGTCGAGGTACCATCAAAACTGTTGAAAAAGTCGTTGGACTGTTGATTTTTATCCAAAAACGGGTAATTTCGTGACATTAAAAATCCAGTTCGGCCAACCCGCGGCACGGTCCATTTTGCTGTAAATTGAAATGTCGTAGTTTCGACGTTCATTTTTTTGTCTGAAAATCAATAATTTTCATTTAAATCGCATTTTAAGACTATGATTTCGGGAATAAAATAGTTATTTTTTTATTTAAAAGTTACAAAAATTAGAAAATTGATTGAAAATACGCTCTGCGGCCAAGCTACGGTCAAAACTCCGGAAAAATGTTTAGTGGTCCCTTTAGTGATCGAATTATTGACCACTTAGGGGGCTAGAACCATTTTTTATAAGTCTGAGACGTGCTACTGGATTATTAAAAACACTATAGTGACCCCTAATACGCTAAATAGTAACTTCTATATAGGGGTTCTAGTGGCCACTATAGGGATCGAATTAGTGACCACTTAAGCGGATAAAATTTAATGGGGTCTTCAGAAGTCTAAGCGATACTACTAGACCACAAAAAACTACTATAGTGACCACTAAGACGCTAAGTAGGGGCTTCTCTAGAGATGGTTCTAGTGGCCACTATAGTGATCGAATTAGTGACCACTAAAATTTAATGGGCTTTTCAGAAGTCTAAGTGATTCTACTAGATTATGAAAAATCACAATTGTGGCCCGACGCTGAATAGTTTAGTGGCCACTTTAGCGCCTTCTCAAATTAGCCCTTGAAGAACCTCTCAAGTGGCCACTAGAGGTTTTTCCAATTTTTCTGACGCGCCCTGTTTCTGCGTATTGGGGCACTTAAGTGGTGTCAGTACTCTTAAGTGACCCCTAAAGTTTTCCGGAGCATGTCCAAGGGGCTACTAAAGTGTGTCTACCGATGTTTTGTTCTAAAGGAAAATTACCGCTCTCAGCCGTCCTCTTGTACATCAGTGTTGCTTTTCCAGAAGGCAAAAAATAAGTCCTGAAAGTTCCGAGGATCTCCTGCGGCAGCCGGTTCGTGACATCCGATGGGCTAAATCGATATTTGAAAAAAGAGGATTTTCTCCAACCTATAAACCGCCAGAAGGTTACTATCATTGCTCAATTTGGTTCCGGCGTATAAATTTAGGGAGGAACCCTGAAAATGGCTGAAAATAACTAATTTTTCGAAGGTGGGGAGAACTTGTTGAAGAGAAAGGCTAGTGAGATACTCGGCGCCATTATTTCCGGGCAAGAATGTGCTGACGGCGGAAGAACCGCCGGTGGCGTCCATTATTACAGCCCCGCAAAGGTCGGTTGCAGAGATACAGTAGGGTATTTGGTACTGTACGACGTTGCGAACGTCTTGAAGAAAGTCGATATCAATCAATTTTTTCCCTATCAAGCTTCAAAGCCTAACTTCGACCGAAAAAGTCTTTAATGTGATCCTAAGAAATTTTGTAGTGGTCCCTATAGGGGTTAGGGGGAAAAAGCCCTTAAAGAGGCCGAAAAAGTGGTCGCTTTAGGGGGTAAAATCAAGGTAGTCCCTATAGGGATTCCTGTAGCTCAAGTGGTCCCTATAGGGGTTAGGGGGAAAAAGCCCTTAAAGAGGCCGAAAAAGTGGTCGCTTTAGGGGGTAAAATCAAGGTAGTCCCTATAGGGATTCAATGTCTGACGCCCTAAAGCTCAAGTGGTCCCTATAGGGGTTAGGGAAAAAAAGCCCTTGAAGAAGCCGAAAAAGTGGTCGCTTTAGGGGGTAAAATCAAGGTAGTCCCTATAGGGATTCAATGTCTGACGCCCTAAAGCTCAAGTGGTCCCTATAGGGGTTAGGGAAAAAAAGCCCTTAAAGAAGCCGAAAAAGTGGTCGCTTTAGGGGGTAAAATCAAGGTAGTCCCTATAGGGATTCAATGTCTGACGCCCTAAAGCTCAAGTGGTCCCTATAAGGGCCTATCAATTTTATTCAAAAAAGGGTTATTTATTTAGTTTTCCGAATGGAAATGCTTCTTCACGAGGCTATAACAACTATCGACTAGTATATTCCCTATAGAGGCCACTTAATAAAACCCCTATAAGGACCACTTCTGCAAGATCTAGTGGCCCTTTTAGGGGTTGGTAAAGTGATCCCTAGAGAGCTTTTTTTTGGGGTTTTCGTGAGAATAAATGTAAAGATTCGAAATTTTCGAACGGTTTTCAGGATCTGATTTGATTTCTGAAACATCTTCCCGATTCCAAAATAAGAATTTCTGTTTTCCAGTTATAATGATACCAAGGAACTGTCTAATACCAAGGAAAAATTAAAGAGTCCCGGAAATCAATAAAAAACCAACTGTCGAAATCCTGAAGGAGCATGAAAGCCTGGCCGACGCTGTTGGAAAGAGCCACGATCGTGGCGCTTTTTCTCGTCGAAAAAATTTGTTTCGCGGAAACTATCGCCGAGTAAAGGCTGAATAAAACTATAAATACTGGTTTTTCCACTTTCTTTTTCACCTTCCAAGGAACTTTCCGTTGACAGAATTTCCATCGAAGATCACTACTCCTCGAAGTAATTTCACGGTATCGATTAGGCCAGGGAGGACGATTGGGACGGCGGAAACCTTGGGAAATATTCAAACTTATAAAGTACAACCCTATAAGGGGGGCATTTTTGTTCTCCATTTTCCATCGAGACTTTTTTGTTTGTGAATCCTTGACTTTAGAAAAAAGTGAAAATCGAGAAAACTACGTTTAGAAGCTTCTATTTTTCAGAAAGGGCCCGAAAAGAGCAGTCATTTTTTTTTTCTATGTGCAGTTAGGGCCGAATCCGAACGCTAAAAGCCTGATGAGCCTTAAATTTTTGAATTTTTTTACCTTATAGGGGGGCATTTTCTTACCCTATTTTTTATCAGAGAAATTTTTTCTGTGAATCCTTGACTTCAGAGAAAGTGAAAACTGAAAAAACCCGTTCATAAGCTTCTATTTTTCAAAAAGGGCCCAAAAACAACAGTTATTTTTTTATTTTCTATGTGCAGTTGGAGCCGATTTCGAACGCTAAAAAGCCTGATGAGCCTTAAATTTCAAAAAAATTCATCTTCAACAAAAAAATTTTTTTATCTCTGAAGAAAGTCTATTTTTTTCTTCTCAAAAAGCAAACTAGAAAAACCTTTAAAGCTAAAAAAATACGCATTATTGCATTAACCTTCGATTATCGTTTTCTTTGATTATTTAACCAAATTATCATTTCTCCTACCTGAACATCGGCTTGGATAACCGCCGGGGCAGCACTTCCATCAGTTTGAAAAACCTGTCCTTGTTGATTTTTGCTCACCGCCACTTTTTGGGAACTATTTGCCACTAGCGGAACTTCAAAAATAATTTTTTCGAGATTATTTCAAACTTCCTACTCCATCCCCATTGAATATCGAAAGCCAATGTCGCGTTTGTCGTGGCCGACGTCGATATATCGATTTTGAAGGAGGGGGCCGTGAACCAGAAAAATAGTACCCCCTGGCTCCGAAAGAAGCCTGAAAAAATCAATCTAAAAAAATATTCATAACTCAAATTTTTTTCATGTAGAGAAGAGAGGCTTTACGTTGTTAGTGGAAGAGAACCAAAAACTAAGGGGGCGTGGTCAAAAACTCCGCCGTTCCCATTTTAATGGGTCCCGAGACGAATCAATTTCTCATTAAAAAAAACGCGATTTTTCTGTTTTTTTTTTGTTTTAGAACGCATGTCGTGTTGAAAGAAATTCAAAATAGCCATTAGAAAGTGAAAAATATAACTGAAATTCAGTTCGCGAAAATTACGTTGAACGGGGCGTGTGCCAGAGCGCCGCAGTGTATGCACACGACACACTATAATTTACGGAAAAAATCGCCGTGGCTTAGAAGCTTCGAAAATTGAGAGAAAGTTCCTTTTCTAATGTAGCATTTTATGGGAAGTGCTTTCAAAGGTTTTCTTACCACTGAATGGTTAAACTGGACCTAATTTATTTAATAACGAAAAAACCTATCAACGAATCCCAAGCCATCAGTGAAGGTAATGGGATCATCGAGCGAAATTCCCTTCGCTTTGATTATCACAAACATCCCTTGCGGGATATCCGCCTGAAAAATTTATAAATTTCGAATTCCGCAAAAAAATTTCTCACACTCCATGAGCACTTCTGGCTCGGTGCCAACGGCTCAGCGGCCGAATTTATAGTCCATCCGGCGGGAAAACTATACGGCTGGTTGGCCTCGAGAACTGATTGAGGACGACAGGCTAAATTAGAACTTTTCTTCGGAAAAAAAGCCATTTTGAAACGGGAGGAGGGTCATTCTGAAATGGGGAGGGGGGCATTCTAAAATGGGGGGTCATTCTGAAATGGGAGGGAGCTATTCTAAAATGGGAGGGGGTTATTCTGAAATGAGGGGGCCATTCTGTAATGGAGAAGGGCATTCTGAATTGGAAGGGGGCAATTCTAAAAAAGGGAGGGGGAATTCTGAAACAGGAAGGGGTCATTCTAAAATGGGAGGGGGCAATTCTGAAATGGGAGGAGGGGGGGCATTCTGAAAAGAAGGGGGTCCATCTGAAACAGTAAGGGTGCTTGTTCAGAATGAGCTCTGCGGGGACTATTTCAAAAGCAGTGGGGGAGAATCTGAAAGATTGCCTAGAAATCGGTCTCCGTTTTGTTCTGCGAGAGCCATTTTTAGAATACAGATTCGTCCCTCGCCTTTGATTCTATCCCCCACCCTTACATGAAGTCTTCTGATTTTTACCCCCGCAGATCGGAACTTAACTTGGGGGGCTACTGGAATTTTTCCCTTTTTGTCCCCCTCTTCCTAGGCCTTTTTGCTTTCCAAGTCAATTTCATCTCGCTTTTTTTTTCTGTGAAGCTATTTCGAAGTTACATTGAACTTTTCTGGTACTTATAAGGATCTTATCTCAAAAATTCCCCATTCCTGCCCTCAAAGTTCGTTCAACTCACTATTATCAGCCGTTGATAAAGCGAAGAGCGTCGCTGAAAGAACTCCTAATAAAACGGAGTACTTCATTTCAGAAAAATCAAAGGAACTAGTCAGAAACAGGGAAAAGCTGTGATTGAAAATAAATGATAAAAATTTTTCAGACTTTCTTATCAATATTCTGTCAATATCAGGGTGGGTGAGTCACTAGGAAAACAGCTTTTGATAGAAAAAATGGGCTCAAACGCTGATTTAAAAAATTTTTCTGGAAATGATGAAAAAGAGGGGGGGGGGGGTCATTTCCCTTTGTGGTTGGGATTTTCTTAAAAATTGGCCAGAACACTCCTTGAAAAACCAGATGGAGACCCTGAAAGTCGAAACTTGCACAGCTCCTTAGTTTTCGAGAAATATGCCCAAAAATAGCCGTTTTCATGAATTTTGAGGGTGTCTTTTCTCAAAAACGAGAAAGTTGTCCAGGTTGAGACTTTCAGAATCTTCTCATGGTACACCCAGGAACGTTCTGGCCAATTTTCAGGAAGATGGAAAGTAAAATGACCTTCCTTGTGGGGTGTTTAGAGCGAAAGAGATTTTGAAAAATAAAATGACATAAAATTGAATTTTCGAGGTAGACCAAGTAATGATTTTGTGTCACGCTTTTTCAAAAAAAATTGTATCAAAATCCCTTTTTCATAGCAGAGCTGCTGCATCGTATATTTCCAACTCCTATTTAAATATGCTGTCAAAAATAATACTCTAAATCATACATGGGATAAGCATACTGGCGACAGCCAAGCCCCCTCTCCCCCTGCCAAGCCCCCTCTTTTTTTCTTTTTTTATTTCCGATTACTTTAAACTAAGAAAGTAAAAATCACACGGTTTTTTTCCAACCCCCCTCCTTTCAGGTCCCCAACGAGACTATCCCATGTATGCTCTAAATTTTCACAATCCAACCAGTCAATCAGCAACTTTTTTCTTTGAAACTGCACATATTTATGAATCTGGAAACATTTTTCTATTCCAACATCCATTCCAACAAGCGTGACGCGTCATGAGACCCCGAAATCCCAATTTTCCATTGTTGAAAAGCAGATAAAAGGGGCACAAAATGCAATTTCAATCACTTTTTCTCCAAAAAATGGTTTCGTCCAACCAAATTCTCGCCGTTTGTGTATTTTCGGCCCTTCCTTACCTAATCCTCTCATCAAGTAAATGTTTTTGGAGAACCAAATTTTGATCCAAGAGAATATTTCAGAGTGTTCCGGCTGTTCCTTTCCCGAATTCCAAAAGTTTGACCAGTTTGAAAAATTCGAGCAGTTTCCACCGGATATAAGGTATGAAGATGTTTTTTTCAGAGATGAGACAATTTTTATAAATTTCTTTGAGAAAACAAAGTTTGAAGAGAAAACATTCTATTGAAAAAAAAGAGGATTTCTTCTGGGTTTTCAGGCGTCTTTTCTAATTTTTAAGCCAAGAAGGGCTCATTTTGTGACTGAAAGTGCGCTCCATTGAACATAAGCGCCATTTACTTCATTTTTCAGCCTCGTTTGTGAGGATGGCCTGACGAAAGTGAACGTCATCTGCCCGAAACGGAAGCCGAAAAAATGCTCCGGACTGGCAGTGAGTTTTTTCGAAAAATCCCACTCGGAAAAAAAAAGTGACAATTCAAAAGATCATATAGGCCATTCCACACTAGCTTGTCACGTTTTCCTTTCCGCCAAAGGCCAGGTCAAATTTAACCACCTTCGCTTCAAGACCTTTGTTTCTTGCCGTTATAAAAGCAGAAATTTAATTACGGTATTTTTGGCGAAGAGAAAAACGTGACAAGCTGCCGCGGAATAGGCTATAGGCAAAGTCGGAAAAGGGTGGAGAGAGGCTCCATAGAAATGTTCCCGTAGGGTGAGAAAGATTCCTATTTTGCAGCCTTTTCGCGCCATTTCCTAAGCCTTTTTCCACCATTTCTCGAGCCTTTAAAATTCCAGAAAAAATGAGAGGCTTGATGAAGGGACTCTTTTTCCTGCCTTTTTGATGCCTTTTTGCTGCCTTTCTGCGACATTTTGGGGGCCTTTTTGGGACCTTTTCGTAGCCTTTTCGCTGCCTTTTTTGCTGCCTTTCTGCGGCCTTTCTGCGGCTCTTTTGCGGCCTTTTTAGGACCTTTTCTTAGCCTTTTTGGGACCTTTTCGTAGCCTCTTTGCTGCCTTTCTGCTGCCTTTTTCAAGCAAGCCCCTCCCTTTTAGCGGCCCTTATCCACCATTCCAACTTTTCCCAAGATACATTTTTCTGACATTTTTGGTTCCAGAGCACCTTCCAATCAATAATCAATATGGCTAGCTTGCCACTCTCCTTTAAAAATCCATCTTTCAGGGTACAAGCAATGGGGACATTTTCCAATACGAAGACCGTTTGAGTTGCAACTGCACCGCTGGACGGCCAACCATGCATGGATTCACGTGAGAAATTCAATTTTTTGTAAAAGTTCATTCAGAACTACCTTTCTCATTTAAAAATGAGCAGAAACGGTTTGAAACGAAAAAAAAAGTTTTTTTCAGGATCTACCAGGTTTCCTGCTTGGAACGCGACTGCAAAGATTGAAATTCAATAAATATATTTGTATATTTGTGTACCTTTGCACAAAAAATCAGGAGAAAAATCGTCTTTTTCAGAGAAAAGCTTTAGTTTATTCTGCCTGGTCGCAGTTGGAATGGCTCAAATCCCCCATTTGGAATTGCTCAAATACCCCCCATTTTGAATGGCTCAAATGCCCCCCATTTGGAATGGCTCAAATGCCCCTCCCCCTTTGGAATGGCTCAAATGCCCCCCCCCCCATTTGGAATGGCTCAAAGTGTCGCGGCCGCGTTGCGTTTAGAAAGGGCTTTTTTCGCCAAAAAAAACTACTGAAAACCAAGAAAGACCAAATTGTTCCGACTTGTTCAACCCTTCCATTACATTCTCTACACCCGATAGATAATCAATGAACTTCTTTTTTTTGCGCAGGTCTCGAGAGAGAAAAATCAGGTAAAGTAGCCGGTGACGCGGTAGATGTCGTAGTAGGTGCGGGACAAAGAGAAATGCGAGTCTGAAAAGAGAGAAATTCAATTTTTACAGAGGATATTCTTGGGCTGGATCCCTTGAAAAAAAAAGCGGTCATTTTCAGTACATTGTCTAATTTTTTTAGGGCGGGGGGGCAAAAAGGCTGGAAAAGGGCAGTCCACGTATTATGAATAAAAAAAGATACTTCTGGGAACACTGGTCACTTAAGAAGCTTCTCAAAGACTACTTGGGGAGGACGCTAAAGTGGCCACTATAACCACCCCTACCCCTATCGAAGTCACTATTTTGCGTCTAAATGACCACTATAGTGGTTTTTTGTCGTCTAGTGGTAGCTCTAAAACTTCAAAGTGATCACTAATTTTCAGCCACTCAAGTGGCCACTAATGCGACCACTATAGCGACTACTAAACCCCCCCCCTCCTTAAGAAGTCACTATTTTACGCCTAAATGACCACCATAGTGATTTTTAGTGGCCTAGTAGTAGCACTAACAATTCTAAAGCGACCACTAATTTTCAGCCACTCAAGTGGCCACTAATTCGACTACCATAGTGGTCACTAAAACTTCCAATCTCACTAAAATTCTCACAGTTTTTTCGAATGATTGGAACTAGTTTAAAAAAAAAGAAGTCTTTCTCAATCTCCAGTTCAAATTTGAGCTAATAACTAGGGAGCGCAAAGCCCCGCCCCTTCACGCCACCAAAATGACGCCTTTTTTTTGTTGAAAAAACGGTTTCGAGGCGTTTCCTCGTCCTTGTAAAGAAGATTCTCAAGTGAATCCCAACTAATTCTTTCGGTTTTTAAAGCGTTTTCCTCGAAAACTTACTCGTGAAATCGGCACGATAATAGCCGTGGTTGAACATGGAATGGCTGTTGGCGCCGCAGCTCGCCGACTTCGATTTGTAAGTTCCACTGGAACAAGACAAAAAATAGAATTTTGACGTCTAAAACTTGAGAAAAAAAATCCACAACTTTTTATTTATAGATACAACCTCTCAGCTTCTTAGGAGTTACACAGTGGTCTCTATAGGGGCCAAAAATAGGACCTCTAGGGGTAAGATTAAGGTGGTCCCCATAAGGATTTACGGTCTGACCCCTTAAAGCTCAAGTGGACCCTATAGGGGTCTTTCAATATCATTCAAAAACGCTCATTTATTCAGCTTTTACCATGAAGATGCCCTTTCATAACATTTATCGACTAGCATGTCCCCTAAAGGGACCACTTTTGCAAGCTTTAGTGGCTCCTAAAGGGATTAACAAAGTGGTCCCTAGAGGGGATCCTCCAAACGCCTACAGAGACCACTCTGAAGCTCTGAAATTGTAGTCCTTAAATACATCTCGACAAAAAAATCAAAAAGTCAATTGAAAATCACGGTAGTCATGCTGAATTCTCTTTTCGAATGAAACACAAAAAAAATCTCACGGATTGCTTCCGGCGTTATGAGTGATCGACTCCAGATCCATGTAGGTCATGCCGGGGAAGTATTGAATGTTGCCGGGATCGGCGTCGTCCTGCAAATTCGTTTATAAACCAGTAATTTGGCAATTTCTTTTCAAAAATGATGATGAAAAATAAAATGATCGAATCTTCAAAACGCCAGATGTCCTTCTAGGGTTATGGGGGGAAATCAGCCACTATAAAGGACAAAATAATGCTTCCTATAGGAAATTTACTTTGAACCCTAGACCCCTTAAGTGGCCCCATGGGATACTTCAAATCTTTTTACGACGTAAAAATTAAAAAAAACATATTTAATGGAAATTGATTGACTAACCCTATGTTGAAATTTTCCATTCAAAAAAAATCCAATTTACCGAGTTTTTGGCATCCTTCTCAGAACGATAAAAAAAAACCAGCGTTCTCCCCTAAAGGGCCCACTTTTGCAAGTTTCATGGAGAGGTAACGTGGTCCTTCTAGGAAGGTTGCCCCTATAGGAGCCACTCTAGCGTTTCTAGAAAGTAATCTGAACGTTATGAGGCTGATAAGAAATGAAAGGAAAAACGTGAATTATTCGTTCAGAACATTTCCGTGAAACCAAAAATTGTCTTTTTTGTATTTTCGCAACAAGCTTTCAGAGAACCCATGTCCCTCAAAAAAAACATTAAAATTAGAGACTTTCCTATCATTTTCTGCTTCATTTTCCGATTTTTTAAAAAATATATTCATATCCACCTAAACCAAATAGAAAGCCTGAAATACCCAAAAACAATAAGCCGTCCCGAGGATCGAAATATGAACAAGGAAAATGTAAAAAAAAAAAAAAAAGAATCACATTGGTCATTTTGATAAGCTGACTATTGTGACCGTAGAAGATGTTATGATCGATTTGCTTAGACTTGAGCCGAGCCGCGATCACCGCGCCGAACGTGCACTTCTCGCAAGATTCCTGCAAGTTGCGAATTTTTCTAAAATTCGTGTGAGGGTCGTTAAAATTCATTGTGTTCTCTAGTGCTGTAGAAACGACTGACTATGTCTTTTTCAGGCTTGATTTTCTTTTTCTTGAAGCTTTTCCACTCACAGGCCTTCTTTTTTTCTTGATAATATAAATATAAAGAAATCCCGCCGTTATGGCGCAAAAATTAAATTTGAGAATTTCAAGCTTCTGGGGGTCTAGTGCTTTTAAAACGACCCGAAAGGCCAAAAACGACTTTTTATGCCCTGGTTTTCTCAATTTTGAAGCTTTTCCACTCACAGGCATTCTTTTTTCTTGATAATATAAATATAAAGAAATCCCGCCGTTATGGCGCAAAAAAATTAATTTCGATAATTTTTAAACTTCTGGCGCTCTAGTGCTTTTTGAAACGACCAAAAAGGCCAAAAAAACGACTTTTCCGGCTTGGTTTTCTCAATTTTGAAGCGTTTCCCTGACAGGGCTTCTTTTTTTCTTGATAACATTAATATAAAAAAGATCCCGCCGTTATGGCGCAAAAAAATTAATTTTGAGAATTTCAAAGCTTCTGGCGCTCTAGTGCTTTTGAAACGACCAAAAAAAGGCCAAAAAAACGACTTTTTTTCCGGCTTGGTTTTCTGAAGCCTTTCCTCTCACAGGCTTTCTTTTTTTGATATTGATAATATAAAGAGATCCCGCTGTGATGGAGTAAAAGTTATATCGATTAATTACAAGCTTCTGGCGCTCTAGTGCTTTTGAAACGACCAAAAAAGGCCAAAAAACGACTTTTTCCGGCTTGGTTTTCTCATTTTTGAAGCTTTTCCTCTCACAGGCTTTCTTTTTTCTTTATATCATCAGAAAGAACCCCTTAAAATAAGGTCAGTCATTTTCAGAGGTATCCAGCTTCTGGCGGTCACTAGTGCTGCCAAAAAGAATGAAAATAGCAACCGATTTTGCCTTTTTCGTCTTTATTTTGAGCCTTTTAATTCGTATGTCTTACTTTCTCCATTATATCATCAGAAAAAGGCCCTTAAATTTAAAAATTTTCAAGTTTCTATCACTATAGTAATGCCAGAAAGATTAAAAAAAGCAACCGATTCCTGAATTTATCGATCTTCATTTCGAAGCACTTCCTCCCAGCCCCCTACTTTGAGGATAAAAGTTTCAGACCCCGTTGTAATGGCACGAGAGATCGAGCTGCTTGACGGCGTCGCTGAAATCGGAGTTTTCACAGTACGCGACGCCGAGGATTCGGTTCGACGAGTCCGTGCCGACTAGTCGCACGTAAGCCACCACCAAAGGTCCGGACTTTGCACAAGTTTGTCGGAATGCGAGCGTCACCTTAAAATCGATTATAAATCTTTTCTTGAGATGATAAAGGGTTCAAAAACAATAGTATACATGGCTGAGTAAAGAGATTAGAAAAAGTCTTGAGGAAACTAAGCGAGACAAAAAAAGAGAACTGAACGCAACACAGCCGTAAAAACATAGTCTATTCACTGCTAGCTTGGGTTGCTAAGAGGGCGTGTCCAAAAACCTAGTTTACAAAATGAAAAAAACTCTCACTTTAAAATTATCATGCTCCAGGGCGTAAATCGCTGACGCCAGCAGCACCACCAACAAGCCTGATATGGAGATCATTTCTAAATCATTTTTTATTCTCGAAAAAATGGAGGAGAAGAAACTCACTGCAATGGTTGACTGCGCGACCGAACGTCTAATGAATACGGATCGCCCCTTTTTGACTTTACGTCGACTCACGTTGATTTACAGCATTTTCTCCGATTTTTCTAGATTTTATTTCATTATTCGACATTTTCTGATTCAAGAAACTTACACTCGTTGTTCTTAAACCATTCAAGACACTTGCAAATTAATAAACATCTCGAAAAAGTCCGAAATTTTTTTTGAAGTTACTGTAGGTCCACGCCGATTTTCTGCAGCGGTGTATGCGAACAAACTTTTTCTCCGCGCAAATCTCTGAAATAATTTTTTATTTTTTCTTTATTGTTTTTTTATTTCTTTTTTTATTAGTGTTATAGTGCCAATTTTTTTCTCGTTTTGTTCTTATAGATAGTGAACTTAAATGAATAACGTACCAAGCTTCCAAAGTAAATGACCATTTAGTTCACAGCTCAAAGTTTTTTTTTTTTAGAAATCCATTTTTATTTCGTTAATTGCATTGTTTTGTTATTTATAACTTCTATAACAGATGGAGAAACGCAAAAATTAACTTTTTAATATGAATATAAGTGGTTACTCAATGAAAAAAAGTTCAAAACCTCTCTATTGGTTTTTCTTTTCTTTTCGCGATAACGGTACTATTAAAATGTAATTGTCTGTGAATTTCTTTTAGCGAGTTTGCAGGGTAAAAATGGGCGACGGGAACGTTGTCCAGTGGCTGATGTGCGGGGCGGCGGCCGGCCTGGCCGTCGACATCGGCCTGTACCCGCTGGACACGATCAAGTCGCGGCTTCAGAGCAAACAAGGTTGTTTTTTTAAACTATAATTTTACTTTTTGTTCTCTATCATTTAAGCAAGATTAGACGGTAGATTTTTTTGTGAGCGAGCTTGTGTTTCAATGGAAATCAATATTAGTGAAGCTTTAATTTTTTTTTTTTTGGAGATAAAAATCACGAAAAAAAGATTTTATTCTCAAAATAGTTGCTATTTTGGGACAATTATTGAACCATATAAAGCTTATAAAGGAACCTTTTTTTAAAGTTATATCCTCAGAACTTTTTCATTTTTAACGTTCTACGAGAAGTTTCTTCTTTTAAAATCTCCATTTTTATCAAATTAGTTGATCATCTACAGTTCCATCATGTTGTCAAGCCTACTAAGGTGGTAAAATAAGTATAATTTACAGGCTTTGCACCTTTTCAAGCTTCTATTCCTAAATTAACCCAGGAAATTTGCAGGTTTCCTGGCCGCCGGCGGCTTCCGCAACATCTACCGCGGCATGAGCAGCGTTCTCGTCGGTTCGGCTCCCGGGGCCGCGATTTTCTTCCTCAGTTACCGGCTAGCCAATCGTCATCTTGGGGAAGGCGTCGTGGAGCACGCTTTTTCGGCAAGCCTCGCCGAAATCGCCGCCTGTGCCGTCCGCGTTCCCACCGAGCTCTGCAAGCAGAGGTCCCAAGTCAAGGCCGGCGCTCGGCTGACCGAAGTCGCCAGGGACATTTTCCAACGGCGTGGCTTCTTGGGCTTCTATCAGGGCTATTTTAGGTGAGGGATATCTTTTATCAATTTCCGTGAGAAAAGGAATATTTTCAAGTCTATACAAATGTTTTATTTCTCACACACAATTACTAAAGTTTACGAGATAAATGTAGGGAAAATGTAGGAAATTTTTTTTCCAAATTTTTATCAAAAGGTCATTTCAATAGCAAATTCCAACATCAAAAGAAAAAAATTCTATATTCTGAGGCTCTTTGAGCTTCTCATCACTTCCATTTTGGCTAAGAATTAGCCTTGGTTTTACTATTTCCGTACAAAAATTAACGTGACATGATTTTTCTGTATTAAAGTTGAAAAGGAAATCTTTGAAATATTGTCAGGAGAGAACCAAAAATTTTCCTAAAAATTAGAAAACCCCTTGATGAACCAGATGGAGATCCTAAGAGTTCCAACCTGCACAACTTGTTAGTTTTCGAAAAAATGAAGGCCTTATGCCCTAAAATAGCTGTTTTTTGAAGGTTTTCTTTGACTTTAAGGCGGCTTTTCAAAAAACACGAGAGAGTTTTGCCGGCTGAGACTTTCAGAATCTTCTTCTGGCGAATCAAGATTTGTTCTAGCCAATTTTCAGGAAGTAGAACTACCTTGTGAATGTTTCCCAAAAGGCCTTTCTCAGTTAAAAGTCCATTTTGTAGAAGTTTTTATGAAGTTTGGCGTTCAATAACGACAGAAATCGCTTCAGGCTTCATTAAAGAAAGAAGGAATAGATGGAAAATTTTTTAGAATCACGGTATAGTCTGTGTACCACGACTTGGAATTTCACCGAACGACATTCCGCTGTTCCGTTGCGTGCCTTTGCGCGCCTTTAATTTTTCATTTTATTTAGAAACTCGACCAACACGTGTTCCTAGTGGAGTCATCTATGGGAAATAAGAACCAATTCAAAGCGAGACCGCGGCTCGCAAAGACGCTTCGCGACGCAGCGGAATGTCGTTCGGTGAAATTTCAAGTCGTGGCACACAGACTACCTTGCCAATTTACATAACTTTTCTCGCAAGTTTGCAGCACGATCGCCCGCGAGATTCCCTTCTCGATGATTCAATTCCCGATCTGGGAGCACCTGAAGAAGTCGGTGGCGAGGAGGAAAGGTCGCGACGAGTGCAGCGCCCTGGACGGCGCCATCTGCGGTAGTGTCGCGGGATCGATCTCCGCGGCGTTGACGACGCCACTCGATGTCGCCAAGACGCGAATCATGCTGTCGAAGCGGAATCCGCCGCCACGAGTCCTTGAAACCCTACGCGATGTCGCCAAGACAGGCGGTCCGAAAGCCCTGTTCTCTGGGATCGCGCCACGCGTCATGTGGATTTCCATCGGTGGCTTCGTCTTTTTTGGAGCCTATGAGAGCTCGATGTACCTCACTAAGTTCTTGTTTTGATGCTCAGATTCGTTTCACTTTGCTCTCAGAATCTCAATTTCACGTTTAAGATTAGGATTGTTGAATTTTTTGAAGGTTAAACCTGCATAGCAGCTTTTTTCGTTCTTGGGAAAAATGTACTTTTTTGCAAGTTGAGGCTTGTTTGACCAACTTCTTAGGAACTCCAGAGTGGCCCCTATAGGGGCAACCATAGGGGCCCTTGGATGGTTCCTCTAGGAACCACTTTATCAAACCCTATAGGGGCCACTAAAGCTATAAAAAGTGGTCCCTTTAGGGGACATGCTAGTCGATAATTATTATGAACTTTACGCGTAGAAGCATTTCCACAGGGAAACTGAATAAGTAAGCTTTTTTTTGAATTAAATTGAAAAACCCCTATAGGGACCACTCTAGATTCTCAAGTTTTGAGAAAATATCAGAAATTTCTTTAGCGGTTAGAAGGAATTCCTTGGTATTTTATATGTTCAGCTTTACTGTTTTTTTTTTCTTTAGAATATTATCTAGGCGTAGAAATTAGTCAATTCGATACGATTTCTTCAAAATTCCTCTTTAATCTTGTTTAACATGGTATAGATTGATTATAGACAAGAGTTTTCTCATAGTTTATTTTCGAATCCGATTTTTCATGATATAATCTTTTTTAAAATTATTTTTGCTTCTCGTTGGCTCCTTTTTCCGTCTAGAATCAATCGTCTCATAATGTCAATACCTTTTTGTTAATATCTCCCCTAGTTGCTCAAATGATTTTTCTCGTGCCTTCTTGCTCCGTTACGGCTTTAATACGGCTCTTTCTCGTTTTTCTTCACTTTTTCGATTATTTCTTTAGATGATTTCTTAGGATAGATTATATTACTAGTCACTCTGTTTATTGTTTTCTCAAAATCTCAACGTGTAATAAAGATTTTCATATTTTTAGTTGGTTTCCTATTGAAGAAGGTTGACCTGAGCAAAGCCGGAATGGTGGATAATGACCGGTAAAAAAGAGAGGCTTGAAAAAGGCTGCAAAAAGAGTCCCTTTGTCGAGCCTTCCATTTAATCTTAGAGGCTCAAAAATGGTGGAAAATGGAGAGGCAGCAAAAAGGAGCCTTTCTATGGAGCCTTTTTCAACCCTTTCTGCCTATAAAATTGTTCTTTTGAACTTTCTCAAAATCACAGCGCATTCACATGAAAACCTTTTGTATCCCAGCCGAAATTTTCTTTTTTTGAAACTTTTAATTGAGAGTAAATTGGAGTCCAACTGAGGTTCCCAAGAGTTCTCATAATTGAAAGATTGGATATTAATTCGGGTGAAGAGAATTTCTCTTGGGATCGTTCTGGAATCATTCACAAGGCGAACGCGAAGAGAAGAATGGCGCCTCAAGTTTTTCTTCTCTTCATTTGTCTACTTCCTCGGGCCCTGCAAGCTGAAACGTGAGTTCAAAAAATGATTCCTGTATTTGGATTTTATTCCACGCGCTTAGAGTTCTGACACTAAGCAGTGGCTCCAAAAAAGTATAGTCTGTTCAGATTTTGAATGTCAAGCAGCTAACTCCACCCCATGGCTACAATATCTTTCGCGTCAATGTTATATCTACAGATCACGATGGCCCTTTAATAAGGCTGCATTTTTGACTTCTTTTTCTATCTTTTAGATCAAAAAAGATCAAAATTAGTCCCGCGCGTTAAAACATCGACGCGAAAGGGTACCGTCTCGGCAGGGGCGGAGTTAGCTGCTTGACATTTAAAATCTGAACAGACTATAGGTCAAAAGAAATAATTTTTTTTGATGCTAAAGCCCATTCCACGCCTGCTTGTTACTTTTTTTCGCCAAAATTACCGAATTGAATCAAAGTTGAGCATCCACGCCATAGCTAATTCATGGCTAGCTTGGGACGCTAAGGGGGCGTGTCCTGTCTGCGCTCTCCACGAGCCAGGCACTATCTCTTTTCCAATCGTGTCAGGACCCTTTTTTCGATGGCTCGAGCCAGCCGTGAACCAGCTATACAAGACCTTTGTTTTCCGCTGTCTTTTTTTTTGCCGTTTTGTAGAGCAAAATTTTATTTTCTTCAAACGTGACCGTCTCGCGTGGAACGGACTACTTAGGAACTACAAAGTGGTCCCTATAGGGGTTAGGGGGAAGTGGTTTCTATAGGGGTCTTTAAACTTCATTCAAAAAGAAACGTTTATTTATTCAGTTTTTTTCGTATGGAAATGCTTCTTCGCATCATAAAAAAATCATGAACCTACATGTCCCCCATAGGGGCCACTAACTATAACCCTATAGCGGCCACTCTGGAGATCCTAGGTATAAAACTTCCGTTTGACGCGATGTCACAATTTTTTCATTTTTTTTACAAATCACTTTGAAGATGCACGGGTTGTCAAATACTTATGGAATCCTCACCAACCGCATTTGGAGATCAGTACCAACCGACTGTCAGGTATCCGCACAGCTCATTCTATGAACCTATGACACTAATTTCAACAGCTCTTCAAACGGATGCAAGACAAAATTATTCACATGCGAAAAGCTCGACTCCAACATTTACACCAATAAGCCTGCTATTTATGTGACTGACTGGTCAAGATGTGTTTTTAGCTCTTTCTTTCGAAATTTAGGCAACAGCAACCGATGGATACCAGTTTGTTTTCGATAAGGGCAATGTCACACTGACCTGTGACGAGGGTCAAACCCTCTATACTTACGGGACAAGTCAAATCACAAACCTCATTTGCTCAGAGTTGAAAAAGTCAGTTTCTTAGTCTTTTTCCAAATTTAGATAATTTTCAAAATATCTTTCTTTTTCGAAACATTTGATCCATTTCTTTAGGAAAGTTGTTTCAGCGATTTCTTGCAAGACATAAATGTTCTCAGTTTTCACAAAACAAGTTCTCTTCGAACGTTTGATCCGAAATTCCTTCTTTCGACGTCATTGTACTTAACATGAGGAATATTATTTGAGAGGATGTACAAACTGCGTTCTACCGCCAGTCAACGCTCAACCTCCTAGCTCAACCTATTATGATTACGCACCGAGTGTCCGGTAAATTGAAGTTCCAAGGAAACTTCGGAGAGTTCGATTGAAGGAGTACCACAGTGGGCGAAGACGGATGCGAAACGTCCGAGTTTTACTGCGAGGAGCTCGACCCTTCGAAATATAAGTCAAAAGACGCTATACTCTACGTGAATAACTCACCAGTTCATCAAAGTTTTCTAGCAAGCTGTTACAGATAAAAACGAGAGGCTCCGAAGGTTTGAGTACAGCTAGAAGCGTACCATGTAGAAATGGCTACTACGGTTTTGACAATGCCTACTACCCGGATTTCGTCGAAATTCTTCGTTGTAGTGTCCCAAAGTTGTGAGTTTTAAACAATAACATTCGCGAGCATCAACGAGGGTTCACATTCTTAGTGTAATATCGAACTGTGATCCACATTTTTTCATAAAAAATAAGTATCCTAAAACCAGTGGGCGGTCAATTAAAAATCTTCGTTCGTGATTTCGAAGAAAAAAAAATCAATGCAGAGAAAAAGAAATATTTTTCTTGACACTTACAAAACGATGACTGCGTATTGGTTATGGATTATCATTTAAGGAAATGCACAGATTGCAAATTACCACCGTTCGTTTTCGAGTCTGAAACCATCTCTTCTGCAATGAAACAGTACGCGCCGAAAATCACGTAAATCCGTAGTCAGATTTTTGGATAAAAATGAATTGAACAGAACTTCGAAAGGTACAGACGATTGTGACACGTATACGATTTCCTGTGAGTTGCTCGATCCCGCCAAATACCTTCAAATGCCACTTCTTTCTGTAATCACTTTCTCAATTGGCTTCAGAAAACTCATTTACTTGTATTCAGGTGAGAATGGGTGAAATTCTTTCTAGTTTCGAGACTCCTTCCATCGATATGACTTGTCGAGGCGATAATGCTATTTACTTGCACGAAGGCACTCCATATACTTTTGATAGCGCTCTTTGCGCTGATACCGAAATGTAAGTTTTTCAAATTTTCTGACTAGGAAACTACGCGATCTCGTAGAGTTCGAACTTTTGCGGTTTATAGACCTTAGTCAGAATACTTGAAAACAAGAGAGATTATCTGCTCAACCTGATAAGGTACCGAGAAAAATCTTGCTGAAAATGGATAGATTGGGCTTGAAAAAATTTAGGACGATGCTTTTCATCCTATTTTATCTTTCAATAAAGTCACCTCGAATGATTCGGTTACCAGAAACGCCCAAACTACTCAGTATAAAAAATTGGAGAAAATCAATATCTTGAAACTGTTCCAGCCTAATCTACTCATTTTCAAAAAAAATTTTCTCGGTTTCTTATCCGGTTTAGCAGATAATCTTTCTTGTTTCCTTTTTCCTGACTCAGGTCTATGAACCATCAAAGTTTGAACTCGATCCGCAAATATAAGTTCACGAAGCTCCCTAGTGAGTAACGAATTCCAATTTCGAAAGACAAAACTTCGAGAAAAAAATTTTTTTGAGAGGTATTTTTGTGGAATCGTTATGGTACACTCCCGACCCGCCTGGGAGGAACAAAAATCTTACAAAAACTCAATAAAACAATTTTTCCTCCAGTTTATTTTAAAACTGTGATGCAGCAAAAAAAAATTCAAAACGCTTTGATATTTGATTATCATTGAAGATGCGCGACTTGCACTTTCCCATCTTTCGTTCCCCAAGAAGGATTGCCTGAGTGGCATCAGTATGGACCGATACTGAGGTAACTTGAACTAGGGTCCATAAGCCGCAAAAAACCCAAATACAGAATCACGACGAGCCTTGTTGGTTGCGATGTAGGACTATTTGAATGTCAGAAGCTCGACCCGGCAAAGTATGGACAGGAACCCGAGCTTATTGTGATTAATTTTATAATTCAAAAAAAATTTCGTTTGACGTGAAGATTTTAATTAGTATACTTTAAGATGAAGTTTGCTGGACAGGGCAGTTTTATGTTCGCCGGAGAGGCACAAGTGACTTGTCATGACGGTAAACCTTCATTTGTGGGAGAAGCTGGTCAAAAATACGAAGTCGAAAGCGTTTCGTGCCGAACAAGGACCTTGTGAGTTTTCAACTATAAAAGAGCTTTGAAACTTTTTTAAAATGGCGATGTTTTGCATACAGTCTGTTCAGATTTTGGATGTCAAGTCATCGCTCAAACTCCGCCCCTTATGCGTAGATCAAGCCAATCAGATATTGATCCATCAACAGAGGGCCGTGAGTTTGCTGCTTTACATTCAAAATCTGGACAGACTACTCTGTTCAGTTCAGATTTTGGATGTCTAACAGCAAACTCCGCTCTTAACAACGCTCTGTGGCTGGTTCGATCTATGCATAAGGGGCGGCGTTTGAGCAATGACTCGACATTCAAAAATTGAACAGGCTGTAATTGGATCCGCCCCTTAAAATTAGCCTTGAAAGCAAAAACCTTTTAAACTTTTGTCAATCATCAAAAAAGAGATATTCGTAAAATACTTAAAATTGTAATCTCAGATGTTCGAGTTGTACACTGCCAAGATGGGGTCCTGACGATTACCATTTCGACAATTCATACTTGGACTTCTTCCCAGCAACAGTCCGTACCATCAGCGAAAACGGAGAAATGAGAGTTGCATTTAGCTGCTTTCCCTTCTGGCTCGATCCCAACATTATCAAAGGAATTTACACATTTGTAATTTCGCAATCCGTCATAATGATTTAGTTGCCATTTCTAGACAAAATTCGTCGGTTTTGACGGATTTCATCAAATACCAGGCAGAGATGCGAACAACTTCACTCTTCCCTGTGTCGATGGTTACGTCAGAATGCATCATGAGGATATTGATAAAGCTATGGAGACATTTTCCTGTGTCGCTGAGGTGCCAGGGTAAGCGTGGGTCAAAATCATAAAACGGCTCAGCCGATAAAACGAAATCGTCTTGCTACGGGGGCCTAACATGGGAGGTCATTTTAGCGTAGGGTTCAGAATTTTCTATAGATTTTCTCAAACAATCTCTGATGGGCTGTGAAACGATCCCCCATAGTCGCTACCTGCACAAACTTTTTGTTTTGGAGATATGATTTTTCAGAGTTTTTATCCTTAACCATGTGACGCCGTTTGGAAGGAATGTCCACCAAGACTGCATGGCAGCTAGAAGCGTGGTGCAGTGGCTAGCGTGTCAGCCTGTGAAACTTATGATGAAGGTTCGAATCCTTTTGCCGCTAACTTTTTTTTGCCACTTTTTTTTCAAGAATTCTGATGATAAGATTGAATTCTAAGAGAATAACCGTTAGTTATCAAACTTTTTTGAAACGGTTATACTCATAGAATTCTAATATTTTCATGAGAATTCTTGAAAAAAAAGTTAGCGGCAAAAGGATTCGAACCTTCATCATAAGCTTTGCAGGCTAACACGCTAGCCACTGCACCACGCTACTAGCTGTCATTCAAGGGCTGGTTGCGCGTACACATTTCTTGCAAACAGTGTACCGTGTTTAAGGATGAAAAATTTGAAGTATCATATCTCCAAAAAAAAAAGTTTGCGCAGATAGCGACTATGTGGGATCGATTCTCAGTCTATCAAAGATCGTTTGAACAAATTTATAGAAAAACCTGAACCCCACGCTAAAATGACCTCCCATGTAAATGTGAACCGCTTCGCAGGCCGGGCACTCCGGGGCGCGTCGCGGTCGGGGACGGCCTTGGCCAGGGTCGCCCCGAATTGAGAGCTGCTTTGATCGGCTGGATCTTACCCCAGCCTTATACGCGCAAAAAAAAAAAATTGCCGCACCCCGCGGTGGGATACAGCCGAAGTATGGTCAAAATTTAGTATAATCAGTTTTTCTTTTGTTATATGTTAAACAGCCACTGGAATAAAAAAGTAGGCGGGGGAACGTTAAAACTTTTCGCCGACGAAGAATTTTTCATAGTTTTTCCCCGTAAATCAACACATTTTTGTTTCTTTACGCGGCCTATTTCAAAAAGGAGCTTTTTTCAACGTTATATTTCCATGTGGTAAAGAAACGCCAACAGGTCACATTGTTCCAATTTATGGCGAATATAAATATATAAGGACCTTGTACTAATGTATCGCTAAATATATAATATATATTTGTCTCCTCGACCTCTGTCCTAAAATAGCAACTTAGTCGTGAAAATAGGACTAACTGAAATTAATTTGAAGATGCGAAACTTGCGCAGATCTACAGTTCGTACAGCCTCCTGATGAGGGATTTTTCTACTACGCTCCTACAGTAACGTACGCTTCATCAAACTTTTTTCTATTCTCAGAACTCTCCAAGTTTATTGCTGTTTCAGCGAAACTGAACATTGCAAAAAACTTCTCACATGCGATGTCTCACATACGCCGCATAACACCTCTTCAACCCTTTTGGTGATTGAATTTTTTCCGAGAGAGCAAGAGAAAATGAAAGATGATTTCAGATACTGACTGATGGGCAATTTATACCAATCCCAGAAAATTCGCACATGTTGTGCCGTCATGGAATCATGAGTGTTTACGCAAACTTAGCACTCAATCCAACAGAAGGGATGGCCTGTCGAACATTCAAGAGCCAAGCTCCGCCACCCAGCGTACCTGGGCGGAAAAAATGATGGGCGGAAACAGAAGAATAAAGCTTGACTTTGTGATTTTGAACTAGACTCATGGAAATTATCCGTGGTGCTTCTATCGAAATCAAAATTATTCCGTTAGCAATGCAAAACTATGAAGATTGAAGCGGTTGCGATTTTACTATGATGTCAAAAAGATAGTTTACAAAAAAATGATCAAATTCGTAATGAGGGCCAGAAAGAAGTTTACCATTACGGTCCATGTACTTATAATTGTCTCCTTGAAATGTCTCAGAACTCTATTAGTGATTTCTATTGCACCAAAAACGATTTCAGGTAGACCATCACATCGAAAATTTGACTTGAACTAATTTTTGGCCTGGAACTCACTAGTTCGGCCCGTTGCTATTGGAACTTTTTTGAAAATCACGGAAAAAAAATGCTTTTTTCGGTGTGGTTTCTTCAAAACCTTAAAGGCATAGGGGCAGTAAAAAATGGGGTTTCAGGTGAAAGCAGTATCTTATTTAGTTTTTCTTTCCGAATCGAATGGTGTACTCAAAAAAATTAAATATGTGACCACTTTAGAAGAAAAACGCGATTTTACTTTCCCGCCTTTATTTTTGAAAAAAGCTTTGGATGGGTATGTAGACAAATGTTTACAGTAGCCGCGCACGCGATGTTGCGGACGTCTCATTAGACTCGCATTTTGTCAGAAAGAACCGGGTATCTGCTTCAAATTAAAGGTTTCTTCTCTGAAAAAACATTTAGTCAAACAAAAAACACACACCGATAATAAAGAAAGTACAAAATAATGCTATCCCAATCGAAACCTGTGTGAAATCATCATTTTTCACCAAAGAAGCGTTTTTGCGATCAAAGTTCGCAAATTATTCATGAATAGAAAGATTTTGTGACGAAAAGAACTTTGGTGACAACAGAAAAATTGAAATTTGAAAGAAACGAAGAAAAAAGCGAAAATCCGGAAAATGGCGAAGCCTGTTGTCCATAGAGCAACTTTACTGCAAAGCGCCCTTTTCCCGGGAACTCAAACTTTCCTCTCGTCGACTTTGAATTATTTTTTCTCCAAAACTAGGAAGTTTGGTACGTTTCCAAGTTCACCGTTCGATTCGCAATGAGAAACTCTACAAATAACTGCTTTGAACTAAAACACCGTTTTTTACTGCCCCTATGCCTTTAAGTTTACAAGTAGGAAATGAAAAGGAAACACTTGAAAACTGTTTTTTTTTCTGAATTTTGTGTCGAAGACAAAACTATTCTCTGAATGATCATGTTCATTATTTCTTATATTTTGAAAACTCTATTCATGATCATTTTACGGGGATACTGGGCCTTGAGATTGAAAGCGCAATGGAGTGACATGTAAAATTTCCTTGCCAGAAAATGTTCTCAAAATCTTGATCAGACAGAAAACTTCTTCTGAATGAACTGCAGCTGATAAAAATAAAACAAAACACTTGAAAAAATATCCCTATTTATGGATTTCTCTCAGACTCAAAGATTGATTTGACGCCGAACAAGTCGATATGCCGCACTTGAGTCTCAGAAAGGAAGGTTTCCTTGGCCACTCCACCCAAAGTCAAAGTCATCTCCTAATTAGGAAGGTCGATTTCGAAAAAAAGGAAATATTTGCGTTTGGAATTCTAACCTGCAAGTCGATTTTGGCCTGGTAAGCGCGCAAAATGTCGATTCCAATGATGACGTCAGTACCGACGACAGTATGCTCCATCACGGTCAACGTGGCGGGGACCGCGAAGCCGCCCACTTCGAGATCCACTAAAAAATATCGTCTTATTATTTATTTAGGATATTGAGAATTTGATGGAGCAAAAAAATCAACCAAGATTCACCAACTAATTTTCATTTTTGACATATTTCATATTTGAAAAACTCAGGCCGAATTTTGCAAACGTCTATTAAAAAAATTAAATGATTCTTCTTTTATATCATACTCAAAAAAACACCGAAAAATGAAGTTTAGTCGTGTTAAATTTCTGTTTTTTTTTCCAGATTTTGCACCTGGCTTTGAAATTTATTCCATTCTTGGTTTTTCCATGGTTTTATTTCACCAATCTGTCTACTATAAATCTGGAATTGAACTATCCATGGAGCCCAAACATTTTTTTTCTTGTCCTTTTTCAAATTTTTTAAGGTTTTAACGAAAGCAAAGGTCCTATAGTTTCCAAAATAGCCCTGACAAGTTTCCATAGTCTAGATGTTTTCAGTGTCTCAAACCCTTAGAGAATACACTTTAAAAAAACGGAAATTCTCACAATTCAAAATTTTCCCCAGCGCCTCTGAAGCCCCTCCGACGCCAGCAGCCGTAACTTGGAATCTTCAAAATTGCCTACTTTCTTTGAAAAGCTTATTTTAATAAATACCTGGAATCAATCAAGTCGAAAACATCGCACTTCTGGGCCGCGTCTTTCGATATAATTGATAGTTGTGCACCAGGAAACTGAAATATTCGAAGTTTGTGAAAAAATTTCAAAATTACCTGTGTCCACAAATGCTAAAAGTTTCCGTGTATTCAAAGTTATTGGAATGAAAAGCATTGGCGTTTCGATGAAACTTTGCGGAGCCAGATCGAGAGCCCTTTTATAGAGACTAAAATATCGAGTTTTTCTTTTAAATGGAAAAAAGTCCAATCGAACATTAATTTTGCTCTAAATAAGGGATTATTCAACTTAGAATCCGAAGGGGCAACTTCCTAAATACGCTTGTCATTCCACAAAACTCGAATCTAGTATTTTCAAAAATTCAGAAATACTGATAATAATCTTCATTACACAATTTTTTTTTCAATTATATCATTTTGTACCCAGCTTTACATTTCCACCTGCTCAAGAAATTCCAGCCATTTTCTCGCATAATGAAAAAAATAACCTGTTCAGCCGCTTTAGATTAACCTCGACGTCGGTTTCAGCTGATTTCGGGTGAATCTTAAGCACCTTTCCTTCGTAACAAGATAATTCCTGTAAAATATTTGAAAAATAAGTTCATTAATGTTAACTTTTTCCTGACGTAATATGATTTTTTTAAAGAGGTTCAAACATGAGGGAATTGTAAGAAATCTAATAAAAAGCTTTTTTTTAAAAAAATCTTTTTTTAAAAATGAAGATGAACTGAATTTTTTTGACTTGAATGAAAAATCGGAATTTTACCATAGACGAATAATCGCTTTTTAAACATGGAATTCACCAACCTCTGCGGTTTTGGCAACATTGCTCGGCCAAATTAAAGCTTGTTCGCAGGAAACAAAGATATCTCTTAGGCCAATTTCATTTTGACGAAAGTCGTTCAGAACCAACGTGAAAACCGACTCCAGACTCAATAATTTTGCAACCTGAAACTTTTCAAAGCTTTTTTGATGAATTCAATAATTTCAAAAACAGTTATTCGAATCAACTAGCTTACAAAATATTTTCATTGACAAATTCTAAAGAATGGATCACGGATTCCGAAGAAAAAAACAGAATTGAACGGTTTCGACGGATTTTTTTCAAACTTAATCGATTAAAAAAATAAACTCAAAATAACAATACAAACCAAAAATACTTGATTTATTCAATTTATTTAAACCATTTGTTAAAGGTGCAGCTTTAACTATTAAAGGAGCAGCGCGGCGTAGCGCAACAGTTCTCGGACATTGGTAACGCGAAACGGACGTGCCCCGGACGTTTATGGGCGATTCAAGGGATCACTTAAGAGCTTTAAGGCTACTAAAGTGGTCACTAGAAAGGCCCCGACACGTCCTATTCGCGTCCCGTTCGCGTTACCAAGGTCTGAGTTTGTATTCCTGTCTACAGTTCAATGGCTCACAAGTTCAATCTCCGCTCAATCAACTGGCTCAAGAAAGGTTCGTAGTGGGAAACCGCAGCTTTTTAACTCTTCATTGACTCGGAACGCCGAGGGGAAATAAGGCGTGACAAAAAAGTTAATTATTAAAAAAGCATGATTTTTTCATTTTTCTATTTTTCTACTTGTTTTTGATATCTGAATCTATTTATTAAATATAGTTTGGACGCACGCTGAAGGTTTTGTTCTGCTTTTCCTGTCGCCCATCGGACCATTCAAAGTTGAGCGTAACATTGTCCTCCATCGTTCGATCCATTCTTCTTTTGAAAATAGATACAATCATCACGTTTCCTTTATTTTATTCGTATGCCGTGTTCAAAGTGATTTTCGCGAAATGCAAAATCATCTGTGATTATCCAAATTCAGTTATTTTTTTCTTTCTCTGACGACTATTTTGAGTTTCGCGGAATCACTTTGAACACGGCAGTTTTTTATCCACTTTATCAAAAAATTACTTTTTTCTTTTTGAAAAACCTATTATCCATGTTTTTTAGTCAAAACGTTCACACCTCAACATAAATCTTATCCTCTGGTTTGATATCAGTTATTCTACTTTTTTTTTCAATTCTCACCTGCTCTAACTAGATATTCGAATCTAAAAGCCGTGTTTCATCCCAGCCACATATTTCTTTTAAACCTATATTTCAAGAGTTTCAAACTATCAATTATGAGAAACAAATTAATGATATGTCTCACGTGCTTTCCCACTTCAGATGACAAGAAATTCAAAGCTGTAATCTTTTTACTTGTCCGAAAGTCATTTCTTCTTTTTCGCCATTTTCTTTCGAGCTTTCTCTAGACATTCGATGCTTTAGAAATCAGATTTAGGGCTGAAGGGGAATTCTGCTTTTTGCTTTTATTTTTAGTCTCACAAATTTTTTCCGAATCTAATTTACGACTTTGTTAGAGAGTTTTTTTTTTGGAAAATGATTGCATTTTTTTGTTTTTTTTTGATTAAGAGCTTTTCGCTCAAAATCAACTGTTTGAAATTAGTCTCATATAAAGTTTCTTTGGTGCTTAGTTTGTAAAAAAATTATTGTTGAATATCAGGAAAATCGTAGATTTCTGTTGAAAGGCTTTTTAGCTCTCCTCCGCGAGTTTTTTCGACAAAGTTGTACGGCTTCAAGGATTTTTGTGTAGAATTTCACATTTGAAAAATGCAATAGTCGAATTTTTGAGCGATCGGCTTTCAATCAAAGAAGTTCTACCATCCTTTTTCTCGAATTCTTGAACGAACCGGTGTTTGGCAAAGTTTTGTAAATTACCTCTGACATTTTATTAAGATTTGAGAAAGTTGAAAAATTTTTTTCCTGTTTAATCGTGGGCCGTTTCTTATAGAAATTATCAATCTAATAAATATTCGAATTCAGAAAATGGTGACGCCTCCTCCCAAGTTTGGCATGATCTACAATCTCAGCGATGGATCTTTCTATTGGCTGCCAATTTTCATTCATCCGGACGAGCCGCTCGTGAAAACGCCATTTTTCTCCATTTTATATGTTTTCGAGGTGATGAGCAATGGAAAAAGCTCTCTACGTGGTTTTTCAGGTGATGAGCATCCTGCTGACGTTGATGTACATGTGGTCAGTTATTAAAGTTCAGCATCAGATGAAAGTTTTCCACGCAAACCTGACCAATTCATTGTCGATTTTGGCTCTCTATTATTATATTCCGGCTGTTTCGAGATTCTTCTTGCTTAGTTATCAGCTTGGAGTAATCAGTATTCAAGGTGAGTCTATTAAGGCGCGTGAAAAATGATCTAAAAAATTAACTCTTTGAAGAAACGTAATAAACATAGTTTTCAGGCACCCCGGAACGCGATCCGATCCTCCTTACCGCCTCTTTCGGACGACTATTCTACTTTGGCCTAGGTATCGGATTCTTACCGGCTGTTTTCATTGAAAGATGTTGCTCAACAATATTCGTGGAAGATTACGAGAAAAAAGAGAGAGCTTGGATTACCGTAGTTTTGATGATATTTCTTCACACGGTTGCCATTGCCTTCGCTTTTTCCACAATGCGGCGTGAGAATTTTTCTGTTTTTCTTTTTTCCATTTTATTTTTTTATCAATTATATTTTATTTATCAAATTGCTCATTCAGGTTTCTATGCTTTGCATTTTTTCTTAATTTTCGTCTTATTTATATGCTTGGCCTCTTGTGGAGGCTTCATTTGGCTGTGTCGAACCAACAAAAGACGTCTTGAGCGGATTTCTAATTCTCTGCATATGATCAACACCTATACATTGTCTATTAGGTTTCAAACTTCGGAGAATATTCGCTCCATGAAGGTTTGCTATTTTTCCAGTTTTCCCAGTAAATGGTAATTAGTATGATAAAGACTGCGTTGTTGCATTATTTTAGTGCGCCTGACCAAAACCGACTTGCTCGGGGTGTTATTTAAAAGCAATACAACAGATTTAGAGGCATTCCAATTGCGACCATGGTGTATCTATTAAAACTAAATTTTATTCATTTTTTTCTTTTCGTATCCAAATTTCGTGCAGAACTTCATTACCACTATTTGAAGTTCAGGATTTTTTGAAGAAAAAAGCAATTAGAAATAATGAATTCATTTCTCTCATCATGAAGAATTATTTTACTGAAAAAGGTCTTTTTCATTTTTTATCTGATTGAGACGCCCAAATAGTTGATTAATTAAAACCTACCATTTCGCTCATTTTTGATAATTCTTTTTAAATTAATTTTTTTCCGTAAAGCTTGCTTCATGATGTCGCTATTTCAACTTGAGACTTCTATAGTTACAATTACTTCAGATGATGGGCCGTTTAATCTTCGTAGCTGCAAATATGCTTTTAATTGCACTTGCTTTGATCGGAATCGGTGGGTATACCATTGAAGTAAATCATACCATATCTCTAATTTGCTACGCTTTTTTTGACCTGCTCTTCTCAATGTGAGTTTCAATTTCAAGGATTTTTCCATTGATGATGAAGGAAAAGGTTGGCAAAAATTAGGACCACGTTCTGTGCTTTTTTTCAACTTTTTTTTTTACTTTTATTAGGTTGGCCTAGGTTCATTTTGATTTTTTTTTTGTCAAAATAGGCAAAAACTCTTGTAAAGCCCAAAGTTGGGAGAAATCAAAACTTTTCTTTTAATGACTTCGTGATTTTTTAATTTCTTCCATTTGAAAAATTGTTTCGGATGTTTTTGTTTATTTTGAAACTAGCCCAAAAAAATTAGATGAGTAATCTGCCATGTGGCGCTCATAAATTACCCTTACTTTTTTGGCATTTTTTTTAATCATGGCTCGGACCCCGGTAACAAAAACCGGACATTTCTGAGAAGCTCTAGGAACTTAAGAGTGCTGACACAGTGGTCATTAGAAATACCCCGAAACGTCCGATTCGCGTTGGACCGAGGTCCGAGTAAGTGCGATTTTGCTATTTTCCCTCTTTCAGTTTCCCACATATCGCTGTTGGAGTCGCTATTCACCATATAAGGCGGTGGCGAGAAATCTTCCGTTCCTCAGTACATCAACATCTTGGGATTTGCCAAATGAACGAAGTCAGCTGCAACGACGTTGCTCAATACAAAAACAACGACGCCAAAGTTTATTTTGACCAGCTCAAACAGTCGTGGGCTTGAAAAAGTATAATTTGATATTAACGACGTTTATTTGACGGCGACCCGCCCGCCTTTTTTCCGTAAAGTGTAGTGTGTTGTGTGCATACACTGCGGCGCACTGGCACACGCCGCGTTCAACGTAATTTTCGCGATGCGTCTTTAATATTTAATATTTCCTGTTCGCGTTCTTCTCATGGCGTCAAATGGGAACGGCGGACGTTTTGGCCACGCTCCTTAATTTTTGGTTTTCCATTTTCTTCCACTAATAAAAACGCCGTGTATTTAATTGTTGTTTTTGATTCGAGAATGTAAAAAATTGATTGAAGTATATAATGTACAGTAAATTTTTTTGACGTCGAAATGATAAATTGTTTTTTTTCCCTTGTTGGATCGTTTGAGAAAGGTTGAAGTCAAAAAAAATGACGATCCAGAAAAAATCGAATCCTTAATTTTGATGGAAAGATTTTCGATCGATTTCAGAAGAATTTTCAATCAATAGAGCCATTTGAAGATCCTCATCCTAGAAAAAAGTCGGAACTCGCATGCAATATATCGGATCGTTTTTCCCATTTTATGAGGGAAATGTCGTAAAGTTTTTTTTTAAATTTTTAACAAAAATTTTGTTGTGAGTGTGATTGAATCTAGAGACTTCTTATTCAAAACCTTATAGCGCACATAAAGCTTCATTTCTTTTCCGCGAAACAAGCTGCCCCTTCCGATTTAACTACTGTAGTGCCGTCGTAGATAAAAATAAGTCCACTGCTGCAACCCTTTCTTATAACATTTGACATCGCTTTATAACTGCTGTCAATAAGTATCTGAAAACACTTCCATTTTTACTTTTTTCGGTTGTCAAGGATATTTACCATTAAGGTCGACGGTTGTTTGTAAATAGTCTCATCCAACGCTGCGCAGTAATGATATGTAGAACAATCACTTTCTGTTATACTGAAATTTTATAATAATAAGAATCCTAAGTAAGGTAGAAGGAAAAATACTACTGAAACGCACTTTTTTGTAGGAGCGTAGTAGTAATCTTTCTTCTCAGGTTTTGATGGCGGTAAAAACGGTAGATCACAGGTAGCGCACTTAGGAGATCTAGAGTCGTCTCTATAGGGCTCTGGGGGAACAACGGCCTCTTTACGAAAACTAAAAATGGTTCATCTAGGGGTAAAATTTAGTGATCCATAGAGGTGTTTGGAATCTACCCATTGGTCCCTTAATCTCAAACGCATGTTCAAGGCGGCCGGACGTATTACGGTAATCAAGCTAGGTTTTTAAGTAAAAAAAAAAAGGAAAAATTGTGTACTTTCTGTGGCGTTATTTGTCTCGTGAACTCGAGAAGTAGGTTCTTAAAAAGTTGCAAAAAAGGAAAAAAAAAATTGGAAAATTTCCTGGCTCCGAAACTGACAGCGCAATATTGACCGGCCACCGGCCGCAGTAACACTGTCTTAAACATGCGTGCTCAAGTGGTATCAGAGATGGGCGGGAATTAAATTTTGAATGGCGGAATGCGGAACGCGGAGAGCGACTGCCCATGAGCTCCGTAATATTTGTCTTTGGTTCATACACACAACGACGCTAACACTCAATAAATTCGAAATTAATATTTTTCTTACTTTTTGAGCGTTTTCATTCCTTTTCACCCTCAAAAAAAGATTATTTTTTCAGCGAAACACTTAGATTTCTATGCCGCAAATAACTTATTGGGGTTCTACGTTTCTTTTCCTGCTTATTAAAAGTTTTCTTCACAGGTGTGGTTTAGTTCATACACCAAGTGATACAACTAAAATAAACATGAGAAATCAAAATAAATGAAACAAAAAAACGAACTTTGACAGCTTGTTAGTAGAGCAACCGACATGTTTAAATTCGGTTGAAATGTTTCCAATTTCAATATAAGAAATATTGTTCAGGCAGGTCAATTTGGCGTTGTCTGCATTGTTGCCGAACCCTTGGCCACCAGCAAACCACTTGAATTTCGTCGATTAGATTCATAGTTTCAATTGAGAAAGTAGTTACGACAATAGAAGGCTTCTGTCCATATAATGCGGGGTCGAGCTTCTTGCAATAAGCTGTATATGCAGGGCATCCTCTTGAATCTTCTGAGGGACTGTATGAGAGGAAATTATTATGCCTTGCTATGTCGAAGTATACCTGTAGTTTATTGGGTACTGATAAAAAAAGTCATCAATATTGGGATCGGGGACGAAGGCTGGTGGTAGAGAGCAATCGAAGCACCTTCAATAACAAAATAATAACGATGATGAGTTTCCGTACCTTCGACTTTAAATCAGAGTTGAAAAAACTTCACCAGCTTTTCCCTTTCTATTTTTTAGAATTCGAACTAAAAATGTAGGAAGACGTTGCTCCTATTTTTGTGGTAGTTATTAACTGTTCTACGAAAACTTTCTGTCCACCGAAACTCAGATTGGTCACAGAAGTACTTTTTTTAAAATCTAAATAACTGAAAAAAAAAAGAAAAACGAACTTTGACAACCTGTTAGTAGAGCAACCGACATGTTTAAATTCGGTTGTTGTGTTTCCAATTTCAATATACGAAATATTGTTCAGGCAGGTCAATTTGGCGTTGTCTGCATTGTTGCCGAACCCTTGGCCACCAGCAAACCACTTGAATTTCGTCGATTAGATTCATAGTTTCAATTGAGAAAGTAGTTACGACAATAGAAGGCTTCTGTCCATATAATGCGGGGTCGAGCTTCTTGCAATAAGCTGTATATGCAGGGCATCCTCTTGAATCTTCTGAGGGACTGTATGAGAGGAAATTATTATGCCTTGCTATGTCGAAGTATACCTGTAGTTTATTGGGTACTGATAAAAAAAGTCATCAATATTGGGATCGGGGACGAAGGCTGGTGGTAGAGAGCAATCGAAGCACCTTCAATAACAAAATAATAACGATGATGAGTTTCCGTACCTTCGACTTTAAATCAGAGTTGAAAAAACTTCACCAGCTTTTCCCTTTCTATTTTTTAGAATTCGAACTAAAAATGTAGGAAGACGTTGCTCCTATTTTTGTGGTAATTAATAACTGTTCTACGAAAATTTTCTGTCCACCGAAACTCAGATTGGTCACAGAAGTACTTTTTTTAAAAAATCTAAATGACTGAGAAAAAAACGAACTTTGACAACCTGTTAGTAGAGCAACCGACATGTTTAAATTCGGTTGTTGTGTTTCCAATTTCAATATACGAAATATTGTTCAGGCAGGTCAATTTGGCGTTGTCTGCATTGTTGCCGAACCCTTGGCCACCAGCAAACCACTTGAATTTTCGTCGATTAGATTCATAGTTTCAATTGAGAAAGTAGTTACGACAATAGAAGGCTTCTGTCCATATAATGCGGGGTCGAGCTTCTTGCAATAAGCTGTATATGCAGGGCATCCTCTTGAATCTTCTGAGGGACTGTATGAGAGGAAATTATTATGCCTTGCTATGTCGAAGTATACCTGTAGTTTATTGGGTACTGATAAAAAAAGTCATCAATATTGGGATCGGGGACGAAGGCTGGTGGTAGAGAGCAATCGAAGCACCTTCAATAACAAAATAATAACGATGATGAGTTTCCGTACCTTCGACTTTAAATCAGAGTTGAAAAAACTTCACCAGCTTTTCCCTTTCTATTTTTTAGAATTCGAACTAAAAATGTAGGAAGACGTTGCTCCTATTTTTTTGTGGTAGTTATTAACTGTTCTACGAAAAACTTTTCTGTCCACCGAAACTCAGATTGGTCACAGAAGTACTTTTTTTAAAAATCTAAATAACTGAAAAAGAAAAAAACGAACTTTGACAACCTGTTAGTAGAGCAACCGACATGTTTAAATTCGGTTGTTGTGTTTCCAATTTCAATATACGAAATATTGTTCAGGCAGGTCAATTTGGCGTTGTCTGCATTGTTGCCGAACCCTTGGCCACCAGCAAACCACTTGAATTTCGTCGATTAGATTCATAGTTTCAATTGAGAAAGTAGTTACGACAATAGAAGGCTTCTGTCCATATAATGCGGGGTCGAGCTTCTTGCAATAAGCTGTATATGCAGGGCATCCTCTTGAATCTTCTGAGGGACTGTATGAGGGGAAATTATTAAGCCTTGCTATGTCGAAGTATACCTGTAGTTTATTGGGTACTGATAAAAAAAGTCATCAATATTGGGATCGGGGACGAAGGCTGGTGGTAGAGAGCAATCGAAGCACCTTCAATAACAAAATAATAACGATGATGAGTTTCCGTACCTTCGACTTTAAATCAGAGTTGAAAAAACTTCACCAGCTTTTCCCTTTCTATTTTTTAGAATTCGAACTAAAAATGTAGGAAGACGTTGCTCCTATTTTTGTGGTAATTAATAACTGTTCTACGAAAATTTTCTGTCCACCGAAACTCAGATTGGTCACAGAAGTACTTTTTTTAAAATCTAAATGACTGAAAAAAAAAAAAACGAACTTTGACAACCTGTTAGTAGAGCAACCGACATGTTTAAATTCGGTTGTTGTGTTTCCAATTTCAATATACGAAATATTGTTCAGGCAGGTCAATTTGGCGTTGTCTGCATTGTTGCCGAACCCTTGGCCACCAGCAAACCACTTGAATTTTGTCGATTAGATTCATTGTTTCAATTGTGAAAGTAGTTACGACAATAGAAGGCTTCTGTCCATATAATGCGGGGTCGAGCTTCTTGCAATAAGCTGTATATGCAGGGCATCCTCTTGAATCTTCTGAGGGACTGTATGAGGGGAAATTATTATGCCTTGCTATGTCGAAGTATACCTGTAGTTTATTGGGTACTGATAAAAAAAGTCATCAATATTGGGATCGGGGACGAAGGCTGGTGGTAGAGAGCAATCGAAGCACCTTCAATAACAAAATAATAACGATGATGAGTTTCCGTACCTTCGACTTTAAATTAGAGATGAAAAAACTTCACCAGCTTTTCACTTTCTTTTTTAGAATTCGAACCAAAGAAATATGGAAATTCAAGAAGACAACCTCTCCATCATATGTTGATCACTTATAATTTTTTTCTATACTACCTAATGTTTTTTTATGGCAGTGAATAAACTATTATTATTAAACCTCTACTAGTTTACATTGAGGGATTTCAATCCTTTCGCAAAAAGTAAATTTATTTCGACTTCAAGTCGAGCTGTCATGTTTCAAAGTTCGGACAGACGGTTCGTATTTTAAACCACAGTGTTCCCAAACAGGCGACAGCTCTGGTCAGTAGGCGTGGCCGACTGCAAAAGCGGCAGGGTTTCTTGCAATAGGGGCGCGGGGAGGAGAGCCAAGTTTTCTGGATTTAGTGAACAGAAAAGACAATTAAATGATGTTTTTTCTAGTTTCTCGCAAGTTTTCGAAGGTTTTTAATGTAGATTAAATGATAAAAAATCTATTAAATGAAAAAAGAGACAGAATAGTTTTTAGTTTAAAAAGAGACAGAATAGTTTTTTTAGTTTTTTTTTTTTAGGAAAAGTTTTTGGGTCCGCTAATATTCGTGAGCGTGAATTTTGCATACACTAATGTTGAGGGCTCGAATCTCTGAAAAATTCAATCTAAAAAAACGATTCTCGGGAACATTCGCCTTTTTCGAATTTCTATTTTTTTTTTTTGAATTCATTTTTTTCTCTTTGGTTGTTATTGTAAGGTTGTCGAGTTTTCACCGCAAATGAACACTGTAGGATATTTTTTACTGATTTTCTGTCAAATACTGCGTCTTTGTCGCAGACACGCAGTCAAAGATACTTCGAATTTTAACTCGAAGTGTCGCGAAATCGCGAATTGCTACTCCCTGACGTCATAGGGATGACGTCCTCTCTACTTAGCACTTCCCGGAAATCATTCAAGTCGTATATGAATGTGTAGTAAGCATTTAATAAAAACTAATATAAAAAGAGCGAAAAACAGACGATTTTTCGCAAACGGACTCGCTGCAAAAGGAAGCCAAAGTCTCGACATTTTTTTTCCAAAAACTTCCTCGTCTCGATCTCGACTCGAGATGAAAAACCCTCGTCTCGAACATTCCTGGTATGCACAATTCACGCTCACGAAGATCCGCGGATCTTAAATTTCTTACTACCATCAAATGTCGTTTTCGAAGTTCGTCAAATCGAACTTCAAAAGAAAAAATTGAAAAAAAAAACTCGAGGCGCTTTCCTCAAGAAACTCCATTTAACATTTTGAAAAGAAACCAGGAAAATATTAGCTTTGTGAAAAAAAATATCACCCGAAAGGACATTTTCAAAAATCAATCCGTCGAATACTCTGCGGAAAAAAAATTGAGAAGAATCTCAAAGCGCTTCTCTTAAGGATTTCCATTCAAAGATTCTAAAACAGAAGAACAAAAAAAATATTTTGTGCGCATTAAGTTATTTTCAAAATTGTCATTTTGATGAAAATTCCTGTGACAAAAACCGCGCGCCCGAAAGAACTCGAAAGAACTCACGTTTTCGTCATTTTTGACGACCATATTTTCGCATGCACTTGTCTCTTTTGGAACACTGTGAAACGTAAATTATTCAAATACGCTCTGTGGATGGCACGCTCTTTGATTGGTTAATTTAGATAATAGAGGCGGAGCTTGAGTGACGGTTAGTCGTTCAAAAACTGATACTATTTTAGAAAATAATTTCAGATTGTTATATTGTCTTTAGAGCCCCATATTTCGGCTAAATGGTGAAATATGAATACTTTTCTTCTTGAAGTCTCATCATTCAGAACTGTGAGAAGTAAAATGACTGACAGACTCGTGTCGGCGCACATAAAGCTGTCGAAAACGTATGAAGTTCCTACCAACAAGAAAGTAGCGGCGCCATCTTGACACGTCATGTTGATGGAAACAAGCGGAGGAAAGGGGCTTAAGACATCACCCATTCTCACCTCAAATCGTTCTCATTAGAGTTTTTAACATAAAGAAGGCCGTCACGTAAAGATTTGGCTGCTGAACATTGTAAGAAAGCAACTCGCAGGAAATTTCTGATGTTTCGCATCCGTCTGCACTTGTCGAGGTCCTGTATGACCTCTTTTTGTTGTGTTATGCGTCGATTGAGTCCAACCTGATTTTAGGTGCATAAAGGTTCATTCCAATAACTTCTTCCGGTTCAGGAACAAAGGGAGGCAGGGTACAGCTTTTGCATCTTCAACGACATCCTTTTTTAAATCTAACATGTTCGAGAAACCGTTTTACGCGCCAGCTTGTCACGATTTTGTTTTTTCTCTGACTACAGAACTTTTCTCTTCGATGCGCGCAACCTCTGTCTGTGCATGCGCCTTTATAATAACGTATACTTTAGGCCAAAAAAAGCGCATGCCCAGAAATAGACCGTGTGCTTCAAACGGAATGATTCTGTAGCTCATCAGGGAATGGTCTCTGCTCACAGTTACTGGTCAATCAAGAGGTCGATAGTAGGTACCAGGTAACAATTCGAAGTAAATAGGTGTATCGTAATCGGCGGTCATTTATATGCGACCGGGTACTAAAGAGGTTCTCTATTTAGCGGCCACTTCAGTAGTTCTTCATCCAATATTCCTTCCAGTAACTCTGATACTTTAAAACAAACTGATGGGACCAATTATGATGATCCATGGACCCCTAAAGTGGCTACTAAAATTGTTTGTTGTCTAGTAGTAGCACTCAGACCTCTATAGTGGCCACTAATTTTCAACCCCTGAAGTTTCGACTAGTTTGACTAATATAGTGGCCACTAAAGCGTCAAAACCCTATAGGAGCCACTAAAAGTTTTCGCAGTCTAGGAAACTTTGAAAGTTCACAGCCAGTAAGAAAGTTTGTCGAGAGCAAGTTTTCAAAAAAGAAAAATGAAAATTGGAAAAAAAATTTCTTTTCGAGACGTTATTTATGTTGGGAATTTTTATCTCTTCCATTTCGTAGAAACTGCGCAAATCAACTTTTCTGAGCGAAAGGCGATGGCGAAAGGTGCAAGGCTCGAAGAAGTTTTTGGGAGAAAAAAAATTTTTGTTTTGTTTTTCTCAGCGTATCTATGAATTGTAGCGGAGCCACGCCCACTTTTTCTCAGGAAAGTGTCGTTCTTCCACTAACAAAAACGCCGTGTTGTTAGGCTTATGAAGCTTAAAAGATAACCGGAAATTTTCTTGTGAAAATTTTCGAAACTGGAGGGACAATATCTACACACCCTCTAAAATAAGCTTGTAGACACTGAAGTTTCAGAAATTTGGGAGCCCTTAACTTTTTTCACAGACCTCGATGACAGCTTTTGAGACCGTATTTGGAATCAGCATAATAAACTACATCTGGAAAACATGATCTTATTTGGAAGTCCCACTGTGCGCTGAGACCATTCCCTGGTCAGAGGGATAGAAAAAAGGTCTGACGTTCAAAACTGATACTGTGTTAGAAGAGAATTTCAATGGTTATGTTGTCTTTAGACTCTTTAGAGCCCCATATTTCGGCTGAAAGGTGAAAGATAAATGTTTTTCTCTTTGGAGTCTGACCATTCAACTTTTCCTGTGAAAAGTGGGATAACTGACAGACTCGTGTCGGCGCACATAAAGCTGTCGAAAACGTATGAAGTTCCTCCCAACGAGAAAGTAGCGGCGCCATCTTGACACGTCATGTTGATGGAAACAAGCGGAGGAAAGGCGCTCAAGCCTTCACCCATTCTCACCTAAAATCTTTCTCATTAGAGTTTTCAACATAGAGAAGGCTGTCACGTAAAGATTTGGCTGCTGAACATTGTTAGGAAGCAACTCGCAGGAAATTTCTGATGTTTCGCATCCGTCTGCACTTGTCGAGGTCCTGTATGACCGCTTTTTGTTGTGTTATGCGTAGATTGAGTCCAACCTGATTTTAGGTGCATAAAGGTTCATTCCAATAACTTCTTCCGGTTCAGGAACGAAGGGAGGCAGGGTACAGCTTTTGCATCTTCAACGACATCCTTTTGTATCTATCATGATCGAGAAACCGTTTTACGCGCCAGCTTGCCACGATTTTCGTTTTCCTCTGACCACAGAACTTTTCTCTTCGATGCGCGCGAACTCTGTCTGTGCATGCATCTTTAATATAACTGAGATATAGGCCGCGCGCTTTGAGCAGAATGTTTCTGTAGCTCATAAGGCAACAAAAACCGAGATGGCGCCCAGACATTTTAAATTGGAATCATGAAATATTATACCTAAAGAAAATGAAAAAAAGTTTTACTTACAAAGCAGACGCAGTTGGAAGTAAAGAGAGGAAGAGGAGAAGAAGTCGAAACGCCATTCCGCCTCGAGAATGATTTGCAGAAGAAAGTTTCCATGAGGACAATTTTCCAGGCGAATTAATATCCAATCTTCCTTTTTGAACATCTCATGGGAACTTAAATTCTCTTCCAACAAGAAAAACGAGGTTTTTTCTTTTTGGTTTTGTAAGCTCCAAAAAGATTTTTGGTTTCTCAGTGGTATTTTCACAAAGATGGCGGCTCTGCGGAGGAAATTGATGATTTTTCCGAGAAATCACAAAAAATAAAGATTTTTTTTACTCAGCAAAAGCTCAAGTGTTGGCGAGTTAGCGAAAAAATTTTCCAAAACGTTATTTTTCATGGGAAAAAAAAATTTTCAAGATCATCACTCTCAATAAATCTGCCATGATCGTTTTCCACTCGTTTTTGATGTTGGCAGGCGTCTCCTACTAAATTTTGCAAAAACTCTGATGCAGGTTTACAAAAAAAAGCGCCCAACAAGATCTCACGAACCAGTTTGTTTTCTTTGGATTTCGAGATGATACATTGTTCTATATTCCCTTCGTTGGATCGTTAGAGGAAGGAGGAAGTCAATAAGAATGAAGATCCAGAAAAAATGGAATCCTTGATTTTAATGTGAAGAACGTTAGTCTTTTTTCCACCATTTAAAATTTCAGAAGTTCTTCGAACTCAAAATTCCTTTTAAAAATCAAATATCCATAACAGCTTTGGTATTTTTTACACTCTATTCACTCCTTACTTTCATTAAGCATGTCTTTCTCTTATTTTCTTAACTTGAACGGCGCCAGAAAGATCTTAGATTAATTTCTCGAAGAGTTCTTACACAATAAAGCCATTTGAAGATCCCCACTCTAGATCGGATTTTTTCTTCGATTTTATAAGGACATTGTCGTAAATTTCGAACACCATTTTTGATGCTAGTGTAAAAAGTTTGAGAACGTTTTATTTAAAGAATTATAGCAAACATCGAGCTTCATTTCTTTTCCGCGAAACAAACTGCCCCTTCCGATTGAACTAATTTAGGACCGTCGGAGACAAAAATAAGTCCACTGTTGCAAATCTTTAGTATAACATTCGACGTTTCCTTATAACTGCCGTCAATAAGTATCTGAAAACACTTCCATTTTTACTTTTTTCGGTTGTCAAGGATATTTACCATTAAGGTCGACGGTTGTTTGTAAATAGTCTCATCCAACGCTGCGCAGTAATGATATGTAGAACAATCACTTTCTGTTATACTGAAATTTTATAATAATAAGAATCCTAAGTAAGGTAGAAGGAAAAATACTACTGAAACGCACTTTTTCGTGAGAGCGTAGTAGTATTCTTTCTCCTCAGATGTTGATGGCGGTGAAAACGGTAAATCGCAGGTAGTGCACGTAGTAGATCCAGAGTCATCTCTATAGGAGAGGTCATTTTAGCGTAGAGTTCAGAATTTTTTATAAACTTGCTTAAACAATCTTTGATGGACTGGGAATCGATCCCTTATAGTCGCTATCTGCGCAAACTTTTTGTTTTTGAGATATGTTCTTTCAATGTTTTTATCCTCAGCCATGTGACGCCGTTTGGAAGGAATGTGGCCGCGCCACCAACCACCGCATGGCAGTTAGGAGCGTGGTACAGTGGTTAGCGTGTTAGCTTGCGGAGCCTATGATGAAAATTCAAATCCTTTTGCCGCTAACTTTTTTTTGCCATTATTTTTTTCACGAATTTTGATGAGAACAATAAAATTGCATGAGTAAAATGGCCATTTCTTTCTAAAATCGCTTTTTTTTTCATGGACTAAATTTATGGAAATTTTCTGAAGTTGTGACAGACTTCCCATCATTAGAGAACTTTTCTCAAAAAATTTTTGCTCAAATTCTTTATGGATTCCTGAAAATTCAAAAAAAAATATCCGGAGTAGGATGGAATTGGGGTTGGGAAATTTTTTTTCCTATTAAACTCGGATGACGGGTAAGTTTTTGTTACACCAAAAGGGTCATTGGCTCTTCCGTGTAACTTTTAGACGTGTTGAAGGCCAGTGCTGCTGACGGGGCGACCCGGGGCGCCCCGCTGTTTTGAGCAGTTGCCCAGGGGCGCTCCGCCCCGATGAGTAGATAAGTTGAAGTGAAGTTTTAATGATATCAAAATTTACGGTTCTAACCCAGAATCTCTCCAACATAGTATAAAATCTATTTTTGAATGGTCATCTACCTGGGGCTTGCCCCTTGCGGCTAACAAAACATTTGCTATTCACCTGGGCCCTCGCAATCCTAAAACGAGAAAAAGAAAAAAAAACTATATTTAAATTGAATGAAATTTTGAGAGGTTGACACGCGCCGCACCGCGTTGCGTTAGAAGGAACTCGCGTTTTCGCTCCATTGAGACGACCATTGTTTTCGCCTGCACTCGCCCGTTTTGAAACACTGTGTGTCAGGGGGAAAATTAGCCTTCTTCTGGGACGAAAAAATAGTTCATATAAGGGGAAAATTTAGGTGGTCTCTATAGGTGTTTAGAATTTATTCCTTGGCCTTTAAAGCTCAAGTGATCTCTATGGGGGAGTTTTATCTACCGCGAAATTTTTAGTGATTTCTGTATAGCCTGTATACCACAATTTGGAGTTTCACCAAACGACATTCCCCTGTGCCGCTGCGCGCCTTTGCGAACCTTGGTCGCACTTTTAATTCTCATCAAGGTACTCTACTTTCATGTGCTCCCACAGCAATAACAATCAATTGAAAGCGTGACCTAGATTCGAAAGACGCTTCGCGAATGCTCGCAGAGGAACAGCGGAATGTCGTTCGGTGAAATTTTAAGTCGTGGCACACACACTATACTCTTTGTAAACCTCTCTCTAACTCACAATGGTGCTACTGCACATGCCACTTTTTCTAAAAAGGTGGTCCCGCCTTGGTGATCCAACGTTGGTATACCGCCGGCACAATTTACGTTAAAGATGCTTGAGTTGGATGCGTTTAAAGCCAATGGAAATCCCGTCAGATTGGCATTTCTTACCTGAATCTTCAGGCGTTGAACAGAAAAAAAATATCAAAATTTACGAAAAGCAAGGTGCTATCAATTTGGAAAGCGTTAGGGTCTTGTGGCTCGCAGAATATTTCAATCTTCTCGCATCCGCGCTCGCAAGAAGCTCTGAAAGATTTTTTGAAAAAAGTTTTTAATCTTCGAAGGAACCTGATCATTGGTGGATAATAATATATTGTAGAAGTCACTAAATCTTGGTATATATGGAATTCCGGTAGAGCACACGACGAACAACTGAGCAAAATTATAGTAAAGTCATTCCTACCCGACTTGAAAGGCGAAGGAGGCGAGACGCGTAGCGTCTGCGTACGCCTTTTTTCAATTCAATCGCCACCGAATATTTAAAAAGCTTGGTCACCGCTCTTTTTCTATATGTTCTACATACACACATGCACTCATGCCAAGAACCGCATACGCTTCCCGCCTCCTTTCCGTCTTCCTCTTCTTTCAAGTCGGGAAAACTTGATTATAGTACGACTTTCAGACGATATTTGATTTGAAAACTGTAAAAACATTCGATTTCCATTTATAAAAGATAACTCAAGAAAACTATATACCTGGCACAAATAAAAAAGTTGAACCAAAGAAATATGGAAAAATTGCTTCTATTTTTGTGGTCATTATCAAATATTCTACAAAAGTGTTCTGTCCCAAAAAGTTCAGATTAATCACCCAAGGACTTTAAGGAGAAAAAAAAACTGAAACAAAGAAAAACGAACTCCGACAACGTCCCAACAGTGCAAACGACATTTTTGATGGCGATTGAAGTGTTTCCATTCTCAACGTAAGAAATATTGTCTAGACAGGTCAATTTGGCGTTTTCCCATTCCTGGAGACTATATACTCCATCAGCAGAAGTTATCTTAAATCTTGTCGATTAGAATCATAGTTTCGAAAAGTAGTAACGAGAAAAGCAGGGTCTTGTCCATATCCTACGGGGTCGAGCTTCTCGCAAGAAGCTGTAAATGCAGGGCACCATCTCGAATCTTCTGAGGGGCTGTATGAGGGAGAGTTTATTATGCCTTACGATTTGGAAAAATACCTGTAGGTTGGTGGGTACTGATGAAAATACTCAGCAACTTCAGGATTGAGAACGAAAGGTGGTGGTAGAGAGCAATCAAAGCACCTTCAATCACAGTTAATCATGACGATGAGTTTTAGTAACTTTGACTCTAATTTACATCAAAAAAAAAACTTCATCAGCTTTTCACTTTTTATTTTCACAAGAACGAAGCCTTTCAAATGTTTTTTGTCAATTTGGTCAATTTTTCTCGACTTGAAAGTAGAGATGGGTAGGTTGGCATAGGTGAAGCTTTTGGTATGCGAATGGCGGGAACTTGAGATCAAAAGGAGTCATAAAGAAAGAAACTTTTCAAATTATTTTTATACCTTAATCACTTTAGCTCACCCTTTTCCAAATTCTAAAAAACTACAATTTATTCAAAAGCTCGTGTTCGACCTCGAGTTCCCCGCCAAAGCCGCGTCGCACACTTCACCCTTGCCAATCTACCCCATTTCAGCTTTCAAGGCGGGAAGGTTTGAATTTGTGTGATTTTGAAAAAAAAACTCACTTAGGTGCCACAATGCACACGAGAGTATCAAACTGAATTGGGTAAGGTGCACCTTCAAGAGTAGAGTTGCCGTCCTGGCAGGTCAATTTGGGACTTCCCCATTCCCAGGTGATCAGGTTACCGGGGACTCTCAACTGAAAGCCTCTCGATTAGATTGCTTAGTTCACTTGAGTGTATCACAAGAAGTCTAGGATTCTGTTCATATCTGGTGGGGTCGAGCTTGTCGCAGGTTACCGCAATTACGCATCCGTTTTCACTTGTCGGGGTACTGTTTTTTTAGGTTTTCCAATAATGTTGGCTGAATTTTGAGTTACCCGTAGGTTGGTTCGTATTGAAGAAAAGCAGGATGTGGTTCCGGATTGGGAGCTGAAGATGGTCGAGGGCAAACTTGGCACCTTGAAAAATAACTTGACTTTGTGTGATTTTGAAGAAAAAAAAACTCACTTAGGTGCCACAATGCACACGAGAGTATCAAACTGAATTGGGTAAGGTGCACCTTCAAGAGTAGAGTTGCCGTCCTGGCAGGTCAATGTGGGACTTCCCCATTCCCAGGTGATGAGGTTACCGGGGACTCTCAACTAAAAGTCTCTCGATTAGATTGCTTAGTTCACTTGAGTATATCACAAGAAGTCTAGGATTCTGTTCATATCTGGTGGGGTCGGGCTTGTCGCAGGTTACCGCAATTACGCATCCGTTTTCACTTGTCGGGGTACTGTTTTTTTAGGCTTTCCAATGATGTTGGCTGAATTTTGAGTTACCCGTAGGTTGGTTCGTATTGAAGAAAAGCAGGATGTGGTTCAGGATTGGGAGCTGAAGATGGTCGAGGGCAAACTTGGCACCTTGAAAAATAACTTATTTAATCGTTTGAAAATTGGAACTGACGTCTTTTTGGCCACAATGCACACGAGAGTTTTGAAATCGATCGCAGTATCTCCACTTTCAAGGGTAGAATTGCCGTCTCGACAGGTCAATGTGGTATTGCTTCCCCATTGCCAGGTTATCAGGGCACCAGGGACTCTCAACTAAAAGTTAGTCGATAAGATGTTTGGCTAAATTTTAAAAAAGAGTACAAGAAGTCTAGGATCTTGTTGATAGCCGTTTGGATTGAGCTTATCACAAGTTACCGTAGTCACGCATCCGTTTTCGTTTGTCGCGGTGCTGTCAAATTGAGTTTACCTATAAATTCTGTCGGATTTCAAATTACCCGTAAGTCGGTTGGTATTGATAATAGTCAGAACTGGGTTCAGGATTGGCGACGAACTGTGGGATAGGACAACCTTGGCATCTTGAAAAAAAAATGGATGTGTTATAGTCAATGTTTCCCGACTTGAAAGGCGAAGGAGGCGCGGCAGAGCGCATGACGCGTAGCGTGTGCGTACGCAGTTCTTAGCATGAGTTCAATTTTAAAGCGCACCGACTATTTTAAATGCTCGGTCACCGCTCCTTTTTTTATAGGTTCTACTATAGCTGATTCACGGCCAGCTTGGGACGATAAGGGGGCGTGTCCTGTCTGCGCTCTCCACGCGCCGAGTGCTGTCTCGTTCATTATCGTGTCAGGACCCGTTTTTTCGATGGATCAAGCCAGCCGTGAATCAGCTATATATTTTTTAATGCCCACATGAAAAAATCGATAAATAATTTGAAAAGAAACGAAAAGAGCAATAAATGAGCTCTCCAAATGGTCGCTGACTATTGAATTGAACTCGTGCCACGAACCGCGTACGCACACGCTACGCGTCCCTTGCCCCACCTCCCTCGCCTTTTAAGTCGGGAAACATTGACTATATCTCGGAAGCAGTTTTTGATCAAACTTCGGCGATTAGTTTTTGGCTTTCATTTGGAACTGAGTTTCACAAAAAGGTGCCCAAAAACCTACGAATCAGCAATTCTCGAAGATGCGCAAGTGGCAGTATTGAAAACGTAGGATTTGTTTTCGTAAGAATAAACAGCAGCAGGACTTCCACTTTGACAGCTCAGTTTGAGCGGGAGTTCCAAAGTGTATGTTGAAATCGTCGAATTTGTTCGAGCCTTAAATCTCTAAACACTTTCAAACAAAAGTTCACCAAAAAATAACAAGGAGAACGGGATTTTGATAATAGATCGTGGGATCCAACTTGTCGCAATTGAGTTGTAAACTGCTGCATCCGTTTTCCGAAACAACACTGAATATTTTATCTTAAATCATCGATTATCGATGTTTGATAACTCAATTCTAGCAGGGTACTGATACATTCCCACAACTCCGTCGTTTTCTTGACGGAAACTTGGAAGAGTGCAATCAGGACATCTGAATATATGTTTTCAACTTGAAGCTGAGCGATACGGCCAAGGGAAATTCAAAAGGACAACCTATACTGGTGTACATTTTGGGATTTGAATCTTTTCTCAAAAACAAAATTCCCAGTCGGGTTGTGACGCCTCAAAGGTTGGATAGTCTTTTCATAATTGAACTACGTGTTTGAACACTCTCTCTGATTGGTTAATTGAGCCATTAGGGGCGGAGCTTAAGTGGCGGTTCGACGTTCAAAAACTGATACTGTTTTGAAGAGATTTTCAATGATTTTTGGTGCTTTTGAAGCCCCATTATTCCAAGGGCAAAGATGAATAATTTTCTTCTTGAAATCTGCCCAATTAGAACTCTCCTTGTGAGAAGTGCAATAACTGACAGACTTATGTCGGCGCACATAAAGCTGTCGAAAACGTATGAAGTTCCTTCCAACGAGTAAGTAGCGGTGCCATCTTGACACATCATGTTGATGGAAACAAGCGGAGAAAAGGGGCTTAAGACTTCACCCATTCTCACCTCAAATCTTTCTCATTAGAGTTTTCAACATAAAGAAGGCTGTCACGTAAAGAATTGGCTGCTGAACATTGTAAGAAAGCAACTCGCAGGAAATTTCTGATGTTTCGCATCCGTCTGCACTTGTCGAGGTCCTGTATGACCTCTATTTGTTGTGTTATGCGTAGATTGAGAATCTACCTGGTTTTAGGCGCATAAAGGTACATTCCAGTAATTTCTTCTGGTTCAGGAACGAAGGGAGGCAGGGTACAGCTTTTGCATCTTCAACGTTTTCTTTTTCAAATCTAACATGTTCGAGGAACCGTTCTACGCGCCAGCTTGTCACGATTTTCGTTTTCCTCAGACCACCGAACTTTTCCCATCAATACGCGCGACCTCTGCCTGTGTATGCGCCTTTAATATAACGGATATTTCAGGCCCAATGAAGGCGCATGCCCAGAAATAGGCCGCGCGCTTCGAACAGGATGATTCTGTAGCTCAGAGGGAAACAAAAGCTGGCACGGAATGGTTTATAGAAGATTTTCCGTTTCGAATTTACTTTTGAAACTAATATTGTAACTAACAACCACAGAAAATAAAAAGTATTTCTTACACAGCCGACGCAGTTGGAAGTAAAGAGAAGAAGAGGAGAAGAAGACGAAACGCCATTCCGCCTTCTGATTCCGCCTCGAGAATGTTTTGGAGAAGAAAGTTCGAAAGTTTCCATGAGGACAGTTTTCCAGGCGAATTAATATCCAATCTTTCGATTTGAACATCTCATGGGAACTTGAATTCTCTTCCAACAAGAAAAACTGAGGTTTTTTTTTTGATTTTGTGAGCTCCAAATAGATTTTTGGTTTCTCAGTGGTATTTTCACGAAGATGGAGGCACTGCGAAGGAAATGGATGATTTTCACGAAAATTCACTAAAAAAGAGAGATCATTACCCAGCATATAGGCGAAAAAATTTCCAAAACTTTTTTTCTTGGAAAAAAATTTTCAAGACCAACACACTTAAAAACCCTGCCTTGATCGTCTTCCACTCGTTTTTGATGTTGGCAGGCTTCTTCACTTTTGCAAGTACCCCGATCCAGGTTCACAATAAACGCCCAAACCAGTAGAACATGATATTTGGTGTCTTCTTTTTGCTTTTCAATGCACCGGACGTCGAATTTGCATAAAACCGTTGACTGGAAAGTTCTTTTTGTCTTTCTCTCTCTTTTTGGTGAGGAAATCAGTTGTAAAATGCGTGTAGCTCCGGCAGTTTCTGATGATCCTGACACGGCCGATAAGTTTATTGAACGGCGACTACGGTGAATTTTTTTTTTTGAATTTTCAAAAAGTCCTTATCAATTCGGAAGAATGGTCTTGATACGTGGTATCCAACTTTTTTTGAACGATACTGTTCGAGCTTATTTTTTTTCCGAGTTTTTTTTGTTTTTGTGGATTGAATTGGTTGTCATCGGAATGATAGCAGGGCGGGAAAATCGCGGTTTTTTTTTTGGCTTGTGCCACATTTTCAGTTTAGCAGATTCACGGCTAGGACGCTAAAAGGCGTGGCCTGTCTGCGATCTCCATCAGCCAGACAGTGTCTCTTTTCTTTTCGTGTCGGGACCCATTTTTCGATGGTTCAACCCAGACGTGAATCAGCTATACATCAATAATAGCTTGAAAAATTTTCCAGAGAATCGAAACTATAAAAGCTAATCAACCTTTCTATTAGGTCTTTTTGAACTCATCATATTGGTGAATTATGCCTTTTTATTGAAGCAACCCATTCAGAAAGTACCATATCGGGATTCTGGTCCTCTCCGCCGTCACAGTCGTCTTCTTCGTCTGGGCGATCGCAGCGACGACGATCGACTGGGCGTCGTCGGCGGCTTCAGATGGCCTCCACGTCACCTTGCAGACGACTGCTCGGCGCTTCGACAAGGCGGCTGTCGCGAGCGACAGCGAGTTGTGTAGTGAAATTGCCAGGTGCTGGTCATTTTTTGATTCTCGCTATAGATGTTTCGCTCTTAAAGTATACGAGAACATCTACCTTTTCTAACGGCTTGCAGAAGCGCGAAATGAGGTTTCACATTTCATGATCTTTTTTCGCAGAAACGTGATAATGGAAGGTGGAAATGCGGTGGAAGCCGCCATTTCGGCCGTTTTCTGCAATGGCGTGGTCAATCCCTACGCCACTGGCATCGGTGGAGGCGGTTTCTTCGTTCTCTACCGGAAGTTTATCATTTGAATGAAAAGTTCCATCTTTTCAAGTCTTCAGGGAACAGAAAAAGTGTGTTTTTATAAATTCTCGAGAGACGGCCCCCGCCGCCGCAACACAGAACATGTTCGTGGCGGACAAGGCTTCAGCTCAACTTGGTTATTTTTTCATTAATTAATCAGAGAGTCCTTGAAGAATTGTAGTCGCTATGCTAAAAACGATCGAGACGTGATTTTTTGATTTTTGATAGCTTGTAGAAGGAAATGGAGCAATTTTTGAAGTCCTGTAGTGATCATTTGGAAGTTTGATATGAAAAAAAAGCTCATTAGATCACTTTTTACGATCATCCTCTTCTTCAAATCAATCGGCCCTTTTTGAAAATCTGTACAAATATTTTCTAAGGACATCTTGCCGCTGGCGTACCTGGGGAATTGCACGGTCTTTGGACGGCTTATACTCGTTATGGGTCCGGTGTAAGTTTGATGAGAATTTTATGAGTAAATTCTCAAGAAATATTCCTCCATAGGTCAGGCTTTCAATAACCCAAAGCACTGCAAATTTGAGAGAAATTAAACTTGGGGAAAAGTTCGGAAGTTCTGCTTTCGGTCCCTTAAAAGGCGTTTGGAAGGTTTCGACCAAACGCCTTCCATATAGCTTCCCAACGCCCCCTGCTTACCTGAAGCCTTCTGGAAGCTTGCCGGAAGTATTCTAGAGGCTGTCCGAATTTTTAAAATTTTTTTCACCTCACAAGAAACTTCTGAGAACCTTCCAAAGGCCGTCAATCGAAAAACAGCTCTGCCGATTCTGTCGATTTTTAGAGCGTCTTGCTGAAAATGTTCAACCTGTAGCCCTTTTCGATTTCCTAAATCCGAATATATGCTGTTTACATCAGTATAGCTAATCCACGGCTGGCTCGGGCCATTGAAAAAAGGGTCTTGACACGATGATGCACGAGACAGTGTCTGGCTCGTAGAGAGCGCAGACAGGACACGCCCCCTTAGCGTCTTATTTTAATCACATAATTTCATCCTCTTAATGTTACATGAATAATTTCGACACTCGCTCCTTCAAAATTAAGCTGGCCGTGAATCAGCTATAGCTACGTTATCATAACGTACCATTTTTATCTTTGTGTAAATTTTACCTTCCGAATGAGGTAAAGCCCTAGAGTTCATAGCAGAAAAGTGAACACACCAGATTTTTTTTGAGGTGCTTCCGTGGTCGAGGCTTGTCCAACCGTCAGCCGTCCTTGCCCGAGGATATCCCTGTACCCAAGCCGCAGCCGATTATTTCGACCGAATCGCAAATCTCGACGAAAATCCCGCTGTAGGACCCATAAAGTCGGCTGAAAATGAACAAAAAATGAACCAATCAGCTGAAAAATGTGTCCAGGAAACTGTTCACCAACCCTCTGACCGGTGACTACTACAAAACGGGGGATATTATCGTGAACAAGGCCCTGGCCAAGACTTTGGAAACGATCGCCGATGCGGAGAACCCCGTGGAACTGTTTTATAAAGGTTTACAAGGATTTTTCATTTTTAGGAATTTTAGAGTCATCCCTATAGGGGTTCGGGGGAAGATCAGTCCCTCTAAAGGTTGAAAAAGTGGCCTCTATAGGGGTCTTTCAATTTTATTCAAAAAAACGCCTATTTATTTCGTTGTAGATTTCATAAAAAAACATCGATCCGCACCTTCCCTATAGGGGCCACTAACAAAAAAACCCCATTGGGACCACTTTTGCAAGCTTTATTGCATAGGGGTTTCTGAAGTGTTCCCAAGATGGGTCCCTCCAAGGACCCCTAAAGTTGCCCCTATAGGGGTCACTCTGGAGTTCCTAAGTGTCTCAAAAATTGAAATTTTTGAAATTTCACATGCAAAAGACTGATCAGCGAAAAATCGAAAAAATTCAATTTCTATCTTCAAAAATCATACTTTGATTCAGAATGCACACGAGAAATTGTGATAGAAAAATATCCAATTTTTCAATTTTTTCAAGCATTTCTTTGGTATCATAATTTTAATTTTGAGGCTAAATTTTCAGGAATCGCAAACATTTTTTCCAATGAGTGATATGTTCTTTCCAGTTTTAGAATCTCAATAATCTCCAAAAACTTGTAGGGGAGTTCGCCAAAGAATTGGTCATGGAGATGGAAATGAACGGCGGAATAATCACTGCTGACGACCTTGCAAATTATCAAAGTGATGTGACCGGTTATTTTACACTTTTTCATTCATATAATGACTTTGAGAGCTTCAGAAACACTTTACTCGGAAATTGGAGGCTTGAAAATGTGTGGCCCTCCACCGCCCTCCTCCTGGGCCATTACTCAACTCGTGCCGAAAATTATTGAAGGTGGGGCTCCCAAAAGGAAGACTTTACACTCCGGAATACTTCTCTCAAACCACTATCGATGTTTTAAATTAAGTTCCTGAAAATCCTATTTTGGGAAGTGCCGCCTTGGAGTCGAAGAAAACCATGAAAACCAAGGGTTTCAGCTCATTTTCCTTGAAAAACAGTTGAGCTGAAACTTTTAAAATCAAGAAATTCCCAAAAGCAAAGTGAGATCTTCCTTTTTGGAAAGTCCTCTAAGCTATCCCAAATCCTCACAAGGAAGGTCATTTCCCTTTGAGGTTGTGAATTTTCTGAAAATTTGGTAGAAGTTTATGTACCAAAAACGGATTCTGTAAGTCTCAAACTGTACAGTTTTCAAGTTTCCGACACCTTAAAGTTGGAGAAAATCTCAAAGTCCGTCCAAATAAGCCTTTTTGAGGCTTTGAGGCCTTATTTCTCGAAAACTAGGAAGTTTAGCATGCTTAACTCTTCAGGACCTCGTTCTGATACATAAATGAGTATTGTGGCCGATTTTTGAAAAATTCCCAGTGACCTTCCTTGTCAAAAGCTCTTCAAAACCATCCCGGTTCCCCAGAATTGTACAAGCCAGAGTCAATCCTCAAAACCCGTCCAAATAAGCCTTTTTGAGCCTTTGAGGTCTTGTTCCTTGAAAACTGGGGAGTTTTGAAGGTTGGGGCTCTCAGGAACTTTTCGGGATACATAAAGGTTTTTTCTGGCCAGTTTTCTGGAAATTCCAAGCTGGAAAGTCGAAGTTCTTTCCTTAAGAGGAAAAAAAAACAGAAGGGTTTTCGAAAAAGTATAATTCCCAGTGAATGACCTTCCTTGTCAGAAGCTCTTCTAAACTATCCCGATTCTTCAGAATTGTACATCGGCAAGCAAATCTTCAACGACGCCGAGTTCTACCATCAGTTGATCGAAGCTCAAAAAATTGCTTTCGGACTCCGCGGACAGCTCGGAGACGCTCGATTCAGTGACTATTCTCTTCAGTTGGCCAGAAACTTGACGTTGAGGTGATTTTTGATATGGTTTGAATTGTAGGACATGTTAGGATTTTCCGATTCTGACAAGATAACGGGAAAGATACTCTACTTAATATCCTTTTCTTCAGAACCTTTGCGAAGCAACTTCGGAAAAAAGTTCAAGACGTCTCCCAGGAAAGCAGTTATTATGCAGCTTCTGGTATCACCCTCGAATAAAAAATAAATACTTTCAAAAATCCGAAGGTCCTGTTCCTAACGACTTTGGAACATCTCACATCAGTGTGGTCGATGATGACGGCGATGCCGTCGCCACAACTTCCACCATAAACATGGCGTGGGTGTTCCAGGAAATATATAAATTTTTTTCTAAGGTTTGGATCGAAAATTCTATCGCCGCTGGGCTTCATTTGGAACAACCAGATGGACGATTTCTCCACTCCTGGCCTTACGAATCATTGGGGATTCCAGCCAACAGAAGTGAATATACTGACTTGAAAGAGACTTCTCTGCGCCCTCTCATGTAGACATGCTATTTTTATGTTCCTCTGACCTCGCCGGTGAGGGAACAGAGAGACGCAGACAGTCGAAAACTTGGGGAGTGAGCCATAGAGAACTGTTGAGACGGAAGCGAGAGATCAACGGCGCCCTGAAGAGAGACCAGAGAATAAGAGGCTCTCTGCTTCTTTCGCCTCTCTTCAGACCGGCGCTGCTCTCTCACATCCATATTTCGGCTCTTTTCCATAAATTATACTAACAAATTAATGAAAATTGAGGCCAACTATATAAAACCTGGACGGCGGCCGATGAGCAGTATGAGTCCCACAATTATTTTTCACCCGGATTCTGGAGAAGTTGACCTCGAAAGAATTTTGTCGCAATATTGCGTTTTAAGGTCAAAATGGTGACTGGAGCCTCGGGAGGCTCGAAAATTATCAGCGCAGTGGCTCAAACGATCACCCGCGGAGCGTTGCTTTATCAGAACGCGGCTGAAATTGGTAAATATCATATTTTTTTGTTTTTTTTTCGATGAAAGTATTTTTGATATAAAAAATGGTCAAAGGTTTGGAACTTTCCTTTGAAACTCACCAAAGTTGATAATTTGGAGAGACTTTTTGAAAAATTCAAAAAGAACTTAATCATGTTTCTAAATGATGACTAAGCTATGTCAATGACGTTTTGAGGTATATTCATTTGGATTTTTCAAACTCGGAATTTTTTTAAGGAACTATTCGGCCCATATGGGCATTCAAAATTGGTCCTAGAAAAAGTCGTTAACTTGAAAAAAATGGTATAAAAAGATACAAAAAAATTAGTTTTAATTCCAGAGAAAAAGGCATTTACAAAAAAATAAACTTGAAGCTTGTAAAAAAAGGTCTGCCCATGTTTTTTTATTTGGATGGGTTATCATCATTTTTTTCATTGTTCCAGGAGCCTGTTTTATTTCGAAACAATATCTTCTTAATTTTTTTTCTTTTTTTCCGAATCAAATTATGATAATTTTTTTCTGATTAGAAAAAAAGAAGCTAAACATTCCCTTTGGCCTTATTTCTAGGTAGTTTTTTGTTATTTTATCGAAAATTTTTGTGAGGATTTCACGAAGTATTCATACCAAAACATTAAGATCAGTTGTGACAGCCTCTCAGAACAGAAAACCGATTCGAAAACGGTTCAGAAATGCGCAAAATGAATTAAAAAGAGACCGTGCGGCAGCGGGTAACCGTGAGATTTTGCCTCCAGTTGAACGCCGCCCGCTCTACTTTTTTGGCCATAGCTTTTTTCTTAGTGGACTTTTTTTTTCAAAAACTGAACGGATTATGAAAATTGACAAGCTCCTCTATCGAATAGTGTGAAAAACATTTTTTTTGGACCGTTTTGAAAAAATAGCTTGCGGTCCCTAACTACATGGACTCTTTTTTTTCGACAAAATTTGCGATTTATTTTCTGACCAGGGTTCATAGAGATGTCCTTCCTTCAAATAGAGACGAAATTTTCACGATTTTTTCGAGATAGCGTAATAAATTCCGAGTAAAGAGCTCAAAAATCGCAATATCGACCCCAAAAATCGACCTTTTTGTCTCAAAATCGTCTCGAAAAAAGTTTTGGTCTCGGGAGATTTAGAAATTTTGAGACACAATCTCGAAAAACCCTTTTCAGTTGACAATGCAAAGTTCAAAATGGCCATCATAGAGTGAAAAATTAAACTGTTTTTCAGAAATTGAGATAAAATTTATAATTCCGCGTAAAATACTTTGAACGCGGCGAGAGCGCCGAGGTGCATGCACACGACACATCACATTTTACGAAAAAAAATATGGGGACGTTGCAACGTCCCCATATATCAACGTTGAGGACGTATAATTTTTCTTGCTTTTCAGTCAGTGCGGCGCGGGTTCACAATCAACTGTCGCCGTATGACACGGAAATTGAGAGAGGATTTCTCAAGGTTATTTTTTTGTTATATCAAAACTAGAATGGGACATTAATGAAAAATGATAATGTATTTCCGTATTTTCAGAGTATCATTGAGACGCTCGAGGAGCAGTACAAGCAGAAGATTGATTTGACGGTAATTTATTTTCAGTCTGTTCCTATTTTGAATGTCATAGCGTCAAGCTCCGCCCCTGATGTCTCGATAAACCATCAGAGAACGAGAGCATTTTCGAATAACAGCGTTGTACTTGAAACGCAAAATCTGAACGGACCACAGTGAAAAATAATCAATAATTGAGTTTCAGGAAGAGCCATTGGGAGTTTCGCACGTGATAACTCGAAACGACGACGGCTCTTGGACGGCGGCCGTCGATGCGCGAAGAAAAACCAATTCTGGGCCCGCCGGATGGTGAAAATGACCGAAACTGTTTAAAAATAATGAATAAAGATTTTCCTACCAAGCCAGAAAGAAAATTAAATTTTACCTATTAAGTGAAGCTTCGAAAATTCTCAGTTTATCAATACCTTGATAAAAATCATTTGCGTCCGAAAAAATAATCACCTCTTTGGTCAAAGTTTTATTCCAAAGGACCAGATCAAAAAATCGGGGACTTTGGTCAGGAAATAGTATTAAAATTTTATTTTTCCACGTTTTTTTTGAATTTTCACGTCGTTTTAATTATTGTTCCTTTCTTTGTTAAAGTTTTTGTCCTTCTGGGAAAATTTTTCATGGCCACTATAGGGTTTTAAATTTTGGTGGCCGCTGTAGTAGTGGCCACTTAAGGGGTTACAGTTAGTTGCCACTATAGAGGTCTAAGTGATACTACTAGACGAAAAAAAAAGTTTTAGTGGCCACTTTAAGGGTCAATATATCAACATAACTGGTCCAACCTGTTTTTTTTTTAAATTATCAGAGTTACTGGAAGGAATACTGGATGAAAAACTACTAAAGTGGCCACTAAATAGAAAACCTCTATAGTGTGCACTTAAACGGAAAATTTTGGCCACTTTAGTGTCCTCTTCAAGTCTGTCCTCTATAGTGGCCACTAAACATTTTCCCAGTACTTTTCGGATTTTCGTGACTGAAATCGGAGCAGAAAGATGGAATGACGCAGTTTTCATTGAAGAAACAAAAAATGATGACTAATTGAGAATTGAAACAACAAAATATTCGAAGGAACATATTCTTTGTCTTTATGAGTGCTGTTCGGAAGGTTGATTTTTTTAGATAGTTTTTTCTTCTTTTAATTTTTGGGGAAAAGTTCAGGACCTTTTTTTTTTACTATCACCTCAAGAATCTCATTAGTTTTCTTTTTTAAGTCAATTTTTTTTCCATTTTTCGCTACTCTCCTCAATTCCAGATTATTTGGCCACGCCTCATTTTTTTTGGTCTTTTTTCAGACAAAAAATGCGAATATATTTTATATTGATGATGATACAAATCACTTCCGGGTTTCGAGAACAAACGGTAGCGATTCGAGGACAGATGACGTGGAGAGGTGAACCATTAGCAAATCATAAGGTGAACCTTTACGAGCGCGATTACGGTACATTTTTCGAACCATTTCAAATGCGACCAGGAGATTTCAAGGGTTTGACTTGGACGATCGTCTGAACAGAACTTCCACGGACAGGAAGGGCAGATTCGAAATATCGGTATATATCTTGCTTAGAATCGACATTACCTAACCAGAAGAATTAAGCCATTTAAAAAAGGTTTTCTTGAAATCAGGGATTTTTTAAATTGCCCAGTTTTTTTACAATTCTCCACATGAACCCTATTGCACTTCCCTTATCGATAAATCGCTTCATTTGATTATTAATCATCAGATTTTTACAGGGTTTCGAGTTTGAGTTCTTCCCCATCGAACCCTATCTCCTGGTGTTCACGGAATGTGTAGGATTCTCCGGATTTTACTACTTCAAAACAAGAATTTCAGGTTCGGGAAATAACCTGTGTCGCAGAAATCGATGTACCCCCAGAAGCCGTCGTTCGAGGTCCCGTGGCGCCGATCTTCGACATGGGCACTTTCGATGTTTTCTTTCGCGAGAGAGAATAAAGTTTCTGGATCTTTGAAGAAAGTTTATTTTGCACATAGATTTGACAATATTTCAAGAAACAATAAGTTCGCGCTCTTCGTGGGCGAAAATTGTCTCCAAATTCAGGATTCCAATATCGAAGGTCTTCGCCGCGGTCTTAAAATTAGTTTTGAGATGGCCTGGGAAAATTTTTAGCGGCCACTGTAGAGGCTCGCCAATGACTACTTGGAGAAGACACTAAAGTGGCTACTATTCTCCGTTTAGTGGCCACTATAGAGGTTCTCTATTTAGTGCTCACTTCAGTAGTTTTTTATCCAGTATTCCTTCCAATAACTCTGATAAGTTTGAAACAAACAGATTGGACCAGTTATGATGATTCATTGACCCCTAAAGTCGCCACTAAAATTTATAGTGGTCTAGTAGTAGCGCTTAGACCTCTATAGTGGCCACTAACTTTAAACCCCTTGAGAGGCTACTAATTTGACTACTACAGTTACCACTAATTTTTAACCCCTTAAGTGGTCACTAATTTGACTACTATAGGGGCCACTAAAACGTCGAAACCCTATAGTGGCCACTGAAATTTTTCACAGGCTTTGAAGAAAAAAGACACAAATACCTTGCCGTTAGTGACGTATGAGGTTGGGATCTTGAACTTGATTTTTCGGGAGCCGGGCTGGAAATGACCAATTTTTGTTACTTTTATAGAACTTGTTTTAGCTTTTCTCTGAATTTTGGTCACTTGGGCTCTTGAAAGATTTACTCAAAAGAGAAACCCAGATTTTTCGAGTTTGGCTTAAGATTTTCCAGATTATTTTGGCCTTCCAATCATTTCTTTCGCGTTCAAAAATGCAAAAAAAGGTTTTACAACACTTTTCCTGAGAATTTTAGAGGAGTTCAGATCAAAATTGTGCTACTTTTCATTATTTCCAACTCACCGTAATGCCCTTGTCGCAGTTGTGGTAGACCTTGAAGACGGGGTCGATGTTGGTGAGTTCGGCGGTTCCTCCAGACAAACTGAAGCCTCCGTTGCTGTCCGTGTAGCCTTCGTCGAGCAGGTCGTCCGGGTCGGGTCCTGGAAGGTTTCTTTTTAGGATAAGGACAAGCTTTTTTTTCAAGTTATCAGACAGAAGTCAAGCCTACGACCTTGCGGAGATTAGCAAGGCCAAGAAAGAAATTTAAGAGGCCTTATTTATTTATTTTTTGATCAGAAACTTATCGCTGTCCTCTTCTCGTAATTCAACCATGGTAGGAATTGAACTTGTGACCTTACGAACGATGGAATAAGTATCACCAGCTGAGCTACGCTTTATCTAATTTTCAGATACAATAAACTATCGTTATCCTCCTCCTCCTAGGAATTGATGACTTTGGTGGGAATCAAACCTGGAGCTTTTCGGAAGTCAAAAATGAGTCTGGCCAGCTAAAGCACGCCTTATATTCATATCATTTGATTAAAAATTATCATTTTTTTCCTGAATTCGGTGGGAATAGAACCTGCGACCGTTCTGACGTCAATAATGAGTCTAACCAGCTGAGCTATGTGTTTCTACAACTATAAAATTACCGCTGTCCTCCTCCCAGAGCTTGACGCGGACGTTGGCTGCTGGTTTATCTCCGCATCGCAGTTTTCCTTTGATCGCCACGGACTGATCCCTCATGGCTAGAGTTACAGTTAGAAGTGTTGCTAGTAGTAGAAAAGACCTCATTCTGGAATTGGCGAGTAGAAAAGATGGTCTATTAAGAGTAGAATATTTTGGTCAGGGTCAAAGCGAAAAACGGAAAATAGACCGACGTTGTACCAAAAAAGAGAGGTGCTGGGAAAAGTTCTAATGGCCACTATAGAGGCTCGCCAAGGACTACTTGGAGAGGGCACTAAAGAGGCCACTAAACCAACCTCTATAGTGGCCCCTTTTTTCCGTTTTAGTGGCCACTATAGAGGTTTTCTATTTAGTGGCCACTTCAGTAGTTTTTCATCCAGTAATCCTTACAGTAACTCTGATAAATTTAAAACAAACATATTGGACCAGTTATGTTGATCCATTGACCCCTAAAGGGGCCACTAAGTGGTCTAGTAGTAGCACTTAGACCTTGTAGTGGCCACTAATTTTTACCCCTTAAGTGGCCACTAATTTTACTACTATAGTGACTTTTTAAACTTCAAAACCTTATAGTGGCCACTAAAAATTTTCCCAGTGCTTTTGGTCTAACTGACTTTTATTGAACATCTTGAAAAAAAAAAAGAATTTTCTTAGAAGGAGGCTCAAAAAAGGTTAGTAAACTGATGGAAAAACGAGAAAGAGGTGTCCAAACTGTCGGTTATCACTGGAGTTTATCGCTTTTTAAGCGCAACAAACAAACAAAATTGACTGCTTTTATCAGATTCCCAATCAATAAGGCCTGGCAATCAGGAAAATAAACAAGTTTAAAGTTCTATCGAGAAAATGGCTAGACATAAACAAGTCGACAGTTGGTGTTGCGAGAAAAAATCATTCTTTAGTCTTGTTTTCAGAGGCTCTCTGTTTTTTTCTCTTTTAAAAGTTCTAAAAATTTGAAAATTTCCATTTCAGCAACTCAAAGACCTTCAGAACGAAATGAAGAATTTTCTGTTGATGATATTAACTGTCCAAGTGTGTCTGGCCATGCGCGAGCAATCCGTGGCCGTAAAGGGCAGACTGATGTGCGGACCTCGGCCGGCTTCCGACGTCAAGGTGAAGCTGTGGGACGAAGACGACGGCCCCGATCCGGATGACGTCTTGGACGAAGGCGTCACTGACGCGGACGGCTTTTTCCAACTTTCGGTCGCGTTTTGTATCAATACCAATCTTTTAATCAACCGATTTGAGGGAAGCGAACGAGAAATGACCAACATCGACCCGGTTTTCAAGGTTTATCACGACTGCGACGACGGAATCAAGGTTCAAGTCTTGAATTTGGATATAACTTCAGCTTGAAAGTACACTGATAGCAATATCAAAACAATTTCCCATGCTTAGCGCCAAAAACCATCCTTTTCTTCACAGAAATCAACTTCGAGACTTTATATAGTCGAGGTGCCACAAGTTGAAATTTCATGGAACGACACTCCGCTGTTTCGATTTTGTGCGGTAGCGCGCATCTGGCGAATTTGCCAACTTCGGCCACGCTAATTTTTTTTTTTTGGTTTTCATTCTAATTTTGATCGTTTTTTAATTGTTTTGTTCCTTTAAAATGTATTATTATCGTTGAAAGGGATTTCGTTGTACAAATGTAACAGAACACAGTAAGTTTCATGACCTTTCTAGAAAAAAGCGATAAAAAAAAGTTTGAAAAACGTCATGTATTCGTCAATCGCTTTAATATTGTTTTTCTCGTTTCTCAAAAAAGTTTTCAAAGGTTTACCAAAAAGATTTGCGGGTAAAATAGGCCATAAACCAGAGCTGTTCTCAAGCCGGGGCGACCCTGGCCGAGGCCGCTTCGACCCGACCGCGACGCGCCCCGGAGCGCCCCGGCCCGCGAAGCGGTTTTCATTCAGGCCCCCGAAGCGAGCGCGAGGATTTTTCCGTATTTTTTTTGTTTTTTTATTTCAGTTTTTTTCATATTGAAAATGAATGTTTAAGTTATTTATGATCCATGAAAAGTTTAATTTTATTGTTTTTGATAGAAATCGGGCTTTTTGATTTCACTTTTTCGAATCTTTTTCGTTTTTCTCGTTGTAAACAAAAAAATAATATTTCAAATAGAGGTTTGAATCAATTTTTTTGCGAAAAATGAAATTCCTGATGATGTGAAAAATTTCAAATTATTTCTTATTTATTATTTTGTTTTCTCTAGTTCTGTAAATTGTTCTGGCCACTTAGAAAAACTATTGAATTTTTAGGATTAATATCTCATTTCATCGGTTTTTTTCTTCTTTATGTGCTCGATAAAAAAATGTTTTTTTCGTTTCACTTTCATTTCAGTAAAAACTTGTGCTTCTTTCGCTTTCTTATAATTCGCAAAAAACCGGGAGTCAAAAAAAAAATTTGTATCTACGGGTCGACCGAGTTGACCCTTACCAAAGGCCGACCGCGGCCGCCCTCGAACACGCTGCAAATCGGGGCGCCCTCGGTCGACCGCGGTCGCCCCGAGAACAGCTCTGCCATAAACGACACAACATTCTAAAAAATTTTCTGTGTTTTTTTTTAAAGCCATGTTTCAATGTTTTCATCGTTTTTTTTTTCTGTTTGCAGTGGTTAATGGATTTTTTCAGAAAGTGAGTGCCTTATAAAATGAAGACGTGTACTTCCATGAGCCCTATGAAATAGCGAGATCGGTTTCAGTCAAAATAAGGTTAAATCGACTACTCTGTTTTTGTTATTTCACTTTTTATTGCCATTGGACATGACTTTATTGAGGGAATCTGAACGAGATTTCAAAGGTTGGCGAGAAAGGAAGAAGCTCACCCATAGAGCTATCCGTCAGAAATGGGGCGTGAACAGTGGAAACGATGTGCTGAACGAAATGTCCAGAAAAACTAATGATTTTTTTCCTTTGAACTTATGTATCTGTTTTTACAAATTCGTCAATGTTGAGTTATTCAGTTGTTTTTTTAAACATTCATTGTGTTTTATTTCTGATCGGGATATTTTTTTCACATGATTTGAAATATTACAAGTGAAAAATGGAAGAATGTTGCATGTCAGGGACGTTGAAATCAATATTATAAACGCATTTTTTTTCGCTTAAAGTTCGAAAAATTATTCAATTTTATATGTTTCTAATGAAACAGTCTATCCACTAGCAATGATAATCATGAGTTTGGCACGAAGAAAACTATTGAAACATAATTTAAAAAAACTATTGAAACATAATTAAGTGAAATTTTCAAATGAAAGAAAAAATGGAAAGCTCGACCGAAATTCGCAAAGGCAAGTCGCTTTCACGACCACAGGCCACCAAGCGGAGTGTTGTTCCATGAAATTTCAAGTCGTGGCACATCGACTATAACTAGGTAAAAAGGCAAAAGCGTCAAAAAATTGTTTTTGAAAAAATCCGGATGCTCTGAAGTAAGTTTGAGATTCCTAGAAGTTTCGTTTCCTTTATGAGGAAAATCTCCCTTTTTTTTTAATGAATCTTCCAACTTTCAGCCTGGTCAGCGAAAGGTGAAGTTCCGGATTCCGACCCAGTACATTTCTCCCGGCGGCCATGCCAAACGTACCTTCGACATTGGTGTCCTCAACCTCGAAACGATTTTCCCCAAAGAAGAACGAGACTTTATTTGATAATTGAACTTTCTTACATTTTTATTTTAATAAATTAACATATAACAAACCGAATATGTTTTGAAGATGTATAAATTACACGGTGTTTTTTTCATTACGCAAGGTCAAGACTTTTCGTAAATTATGATGCTTAGGGTGTAAGCACACCGAGACGCAATATCGAAACTCAAAATGTTTTTTTTTCAATTTTAGAATTTGAGATTTCAGGATAATAGTCCTGAAATGTTCGAAATTTGTCAGTTTGAAGAATATGATGTGAAATAAACATTCACTTACGTTAAAAAACATTTAGAAACGATTTAAAAAAAGGGGAAAAACTCTAAATTACTGATTACAAAGTAAAAAAACAAAAAAATAATATGAAGGTGAAGCAGCTCCCATTGAATAAGCATTTATAAATACGAAAAATATTGAAATGAGGAAAATTCGAGGAGCAAATGAAAAAAACATTTTATATACCTCGAAAACCTAGTTTCAGAAAAACAAATAATGGATAGAAAGCAGAAATTTTAGAAAAAAAACCTCGTATGGCGAAATTTTTGTTTAAATCCGAAAAACCATCAAAAAACTAGAAAAAAATATATAATTTAGATGATGCATATATCAAAATCATTAAACTGCATCAGCAAATTCAATTTGGCTCTAATTTACACGAAACCGGTTTCAAACTACGTCAAAGGAACTAGATAATAACTTTTTATTATTAACTGATTAAATTAAAAAAACTATAGTTTCCAAAAATAGAGTTACTCTTTTTCATGTCGCGAAACAGATTTCAAAAATTTTGAAAAAAATTAGGACTTTTTAGAAAAAAATCTTCAGCTCTTTTGAGAAAAAAAGTTAAAGATCTGAAACCGGTTTTAGAAAAAAATGCGCAATTTAAAGCTCCACAAGATGTACCCATAGAGAGGCGGATCACATAAATGCAAGAAATAGAAAAAAAGTAAAAAAACCAAGGAAAAAAAGTGAAGAAATTCAATTTTTTTGCATCAGAAACCATGAGAAGGGCTAACGGATAATATGCCGCTGGGACCCAAAAATTTCGCATTTTCATTGCGCGGAACACCGTGCCCTCTCAAAAAATTTAAAAATTGGAAATGCATTTTTTTGCTTTTTACTTTTTTTGATGAAACCAATCAAATTCAAGAAAAAAACATTTTTTTGAAGAAAAAAATGTTTCAGAGAGCGATATAGCGGAAGACGTTTGCGACGTCGCAGCGAAAGGCGAGCCGGTTTTTTTCGCTTTTTCATTCCTATTTCAGTTATTTATTTATTATGTTCATGTGTGCATCGAAAAATAGTAGAAAACATTGTAAAAGAGCGGTTGCCGAGCTTTTTGAATAGTCGGCGGCAAATGAATTGAACTCGTGCCAAGAACCGCGAACGCACACGCTACGCGTCCCGCCCCTCGCCCCGCCTCCTTCGCCTTTCAAGTCGGGAAACATTGACTATAAATTATACTCCTCAGCATCATTCCATTATTATTTCAGGAGCAAGCCCGACTCGGCATGCCACCTTCTCGACGGCCTTTTTCCGACCGGCGGAATCCCGACGGACGCCTCCAGGACCTACGGGCTGGCCCGAGTCTTCCTAGAACTCTGCGAAACTGTCCAGGACGCGCCGAGCGTCCTCGATGCCTTGAAATCGTCGAAAAGACATTCGGAAATGGTGAGTTTTGCTCGAAATTCAGTCAGTCAGAAAAATACCTGGCCGGCAAGGTTCTTTGTTTTGTTTCGTGAAATTCTTTTTTGTATCGGAGGAAGATTCTGAATATCTCAGCTTGCAAAAGCTTAGTTCTTGTAAATAGGCTTAAAATAGCCTATTCCAACAAAATTTATAGGTTTCCTTGTCTATAAGATAATATTTTTCGAAAACTAGAAAGTTTTGCAGCTTGAAGTGTTCAGAACCATAACGTGCTCCGTCGAGAAATATTCTAGCCGATTTTCAAAACATCATGAAACTCTCCATGGAGTGTTGCGATTCACACAAAAAAGGCTTTTCAACTTCATAAAAATCTTTTTTTTTCATTGGGTTTTTCATTATGGAGAACCTTCGGAAGTGAAAGAAAGTATATAACCCCCCAAAAAAAAAGCTCATTTCCTTGATTTTTTTCATTTACGAATTTGGAGAAATAATCTTTATTTTTTTGCTTCTGGACATCAATATGGATACAATTTATCACATAGACTTGTTTGAATTGCAAAAACCTCATCAAATTTTCCGCAGTGACTGTAATAGTCAAAATTTTCTGGTTTCAACTGTTAATGGTCGATTTAAAAATTATATTCATCAATTTTCGCTCGAAAACATTTGCCCTCCTTTTCATCATTTTTAAGGATCTTTTGAATTTTTTCCGACCAAGTTTCCATATTTCTCCATCAAATTTCTAGAACCGACCTATTTCTACAGAAAATTTTGCGAAAAAGGGGAATGTTCAGTTTTTCACTCGTTCGGTCCTCCTATTGAACAGAACGAACGGTGACTTCTTCACAGTTTGAGCAGAGGACGTGTAGCAATCAACTTGAAATATTTCGTGAAAATTCATTTTGGGACAGCGCCTCAGTACTTGTCAGTAGCCTCTAAAACGCGGAATTGAGCAACTTGAACCACTTCTCGAGAATTATTTCTAACGCGCCAATTTCTGGAATAGTTTAAACTAGTTTAGCAGATAATATATGCCATTATGAATAGGATGAATTGAACTTTTCGAATTATCACGCAGCCGAAAAAAAAACTAGGAAAATGAGCTTCCTATACATATGAAGCGCACTTTATTAGCTTCCGTTGAAGCGTTTTCGAAACCGCTTTTTTCACTCACTCGAAAATAGCTAACGGTGTGCACTTTCAAGTTCAGTCGGAATTTGCATACGGTCAATCAATGAATAGCATAAAGAGGCTAACTTTCTGCTATTTCATTACTCTTTGTATGCACTCCGATACTATCCCAATGCCCTCTGGATTCGAGAGTGCTGACGAAGCTTTGGAAGTATGCTGCCGGATAGCACTCCGATAGCGCTCTCTCCGCGTATCCTATTTGTTGACGGACGAAGTGCATACCCCGATTGACCTTAGTTTTTTGAAAATAAGAATTTTTGGGCAATTTCTAATTATACACAGTTGCATTTCCAACTAGACCGCTGAGTTTTCTTTTTATTTCCTGTTAAATTTTGACTGTTCATGTGTTTTTTAATTTTATTTTTACGACTTTTCCGACTTTTTCACACCGCTAAGGAACTTTCCGACGGCGACGTTTGCGATGAATCTCTTTCAATTCAATTATTTTACTTTCGCAACACCGGGATGGTATGGTGATGTTGCAAATAGGGAAAAAGACCACTAGCTGGATTAACTGACCACACGTTTGAAGAAAAAAAATTTGTATGAGAGAAGAAACATAAAATTTCCCACTTTCTTATCATATTTCTTTCGGCCTGTCAAAACCTGAACTGAAAGTTTCAGAAGCTTATGTAGTTGTTGTGATGAAAGTATCTCAACGGTCTCGAGCTGGCCGTAAATATTCAATTCAATTCAATTTATTCAGTCTTCAGTGTAAGATGTAGAAAATCTCTGCTGAATTATGGTATAATCGAAGAGTTAGTCGTCGGCGCGGGTTACGGTCCACAATCGTTGTCCAATAAGCCGTGGTGTGACAGCTAGTGTTGGGAAATGATGTGGGCCCGTTGGTAGCATCGCTTGACACGCAGTAAATATGCCACAACTAAATTAACACTCTTAATCTCAGAATTTTATAGAAAAAAAAAAACAATTTTCCAGGAGAAACCCCGAGATTGGTCATTTTCGCAGAGCCGTCACCTTCAAATTTAGTTTCTCGAGCCCCTGTCCAACGGAAATTCATGAAACAATCGTTACGAACATATTTTTTTTGAATCGTCGTCTTTAATTAAGGAGAAGAAGATGTTGTGCAAGATAAATGAACTAAATAATAGACAAAATTCACTGCCCAAAAAGGAACATGGAGATTTTTCCAAACTTGAAACTAGTAACTAAAAATTCATGTTATGAGCAGCTTTTTACAGTAACCGTTTTGATTGATTTTTCCTTTACTCTTTTAAATTTGCGAAAGAGCAGTTTTCGGGTTCCAGGCAGGCTTGTGTGTCAGGCCGAACGGTCCGGGCTTTGGGCCTTAATTTTGAGAAAAAGCCAGCGCGGGCTTTCCGCAGTTTTTCCCCTGCATCTCGAGTTATCCGTTTGGAAAATTTGAAGTTACGATCGTGCAACCCTGGCCTGCAACACTCTTCGTGGACTTCTTCGAGGATCTTATTCTCGAAAAAAGACTATCTGTTCAGCAGATGGAATCTCACCTTTTCCCAAGAGCTCACCAAAGTTTCAATTCAATTCGTTCAGAGAGTTTAGAAACCAATTGAAAGATCATAAACGCGAACACCATTATAATTTCAATTTTTATTGGGTATAATAATTAATAAGTAAGAAATACATGAAAATTGTGGGTCTTATTTCCGGGCTTGCTATGCAGCGACATCGACAGGCGGTGACTGAGCCGCTGAACTTGGCTCGAGTCTCTCAAAGACTTCCTGTAAAAGATGTTGGCTCGAAAAATATGATTTTTTTTGGCTTTTTTAATCAAAAAGAATTTTCATTTCTCCTACCCTATTTTCACACTAAGCTGAGAAGTATGAAGTTTTCCACGACTAAAACAGCATGATCGCATTGGAAATGGCTCCTTGATTTCTCATCGCCCAAGCCGATTCTGGTCGGACGTTCTTTCAAAGGACTCGGTGTGCATGGAGCCATTCCCAGTGTGACCTCTGGGCTTCAATAGACAAGACAAAGATTCACTTCAGTTCCAGTGCTCGGCTGCATCGCTTCCTTGTTTTCAGCTCCAATCTCAAATGCTGCATTGTCTCCCGGATTCGCCTGTAAAAAGAAATCATTTTTTTATGAAAAAAATTTAAAAAGCCAAACCTCCTTCAAAATGCTGATGACCTCCGTCATGAACTCGACTATCTAAAGCTTCTTTTTTCAAACTTTTTGGATTTGTTCAAGTATCGAGAAAAAATAGCGGCGATAGTTATCAAGTTGTGAGTTATAAAACGCATGACCTTTTTCGAAAATCAAAGATGAAATTTGAGGCTATTTTGCGTCGAATAATGCGCTCTGAAAAAAAGTTTATACCTGGGGCATGGTCGGCCTGTAAATTGCGTGATAGGCGAAGATCCTGTTTTCCACGAAAAAGCGAAGAGCTTCGGGTGCTCTTTCGTGAACGTTGACCACTTTCCCCGCGAGTATCTGCAAAAAACGTACTATTTTTGTAAAAAGAAAAAAGTAACCTGTTTTCGGGCCTCCGGTCCTGACATGCCGGCGTACGGCATTTGACATTTGTTGAACACTTCGCAGACGAGATGCTGTAAAGTTTCCAATTTAGTCAGATATGAGAAAAAAGAAAACCCCGTAGGCGTAGACGTCCGATTCAGCGTTAAAAGAGTAGTTCGTCAGGCTTTCAGGTGGCAAATAGCGGGTAGGCAAGTTTTCCGCGGTAGTCATCTCATAGTAGTAGGCCTTAACCGAAAGCCCGAAATCCGCCACCTTTGCCTGAAAAATTTGGTGAATTCTCTGCAGGTTCCATGAAAATACCGTTCCGTGTTCATCTATAAGACAGTTTCGTGCGGCTACATCTCTGTGTAGGACCCCAACGTCGTGCAAATACTCGAGTCCCCTCGCGGCATCGAGGCAGAACCTCGTCAAGGTCAGGTTCGAGGCTTTCTCAGACTTGGCCATGAGAAAAGTGCTTAGAGCTCCACCTTCAAAAAACGATATCAATTCAAAAATTGACGGTAAGCTCAAAAGAAATAGACTTCCGCCGAAGCTTTAGGCGGAAAGAAACCGCAATTCATAAATTCGAAGATTAGGCGGATATGTGTCAAAAAGTCTAATTGACATCAGCGATCGCAAAATTCTCGTTTAAAAATATTTTCCGGAATTTTTTTTCAAATTATTTTCGAAGTTAACTAATTTCACAGGGACTTTTCATAGAGATTGGAAGGAATGCTTTTTGGAAGCCTCACCCGGACACAGTTCCATCAGTAGCTGCAGAGGTTTAGAATCGTAACACCACCCTAATGTGCGGACAACATTAGGGTGGTCCAGCGGGATGGAGATTGTTCCTTCAACAAGGAACTTTTCTTCAAGTCCGAGGTGCTCCGGTACGCCTTTCTTCATCTTAAAAACCCAGAAATTGCGTCTTTATTTTGTCCACAGAGCACTTTTATCGCACACTACATATTTGACAGAACTCGGACCTCGGTCACTTGAAAAAACGCATCTGAGCATTTCTAGTAATCACTTAAGCGCTGACGCCGCTAAAGTGACCGCTAGAAGTGCATTACAAAAGTCCGGAAAGTTCTTCTTCCAATTTAATTAATTTTCAACGAAAGTCAAAACTTCAATACCGTACAACGGACAAAAAGATGCTCTACGCAAGTTTATCCCTATTTTTATTCCAATCCATCGAAATGTCTTGAGATCTTAAGAAATCCCAGAATTCAGACTTGTTGCAACTCTTGATCAACACAACAAATTTCGAAATTCAGCTCTAGACGTCTTTTTCGATCTTTTCCTGAATAAACTCGATTTCTCAAGGCCTACCGTTTTCACGGCCGCCTTGTTCTGCGCGAAAGCCGGGTGGTTGATCTCCGCAAGCGAAACTTCTCCGAACGCGCCGTTCCCGAGCTGCAAATATTAAGAACGATGACTCCAATTCGACAAAAAAAACATATTTCAGCTCAAAAGTTGTTTTTGAAAAAGAAGGAGCAAATCAAAAAACATTTGGTTATTTTTAAACCGGAAAATTTTTTTTGGTTTATTCCAAAATTCCTCACCGTCTTAACAATCTTGATCTGTGAGGAGCGGAAGGATCCGTACTGGCGACTTATTGGGTTCCGAAGATTAAAATCTTGTGGACCCTGAAAAAGATCGAGTTTTGGAAAGGAGAGCCGCAAAAATTCGAATATTTACGCCCTAAAGCTTTTAAGAGTTGTTATTTGGACGGCTGTTTTTTTTCCGTCAATATGAAAAATTGCGCTCTGCGGCTGGTTTCATCGATTTCAGTGATGAAAATGAAACGATGAAATCTCGAAAAAATCGAAATTTCAGTCGCGATGCTCAAAAGATCCCGGGGGCTGTTCTCAGTTCTCTTTAACTTCGTGTTGTATGGCCCCATTTAGGCGCTTGGTGTTAACAAGTTTGCGAGAGTACTTCAAAGCATTATTGCAAACGAAAAATGACAAGTTCAAAATGGCTAACCTCCAATTTCACAAACATATAAAACGCGAGCAGAGAGTTTAGATTTGAGAAATAGTATTCCCCATCCAAAGAACATCCGTTCTTGTTCTCTCTCAACTTCATATGCCGGTAGTTCACGGCAATCGTCTCGCGGAAGGGAGCAGGTCGGATCTCGGAAAACGAGTCCGAGCCTTTCCTCCTGTCTGAAAACTATCCGATTGACGTTGAAGCCGTATTTTTTTATTTTGAGACTTTTTTAACGTTTGAGGCCTCGAGACAATTTGAATGTGAACAGGAAGGCGTAAAGTTAGGGTTCATAGCGGCTACAATTTATTATTTATATCGTTGATCTTGAAATTCTAGTTGTTTCGGAATTCTCTCAACAGTCATTTTAACTGCGGCAAGTATTTTCGAGTCAATACGACTTTTGGCCGCATTTGGAATGGTTTTTTCCTTGACTTTCTCGTAACTCTTCGAAAACAGTTGTGTCCAGTCCATAAGCGACTGTCCAAGATTATTTTCAAATGTAAGCCGCTTATGGAATTTTGTTTCAATCAACTTGTACGCAATTTGACACTGATCTCTTCTGAATGCCACCTTGCTTTCCAACGAATTAAAACCGCATCCGCAACTCGACAAAGTAATTGCCTTTGGTCTCTAAAACCGTAATGCCGTGTTCAATTTGATTTCGCGAAATGCAAAATGATCTCTGACTCTCCAAAATTTAGTGATCTTTTCCTTTCTCTAACGGGTATTTTGCATTTCGCGGAATCAAATTGAACACGGCGGAAATTTACATAAAAAGGAAACAGTTTTTTTCCCGAAAAATCTTTGAATTAATTCCAGGTTTCCTCACCATCCCCCGTCTCCCCTAGATCAGTTGCGACATCGCCGTCATCCTCTTTTTCGTACGGCACTTTCTTCGCCACCTGGCATCCTTTCCGCGTGTCTTCCTTCTCGTTGATCTGTCTCAGCTTGGTGGATTGCGCCGAAGTAAGTGCCACGCTTACTACAACGCGAACTTGGCCTTTGACTGAAAAGTTTTATTTTTCAAAACTTGATCCCAAAGGTTTCCACCGGATTACCTTCGCGGAGGCGAATCAAAAAGTCTCCTGAGCGAACAAGTAGGTTGACTGCTTCAAGAGACGGCATGAAGCTGAATTTGATCATTTCTACACGTTTTCCGGGGATTATTTATCTAACCCGTGGCAAAATGGCAGCTTTCGTGCACGTTCAATCGTCGATATCACTTTGACTTGTTCGTGCTTCTCTTCTTTCCTGATGGGCACGAGAACCTCGTGAACGCTGACTAAAAACATTCAATCATGTTCAGAGACCGCAAAGCCCCGCCCCTTTTCGCCGTTGGCTTGGGATTTTGGTTCGCGATTCCCGTACGCAATATTCCATCATATCAGGAGAAAATTGGTGGAAATAAACAAAAAACCTTTTATTTTCATCCCGTGTATACATAGTTTGGATTCGTACCAGCGTAATTTAGCGTTGACATATTTTTATATTTACGAATATATTTCCGTTTCAATTCAAATGAAATTTCAACTCGAATGACATATTCAAAACTTGTTTTTGGACAGATCAAATTTTGAAAGCCCTTCTTTGTAAACTTCAGAAATACGTCTTAGTGTAAAAAATGATTCTCGAAGGCGTTCTCATATTTCAGGAAAATCGCGGAAAATTATTTTTCACTTTGTTGCAGTTCCCCTTCAAGTACCACCTCTACGCGGTGATGGGGAGGCAACGCCATTTATGGCGGCTAACGGTACACCGGTCACGCAGTTCGGCTTGCTTCTGTTAACAGAATGGGCGGTCTTTTTTAGCCCTGGCAAGGCAAAAAGGATAATCAGACCAAAATTATGCTATAACACGTTCAACACCACGGATGGAACTTTTTCGCAAGAATACCAGTCAACCAGGACAACACTGGATGACCGATTGCATAAGACCTCCTGGAAAACGTGTGGTCCACGCTTCGATCAATAAAACAATAAAAGGTCGAAAGCGAAGATGGACCATCTAAGTATCTAAGTATCTAAGTTGCAGTTGCCGTTTTTTTTGGAAAAAAAAAGTTCACCATGTTCTTCCGGCTTGCTCTCAGTAACAGTAGGAAGAGGCGCGGCAGGTTTTTTCGCCGGCTTAGCTGTGAGCAATCTGACCTGAAAATATCGAGATGAGAGAAAAGAATACATTTCAGTATGAACAGGAACTAATTCTGGTGATTTTCAATTCCAGGGATCACAGGAAATCCTGGAAACTTCTCTGGAACAGCCTCGAATCATTAGTGAATTAGCTGAGCCCCTCGTGAACTCTAATTCTCAGAAATACAAGTCTCATTAATTTTTCAACAATTTTTTACAAATTAAGGTTTAAATGTTAAATTTTTGTTCAAATCCTCAGAAAAAAAATTATAGAAAAAAAACTGGCTTTCATTCAAATTTTGATTAGTCCAGTTCATGAGTCTGAGGTATAGTCTTTTCACAGTCTAGATTCAAAAAAAGCAAGTCCAACATTATCAATGCTCTTTTTCTGCAAATTTAGGTTTTTTTGAGTGCTCAAAAAAATCACATTTTTTTGAAATAATATATGAACTTGCTTAGGGAACACCGCACACTTTTTTAACATTCGAAACCCAACAATCGAAAAAAAGAAAAAGGAACTGTTGGGGTTAGTTAATAAAAAAATTAAAAAAATTATGTCTGAATGTCCCAATTTCTCTTTAACCTCAATCTTTAGGCGGGTAGAGTTTCTCTTGAAAGCTTAAAGGCCTTCACCGGAACTTAAAGGCCTTCACCGGTAAGACACAAAAATCCATCTTTTTGTGAAAATAAATTTCGAATGTCTTGAAAATTTTATTATTGCTGCTAACAGCAATGGTGAAGGTTGAAGGTTTTTTTGGAAAATGACACTCAAACAGTTTCGAACGAAAAGAAGTGCATTTAAAATAATTATGACCAAATTAACTTCTTTAGAAAAACAAGTTTAAAAAGTGTTTCATAGCATTTTACTTCATAAAAGACATATCAAAACATCGGGATGTTGCTTTTAGTCAATGAACAGGAAAATTTTCGTAGAAATAAATCCGTAAAAAGCCGAAATCTTGCAATTGAAATTTTCCAATAAATTTGGGGTGCTATAACCTCGGAACAAGCACGTTAATGCAGAGACGAAACCACTTTAAAAACACGTGTACTATATCTAAAAAGGGGCAAAATTGACCAAATTAGTGAGGAATTCTGATGCCGTGTTCAAAGTAATTTCCGCGAAATGCAAAATAGCCGTCAGAGAAAGAGAAAGATAACTAAATTTTGGAGGGTCAGAGACCATTTTGCATTTCGCGGAAATTACTTTGAACACGGCATGAGTTTCGCGGCAAAATGCAGCAAGCGCGCTCCAAACCTAGCTTCAAAAATTTTACTCTCTGCTCCACTGCGTGGAAACTCCGTGACGTGGCGCCAGGTGTTCACTCGAGGAGCGAGAAGCCTCCAGCAGGCTCCGCCGGGATCCAAACTCACCAGAAACATGTCGATGATGCTTGCGTCGATTGTCGAAAATTGGTTTTAAATGGCTAGATCAGCTGATAATTTCGTTTATATACTCTCGTTCTCATCCACGTGGCGTTTTCACGTCAGACGTCTACTTTTTTTTTTTATAATTTGAGGTCAACGTATCAAATATTCCACGTGTCAAGAAAATTTTTATGATTTTTTTTTTGTGAACCAAGATGACTCAAATACCACCAGATTCAAGGATTGTATATCGGAACGAAAGTCGAAAAATTTACAATTTCTTAACTCCTTTTTTTGAGTTATAAAGCCTTTTTTTAAGAACAACAGAAAAAAATTCAAAAAGGTTAGTTGGCTTTTTTTTAAAGATTCTTATTAGGTCTCTAGGTAATCGGAATTATTCATTAAGAAAAAAAAGGCTTAAAAAAGTTTCATTCTTGCTCGATCTGGAGGGCGCCCACATCGGCCGCTTGATGGTCACTTGGATATAGTCTGTTCAGATTTTTAATGTCAAGTGCAATGACGTCATTCAAAAACACTCTGTGGATGGCTCGCTCTCTGATTGGTCTATCGCACCATTATGGGCGGAGCTTGAGCGACGACTTGACATTCAAAATCTGAACAGACTATAGCCTGAAACCAGAAATTGACTGTTTTTGGTAGATTTTGAGGGTTCTGAATTAGGTAAAGAGAAAAGTGCCAGAAAAAGTGATGTAGATAAGATTAAGAAACGCCAGTATTTTATTAATTTTAGTGGAGAAGAAAAAAAGCGGTCGCATTTTATAGGCGGACGCACCGCGCCGGTCGCATTTTGTAAACGCCCGTACTTTATAGCATGCCATGAAATGCTGGGTGGATCGAGTCATTTAATGGAAATTTAATGGAAATTTAAGCGAACAGCTCGCAGACCGACGTCGACCAATGTGAGTTTGGATATCGGCGCAGCCTGTGGGAAGCTTCTAGCTCCTCGAGTGAACACGTAAGGGGCGCTGACGCCACTTGAGTGATCATTTGTGGCTGGAGGAGCCTTCTTTTTCATTCGATAATACTTGCTGTGCAACTGGCCAGCTGGTAATCTTACTTAACTTGAGGATTTTTTTCCGAATTATTGAATAGTTTTTTAAAAATAGATGAATCGAATGTTTGAAAAACTTCCTTCAGAATTTTTATACGAGTTTGTTGTTTGTAATGATGATCAATCCATCCCGACTGTAAGGATGAGTGAGGCGAAAAAGTGTGCTGGACGCATAGCGTGTGCGTACGCGGTTCTTTGCACGAATTCATGCCGTGTTCAAAGTAATTTTCGCGAAATGCAAAATGATCTCTGACTCTCCAAAATTTAGTGATCTTTTCCTTTCTCTAACGGGTATTTTGCATTTCGCGGAAATTACTTTGAACACGGCATCAATTAACCGCTACCGATGATTTAAAAAGCTCGGTTACCGCTATTTTCGTATATTCTACTACTTTTCAATGCACAATGAATGATGGAAAAGACAAGAAGAGCGATGAACTAGTTCTCCAAATAGTCGCTGGCGGTTGAACTGAGTTGGTGCCAAGAACCGCAGATGCATACGCTACGCGTTCCGCCACTTTCTCTGCCTCCCTCCTCTTGTGATGGGAAAAATTGATTAAATCGAACAATGTAGGCTAGAGATGAATTTTTTTTCCCCTCAGCATTTTTTCAGACCTATATTATATATCTGTCCAGTCGTAGGAAAATCTCAGAAATTCATGCCATATAGCTGATTCACGGTCAGCTTGGGACGCTGAAGGGGCGTGTCCTGTCTGCGCTCTCCATAAGCCAGGCGCTATCTCGTGCATTATCGTGTCAGGACCCTTTTTTCGATAGCTCAAGCCAGCCGTGAATCAGCTATATTTCAAAGTTTAACTTGAAAAGGTCAGTTAAAAACAAGTTTTTCATCAAAATCGTTCGGCTTTGGCCTTGATGGCTTTGATAATAAAAAAGTTTCCTTTTTATTCGTTCAATTATATTGATATATTACAGCGGCGGACACTTTGCCAAGAAGGAAACGGAATCTTATCGAAGGTATGTTCATTTTCGTCTTTTTTTAAAAAGTTTTTTCGATTTCAGGAGGATTGAATCGGAAAATGCTTCCGTTGGTGGATACGCTAAACGAATTTTCTGCTGATCTCACCGGTAATTTTTTTTTTGCTCTTTATCATGGGTTTCTGGTCGGTTTTCAGGAAGTTCAGAGAAAAAAAAAGCCAGCGAATTTTTCGAACGGCGACTTTCCCGAATTTTTTTTCAATTCGCCAGGGAACTTTCCGACGAATCCCTTTCCGACTTTTTTCCGTTATATTTTTCGGTTTATGAAACATCTATTAACATTTTTATTCCCATTTCTTTGTATTTTAATCATGAAGTCTTGTCTACTGTGTATAGGAAGGTTTAAAACGAAGAGAAAGAAAGTCGGAAAGGCTCTAGCGATATAGCCCGTTCACGGCTGGCTTGGGTCAGCGAACGGGCGGTTTTACTTGCGCGGCGATGGTAGGTCATGGCTGCCATCTGAGCAGGTGTCTCAACGGGTGTACCCGTATTAAACCCGTGTTTCTGAGGTTGTTTTAGTCTCAGTCGGGCTAAAACGGGGGAACAAAAAGCAATATTTGCTCTGAAAAAACCAATTTTTGAAAATTTCCAACTTTACCGCTGTTTCCAAAGCTATCAAATATGTAGCTGACATCTTCAAGGTGCACATTCATGAGACTTTGCTTGACTTTTGTCGAACCCGTCTGGCCTAAAGCTCCTTTTGAACCCTCCTTTGGCTTCGTCGGTGGATTTGAGGTTGGATTTTTGAGCCTCGTAGCACAAGCTTTTTTGAGAATATTTTTCAACAGGTACAAAAAAAAATTTTTTTTTTTGTACCTGTTGAAATTTTTTTTGTACCCGTTGTTTTTGACAGTTACAGAGACAGCGTGTTAAACCGCCTGTTTGCTGTCCCAAGCCAGCCGTGAACGGGCTATATGAAAAAAAATTTGAAAAGTCGCCGTTTGAATTTTCGCTGGTCTTTTTTTCATACCACCACTTTTGATCTATATTTATAGCCCGTTCACGGAATGCTATAAAACACGGGCGTTCACAACAGTGCTTTTTGGAATTTTCTATTTTACACTTTTGTTTAAAAATAAGGTTGCTAAAAAGTTTGAAATTGCTAATAAAAAAAAGTCGTACATGGTGCGAAAGTTCTTGCTTAATTTTTTAAACAATTGTAAGATTGGAATTATTATACGCCTTTGCGCTTTTTGAAGAATTCCACTATGAACTTGGTCGCTTTTTCCAAATCCATCAAGCAGTTTCAAAACTTCACGTTAAATGTAATTTTTCATGAAGCGCAGAAGTTCACCTGTTCGTCTCCGAATTATAAGCTTGCCTCTTCTTCGATAAATTTTTTCTTAAATCTTTAAAGGTGAAAATGGGATGATGACCGCAGCGCGACCGCGTCATTGGGCCTGATGACTTAGGGTTTAGTAGAATAAGATCTTCTTTAAAGTGAATGAAACGTGCGCGCAGAAGTAGAAGTTTCCTGATGGAAAGTAATAGTTCTGGTCGCATCTTACTTCACTTTAAGCCTAATGCTTTTCAAACTGGCTGAGATAGTCGATGATGTACTGCAAGTTTTGAAAGTCCATTGATGAAGAAAATAGTAATAATATCGTGCGAAGCGTGTTGAAGAACTTGTTCTTCTGAGATTTCCAAGCTTGCATTTCAATCAAAAAGGGTGAGCTTCTTCTTGGCTTCTGTCAGAAAGAAGAAAGGGGGCTTCCAGCCGGCTCTTTGACATGATATTCGTGTCGAGCATGACCTCGGTCACTCTTTTCGGAGGGGAGATCTCAGCCACTCGGAACCTCTGATTGGCACTTCGGTCTAACCAAGGAGACTGGCGCACTGTTCCACTCCTCCGTGCTCCAGAAATCCAGTCAGTCTTTCTGACGTTTCACAACTCAAAGTGCTTGGAATCTCAGAAAAAAACTAAACTTTCACATGACTTTGGACGATATTTCCAATACTTTTCGGGTATTTACTGGTTTCTTAAATTCTCCAAGAGCCGAAAACCGGACGTCTCTGGGCGAATCTAGTGATCACTTAGGCTACGGCGGAGGCTACTTAAGTGCTCACTAGAAATGCCCCGACAAGTCCGATTCGCTCCCCGTTACCAAGGTCCGAGTAATCTTGTAAATCTCTTCTAAGAGCCAAATTCCATCCTTGGCGCGCCATTTCAATTATCGACTCATTTAAATCCTGTTGGAGCCAAAAACTTCTTCCATTCATGGGCTTTCAAGTGTATGTCGTATTGTCTCCTGACTCTGTAGATGTCCTTGTCTTCTCTCATCACCAATTGAGCATTTCTCACTTCGGTCAGAAAAAGAAGGCTTGCATCTTCACGGAAGAGAGTTCTCAGCCACTTGGAATTCCAAGTGGCAACTTCGGTCTAACCAAGGAGACTGGCCATTTTCCCACACTTCCGTGCTCAAGCACACTAGCTTGACTTGTCAGGCTTCGAACTTCATGGAGATGATCAGAAGAGAGAGACTTGTACATCAGAGAGTATCTCAGCCAATTTGGAGAAGACTTCTTTGAATTACTTGTGTGTGTGTGTGTGAGAACAAAACACGGTAAATAAGAAAACTTCATTGAGAGACATAAAAAAGGGATCATGATTGACAAGTTGAAGGTGAAGAAGTAGATGAACTTGCAATCTGTAAAAGAATTCTTAATATAGCAATTTGAATATAGAATTACTGTATTAATAATGCAATGTGAACCTTAAAAAAATGCTGTAATAATTATTGCAATTTCAATATAAAAAAATGATGTATTAATATTAAAATTTCAATATAAAATTACTTTATTAATATTGCAATTTCAATATTAATATTCTGTTTGAAAATGAAAAAAATTTAGCCGCCTACTCTTGCTTGTCCATTTTCAGACAAAAACTTGGTTTCTCCAAGTGAAAGGCCCAAAGCGATGTCGCTGGGACATTTTCTGCCGTGCTGTGATGAGATCGGCCGGGAGAACCTGACCGGACTCGACTTTCGCAAGTCTCTGTGAGCACTCTCTCATCAGAATGGCGTGGCCTCCATTGAGCCCGACTAACGATGTTCAGCAACAACTCTTTGGACCATTCGGAATGCAAAAATCGCGGCACAAGCAAGAAATGGTTTCAGAAAGCTCAAGTCTACTGTCTCTTTCAATTGTATTATATTCTACAATAAATATTATATTCTTTCAATGTTCATGTTACAACAAACGTTTAACATTGCGGCCAAAGTAGTTAGAATTTTAATTTTGGCTCCTGAAGGATTTACTAGACTAATCAATATGTGCATTGATGCGCCAATGCGAGATTTTCGGCTCTTGGAAGATATTTGCAAAACCAATCGATCATAAAAAGTAAGGTGCATGAGCGCACCAATATCAATACCCAAAAGTATCTTGAAAATATCGTGCGAAATCATGTGAAAGTCCTGCTTTTCCGAGATCCCAAGCAGTTTGAGTCAGAAAAAGTCGAAGCCAGAGAGACTGACTGGGTATAGGAGCACGGAGGAGTGGGACAGTGCACCAGTCTCCTTGGTCAGACCGAAGTGCCACTCAGAGGTTCCGAGTGGCTGAGATCTCCCCTCCGGAAAGAATGACCGAGGTCATGCTCGACACGAATATCCCCATGTCAAAGAGCCGGCAGAAGCCCCCTTTCTTCTTTCTGACAGAAGCCAAGAAGAAGCTCACCCTTTTTGATTGAAATGCAAGCTTGGAAATCTCAGAACAATCAGTCTTTCAAAACGCTTCGCAAGATATTCATACAACTTCTACTTTGGCCGCAGTGAGTCCTTGTAGATTTTTTTTAAACGGACTTTATATGAAGCCATCCAACAGTAACTTCTGAAGTAGAGGCTGTCCTACATTCATTCAGATTTCATCAAGAGCTTTCGATAAAATGAAACAAAAAACGGCAAACTCTAAATTGACAACACACATGTGATTCGTCAGGTCTCTTTGCAAAATATAAAACGATTCTATAAAAATGGGAAGATCAAGTAGAGCTAGCTTTTCAAATACACTTGAAGGATACAGTTGAATGACTTTATAAATCAAAGAAACATGGCCCAGCTGCACACGAAGCTTATGCAGAGCGGTCTTTGATTTTTTACTGCACATAGAGTTGAGAAATCCAAAACAAGTGTTTTTAGAAACATCTTGATGAAACATGGATTCACTTCAGTGCAACCGCGTCGCGTGAGCGTTTCCTACTTTTTGTTTTTCCTGACATCTATACCTAAAACTACCATATTCAAATTTTAACAAATATCTAAAATTATAATGGGCCTTCAAGAGCATATGACAAAAAGCAACGGTCAGAAATAGCTACAAAAAGTTGGATAAGTGGAAATATTTATTAAAATAGTTTTAAAAAATATATATTTCCAAATGGAGCAGCTCGTTGTGGCTATTATAGTCCATTCCGCGCCAACTTGTCACGCTTTTCTTCTCACCATAAAGACCGTATACCAAATTTGATCAAATTTCTGCTTTCAAAACAGCAAAAAACGAAGTTCTTGAAGCGAAAGTTGGTTAAATTCGACCTGGCCTTTTGGCGGAAAGAAAAACGTGACAAGCTAGCGCGGAATGGCCTATACTGTCCAAGTTGTCGAGGGTCTTTCTGAAAATATCGACAGAGAAAAGAAGTGTTAAAAAAAAACAGGATCCATTTATTTAAATTAGGGAAAGAAAATTTTGTCATATGCTCGCGAACAACTATAATCTCAGAATGAAATAAAAACTAACAAAATAACGGCGCTGAAGTTGAACTAGTTGGAGAGGCGGAACTGGACACGACATGTCAGAAAATCCATCCGGAATCAGCTTCAAATCGTCGCCAAGTCATCGATTCCTTCCGGACATGTCCCCTCTGTTCATCCGAAGTCGGCGAATCCTGTGAAATATTTTTTTTCGAATTATGATTGATAATAAAGATATTAAGCCTCAAATTATAAAAATAAGCATAATGATGCACTATATTAATGAAAATTTGCAGCGAAAAATTTTGAAAATCACTCAATTCAAATTGATAACTAAAGAATGAATAGAATAATGCAAGAAGCTTGCAAGTATACAACACTATATTTCAATACACTGAAAAAGCTTTGAATTGATTTTAAATTGTGTAAAAGACATTAAAATCGAAGAAGAATGACGCAAAAAGAAGCTCCAGAAAGCCATGGAAGGATGACGTAAGGTTTTGGCGCCGCGGGTCAAACTACAGTTGGCAGGTCAAGCGGCCAGGCTCTCCTCCCAAGCCAACACTGGACCAAGCGATGGCTAGTGGGACTGATTGCCACCACATCGAAACTACCGATGGAGTCTCGGCATGGCCAAGCCGAGGACTCACAGTTGAAATCGCAAAAAGCAGTGCCGAGAAGGGTTCTCCGAAAAGTCTCCTTTCAGCAATTAACATAATTCTTAAAGTTGACGCCGAGGAAAAAATACCCGACGTGCTCCAAGATTTTTTGGAATGTGAGGAATACTTCCATGACAGTTTTCTTAAAGTTTGCATCAATATTTTTGGCGCAGGATTTTTAGAAGTAATCCCGAGTTTCAAACCGCAGTTTTGTTGATCAAAATTTTGCGCAAAAATGTAGCGTTCAAAAAAGCACAATTTCCGAGATGATTTAGATGAATAAAGGGTATTTTCCCTCAGGTGCCATATAGAAGAGCAAATTTACGGGGTGTTCTGTTATTAAAATCAACTTCAAACCTTAATTTAGTTTTCAGCACACAAAAGACCTCATCTAAGATGACTCCTCTTTCTAATTTTTTTTTCCAAAACAAAAAAAAGACATGGGAATTTTATTTCCATACAAGGAATAATAAATTGAAACGTCCGAAACGGGATATAAAGAGGATTCCCGGACATCAATGGCCTTCGGCTCGACAGATTATCCAAGATCGGTTCAATTTCTCGAAAAAACATCGGTATTCGACCGGAAATGCCCAAAAATGTCGTTCTGAACGTTTCATCGTCGCTTTTCGAAGTTATAAAATTAAACTCTTCGAGCTTTTTAGTATATCCTCTGCATTTTCGAACGGTGAAGAAAGAGGTTGTTTTAGGAAACTAACCAGTTAAAAAGGCGAAATATGGGGTATTTTTCGTTATCAGCCGTTTCTACCTTAAACTTTTCAGCACAAAAAAATTTTTTTAATTAGTTTTTTTTCGACATTTATATGAAATTGAGTCGGTTTAAAGGAGGTGAAAACTGTCCAGAATAGACATGGAAATTTATTTATCATATCGAAATCAGAAATGATGAATTGCAACGGCCAAAACGAGATATAACAAGCATACCCGACTCATCGAAAACCGGTTCAATTTCTCGAAAATAAATCGAAAATCGACCGGAAATGCTCATGGTTGTCGTTGTGGACATGTCCATGACGCTTTTAGAGCTTCAGAAATCTTTTTATTTTCTTCAAACTCACATCACCCAGAAAACCGTCGAATTTTCTTGCTTCTCGTCGGACGAAAAACATTTTTTTTGTTTGGCGACATCATTCCGTCGGATTCAATCACTGAAATAAAGTTTTTAAAATATTGGAACTAATCATCATATCGAACAATATATTCACATCATTACGAAGAAACTTTAGTTTTTCTCAGAAAACTTATATTATCACAAAACATACAGAAAGTCACAAAAAGGGCGTTTTTTACGTTATTATCACTGAAATATTTGGATTTTCAAATGAATCTTATCGAAACTTAAAAATTGCACTTCTTCTGATCTGATATGGTCTGTTCAGATTTTGAATGTCAAGTAGAATGACGTCATTCAAAAACGCTCTGTGGATGGCTCGCTATCTGATTGGTTTATCGCGCCATTATGGGCGGAGCTTGAGCGACGACTTGACATTTAAAATCTGAACAGACTATATGTACATACATACATTCGAGCAAGAAAAACACGATTCAAAAAAAAAAAAATAATAAATCGATCAAAACCGGACATTCACTAGTAAATATAAATCTTTCTATAGTCTGCTCAGATTTTGAATGTCAACCAGCTAACTCTGCCTCTGCTGAGTCAGTACCTTTTGCGGGACTGATTTCGCGGGACTGATTTCGATCTTTTTTGATCTAAAAGATAGAAAAAGAAGTCAAAGTTTCTTACACAAAAAACTTTTTTTTTCTTCACAGGTGGGGTTAGTTAATCCACCTAGTGGTCTTTTTCCCTCCCTGCAACATCACCATACCATCCCGATGTTGCGAAAAAAATAAACCAATTGAAATTGAAATTGAAAAATGCAGCCTTTTGAAGGTTCATCGTCATCTGGATATAATGCCGTGTTCAATTTGATTCCGCGAAATGCAAAATGATCTCTGACTCTCCAAAATTTAGTGATCTTTTCCTTTCTCTAACGGGTATTTTGCATTTCGCGGAATCAAATTGAACACGGCATAAAAGATTGACGCGAACATTCAAAATCTGAACAGACTATAGCCTCTGTATGCTATTCATCGATTGACCGCGTGCAAATCCCGATTGAGTTTGAAAGTGCACTCCGTTAGCTATTTTTGTGGATCCGACGTCGAAAGTGCGAAAAACGCACTGGTCAATCGGCCGACGTTGTCAGTGAATGACAGTAAATCCCAAATAAAATCAAATAATTTATTTTGTGTTTTTTTTCGTCATAAATGTAATTGACTCCATCCAGAATTTTCCAACCACAGATTTTCACACTCAATAAAAGAAAAAAATGTACTTTAATGTTTAAAAAACCGTATTTTATTGTTTCTAACAGAACTTTATATGAAATATTCCAAATTTCACTTTAAATAACGAAAGACTTACTAAATATAAATGAGTCAATTTGGATATGGAATTCTGAATTGAAAATGCAATTTTATTATATAAATGTTGCACACTTCTGTCGTGCTTTGATGAGATCGGCCGGGAGAACCTGACCGGACTCGACTTTTGCAAGTCTTGGTGAGCACTCTCTCATCAAAATGGCGTGGCCTCCATTGAGCACGACTTAAGATGTTCAGCAAAAAATCTTTGGACCGTTCGGCCTATCAAACCACAGAAAGTTTCTTGAAAAATTGGTTGCGGTCCCTACGTTTGGTTTACCAAATTGGTTATTACGTTAGAAAGTTGGCTCTTTTTACGCGCGATCTTTCAGTGGTCAATTGTAAAAGAAATAACGCTCGGTGAAGATTATGCCTGAAAGTCATTCCAACAAAGAGAAGAAAGATGGTGTGAAGTGATCATGATGTCAAAATTTTGATAAAATGCCAACACGCGACATTTAAAAAGTCTTTTCCACGTTTTTTTCCTTGAAAGTTCATTGAAATGACCGAGAAGTCATCAAAGAGCGTTCATTTCATTTCTATCCGCCGACTAAGTTTCCACGTGAGCGCTGTCTTCTTTTTCATTTTCATTCCTTTTTGAGCTTCTCACAATGATCTATTCCTCTGAAGTTATTTAGTGTTGCACATGAAATCGTTCGTTTATCGGTCATTTCGTTTAATCGCAAACCGATATTCCCTGGGTTCACTTTATGGCAAGCGGAATCTGTACTAAAAAAAGCATCCTATGTTTGTGGCAGTAGAGGTTAATCAGTTGAGACTTGAGAAAAAGAAGAGAGAGAAATTACGGAGAAAAAATGACGAGGATTTCTGATCATCGCTCCATCATTGAAATTTCGATAGTTTAAAGACGTCTGTCATCGTTCAATTTTCATCACTGAAATCAACACTGGTCAATCGGCGTATCCTCAAAAATAGCTAACAGACACGGCGACATCACGCAAGCCAACTGATGTAAAAAAAAAAAACAACGCCACGCGACGCACACGCGCACTCGTCTCATGGGGCGCGCTTTCTGTTTTTCGCTTTTTTTAAAATCCTGATTCACGGCTGGCTTGAGCCATCGAGAAAAGGGTCCTGCCACGAAAAGAGAAGAGACCGTGCCCTGGTTGGTGGAGAGTGCAAACAGGCCACGCCTTTTTGCGTCCCAAGCTAGCCGTGAATCGTCTATACCTTAGTGGAAACATTATGGTACCTTCTCAATTCTCCCGTGTTCCGAAAATTTCACTTCTGTGCAATCCTGGTCAGGCGGTAGCGGTTTTGCGATTCAACTCGAAGTGAAAGAAAGCCGCCGAATTAGGATCTTTTGCGCTCCACGACTAAAATTTCGATAATTCTAAGATTTTATCGTTTAATTTTCATCACTGAAGTCAATTTAATCAGCCGCCGAGCGCAAATTTTCAGTAGGTGCACGTGCTTCTAAATTCAAGGTCATCCTTGAAAATTATGCACAGAACGTAAATATTCCAATTTTCGCGGCTATCCTTTCCAACACTTTTTTTTCAGGGGCCACAATATTTCTGCCTACGGAACCCCATCAACAAACAGTACGGGATCTTTCGGACGGTGGAGATCAAAATTGTGAAAAAAGTGAGGATTTTTTCTGAGAGAAATACCAAAAAAAATTTTTCGTGTAAAAATAACGGCAAAATTTTTTTGATTTGCCTCAATTTAAACTTTTGAGCTAAAAGATCTAATTTTTGTCCAAGTGGAGATTATCGTTGTTGAAATTTGCAGCTGGGCAGTGGGGCTTATGGCGAGGTGGCGTTGGCGGACGTCACCCATCCCGCGTTCGAGCAAAGCAAGGCGGCCGTCAAGACGGTAGGTCTTTAGAAATAAATTTTTTGTAAATTGATATCGAATGAGAAAAAAGAAGCTAAACCAGGAGAGTTGAAGTTTTAAAAAAGGGTCAATTTGTGAACTCAAAAATGGCTTTTTGCCTTTTTGTAGAGCATTTTCTTGTGCGTTGAATTATTGAACTTCTGACTTTTGAAGGAAAATTAATTCAAAATCAATTTGAACGTGATGCACTTTTAGCGATCATTATAGCGGCGTTAGTGCCCTTAAGTGATTACTATAGGTCATTCCGCGCCAGCTTGTCACGATTTTCCCCTCGGAGCTAGAGAATCCATTTCGGCGCTTCGCTTCGATGCTCTCGGTGTTCCCTCCCTTGCGTGTGCCTTTAATAAAAACATTATTTCTGATCAAGATATTGCTTCAATTTTCTCTATCTTTTTTTATTAATTTACGAGGTTTTTTTAATGGATTGGTTTCCTTTTTTTCGCTCTAACTATACATACTCAGATTCTGTGCTGGGTTTGTAAAAAAATAAAAGAAAATCAAAAAGATTGAATTATTACTTTTTAATTGTTATTAGTGAAACCGACTGTTCTAGCTTTTCTTGCATATAATTTTTGGGTTAGTTTGATATAAAATTTGATGTTACAACTGTTTTTGTAGAATAAGAAAATTCCAAAGTTCGGAAATAATGAGTTTTATTAAAGGCGCACGCAGGGGGGCACACCGAGAGCATCGAAGCGAAGCGCCGAAATGGGTTCTCTAGCTCCGAGGAAATTTAAAATCGTGACAAGCTGGCGCGGAATGACCTATAGAAAGGCTCAGATGCGTTTTTCGTTCTGTTAGATGTCAAAAATGCAGTTTGCAATAAAAACTGCTTTGAGGACAAAAAGCGACGCAATTTTTGGATTTTATTTTAGGTGAGAAAGGATGTCCCCAAGCGGCTCGGATTAGAAGATAAGTTTTTGGTGGAGGGAAGAATTTCGATTCCATTGGACCACAAAAATATTGTGCGTACACTGGGCTGGTGCTACGACTCGAAGCCTCTCCAGCTTCTTCTAGAATATTGTGCCGGTGAGGTTTCCAAACAACATTTCTTTCAACCTCTATGAAAAGACTCTCTGAGAAGTTTCAGTTAACTGTGAAAAAATCTTTGAAGAGAAAGATTTCGTTCAACTTTCAAATATCTCAATTTTAATTTTTTCAATGTAAGAGTCTAGATTTTTGATATTTCAACTAAATTGACTTCCTAAAAACTCAATATTGATGCGCTCAATGCCGTTTCAAGCAGTTTCAACAGTCGAAAAGTAATCAGTTTTCCTTTGAAAGTTATGACGCGAAACTCAGAGACAAAATTAGGTCCCACAACGAGACTTTTACGCCCTAAATTCCTATTTTTGGATTCACGCACATTTCAACCAAGATTTCGACTCAATCTTGAAAGTCGCTTGTCGGTCCCGGTTTTTGTTACTCGAAATTTCAGTTGTGCGTATTCTGGCAAATCATTGCATAATTTTTTGACACTTGTCGGCCTAACACTCGAAATTCTGGATTTCTTAGTCACCATGTCTTTGTCGAAAGCGTCGACCCTAGCCCTGACGAAGCTCTGCTTGGATGCCGCTATGGGGATTGGAATACCACCTTGAGGTCGGAGCCATGCATCGCGATGTTGCCGCGCGCAACTATTCGTTGGACGAACGCGCAAAGGTTTTTCCATGGAACGTGCAAGAATTTGACCAATGTTTTTAGGTCAAAATAGCCGACTTTGGATTCTCGGTCAAGGCCTATTATTTGGAGATGACAACGCCAGAAGGTTGAAAAAGGTTAGAAAATCGAATGTTTTGAAAAATGATTGCTTTTACAGAGTAGTCCGCGGGAGTGCGAAGGAGGCTGGAAATGGGGAAAACATGCAGCCGAACAATGCAACTGAGGAGAACTTTTGGTTCAATCTTTGTCTTGTTCATTGAACCCCTAAGGTCACACTGAAAATGGCTCCAAGCACACCGAGTCCTTTGAACGAACGCCCGACCAGAATCGGCATGCAGAGCTCAAAGAGCATTGAGCCATTTGCAGTGCGATTTTGCTCTTTCTAGCCTCGCAAACCTTATATTTCTTAGCTTCTGAGCCAAAATCTTTTACAGGACGTTTTTGAGCGTGTTGAACCCAGCTATGCCGCACAGTCGCCCCTATTGACTTCGCAGAATAGAAACCCTATAAAAAGAAAACCCACATTTTTATGCACTTATCGCTTTCCTTTCAATAAAAATAAAAATTATGTTGGTGCTCGAGTTTGTTTTCTAAACCTTCTAAGTGGATTGAATTAAAACTTTGGTGAGCTCTTGAAAAAGAGGGAGGTTTCATCTGCTGAACCTATAGTCTTTTGAGAATAAGATCCTCGAAGAACTTCAGAAATAGTGCTCCAGCACAGGGTTGCATGGTCGTGAAACTGTTCAAACGGAAAACAGGAGATGGGAGGAGAAAAACTGCGGAATTCCGTGCAACCGTGCGAATAAACATCGAAAAATGTACAAAGATTGAAAATGATTAGTTCAGGGGGCATTCGCCACGTATTTCATTTAGTAGACTGTAGCCAATTTTTCCCGACTTGAAAGGCGAGGTAGGCGGAGCAGGGGGCGGGAAGCGTAGCGCGTGCGTACCAGGGATGCACGAGACACGATCTCGTCTCGAGATTTTTCGAGATATCTCGAGACGAAATCTCGTCTCGATCTCGTCTCGTCTCGAGATGCACAAATAAATCCGATCTCGTCTCGAGATATTTCGAGATGAAAAAAAGACATTTTTGAGCTGAAAGTTAAAAATAACGCGTCTTCCGGTCGTAATTTCACATATCGAAAGCGATCAGAACCACAGCGCAGTTTCAGATTTTGCGTAATCTCGGGCAAAGTCCGAAAGGCTAGAGAAAGGGTGAAAAAAGGCAGAGGCAGTGAAAAGGGTGGAAAAAGGGTGAAGGAAGGGTGGAAAAAGGGTGAGGGAATGGTGGAAAAGGCTGGAAAATGCTGGAAAAAGGCAGAGGCAGTAAAAAGGGTGGAAAAAGGGTGAAGGAATGGTGGAGAATGCTGGAAAAAGGGAGAGACTGGAAAAAGGGTGCCGAAGGGTCAATTGTTAAAAACTCTCTTTTTAAAATCCTTTCAAGTTTTTGATTTCTTTTTCTATTCGTGAATTATATTTTCTCGTTCGTTGTTTTAATGTGTTCAATTAGTTTCAAAGACAAGGATATGAGGCATAAATTTTTGTGAAAGTTATATATCGTATACGAAAAAAAACATGTTGAAACGTTTGAATGAAATTAAAAACAAATTATGAAATTACAAAGAATCATGTAACTTCAGATCTCCTCTCACGATTAAGGATCAGATTCCCGATTACGATTAATGCCAAGATGCGAAAAGGTTTTAGCTGGCCGGGGAATCGCCTTCGGGCGACGGTTTTTTGGTAAGTAAATTATTTGAAAAAAATGTAATCTTGAGCTTCTTTGTTCCGTTAATTTAATTTTTGTTATATTTCACGGCATGCTGAAAAAAACTCGGATGGTTCGTTTAGTTCGGTCGGACTTTCCAGGCAAGAAAGGTAATTATATATATGCGATTCCTGCTTTTTCGAAATTCCTCGTTGAGCGTTCTTCAATAAAACTATATTCTTTTCAGTGCGGAAGAAGCTGATCTGAGAGAAGCACAAGAACAAGGTGCTGGCGATGTCAACGAAACAACTATTGATGAAGAACCTTCAAATATTGATGTGGTTGGATGAAATATTTATTGATGTGTTCTTTAAGGTGTTTTAACTGTCATATAGGCCATTCCGCGACAGCTTGTCACGTTTTTCTTTTCGCCAAAAAGACCGTATATATCAAATTTCTGCTTTTATAACGGCAAGAAACAACGGTCTTGAAGCGAAGTTGGTAAAATTTGACCTGGCCTTTTGGCGGAAAGAAAAACGTGACGAGCTGGCGCGGATTGGCCTATAGACATTTGTGTCTACTTTCCAAATCTTAACACGCTGTCTCTGTAATTCTCAAAAAGAGTGGGTACAATAGAAAAAATATTTTTTGGTTTTGAGGAAACTTCACCCGCTGTGATAGTCTGTCATCAGAAATGCCGACGCAAGTTTTCAGTCCGATTCCTCCTACCGTAGCTAGGTTACGGTAGGCAGGTGCGTCTTTTCGTATTTAGGAAACTATGCGTTCTTTCTAGGAATACCTACCGGTCATCTCGGAAAATCGCTTCGAAGAGGCTCAACTTGGCATCTGTCGGGGAAAATCTCCCGCGGTTAGAGATTTCTACCTCTCTTCTCTCTTCAGATCCGGTGCTAAAGTTTGTTTCATTTGATAGAGCAAGGTTGTACTTCACAGATGATAGTGTTTCCTCCGACTTTCAGCCTACCCTTCTAACAAAAAATTCAGTTTGAAGCCGATTTTGGCCTAAAAACAACGATTCTCAGATTTCAACGATTTTTCCTGAGCTCAGTCCTACGGAGAAGTCGGAGGAAACACTATCATCTGTGAAGTACAACCTTGCTTTATCAAATGAAAAAAACTCTAGCACCGGATCTGAAGAGAAAAGAGAGGTTGAAATCTCTAACCGTAGGCGATTTTCCCCGACAGATGCCAAGTTGAGCCTCTTCGAAGCGATTTTCCGAGATGACCGGTAGGACAGATCTCTTTCAAAGTGGTATCTATTAGTAGGTATTGCTGCGAAGAATGTTTAAGGAAAGTTACCAGCCGTGGTCTTTCTCCTAACACACAGGGTGAGGGAAAAACCGGAATCGCAGACACAAAAATTACCGTAACTCAAAAAATTTCTACAGTAACCCATGCTTGTATGTACTGAAAAAGTTCTTAAAATTGCATTCCCTATAGATTGATATACAATATTCCTAGAAAAAACGCATAGTTTCCTAAATACGAAAAGACGCACCTGCCTACCGTAACCTAGCTACGGTAGGAGGAATCGGTCTGAAAACTTGCGTCGGCATTTCTGATGACAGACTATCACAGCGGGTGAAGTTTCATCAAAATCAAAAAAAATTTTTTTTATTGTACCCACTCTTTTTGAAAACTTTTGAAAATTACAGAGACAGCGTGTTAACTTGTTATTTGTTTTCTTTTGTTTCTTCTGTTTTTATATTCCTGTTGTTGTTAAAGTTTGCTGCTTCTATCAATTCATTTCCAAACGTTGACCGAATAAAAATGATATCAGCATGTCTACACTCTTAAAAAGAATACTAGAATAACGTGAACATGGGCTATAAAAAGGGTGGAGAAAGGCTATGAAGAAAAAATCGTGGAAATGGTGCGTAACGGGTGCATAAAGGCAGAAAAAGGGTGCAGAAAGGCAGCAAAAAGGGAGCCTTCGTCACCCTGAAAGGAACATTTCTATGGAGTCTTCCAGCACCCTTTGAGGACCCTCGGAGGGTCCTCAAAGGGCCCTTCGGACTTTGCCTATGATATAGTCTGTTCACATTTTGAATGTAAATTAGAATGACGTCATTCGAAAACGCTCTGTGGATGACTCGCTCTCTGATTGGTCTATCGCACCATTATGGGCGGAGCTTGAGCAACGACTTGACATTCAAAATCTGAACAGACTATATCACTCAATAAAAAGAAGATTTCGCACATTTTTGAGTTTTGGTCGTTTGTAAGTTTTATTTCAAAACAAAAATTTGGATTTTTTTATCATCTCGAATTTTCCCGATTTCGACTCGATCTCCTCTCGAGATGAAAAAACCTGTCTCGTGCACCCATGGTGCGTACGCGGTCCTTGGCACGAGTACAGTTCAACGAGTTCAAGCGCAGCCACTATTCAAAAAGCTCGGTCATCTCTCTTTTTTATATGTTCTACTATTTTTAATGCACTCATAAAAAAATCAATAAATAATTCAAAAAAAAATGAAAAAAGCGACAAACGAGCTCTCCAAACAGTCGCCTGCGCTTGAATTGCACTCTCGCATGCTGATCAGGTGTCTCAACGGGTGTACCCGTGTTAAACCCGTGTTTCTGAGGTTATTCTAGTCTCAGTTGGGCTAAAACGGGGGAACAACGGGTATAAGAAAAATATGTAACCCAGCAGTGCTAAAGCGGGGTCTCAGTTGGGCTAAAAATTGCCAAAAGTTCTATAAGCTGGGCTTTTACGGGTTTAATACGGGGGCACCCGCTGAGACCCCGTGTTAGCACCGCTGGGTTACCCTGCTCAGCATGCGAGCTCGTGCCAAGAGCCGCGTACGCACACGCTACGCGATGCGTCTTGCCCCTGCCCCGCATTTTAAGTCGGTAAACATTGACTATCATTCCCCGTTGCTTTATGGCTCACTTTCATACGTCGGCTGGATCTCACCCGGCCTTTTGCCCGCGAAGTGAAAATTCAAAAACTTGCAAAATTTTGAAGTGCCTCGGACACATATCGTCTGCGGAGGCAAAAATTTAACCCGCTTGTGAAGGCTCCCGGACCCTTGCAGCGCTGCACCTGACTTGGCGGGATTTTCGCGGCGGCCTATCATAGAGCAACTGCGGCCTACCCTGGAGCCTTTCCGGCCTACTCTGGAGGCTTTCCGGCCTAACCGGAAGCCTTTGCGGCCTACCCGGGAGCAGTTGAGGCCTATACAGAGGCGCATCATATAAAAAAAAATACTATCAAAATCTATTTTGACTATGAGGTAGGCCGCAAATGCTTCACAAAATAATAAACTTGCTGCTTTCCGAACTTCGCGTTAAACATTTTTTTTTTCTCATTTGCGAAATTTCCGTCTAAAAAGAAAAATTACTCGAACAGGGTACTGCTCTATGAAAAAAAAAAATAGCAGCGCCTCAAATCTCTTCAAAAGCTTATCAGAAAAAAAGTTTCATAATGACACACCCAAAACAAGAAAATAGCGAGTATTCCCGATCGCCACATGAAAACAACCGAAGTCGTCCAAGGTGCAAGCCGTTGGATTAAATTACGATCGGGAATGCTCACCATCGTCGACGTTTTGGATGTTTCAATATCGTTTCAAGAGGGAATAATCCGACGTTACCAACATGTTTGATTTTCAGCATGAAAGTATAATCATTGGATCCGTCTCATTGAGATACGTACGAATATCATAAAATTATTTGGCGCCAGTAAGAAGAAATGACTTTATGGTGTGCAAAAACCAGAAAAAAACTCCAAAAATTTCAAAAACTTCGCTGCATTAAAACATAATTTAGTTTAGAGCTACTTGATAGTGTTTTTAGTGTCCACGTTTTGAAACTACATGATTTTTATGTCAAGTAGTTCATTTATTTGACGAATTGTTCACTGTGGCTCAGTTTTTTCGAAGCGAGCCACAGTCGGCTTTGCGCTATGCGCGCTCCGCCTCCGTGTGAAGCCTTAAAACTAAGTCTATTTTCTTAAGTAATGCATGAAAAGAAAAAGCAAACACTTATATTCCTCTGAATAATTACTTGATTGAAAACTAATAAAGTTCATCTTAAATTTTTCTAAGTGGTCAGCGCCAAATAATTTTATGATATTCGTACGTATCTCGACGAGACGGATCGAATGGTTATACTTTTATGCTGAAAATCGAACATGTTGGTAACGTCGAATTTTACCTTCAAGAGTTCTCAAAACTATTAATTGGTCTTATTTTATTTTTCAAAATAACCTGAAAAGGTCCCTTGAAGTCTTCGAAGTTCCACCCTTCGTTCCAAACGAAGAAGTTTGGCGTCTGAAAGAAGCGTGTAGAAGACGAACTTCGTCAGTTCGCCGCTCATGAAATCTAAAAAAAAAATAATTAGAAAGAAATATTTCAAGTAGCTATAAAAGTTAACAATCGGACATCTCGCAAATCCACAAAATCATATAAAAAATTATAAAAATCGTCAGCAGGTTTCGAAGCTTAAAATCAACACATTTTTTGCGATACGCGGTGTCCGTGACCGAGCCTCACGATCACCGCCGTGCCCGTATATAGACGATTCACGGCTAGCTTGGGACGCAAAAAGGCGTGGCCTGTCTGCACTCTCCACCAACCAGGGCCCTGTCTCGTCTCTTTTCGTGGCAGGACCCTTTTCTCGATGGCTCAAGCCAGCCGTGAATCAGCTATACTGAATTCGTGCAAAGAGCAGTGCCTATGCCGGCATTTTGCAAAAAAAAAAGTTGCACGCATCCTGCAAAGAGCTTTGCATTTTGCATATAGTCTGTTCGGATTTCAAATGTCAAGTTCTCGCTGAAGCTCCGCCCCCTAATGGCGCCATAAACCAATCAGAGAGCGAGCCATCCACAGAGCGTTTTCGAATGACGTCATTATACTTGAAATTCAAAATCTGATCAGACTATATAGTCTGTTCAGATTTTGAATGACTTGCATTAATGTTTCAAAATAAAATATTCAGAATAGTATTGTAAAATTCTAAAAAAGATCTTTGGAAAAAAATTCGCACAAGCCTGCCTGACGCACAGGCTTGTGCGAATTTTAGCGTGGCGTGTGCGTTCGCGGTTCTTGGCACGAAGCGCCGGTAATTATCACCCATTATATGTGAACACTTCGCAATAGGGCGCACTTGGCTTTACGCATATTTCGAGGAAATCCGAATCATTTCCATCTCACCTCGCTTTTTCTGAGTTTTTCATTTGTTTTCATGATTTATAATCCACTTCATGAACTTTGGAATAAAAAATATTTTATGGCACGTGCTACAGCTCGAAGATGTCGTAGCAAACGAATTTCTGCGGCACGTAGATGATCGAGATCAATTTTGCCACAAGTTTTGAGCAGAGAGCTTCAAAATAGCTCGGAAAACTGCAGTGTACTTTTACAGGGATTACACTGAATTTTCACACAAACTTTGGAGTAAACTGGATAACAGTTTAAAAAAAGCAAGACCCCGTTTTTTTATGTTTAAAAACTAGGTAAACGATTGATCGAACGAACATCCCATTGAACGTTAAAATTGACGACTATCTTCTATATATTTAAGTGATTTTTTTTTGCGAGTTAGTCAATGTAGCGTCAGCAATATCGTCTTCCGGGCGCCCGGACTTAGGGCCTCATTTTTTTGAGAAAAAGGTTTGCGCAGGCTTAGGTCAGGCCAGGCTTCGAAAAATTTTTCCCAAATTTCACTGTTAAATGTTGTTAAATTATAGTTTCTGTTGAACTGTGAGTGAATGAACAAGCATAAATGTGACTTCTGTTGTAAAAAGCTTGATATTCGACTTGAAGAAAAATTTGAGCCCGTTCTTTTTTTATTTGAGGCCTCTCTAAGGCCAAACGGGGCTTAGATAATGGCCAAGGGCCGATAGGCTCACGTGCCGGTTCCCGTATAGCCCTGATGATGACTACACGGTCTCATTGAAAATTTTTTCGATTTTGGGAATTTTTCACGCGAACGGTAGCCCCTTTCCTTTCGTCGCAGTAAGTATTCACCATCTTGTAGTTTGATTATAGATCATGAAAACAAATGAAAAACTCAGAAAAAGCGAGGTGAGATGGAAATAGGATGGTAGGACGAAAAATTTGATCCGCAAAAATACGTCGCGTGAAAATTGCGACCACATAACTTATGAGCCACGAAAATTTTAAGCCTTCAAAATTTTTTCGTAAAATTTTAAAATTGCTCAGATGATGACTTTTTGAATTTCTTTCTTTTCCTTTTTTTTTCAATTTTTTTCCCTTTATTCTTGATATTGATTGATTCCAGAGCTAGAGCCACTGTTTTCGGTAGGTTTCTAGAAATTTCAATCATTATCATCAATAAGAAGTCTGTCATTTTTTTGTTATAAACATGGAAAACGTATTTAGTTGACAGATTTTTGAACTTTAATGATTTATGGCACGAATTAATTGGGAAAAACAGAAGAAAAAAAGAGTTAAAACTCGAAATTAGGTTTCAAAACGTTATCAAATCCTGGGATCGCCGGGATAACTCAACGCAGAAATGAGAATCAGTACTAGAGCAGAAGTTTGAAGAAGACCAGAACAAAGAAAAAAACAGAAAAATACAGAAATTGAAAGCCTTATATGCAAGTAATTTCTAATTTAAATGGACAAAAATTTAAAGGTTTAAAAATTTTTCGTGGCTCATAAGTTATGTGGTCGCAATTTTCACGCGACGTATTTTTGCGGATCAAATGTTTCGTCCTACCATCGGAAATAGTTCGGATTTCCGCGAAATATGCGTAAAACCAAGTGCGCCCTATTGCGAAGTGTTCACATATAATGGGTGATAATTACCGGCGCTTCTTGGCACGAGTTCAATTAAATTGCCTTCGACTATTTAAAAAGCTCGGCAACCGATCTTTTTCAATGTTTTCTACTATTTTTTAATGAATACATGAACATAATCAATAAATAATTGAAAAAGGAATGAAAAGAGCGAAAAACGGGATTTTCAAAGAGTCGAGGGTGGTTGAATTGAACACGTGCCAAGGACCGTGAACGCACACGCTACGCCCCCCGCCACGCCTCCCTCGCCTTTCAAGTCGGAAAACATTGACTATATAAAAAAAGCCTGGGTGGGCTCGGGCCAGGCCGGCAGAGATGTACGGAACAGTTCAAAAAAATTTTTTTAATCAAAAAAATAAGTAGATAATCGTGAAGCTATGCCTATTGGGAAAGTATAGAACAAATAACTAATTTGAATTTGGCTGTCATAGCTCAGAAAAGTGGAAAAAACAGGTCAAAGTTCCGCAAAAAAGTGCGGAACGCGGAACTCGGAAAAAATTGCAGTTTTTTGGATTTTCATTGAAAATGGTAACTTTATTTTGGAATCTTTTCTGTTCTATACTTTCCCATAGGCATAGCTTCACAATTATTTTTGATTAAAAAAATTTTTTTCCCTTCAAAAAAATTCCCACTTCCGCGTTTTTTTGCGGAACTGTTCCGTGCATCTCTGCAGGCCGGGCTTCGAAAGAAATTCTTGAAAGTTCACTTCGAAAACATTTTACGGAAAAATTATTTTTACTTGTTGAATCATAGTTTCGTGAACTGGTTGGAATGAATCTCACTCCGCAGAGCTCGTGAGATCGGCTGACGCGATCTGATAAGATCACGTCCACGCCGGATATAAAGTTCAGTCCATAAGAGCAAATTGGGTTAAGCTATATGATCGTTTCGTAGTGTTCGGAATTTAATTTCCAATAACTCTATGAGAAAAATGAGCAAAAATATCACTTTTCTCGTTAAAAAAAAAAGCGATTCGACTTAAATAGAATTTGAGTTTTTCGGCCGGGCCGGTCATTTTCGTTTAAGGCCTTCCTAGGGCCGAGCCGGGCTTGGTAAGTGGCCGGGGGCCAAGAGGTTGACGGGCTGGCCCTCGCACAAGCCTGGGTGAGGCCAGGTTGAAAAATACCGGCATCTAAGATTCGTTGGAACTAATTTATATAGGTGAAAGTGCATAAATGAAAAGTTTTGAGAAGATGGAAGCTTTTCCATTTTAAGGTCTTTTGAACGCGTTTTAGAGATTTCATGAAGTTTGCTATGAGGGTTTTAAGGGACTTTTTATTCTATTTGAAAATAACGAAGAATGATCGTTTTTAAAAGTTTTGTAGCTGACGACTCGACGAGCTCGCGGAGCAACTCGTTGGCCTCATTCCGATCAAGCGGTGGCCGTCTCGACGTCAACGACTGCCGGCTTTGATCAAGAAGAAACCCAAGGAGAAATAAGATGGTGAGCAAAGTGAATGGGTTGAAGAATAGAAAAACTTCATTGCGAAAAAGGGACATGTAGAAATTTCGAAACTTGAAACTTGTAACTGAAAATTCATATACTGAGCAAGCAGCCTCCTTTTCAGAAACCTTTAAATCGATGTACTTCTTTAGATTTGCGGAAGAGCACAGTTTTTGAGTTCCAGGAAAAAGAAAAAAAAAATCTTTCGTTCATTTTCTATAAACTTAAGAGCAAACCAAAGCGGAAAAAAATCAAGGAATATATACAGAAAAAGAGATCAGTGCAAGTCCGACAGAGAAACAAGAGTATCCATATTTGTCGTCTGTTCAAGCCTCCGCTATTTTCTCGCTGTAGTTTTAATGTTTAACTCTTTCTGGAGTTTATTATCCTCAAAAAAAAAGCGAAAAGCGAAATCAGTGGCGGAGATAGACAAGCTGAAGAGTTTTGGTGTCAAAGCACCAACCAAGCGTTCGGACTACGTTGTCGTGATTCAGAGGGATGGATATCTTGCCTTCTTTTATAAATTCGTCTGCTGACTCGCGTCGCTGAGCGTGATATTTCTTGACCTAAAAAAAAATGGCGTCGCTTTTTATCCACAGTGCAATTTTTTATCGCAGACTGCATTTTTGACAGTACTCGAACCTGGGTAACTCGAAAAACGCATCTGGGTAGTAATCACTTAAGAGCCCTAACGCTGCTAAAAGGATTGCTAGAAGCGTAAATTTAGTCGTAATGCGCAAAATACCAGAGTTCGGCGGCAGTTTTTTTTTCGCAGTACTCTAACTTCATGTTACATGGCCAAATTTCTTTGTTTGGTGTTAACTCTTCGAGTTTTTCGGGCATATTTCAAAGCATTTCGCAAGCAAAAAAAAAAGTTTCAAATAACTAACCTTTACTTTCACAAACATAGTACGCTAGCAGAGCGGACAAATTCTCTCCGTCGAGAACTGAAAATTGTGATAATCTGTGACTTGAAAAAATTTTGAAGACATTATGATGGACTAGAATGAAAATAGGGATGAATTGCCACTTTGTAGAGAATTTTCTTGTGCGTTGAACGCTATTGAAGTTGTGAATTTTGAAGGAAAATTAATTAAATTGGGAGAACTTTTCGGACTTTTGTAATGCACTTCTAGCGATCTCTTTAGCGGCGTTAGCGCTTAAGTGATTACTAAAAATGCTCAGATGCGTTTTTTCAAGTTACCGAGGTCCGAGTCCTGTTAAAAATCCAGTTTTCAATAATAATTGCTCTGGGGAGAGAAAAAGACGCCATTTTTTGGTTTTTAGGTTAAAAAAGATTACCTTCAGCGATGCGATACAGCAGACGAATTCATAAATGAGGCAGAACATCCATCCCTCTGGACCGTGACAATGTAGTCCGCACGCTAGGCTGGTGCTTTGACACCAAACCCGTTCATCTTGTCTTCGTATATTTGTGCGGATTTCCAACCAACATTTATTTCAATTTCCTTCAAAAGACTCTGTGAGAAGAATCATTTATTTTTAAAAAAATTCCGAAAAAATTTTGAAATCGCCGAAATTAATGAATCGAAAAAATGAAAACAAAACGGAAAAAAAATGTTTAAAAAAAGTTTACCTGTAAAATCAGCATAAAATTCGTTTCGCATATCTATCATCAGAAGCAGCTTTCGATGCAAACTTCCTGTAATCGGAAAAAAAAATCAAAGAAAAAAACAAAAATGAACATACCTTTAATACAAATCCATTTCACTTGAAGACATTTACCTACATCAGAACCTCCAAACGCCTAATAAAAACAGTCAATTTTCTGGTTTCAGGCTATCCAAGTGACCATCAAGCGGCCGATGTGGGCGCCCTTCCAGATCGAGCAAGAATGAAACTTTTTTAAGCCTTTTTTTCTTAATGAATAATTCCGATTACCTAGAGACCTAATAAGAATCTTTAAAAAAAGCCAACTAACCTTTTTGAATTTTTTTCTGTTGTTCTTAAAAAAAGGCTTTAAAAACTCAAAAAAAGGAGTTAAGAAATTGTAAATTTTCGACTTTCGTTCCGATATACAATCCTTGAATCTGGTGGTATTTGAGTCATCTTGGTTCACAAAAAATCATAAAAAAATTTTTCTTGACACGTGGAATATTTGATATTCAGTACGTTGACCTCAAATTATAAAAAAAGTAGACGTCTGACGTGAAAAATGCCACGTGGATGAGAACGAGAGTATATAAACGAAATTATCAGCTGATCTAGCCATTTAAAACAACCAATTTTCGACAATCGACGCAAGCATCATCGACATGTTTCTGGTGAGTTTGGATCCCGGCGGAGCCTGCTGGAGGCTTCTCGCTCCTCGAGTGAACACCTGGCGCCACGTCACGGAGTTTCCACGCAGTGGAGCAGAGAGTAAAATTTTTGAAGCTAGGTTTGGAGCGCGCTTGCTGCATTTTCCCGCGAAACTCAGAATTCCTCACTGATTTGGTCAATTTTGCCCCTTTTTAGATAAAGTACACGTGTTTTTAAAGTGGTTTCGTCTCTGCATTAACGTGCTTGTTCCGAAGTTATAGCACCCCAAATTTATTGGAAAATTTAAATTGCAAGATTTCGGCTTTTTACGGATTTATTTCTACGAAAATTTTCCTGTTCATTGACTAAAAGCAACATCCCGATGTTTTGATATGTCTTTTATAAAGTAAAATGCTATGAAACACTTTTTAAACTTGTTTTTCTAAAGAAGTTAATTTCGTCATAATTATTTTAAATGCACTTTTTTTCGTTCGAAACTGTTTGTGTGTCATTTTCCAAAAAAACCTTCAACCTTCACCATTGCTGTTAGCAGCAATAATAAAATTTTCAAGACATTCGAAATTTATTTTCACAAAAAGATGGATTTTTGTGTCTTACCGGTGAAGGCCTTTAAGTTCCGGTGAAGGCCTTTAAGCTTTCAAGAGAAACTCTACCCGCCTAAAGATTGAGGTTAAAGAGAAATTGGGACATTCCAGACATAATTTTTAATTTTTTATTAACTAACCCCAACAGTTCCTTTTCTTTTTCGATTGTTGGGTTTCGAATGTTAAAAAGTGTGCGGTGTTCCCTAAGCAAGTTCATATATTATTTCAAAAAAATGTGATTTTTGAGCACTCAAAAACCTAAATTTGCAGAAAAGAGCATTGATAATGTTGGACTTGCTTTTTTTTGAATCTAGACTGTGAAAAGACTATACCTCAGACTCATGAACTGGACTAATCAAAAATTTGAATGAAAGCCAGTTTTTTTCTATAATTTTTTTCTGAGGATTTGAACAAAAAAATTTAACATTTAAACCTTAATTTGTAAAAAAATTGTTGAAAAAAATTAATGAGACTTGTATTTCTGAGAATTAGAGTTCACGAGGGGCTCAGCTAATTCACTAATGATTCGAGGCTGTTCCAGAGAAGTTTCCAGGATTTCCTGTGATCCCTTGGAAATTAAAAAAATCACCAGAATTAGTTCCTGTTCATACTGAAATGTATTCTTTTCTCTCATCTCGATATTTTCAGGTCAGATTGCTCACAGCTAAGCCGGCGAAAAAACCTGCCGCGCCTCTTCCTACTGTTACTGAGAGCAAGCCGGAAGAACATGGTGAACTTTTTTTTTCCAAAAAAAAACGGCAACTGCAACAAAGTGAAAAATAATTTTCCGCGATTTTCCTGAAATATGAGAACGCCTTCGAGAATCATTTTTTACACTAAGACGTATTTCTGAAGTTTACAAAGAAGGGCTTTCAAAATTTGATCTGTCCAAAAAAAAAAAACGATAACGCGCTTTTCGAAATAGAGATAGTTCAAAAACAAGTTTTGAATATGTCATTCGAGTTGAAATTTTATTTGAATTGAAACGGAAATATATTCGTAAATATAAAAATATGTCAACGCTAAATTACGCTGGTACGAATCCAAACTATGTATACACGGGATGAAAATAAAAGGTTTTTTGTTTATTTCCACCAATTTTCTCCTGATATGATGGAATATTGCGTACGGGAATCGCGAACCAAAATCCCAAGCCAACGGCGAAAAGGGGCGGGGCTTTGCGGTCTCCGAACATAATTGAATGTTTTTAGTCAGCGTTCACGAGGTTCTCGTGCCCATCAGGAAAGAAGAGAAGCAGGAACAAGTCAAAGTGATATCGACGATTGAACGTGCACGAAAGCTGCCATTTTGCCACGGGTTAGATAACTGATCCCCGGAAAACGTGAAGAAATGATCAAATTCAGCTTCATGCCGTCTCTTGAAGCAGTCAACCTACTTGTTCGCTCAGGAGACTTTTTGGTTCGCCTCCGCGAAGGTAATTCGGTGGAAACCTTTGGGATCAAGTTTTGAAAAATAAAACTTTTCAGTCAAAGGCCAAGTTCGCGTTGTAGTAAGCGTGGCACTTACTTCGGCGCAATCCACCAAGCTGAGACAGATCAACGAGAAGGAAGACACGCGGAAAGGATGCCAGGTGGCGAAGAAAGTCCCGTACGAAAAAGAGGATGACGGCGATGTCGCAACTGATCTAGGGGAGACGGGGGATGGTGAGGAAACCTGGAATTAATTCAAAGATTTTCGGGAAAAAAACTGTTTCCTTTTTATGTAAATTTCCGCCGTGTTCAATTTGATTCCGCGAAATGCAAAAATACCCGTTAGAGAAAGGAAAAAAGATCACTAAATTTTTGGAGAGTCAGAGATCATTTTGCATTTCGCGAAATCAAATTGAACACGGCATTACGGTTTTAGAGACCAAAAGGCAATTACTTTGTCGAGTTGCGGATGCGGTTTTAATTCGTTGGAAAGCAAGGTGGCATTCAGAAGAGATCAGTGTCAAATTGCGTACAAGTTGATTGAAACAAAAATTCCATAAGCGGCTTACATTTGAAAAATAATCTTGGACAGTCGCTTATGGACTGGACACAATTGTTTTCGAAGAGTTACGAGAAAGTCAAGGAAAAAAACCATTCCAAATGCGGCCAAAAAGTCGTATTGACTCGAAAAATACTTGCCGCAGTTAAAATGACTGTTGAGAGAATTCCGAAACAACTAGAATTTCAAGATCAACGATATAAATAATAAATTGTAGCCGCTATGAACCCTAACTTTACGCCTTCCTGTTCACATTCAAATTGTCTCGAGGCCTCAAACGTTAAAAAAAGTCTCAAAAATAAAAAAATACGGCTTCAACGTCAATCGGATAGTTTTCAGACAGGAGGAAAGGCTCGGACTCGTTTTCCGAGATCCCGACCTGCTCCCTTCCGCGAGACGATTGCCGTGAACTACCGGCATATGAAGTTGAGAGAGAACAAGAACGGATGTTCTTTTGGATGGGGAATACTATTTCTCAAATCTAAACTCTCTGCTCGCGTTTTATATGTTTGTGAAAGTTGGAGGTTAGCCATTTTGAAACTTGTCATTTTTTTCGTTTGCAATAATGCTTTGAAGTACTCTCGCAAACTTGTTAACACCAAGCGCCTAAATGGGGCCATACAACACGAAGTTAAAGAGAACTGAGAACAGCCCCCGGGATCTTTTGAGCATCGCGACTGAAATTTCGATTTTTTCGAGATTTCATCGTTTCATTTTCATCACTGAAATCGATGAAACCAGCCGCAGAGCGCAATTTTTCATATTGACGGAAAAAAAACAGCCGTCCAAATAACAACTCTTAAAAGCTTTAGGGCGTAAATATTCGAATTTTTGCGGCACTCCTTTCCAAAAACTCGATCTTTTTCAGGGTCCACAAGATTTTAATCTTCGGAACCCAATAAGTCGCCAGTACGGATCCTTCCGCTCCTCACAGATCAAGATTGTTAAGACGGTGAGGAATTTTGGAATGAACCAAAAAAAATTTCCGGTTTAAAAATAACCAAATGTTTTCGATTTGCTCCTTCTTTTTCAAAAACAACTTTCGAGCTAAAATATGTTTTTTGTCGAATTGGAGTCATCGTTCTTAATATTTGCAGCTCGGGAACGGCGCGTTCGGAGAAGTTTCGCTTGCGGAGATCAACCACCCGGCTTTCGCGCAGAACAAGGCGGCCGTGAAAACGGTAGGCCTTGAGAAATCGAGTTTATTCAGGAAAAGATCGAAAAAGACGTCTAGAGCTGAATTTCGAAATTTGTTGTGTTGATCAAGAGTTGCAACAAGTCTGAATTCTGGGATTTCTTAAGATCTCAAGACATTTTGATGGATTGGAATAAAAATAGGGATGAACTTGCGTAGAGCATCTTTTTTTGTCCGTTGTACGGTATTGAAGTTTTGACTTTCGTTGAAAAATTAATTAAATTGGAAGAAGAACTTTTCCGGACTTTTTGTAATGCACTTCTAGCGGTCACTTTAGCGGCGTCAGCGCTTAAGTGATTACTAGAAAATGCTCAGATGCGTTTTTCAAGTGACCGAGGTCCGAGTTCTGTCAAATATGTAGTGTGCGATAAAAAGTGCTCTGTGGACAAAATAAAGACGCAATTTCTGGGGTTTTTAAGATGAAGAAAGGCGTACCGGAGCACCTCGGACTTGAAGAAAAAGTTCCTTGTTGAAGGAACAATCTCCATCCCGCTGGACCACCCTAATGTTGTCCGCACATTAGGGTGGTGTTACGATTCTAAACCTCTGCAGCTACTGATGGAACTGTGTCCGGGTGAGGCTTCCAAAAAAAGCATTCCTTTCAATCTCTATGAAAAGTCCCTGTGAAATTAGTTAACTTCGAAAAATAATTTGAAAAAAATTCCGGAAAAATATTTTTTTAAACGAGAATTTTGCGATCGCTGATGTCAATTAGACTTTTTGACACATATCCGCCTAATCTTCGAAAATATGAATTGCGGTTTCTTTCCGCCTAAAGCTTCGGCGGAAGTCTATTCCTTTTGAGCTTACCGTCAATTTTTGAATTGATATCGTTTTTTGAAGGTGGAGCTCTAAGCACTTTTCTCATGGCCAAGTCTGAGAAAGCCTCGAACCTGACCTTGACGAGGTTCTGCCTCGATGCCGCGAGGGGACTCGAGTATTTGCACGACGTTGGGGTCCTACACAGAGATGTAGCCGCACGAAACTGTCTTATAGATGAACACGGAACGGTATTTTCATGGAACCTGCAGAGAATTCACCAAATTTTTCAGGCAAAGGTGGCGGATTTCGGGCTTTCGGTTAAGGCCTACTACTATGAGATGACTACCGCGGAAAACTTGCCTACCCGCTATTTGCCACCTGAAAGCCTGACGAGCTACTCTTTTAACGCTGAATCGGACGTCTACGCCTACGGGGTTTTCTTTTTTCTCATATCTGACTAAATTGGAAACTTTACAGCATCTCGTCTGCGAAGTGTTCAACAAATGTCAAATGCCGTACGCCGGCATGTCAGGACCGGAGGCCCGAAAACAGGTTACTTTTTTCTTTTTACAAAAATAGTACGTTTTTTGCAGATACTCGCGGGGAAAGTGGTCAACGTTCACGAAAGAGCACCCGAAGCTCTTCGCTTTTTTTCGTGGAAAAACAGGATCTTCGCCTATCACGCAATTTACAGGCCGACCATGCCCCAGGTATAAACTTTTTTTCAGAGCGCATTATTCGACGCAAAATAGCCTCAAATTTCATCTTTGATTTTCGAAAAAGGTCATGCGTTTTATAACTCACAACTTGATAACTATCGCCGCTATTTTTTCTCGATACTTGAACAAATCCAAAAAGTTTGAAAAAAGAAGCTTTAGATAGTCGAGTTCATGACGGAGGTCATCAGCATTTTGAAGGAGGTTTGGCTTTTAAATTTTTCATAAAAATGATTTCTTTTACAGGCGAATCCGGGAGACAATGCAGCATTTGAGATTGGAGCTGAAAACAAGGAAGCGATGCAGCCGAGCACTGGAACTGAAGTGAATCTTTGTCTTGTCTATTGAAGCCCAGAGGTCACACTGGGAATGGCTCCATGCACACCGAGTCCTTTGAAAGAACGTCCGACCAGAATCGGCTTGGGCGATGAGAAATCAAGGAGCCATTTCCAATGCGATCATGCTGTTTTTAGTCGTGGAAAACTTCATACTTCTCAGCTTAGTGTGAAAAATAGGGTAGGAGAAATGAAAAATTCTTTTTTTGATTAAAAAAAGCCAAAAAAATCATATTTTTCGAGCCAACATCTTTTACAGGAAGTCTTTGAGAGACTCGAGCCAAGTTCAGCGGCTCAGTCACCGCCTGTCGATGTCGCTGCATAGCAAGCCCGGAAATAAGACCCACAATTTTCATGTATTTCTTACTTATTAATTATTATACCCAATAAAAATTGAAATTATAATGGTGTTCGCGTTTATGATCTTTCAATTGGTTTCTAAACTCTCTGAACGAATTGAATTGAAACTTTGGTGAGCTCTTGGCGAGAAGGGAGATTCTGCTGATAGTCTTCTGATAATAGTTCCTCGAAGAAATCCAGGGAGAGTTCCGCAGGCCGGGGTTGCGCGGAATCGGAACTTTCCACACGCAAAACGGGAGGAGAAAAACTGCGAAGTGCTGTGCAACCCCACGAAATAGAAAATGGGAAAATATACAGTTATTGGAAATGAGCGCAATCGCCACTTATTTGACCTAGTTGTAAGATTGCACGTGGCTTTATTGTCTGTTCAGTTTTTGAATGTCAAGTAGAATGACGTCATTCGAAAACGCTCTGTGGATGGCTCGCTCTCTGATTGGTTCATTGCGCTTTTAGGGGCGGAGCTTCAGCGAGAACTTGACATTTGAAATCTGAACAGACTATATGGCTCATTTTTATCCGATGGCTAAATGCCAAGGCTTGGCTCACTCCGCGATCCTCCACTTTTGTATTGAAGAATACGGAATAAAAAAAACAAGGGGTTTCCGCGGAATAGGATACACTTTGAATGAAACTACTTTCCAGCTTGTTAAAGGCCCAAAACAAGGCCAGATTGATGGAACGATGCCAAATCTATGAGTCAAGCTCAAATATGAAACTTAAGAAACTATAAAAAGCCATGGTGCTCCCGATACTTTTCGGAATGGCCGGGAGGCCCTGAGGATCCTAAGACCGACATCAGAAAGCTTTGATTTTCAATGATACTTCAAAGACCCAAAAAAAAAACGTAACATTTCCACTCGTATAGTCCGTCCGCCACGACTTGACAGTTTTAGTGTGTCTGCGTCTCTCTGTTCCCTCATCGGCGATGTCAGAGAAACAGGGGAAGAACACGTCATTCGAGAGATAAAAAGGAATCAAAAATTTAGTGGAAGAATTCAAATAGCCAAGTTTCGGTTCACCAACCGGCTCTGACTAGACTTGTAATTTATGATACATGGACACAAAAATTTTGAAAGACGTTTAAAGCTCGCTTGCAAAAAGACACGAGAAATTTACTTTTCATACTGGGCGTCGGCTTGAACTTGCAAATGGTCATGGCCTCGACCGAGTTGGGCACGTCGTAGAGAATCCTGTGCGCTTCGACTTCCCAAACGCCGGCCTGGGTGATGGCCATCAGCTGATGCGTTTCGTTGCTGCCGCCTGAATGCGAAGACGATGACCGCGACTCGATTTGAAGTTCAGTTTTTAAGTAATCAATTATTTTACTCAAACCCAAAGCTACTAAACACCCTGTTCACGAACTGAGTAGGGAACTACTCGGGCTCGGGCACGCGGATCGAGTTGAAACTTCAGTGGTTTATAGACCTCAGTCAGAAGACTTGAAAACAAATGAGAATATATGCCCAATAGAGAACTGAGAAAAAATTAGTAGAAAATCTCGGACATTGGTAACGCAAAACGGACGTGCTCCGGACGTTTCTGGGCGATTCTAGGGATCCCTTAAGAGTTCTGAGGCTACTAAAGTGGTCACTAGAAATGCCCCGACACGTCCGATTCGCGTCCCGTTCGCGTTTTCAAGGTCTGAGATGTGAAAATTAGGCTTGAAAATTTTTAGAATACTGCTTTTTACCTTATTTAATATTTTAATACAATCGCCTCGAATCATCCGGCTATGAGAAACTCTAAAAAACTTTTTTCCAGCCTAAAGAAGAAGGAAAACTGAAATTTGATAATTTTCAAGCCTAAACTGTTCATTTTCAAAAAGCTTTTTCTCAGAAGCCTATGGGGTTTAGCAGATAATCTCTCTTGTTTCCAAGTACTCTTGCCCGGCTCTATAAGACACCAAAGTTTCAACTCGAAACGCGTACCCGAGTCCGAGTAGTTCCCTAGTTAAACATATTTTTGAACGGAGAACCCATTCTTTCTTAAGCTTTATTGTTTTTTTGCTTATGATAAACTTATGTTTTTTTGGGAGACAAAAATACTCGTTGAGTTGGGAAAAATGATAGAAATTCTTAAGATCGCTATTTCCAATAGGATTGTAGCAGAAAGTGTTTGCGGTCAAAAAATTTTTTTCGGTTACGATGCACTTAAAATCAAATCTTTACCACTCGCGTGCTGGCGAGTAGCACCCTGAGGGAGCTATCGCCAATCACCCGTTTAACCTCAGCCGAGCACCAGAAACGCAATTTTTTTAGCCGCGATTAGGCCACTTTTTAAGTCCAGCGGAACTAGGCAAACGCCCAATTCACACGCCGAGCTCCGGTTGAGGTCGAGGCGATCACTCGTTACGTTGAAAAACACCGGGTGATCGACATTAGCATCGTTTCGCAAACCTGTTAGCCCAACGGGTGCTACTGACCAGCACTAGACCACTTGAACGGTCCATTTATCCTCGTCACAGTAGTCCAATTTCCGTATCGTATACGATACACGCTAATGTTCTAAAATTCGACCGTTCGACCAATTAGACCGTTCAACTGATATGACCGTTCAGTTTTTCGAACGGTTATAACATGTCATTTTTCTGACCGTTCGTTTGACCGACCAATTTCTGAAATTTACGAAACCGACCGACCATTTTCGAAGTGACATTTCGAACGGTCAAAAAATGACCGACCATTTTCAGAGTGACATTTCGAACGGTCAAAAAATGACCGACCATTTTTGAAGTGACATTTCGAACGTTCGAAAAATGACCGACCATTTTCAGAGTGACATTTTGAACGGTCAAAAAATGAACGACCAATTTTGAAATGGCGTTTCAAACGATCGAAATTTGACTGAAAAAAGTTTGAAATGTCTGAAATGAAATAAATTGAATCAACGTTTGCGAAAAGTCTGGAATTTTGAGAAAACTCCGCGTGCTTCGTGATAATGAATAAGCTCCTAGTTACTCTGACAAGGAAACTGTTTTTATCCCCCGGTTGAACTTTTGATGAAACTTCGCAGGGGTGTACTTTAAGGCATGCTGATTCCAAATCAAAAATAAAATATCTCGCCTTTTGCCTCGTAGTCAAATTATGACGGCTCAAAGTTTGCACGTGAAAGACTGGAACGCAGTAAGAAGGAATGTGTCTCGCGCCCGAGCCCTCACTTCCAGCGTAACAGAAAATTTTCGAATAGGCATTTCGAACGGTCAAAAAATGACCAACCAATTCAAGAGTAACATTTTGAACGGTCAAAAAATGACCGACCATTTTGAGAGTGACATTTCGAACGGTCAAAAACTGACCGACCATTTTCGAAGTGACATTTCGAACGTTCGAAAAATGACCGACCATTTTCGAAGTGACATTTCGAACGGTCAAAAACTGACCGACCATTTTCGAAGTGACATTTCGAACGTTCGAAAAATGACCGACCATTTTCGAAGTGACATTTCGAACGGTCAAAAACTGACCGACCATTTTCGAAGTGACATTTCGAACGTTCGAAAAATGACCGACCATTTTCGAAGTGACATTTCGAACGTTCGAAAAATGACCGACCAATTTCAGAGTGACATTTCGAACGTTCGAAAAATGACCGACCATTTTCGAAGTGACATTTCGAACGTTCGAAAAATGACCGACCAATTTCAGAGTGACATTTCGAACGGTCAAAAACCAACATGTCATTCTGAAGTGACATGTTGAAATGTTGAAACTCCAACCGTTCGACCAATGACCATTTATTATGACATGTTGAAAAAATATTGGTCGAACGGTCGGTCGAACGGTCAATTTTCGAAACTATAATACGGTGGTATGAAAAAACCACCAGCGAAAATTCAAACGGCGACTTTTCCGATTTTTTCATATCGCTAGGGAACTTTCCGACGGCCACCTTTCCGACGGATCCCTTTCCGACTTTTTTCCCTTAAGTTTTTCGGTTTATAAAACATCTATAAACATTGTTTTTTTCTATTTCTTTGTGTTTTAATCATTAACCAACTACCTACTTTATATAGGGAGATTTAAAACGAAAAGTTTATCGAGAAAAAAAGTCGGAAAAAGATTCGTCGGAAAGGTGGCCGTCGGAAAGTTCCCTAGCGATATGAAAAAATCGGAAAAGTCGCCGTTTGAATTTTCGCTGGTTTTTTTTTCATACCACCTATAATACACGCATGTTTAAGACAATGCTGCGGCGGCCGGTCAATATTGCGCCGTCAGTTTCGGAACCAGGGAATTTTTTTTATGTTTTATCTTTTTCGCAACTTGTTAAGAACCTAGTTCTTGAGGTTACAAGATAAGGTATGCCACAAAAAGTACATACGCTTTCATTTTGAAACCGAAAAAACCTATCCTGACTACCGTAATCCTACCGGCCGCCTTAAACAGGCGTACGCGTGATGCCTGAGAAAAAGCTTACTCTAAAAAATAAGTTTGGAAAAATTACCAATGCGTAGAAATCGCTGTTGAAGACAGGGTAGATGCACTCGAACTCGGTGAGCTCGAATATTTAATGGCCTAACGAAAGAGAGTTGAAAAATTCGGTGGTATGAAAAAAACACCAGCGAAAATTCAAACGGCGACTTTTCCGATTTTTTCATATCGCTAGGGAACTTTCCGACGGCCACCTTTCCGACGAAACTTTTTCCGACTTTTTTTCTCGATAAAATCTTCGTTTTAAATCTTCCTATATAAAGTAGGTAGTTGGTTCATGATTAAAACACAAAGAAATAGGAAAATAAATGTTAATAGATGTTTTATAAACCGAAATACATAAGGGAAAAAAGTCGGAAAGGGATCCGTCGGAAAGGTGGCCGTCGGAAAGTTCCCTAGCGATATGAAAAAATCGGAAAAGTCGCCGTTTAAATTTTCGCTGGTGTTTTTTTCATACCACCAAAAATTCTCGTGATTCATGCCGTTTTCTATGTGTTTCCGTGAAACCCAAAACCACCACGCCAGAATGAAAAATTTTGGAGAATCAGTGGTAATTTTGGATTCAGCGGAATTAATTCGAACATTTTTTTATATTTTTTTCAAAAATTAATAAAATATACTCCAATCCGTGTTTTAATTCAAAATGAGTATAGTCTGTGTATCAGGACTTGGAATTTCACCAAACGACATTCCGCTGTTCCGCTGCGTGCTCGGCCGCGCCTTCAATATTTATATTATTTAGGAACTCGACCAACACGTGTCCTTAGTGGAACAGTCCATCTATCAAAAATGAGAACCAATTCAAATGAAACCGAGGCTCGCAAAGACGCTTCGCGACGCAGAGGAACAGCGGAACGTCGTTCGGTGAAATTCCAAGTCTTGGCACACAGACTACAATAAAACTTCGTTTACAGTCAAAAGGAAAGAAACAAAACTTTTGAGGGAAATTTTTCAGGGAGCGATACATATTCGAGGTCTCAGCGAGCGTTACTCTCGCTGCGATATAGCCCATATAGCTAATTCACGGCTAACTTGGGACGCTGAGGGGGCGTGTCCTGTCTTCGCTCTGCACGAGCCAGGCGCTATCTCGTGAATTATCGTGTCAGGACCCATTTTTTGATGACTCAAGCCAGCCGTGAATGAGCTATAATATGGGGTGCACAACAGTTAAAAAAAATAAAAATTTTAAAAATGATTGGTTGAGAATAACAGTAAAGACAAGATTTGAAAAAAAAAAGCCTATAACGCACTTTTCTACGGAGAAAGTTCAATTTAACGGGATCGGGATTAATTTCCTTTCGGATTTTTTTAAACCAGGTAATCCACGGAGCAAAAGCTCCTAGAGTTCCCCTTCATCTTCCGGAAAATTCGCGGCCACTTTAGGGGGTTTTTTTTAGTTTTCTGGTCAACTATGAAGGTCAATTTTTGGTATTCTCTTATTTTTTTCTTTTTGAAGAAACTCATAATCCAGATGAAAAATATGATTGAAATCACATGAACAGTCAAATTTTTAATATGAAATTCGAAAAAAATACCACTGTCTAAAAACGCAACTGCGTTCAATTAGAAATCGCCCGGAAAATTCTCATTTTGAAAAAAAAAGGTTTCGAGGGTCAACATGAGCTAATACACAATTTTCTATTCTTCTGAATCAATTTCCTTCTTGGGCCAAAACTAAATCCCACTTAACCGCATGATGGCCAGGTGGCTCAACGGGTGTACCCGCATTAAACCTGTGAGGTTGTTTGAGTCTCAGTTGGGCTAAAACTATCGCGAGAAACAAACTTTTATTGGCACGAAGATCGGAAGATCATTCTCAATATAGCTGATTCACGGCTGGCTTGAGCCATCGAAAAACGGGTTCAGACACGATAATACACGAGATAGCGCCTGGCTCGTGGAGAGCGAAGACGAGACACGCCCCTTAGCGTCTCAAGCTAGCCGTGAATCAGCTATACCCATCATTGATCAAATACCCAAACAGACCCGACTTGATCTGAATTCAAAAAAAAAAACCTCTTTCGCAATATTACGAAACCCCCAAAGATTGATTACCGACGACGCAGCTCAAACCGATGGATCACCCACGCAATCATTTCGAAAATATTCAAAATTATACAGCCCCGCCTCCCTTAGAACCTATGAATTCATAAAACGATCTGATCGGCTCAATAGAGCCGTTGCAACCACTTTTATTTTATCTATTTTATTCCCTTTATTTTCCTATTTTCCCTTTATCTTATGTTTACTATATTTTGGTACTTGACTAATAAAGCATTAAAAATCAAAGCTCGCAGAGAAATACACCAAAACTATTCTACACTCAAAAATCACTGAACTACTCAAATTGCAGCGACTTTCTATTAGAATACCGAAGCTAATAGAGACGCCAAAAAAACAAGGGAACAACGGGTGTAAGAAAAATATGTAACAAAGATGTGCTAAAGCGGGGACTCAGTTGGGTTTAAAATTGCCAAAACTTCTACCAACTGTGCTTATACGGGTTTAGAACGGGGGCACCCGCTGAGACCCCGTGTTAGCACGGCTGGGCCACCCTAATCAGCATGCGAGTTTTCACATTCGAAGGTCTTCATAAGTGGAAAACTCAATGAAAAACAAATTTAATCGGAAATCGCGATGGAGAGTTTCACGATGTTTTCTATTTTTTTATTTTTTTGAAAATTGGCTAGAATATTTCTTGACGTAGCACGTTATCGTTCTGAACATTTCAAGCTGCAAAACTTCCTAGTTTTCGAAAAATATTATCTTATAGACAAAAAAACCTATAAAATTTTGTTGGAATAGGCTATTTTGAGCCTATTCACAAGAACTAAGTTTTTGCAAGCTGAGATATTCAGAATCTTCCTCCGGTACAAAAAAGAATTTCACGAAACAAAAAAACCTTGCCAGCCAGTTATTTTTCTGGTCGACTGAATTTCCAGCAAAACTCACCATTTCCAAATGTCCTCTCGACAATTTCAAGGCATCGAGGACGCTCGGCGCGTCCTGGACAGTTTCGCAGAGTTCTAGGAAGACTCGGGCCAGTCCGTAGGTCCTGCAGGCGTCCGTCGGGATTCCGCCGGTCGGAAAGAATCCGTCGAGGAGGTGGTCCCCTTCGCCGATCCCCTCCGGCGAGAGAAAACTCCTTGAGAAAACTCCAGAAAATAATTAAGCGGAGGAGGGGTTGGAAAAGTTTAGTAAGCGTGAACGATATGTAACTTTTTTTTAAAACTGTTTATTGCATCTTCAATGTAAGAATACATGTGCAATCGACTTTCATTGATTTCAACTGTGTTTAAACGGCGGCCGGAGCTGTGGCTTAGGCAGAGAAGTTGTGAATTTCGCTCGTAGAACATCAGGTACAAGAGAGGTACAATATGTAACTTATTTAATTTTTTTTCAAGATATTTTTCGACATTTTTCTTCATTTTTTCTAAATTTCAGGTTTCTTATTTCAAAAAAAGAGTCATCGAAAGGAAGAAAGAAAAACGAAAGAAGAACAAGAACAAGAACAGAAAGAAAAAGATGTTTCGTGCTAATCCAAAAATTTTTTTCTACACCAGTTGTCTCTTTTCGAGGTCTTTTCAGTCCTTTGTTGTTGTTTTTCAAATTTATTTTTACTGGTTCAACCCGTTCCAGGTAAATCAGGACCGGTGGAGCCGATCGAATCGTTGATAATTTGTGGGCGACCTTCCCTCGGCGCCTAAACTTTCGTGATTTTTTTTATTTCATTCATACATGGGCAGACCTATTTTAGGGCGAAAGAAAGAAAAATATAAGATAAACAACAAGAAGAAGAGGATCCTCGCCAAAAAGAAGTTTTATGCTAACCCCTGTATATTGTTACCCTTATACTAATGCTTATGTTTGAAATTATTGCAACTAGAGAAGATAAAAGCCTAGACTTTGAGTTAAAAAAAAATTCAAACATTACACAATGCAGATTTCGAACACTCTTCTGTAGAGAGGAGCCGACCTCATGACATCTACAGACTGAAACTGGCCTTTCATCCACTAGGGTTCATCGGAAAGAGATACTGCTCGTCGACAAAATTTTGGGTGAGTATGTCCGTGTGTAGTGGTCCTTAAATAATGTTCCATGATGTTATTGATTAGGACAAGTCTTTTTTTTTCAAACCTCAAAAATGGACAATATAGCACATTCACTGCCAAATTCGGAAGTGCGGAAAACGGGTGCAAAAAGGGAGTGACTGCAAAATGGCCGCTAAAAGGGTCCCTTTTTACGGCCTTTATTGAGCCTTTCATTTTTGGTGGGTTAAAAAGGGTCATAAAAGGGCGAAAAAAGGGAGAGGCCGCGAAAAGGGTGAAGAAAGAGTGGGGGTTCAAAAAGGTTCTGAAAGTCTCTGTTATTGATGATTTCCGATGTTATTACTGTAGCTTATTTCGGTTCATACGCAGTCACTTGTAAAGATTATTCTCAATTTAAAAAAAATTGTATTTCTCAAAAGGGTCTAAAAAGGGTGGATGAAGGCCGATGAAAGGACGCAAAAAGGCAGAAAAAAGGAAACCGTTTAGGAACAATTTCCGGAAACAGACGGATCCGTAACGGACGCTCAAAGGGCCCGTGAAGGGTCCTTCCGACTTTGCCTATGTTTGAAAAATTTTCTCTGTCCTCGAGGTGTTTGCGCGTGCTGTTTCCTGGAAAATCTACGTTGGCCGAGACGTTTACGGCGGTATCTTGGATTCCTTGAAGATGAAGTTTTTATCCCTTCTTTTCACATCAATTTCTGAATCGGAACTATCGAACCATAACGTATGCTGAACTAGAGCTTGGTCGGAAAAGCTTGAATGCGTCTGGAAGATTTGTAAAGGAGTTTTCGCACTGTTTTACGCTGTTTTTTGGGTGGTATGAAAAAAAAACCAGCGAAAATTCAAACGGCGACTTTTCCGATTTTTTCATATCGCTAGGGAACTTTCCGACGGCCACCTTTCCGACGAATCTTTTTCCGACTTTTTTTCTCGATAAACTTTTCGTTTTAAATCTCCCTATATAAAGTAGGTAGTTGGTTAATGATTAAAACACAAAGAAATAGAAAAACAATGTTTATAGATGTTTTATAAACCGAAAAAAACTTAAGAGAAAAAAGTCGGAAAGGGATCCGTCGGAAAGGTGGCCGTCGGAAAGTTCCCTAGCGATATGAAAAAAATCGGAAAAAGTCGCCGTTTGAATTTTCGCTGGTGGTTTTTCATACCACCGTTTTTTTGCGGTTTTTTAATATTTTTATCTTCAAAAGCTTTGGAAATTTTTTTTCATGATGATTTTCTGATTATAGTCTGTTCAGATTTTGAATGTCAAGCAGCTAACTCCACCCCCAAGGCTACAATATCTTTCGCGTCAATGTTTTATCTACAGATGCCAATGGCCCTTTAATAAGGCTGCATTTTTTTTGACTTCTTTTTTTCTATCTTTTTAGATCGAAAAAAGATCAAAAATTAGTCCCGCGCGATAAAAACATCGACGCGAAAAAGGTACCGTCTCAGCAGGGGCGGAGTTAGCTGGTTGACATTCAAAAATCTGAACAGACTATATATATCATTGAAATAAAGTACGTCTCTTTTTTTATCATGCTTTGAACAGTATAAATGGGTCTGGAAGAATGGAAATCATGTACTGGTTTTCGGTTTTTGAGAATTTTCGACTGTAAAACGGTTTTAAAATTTTTTTTTCGATATGATTTTTCGATTCTACTCTATTGAATTGATATATATATATATATATCACTTAAGAGACTATATATATATATCAATTCCTTCTCACAGTGAGAAGGAAGATCATCAGCGAAGACGAACCATCAAAGTATCAAAGTAAGTAAGTAAAAAGTAAGTATATATCAATTATATATATATATATCACTTAAGAGACTGTTCTGAAAAGTATAAGTGGGTCTGGAAGATTGGAAAACATTGATTTCCACTGTTTTTGCGCTTTTCGGCAGTTTTAGAGATTTTTCGGTAACCAAACGTTTCCAAATCAAATTTTCATTATGATTTTCTGATTCTACACCTTTGAATCAGTAGATCTTTGTATTTTGAGCTTGTTCTGTGAAGTAAAATAGCGACGACTTGACATTTAAAATCTGAACAGACTATATTTATTGATTGACCGCGTGCGAATTCTGATTGAATTTGAAAGTGAACTCCGTTAGCTATTTTTGAGGATGCGCCGATTGACCAATGTTGGTGACCAAACCAAGAAGAACTATATACGAGGAAAAAACATAACTTTTCCGGTTCTCTTCCTTCACGCCACAGATCTGTCTGTGAGCGAAAATAAACATTTTATATATACCCCTACAAAAATGTGCTCAATTGGAGATAACGACTTTTTAAACTTTGCCAACCTATATGTTTTTTCATAGGTCTCAAGGGCAACTTCTGAACACAGATTTGGAATCAGCGTAAAAACTACATCTAGTGGGCTTAGTCTAATTTAGAAGTCCCGCTGTGAGCTGAGAAAATTTCCTAGTAAGAAGTTTTCCAGGGCCACTCTATAGTCTGTTCAGATTTTGAATGTCAAGTGCAATGACGTCATTCAAAAACACTCTGTGGATGGCTCGCGCTCTGATTGGTTTATCGCACCATTATGAGCGGAGCTTGAGCGACGACTTGACATTCAAAATCTGAACAGACTATAGCCCGTTCACGGCTGGTTTGGGACAGCGAACGGGCGGTTTAATTTTCGCGGCAAAGGTAGATCATGGCGAATATCCATGCGCCTTTCATAAAAAGCCCCTATTTTTTTGGCTTATTTGTTTTTTTATTTTGTATTTTATCGATTTAAAAAATCTAAAAAAACCAATGATATGAATGTAAACAAAAATTCACCAAATGAGTCTCTTATTAAAGGCGCATGTATGGCCACAATAATCTACCTTCGCCACGAAAATTAAACCGCCCGTTCGCTGTCCCAGGTCAGCCGTGAACGGACTATATATGGGTCATCGGAATGTAGACGAGACGTTTTTCGAAAACATGCATTTTCTCATAGCCTCTTGAAATCCTTGCCATTTTTCCGAAAAGAAACCTACATTTGCCAAGATGTTTAATTCAAAAATATGCAAATAATTTTTTATGTGCAAATGAAAGTTGTTGATTCCGCACTGTAATAGTAATTCAAAACCTTCTGAAATTTTCAATACTAAAATGAAATCAAAAACATTATTGAATTGTATTGTTTCATTGGCTTATAACAGATAATCGAGTTGATAAAGCTCCTTGATCTACCTTGCTGAAAAAATCACTTTTTTATGTGGTTCCCAGAAAATATTTTTAAAAAAAGCAATATTCACTTGAAAAATAAGGAGGTCACCATTAATATTGAAAAGAAATATGAAATACCTTATAAAAAAATTGAGCAAGAAGAACGGCCCGTGTTCGAACAAGTAGCAGAAAAAAATCCTTCGTCGTCATTTCAAATGTTTTTCAGTTTAATCGCGAGCTCCGTGTATGCAGTCAACGTCCACAGTAAGCCGAGCATGTTTTTAAACTCCAATGTTATTCCCAAAAAAACAGAAGCAAACAAAAAAATTATTTTTATTTTTGCGATACGATTAAATTTTTTTATAAAGTTTCCCTACAGTATAATTTAAATAAAACGGGACTTTGATAAGAAAAAAAGATTTCATAAATGCAATCAGTGAAAAAGCCGTGCCGGGAACCAGTAATAAAGGCGGAAAAAAACGATGACTCTAATTTTTTTCTCCTTGCTGGTCTCCTGGGACTCTTTCTCGTTTTCCTTCGCCTCGCTCTCCTTCTCCTTCTTCTCACCGGCGACCTTCTTGTCGTCTTTCGGCTTTTTCGTATCTATCTTCTTGAGCTGGGGGTACATCTTCGCCTTTTTGACGCCCCGAGTTGCTCTACGGTTCGCTCGGAGGCGGCACTTGCGAATCTTGTACAGATCGATCACGCGATTGAGGTCTTCCATCTCTTCTGAAAAAATTGAACATTTTTTTCCGCAATTTTTAGACGCTTTTGACAAAAAATAAATCCGCATGTATGCCTTAAATCACCTACAAAAAAAGGAAGTTCTCACCTTCCATACGAACCATGGCCTTCTCGTATGTCTCTCCCGGAAGGACCGCCTCGGCCGTAGTCGTCTTCTCTGAAACTCGTTTTTTTATTGGAAAAATTCCATATTTCGAGTTTATCGACCGCAAAGCGCTAACATTGTTAAAAAAACTTCCTCAGTCGCATTGATATTGATAAATTTTCATTTTTCTTCCAGTAATCGACTTTCAGTGGAAGAAAAATGAAAACGAACTATTCCAGAAGTAGGTAGTTCCGCCAGGAGGCGACTACTCGAAACAGCAGGAAGATCTGAGGTGCCCCGTCAGCAGTCAGTACTGGGATTCGCATAAGGATAAAACGAACTATTCCAGAAATATGTGTAGTTTTTTCCTGCGACGCCCAACTTCTGGGCACGGAATCGCTCGCCATTCTCGAGAAGGTTGTAGAGTTCTGTATCACCGTCTCCGTCGTTCTGGCGCAACATCTCGAGGTCCTTCAAAAAGTCTGGAAAAAAGAAATGATGTAAAGAAAAAATTAGTTACTCAGGCGAATTCGGGGAAGGTGTTGGGAAGCTATTCGGAAGGCTTTCGACCACTTGCTGGAAACCTTCCGAACGCCTTCCACGGAACTGGACGCTGATCTTCCCAACGCCTTCCCAGTGCCTTCCGAACAAGCCGAAGTACTGACCCTGGATGTGGCAGCCTTTTTTGCCATCGTCCTTGCACGGGCAACCCCGAGTCAAAGGAACTCGTAGATCGCCCTCTCGCTCACGGATAATCGTCGTGTCGTATACGGCTCCGCGCGTGGACATCACGGCATCCTCCACCATCCTAACGAGCACGTTCATAGCTGAATTATGTTATCATGGATCGATGATGATCAACTGGTTTTTCAAATCCTAAAGCTGCAATTTTTCTAATTTTACCTATTCTGTGAGCCTCCAGGACCTCTTCGAACTTGTTGCAGATCATGGCTAGAACAGTAAATGTTTGCTCTGAAATTGGCAAATGATTTTGTCATCTCTTTTCAAGGCTACTCACTCAGCTCGTCGGACTCTCCGGAGAACTGTTTGGAGATTTCCGGGCATGCAGACGTCTTGATTCGCAACGGTTTGCAGAGAGCTCGGGGCGTCACGTCCTTCGGGATCTGTCCAGCGTACTTTGGGTCGACCTCCGACTCTCTGACTCTTGGCGGCGGCAGCGGTTCTTCAACCGAACCCGCACCTTGAGCCGGAGCCTGAGCAGCATTTTTGTTGTCGGTGAGCTGAAAGATGAGACCGGAATCAACTTGAAAGCCAAATGTTTCTCTACTTCGAAGCGTCTGAGCTTTCGTCTGCTAACTCTTATAACAGTTAAGCTTTCTTAACATTCAAAAACCGAAATTTTTTTTCTTTCAAACTAACCTGAGTCGTAGACTTGCCGACAGGTTCCTTCGAAGTGGTCTCCTGCGAGGGCGGCTTTTTAGCGTCTTTCTTTGCAGGGGCGGGCTGTTTGGCAGCGGCTTCGGCGCCAGCAGGCTTGCGGTTGGTCTGAGGAGCGGGAACCTTGTCCTTGGAGGCGGGCACCGACGACTTTGTCTGATCCTTGGACTGCGGCTCTGGTCTCTTCGGCAGCTGTCCCTCCCTGGCCAACTTCTTTGGGTCCACGAACATCGAAGGATCCATATAAAATGGGGCATCGGGCTTGACCTTCTTCCGACTCGATGACTTCATCGCAGCCATCAGATCATGATTTCGCTGACGTGTGTCCGAGATGGGCTTCACATTCTTCGGAGGATCGAACTTTCCATTTTTGACGATGCTCGCCTTTACTTCTTCGTACTTCTGCAGCGCCTCCTGGACGTCTTCGGACATGATTCCCTCTCTGGCCCGCCGGAAGACTTCATCATCCGTGACAGGAGTGAATTTATCATCAGGCGGCTCCCCAAAGTCATCGTCGGGTTCCAACTTCTTGCCTTGCTGGACTTTCCAGAATCGACGCGCAGCCAACTTCTTCTCTCTTGCCACATCATCGTCTGAAAGAAAAAAAATAAATAATTTCTGCCGGAGTTTGCTCCGCATGGAAAAAATAGAAAGGAAAATCCGTTCAAAGAGCCTCGGAACTGAGCTCGAGAAATTTAAGCTCAGAAAACAAAGTTCAAGTTCTTACGTGCATCATCGGCAGCGTCAGCGTGCGTATCCGAAAAGACTCGCATCACTGAAATTCCTCGGATTAACCACGTAAATTGAAAAGAAAAAACTAACGCGAGCGACAATCTTGGTCGCATAAGTTGTAAATGGCCCTGTCGAAAACTTGGGCGGCGTACGAACCTGAAAACAACAATTTTTTTCAATTCAAAATTGTTAACAAGAAAGGATTTACGGTTGGGGAACTTTGCCCAGATACTGTTCTGTGAAAAGTGTCTCGAAGCCTCAAACTACGAACTCGGAAAAGTTTCAAAGTGAGACTCCATTGGAATAATTTTTAATATAACATCAACGAGCATTTACTTTCAAAAGCCTTTATAATTTCTCGAAGTTTTGAAGCTCATAATTATATTTTTGTTTCTTTGTTGTTTTTAAGTTCTATTTTTGGTAACTAAAAATTAAGAACATTCTTAATTTTGCTATCAGAAAAACCAATACCGAAGGAAGCTAGGACTAGGTCCTTTTTGTGGCGCCATAAGTAGAGCTTGAGGGCGATGATCGTCGAAACGATGCTCACAATCAGAAGGATCACTATCACTCCACAGGCGATGTACAGCAGCGTGTCTGTGAATAAAAAGTCCAGATAACTCTTCTCAATTTTTGTCGAAAACTTCAAAGAACTGTTGGCTCAATGATGTAAAAAAATTATAAAATGATATCTGAAAAAGGTTATGTTTCTACATTTTCTCACTGTAAAACCTCTACATTTTACATCCTTTAATACCCACTATGTTCACTGAATTTAAATTTTCAAAAAGGTTAATTACTTTTTTTCAAAAGCACTTTCATTTTTTATCACTAAAATTCAGTTTCCAGTTGGTTTTTTTTTTACCAAACTCACTGTTGCTAGAGCACTTCTCCTTCTCGGCATCTATCTTCTGCGTGCACAATTGGGAGATCACCGCGGCGGAAGAGTTCGAGCTCGAAACTCCCACTCCCTGGGTCGCGCCGAGAACCGTCGGCTGAGTAGTCGTCAGTGACTTGCATGCAGCTAGAGTCTGAAACAAGATTACTTTTTTTCTGAGAATTTTTTTCGAGTTTTTCCTTTGAAACCATTTATGCTCTTAAAAAAAGTTTCTAGGTTGTCCAAAGGGAAATAAGAAACGCTCAATTTCTTCTCTCATGCTCTTTTTCAAATCTCAATAAAACTTTTTTTGAAATTATGCCTTTGACGAAATATTAGTGCTTGATATACATTTCCTTTCGAATTTTGTAGTGAAATTAAATTCAGTGAAGATTGATTTCCGACGATATGCGTTTATATATTGAGCCATATTTTTCTTAATAGGTCTAGAAATCTTTCCTCTTACAAATATACTAAAATGCTACTCGCGACTGTAAATTTGAGCCTACTTGATGGATATAGCTAATAATAAAAGCCATCGGCTTTATGATGTGATTTCTTTGAGAGTTATAAAACTGCTAAAATGTTTTTTCTGAAGCGATTAAATTACTTGGGTACTACGCACAAACTTTCTTCTAATTTGGAAAAGAAATTTTGAACAAACTGAAATATACTTTTCTTGTCTCCTCGTTATTCTAAAATACCTTATTTTTCACTTTGTTCAGTCGGTCGAGTATATCTTGAGGAATACTTCCTTCTATCTTGATCAAGTCGGTAGTGACGTCGCAATAAATAGAGACGTCATCGACTTTGATCGTTTTCAATTTTTTGAAGGAGCCGCTACTCAATTGGACATTCTGCAGGGTGATGGCCGGTCCTACAAACAAAAAGTGAATTCAAAGAAGGACAGCCAAAGGAGTCTAATGAAACGGTAGGGAGATGTGAGCGCAGACTCCCTTAGTTCAAATCAAGTACAAAAATATACTTTCGCTCGCCTTTAACGGAAATTTTTTTGAAAATATTCAGTATTTCCTTTTTTCCAGTATTAAATGAAACGTACCCGGTCCCTTGTGGACAATTTCTACCAGATTATCGACACTGAGCGATGTCACGTTTCCAATCATGGTGATCGTACTGCTTTTTATCATCGAAGGCAAAAACTTGTGGATATCTTCACCAGCTTGCGCATTTTCTGCGTAGATCACTTCTTCGGTACATTTTAATGATTGGCACTCGAACGGGAAAGCTTCTTTATCTCCGTACGCGGTCATGGGTCTTTTGCAGCAATTTTCTGCAAGTTGAGGATTCTCATTGATAGTAACAGGGCTGGTGTAGTGAATGCTCGTTATCTAGACGCTTTCATGATCATGAAACTTATTTTCCAATAAGATTTATTCTTTCGATTCTATGAATCGCAACGCACTTTTCATGGAGCAAGGGATCAATTTTCCCCAAATCTGTAGCGAAAAAAAAAGATATGAAAATGTTTTTTTCTCAAATGTTCCGAGGTTTTTTTTTAAATATTGAGTACATCAGTATCTTTTTATTCACTGTTGGCTGGATATGACAAAAAAATGTTATCTTGATAACATTCTTCGATTTCTGCAAAGACATAGCGACACTTCCAGTTCAAACGCAAACTTCTATTTCGTGACGTCATCTTGACCTAACTTATTTGATACTACGTCTGAACTTTTCGAGATAATAATATAAAAACAAACTGATAAAAAGCCTATGAACTCTATAGAATTATGGAGACTTCAATTTAAAACTCGAACGTGAAGAATGTTTTCAGGCTCGTCGCATTCTTCCAATCAAAGTGAATTAATATATAGAACAAATATTTTCACTTATGTATTTCTCGTTTTTCATAAAGTGAAGTGGAGTAGTGTTTTGCGATTTTACAAAATCGCGACGTGGTTTCTATCCCGCGTCAGTCATGAAGCTAACCTTCTCGACAAAAAGTATAGTCTGTTCAGATTTCGAACGTCAAGTCCTCGCTCAAGCTCCGCCCTAATGGTGCGATAAACTAATCAGAGAGCGAGCCATCCACAGAGCGTTCTCGAATGGCGTCATTATACTTGACATTCAAAATCTGAATGGACTATATAAAGGGAAAAAATAAGCAAACCAGCAGAAAAAGCGTTCAGCATTGCCATCATTAGCAACAACTTCAGACTCAACCTTCCTGAAATAAAAAGCATAACTTAAAAAAAAGAAAGAAAAGAAGATACCTTCAATACAGTTCCACTTCATGATGGGCGAAGTGTCCGTTGCTGAAAAAATATCAACGCTAAGAATAACTGCCAAGATAAACGCGAGACACTGGCGGTACATTGACGAGCTCGCAAACATCTCGCTTTTTTTCTCGCGCCGGTCTCGCATTTTTCTGGGCGCGAGATAAATGCGAGATGGCGCCAAGAAAAATGCGAGGTCGCGCCGAGAGAAATGCGAGATCGCGCCTTGAAAAAAGCGAGATGTTTGCGAGCTCGTCAATGTACCGCCAGTGTCTCGCGTTTATCTCGGCAATTATTCTTAGTGAATACAATCAAAAGAAACACAAAAGAAAAAATCTTTTTTCTTAAAACTGGTTTGGTTTGCTAAGAGACTGCTTTGAAATAACTTTTTTTGACGATTAAATTTTTAACGAAATACTTAGCTTTATCAAATTGAAATTCAAACTTGAGCAGAACGAAAATTACTAACGATCGAAATAGCCCAAAAACCCTGGTCATTGTGTATAAGGAATCATCAACAATTCGACGTGTGAATAGAAGGTTATATAGAAATGGTGAAAGATTTAAGACCGATAAACACGGCATAACGATTACATTTGCAACGAGTCACTACAACTTTTAAGGAACAGGTCATTATGAAAAGTTCAAAAATATATTGAAATGAAGACATCACCAACGTGGAAATTTGATCGGTTGATAGAAATGAAATGAACGCTCATTGATGACGTGTCGGTCATTTAAAAACTTTCAAGGGAAAAAAAAACGTGAAAACAGATTTTTAAAATGTCGCGTTGGCATTTCAAAATGACGTGCATTTTCACTTCGCACCATATTTTTCCTTATAGGTCATTCCGCGCCAGCTTGTCACGATTTTAAATTTCCTCAAAGCTAGAGAGCCCATTTCGGCGCTTCGCTTCGATGCTCTCGGTGTGCCCTCTTACGTGCGCCTTTAATAAAACTCATTATTTCCGAATTTTGGAATTTTCTTATTTTACAAAAACAGTTGTAACATCAAATTTTATATCAAACTAACCCAAAAATTATATGCAAGAAAAGCTCGAACAGTCGGTTTCCTTAATAACAATTAAAAAATAATAATTCAATCTTTTTGATTTTTTTTTTTACAAATCCAGCACAGAATCTGAGTGTGTATAGTTAAAGCGAAAAAAATGAAATCAATCCATTAAAAAAACAACCTCGTAAATTAATAAAAGAGATAGAGAAGATTGAAGCAATATCTTAATCAGAAATAATGTTTTATTAAAGGCGCACGCAAGAGGGCACACCGAGAGCATCGAAGCGAAGCGCCGAAATGGGCTCTCTAGCTTTGAGGAAATTTAAAATCGTGACAAGCTGGCGCGGAATGACCTATACTTTTGGTTGAAACGACTTTCAAACGAAATTATCACCGAACGTTTATTTCTCCTAAATTTGACCACTGAACGAGCTATCGTTTTGAAAAAAAGTCATCGCTCTAACGTGCTGAGCGGTGGAAATATATATTCAAACGTCAAACGCGATCGAAGGTCTTTTGGAAAACTACAGTTTTCAAGTGTTCTCATATAAAAAACATTTTGAGCAGTCATTAACTATCAACTACATCGTACATTACCATCAGGCTTGTGCGAGGGCCGGCCCGTCATCCTCCCGGCCCCCGACCAATTCGTAAGCCCGGCCCGGCCTTAGGAGGGGCCTCAATAAAAAAAATGGCCCGCCCGGCCCGAAGCGCGCAATTTTTTCTAGTCGGATATCAAGTTTTTCTACGACAAAAATTATGTTTTTGCTCATTTTTTCTCTTAAAGTTTAACAAAAACTATGATTTGAGAAGTAAAAGTCACATTTCGGTGAAAATTTTTCAAATGAAATTTTAAATTTTTTTTTTGAAGCCGGGCCCGGCATGAGCCCACGCGGGCTTTTTCCTGAAAATAAGGCCCAAAGCCCGGCCTGACGCACAAGCCTGATTACCATGTATAGTATCGTTTTGAAAAAATTCATCGCTCTAATGCCGTGTTCAAAGTAATTTCCGCGAAATGCAAAATGGTCTCTGACCCTCCAAAATTTAGTTATCTTTCTCTTTCTCTGACAGCTATTTTGAATTTCGCGTAATCACTTTGAACACGGCAAAACGTGCTAAGCAGATATAGCCTATTCCGCGCCAGCTTGTCACGTTTTTTCTTCCGCCAAAAAGACCGTACATCAAATTAGATCAAATTTCTGCTTTTATAACGGCAAGAAACACAGGTCTTGAAGCGAAGTTGGACAAATTTGACCTGGCCTTTTGGCGGAAAGAAAAACGTGACAAGCTAGCGCGGAATGACCCATATAGGCCAGCTTGTCACGATTTTAATTTTCCTCGGAGCTACAGAACCCCTTTCTGGGCTTCGCTTCGATGCTCTCGGTGTCCCCCCCTGCGTGCGCCTTTAATAAAACATTATTTCTGATCAAGATATTGCTTCAATTTCCGCTATCTCTTTTTATTTATAAGTCATCACCCAAGCGGCGCCAGCGCCGCTTAGGGTGATGACTTGAGAAACCAGAAGCCTTCCGCAGGCTCCGCCGGGATTCAAACTCACGTTGGTCGACGTTGGTCTGCAAGCTAGCTGATGACGATTCGTTCCAATGGCTAGATACGTCCAGCGTGTCGTTTATATACTCTCACTCTGTTACCACGTGGCATTTCACGTCAGCGTCTATTTTTTTATAATTTGAAAACATTTCGATAAAGTATATAGTCTGTTCAGATTTTGAATGTCAAGTGCAATGACGTTATCCAAAAACACTCTGTGGATGGCTCGCTCTCTGATTGGTTTATCGCACCATCAAGGGTGGAGCTTGAGCGATGACTTGACATTCGAAATCTGAACAGACTATATCTCCCGAATTCATTTTTAACGATTATAAAATAATCGATCATCGATGATAATATTCTCGCGACTATTTATAAATCGCAGAAATTACTTGAACACGGTATCCATATAGCCGTCAAGGTCCGAAATTCGTACGAACTATTATAGCCTATCCGCGCCAGTTCGTCAAAAAGACCTTATACCAAATTAGATCAAATTTCTGCTTTTATAACGGCAAGAAAAAAGATCTTGGAGCGAAGTTGGTCAAATTTGACCTGGCCTTTTGGCGGAAAGAAAAATGTGACAAGCTAGCGAGGAATGGCATATAACAACGTTGTGGGTCAAAAATTCCATTGTGGAAAAACTTCAATTGTTTTTTTAACCGAGAGAATTTACAATTATTTTTTTGATCTAAACTGTTTAGAAACTCATTAAATAACCTACAATTCAAAGAGTTTTTTTGAAGATATATGACGAACGAAAACCGCAATAAGATCGACTTTTTATTATACATAACAATAAAAAAATATCGAAAGTTTGAAGAATGGAAGTTGTCGAGCTCGTTGCGGCTATTTTGTCCAGATGCCTGCTCTTCCTCCTGAAATAAAAAAAGAAGGTTATTCTTTATTTATTTTTGTAGAACTAAAACTGAAAAGTAACACAGACTGACAAATTGATACTTGAAGTTCAAGTCGAAACAGAACTGGGCAGCAATATGTCAGAAATTGCATGAAATCGCGTCAACTCGCTTGAATTTCATTCCATCCATCTAATATAGTCTGTTCAGTTTTTGAATGTCAACCAGCTAACTCCGCCTCTGCTGAGACAGTACCTTTTCGCGTCGATGTTTTATCGCGCGGGACTAATTTTGATCTTTTTGATTTGAAAGATAGAAAAAGAAGTCAAAAATGCAGCCTTATTAAAGGGCCATCGTCATCTGTAGATAAAACATTGACGCGAAAAATATTGTAGATTTGGGGGTGGAGTTAGCTGCTTGACATTCAAAATCTGAACAGACTATAGTTTTATTCCGCGCCAGCTTGTCGCGTTTTTTCTTGCCGCCAAAAAGACCGTATACCAAATTAGATCAAATTTCTGCTTTTTATAACGGCAAGAAACACAGGTCTTGAAGCGAAAGTGGTCAAATTTGACCTGGCATTTTGGCGGAAAGAAAAAAACGTGATGAGCTGGCACGGAATGGCCTATATTACCGTTTCTGATATGTCGCTCTGGAGCCCAGTTCTCATCACAGAAGTAGGAAAAGTTCACATAATTTTTAATTTGAATCAATAATGAAGAAAAAAAAGTCACTCATCTTTCTTTTTTTATGAAATTCAATTGCTGGACAGAACTGTGCACATAGGCAAGGTATCTGAAATGAATATTTACAAAACAGGTATCAACTTTGGCTCCAACTCGTTCATGAAATCTTTGTCCGAAGCCCAGTTCTGCCTTTCGTCTCAAAGCCAAATTGAAAATTAATTCATTTTGACTCGTTGTCCGGGACTGCAAATCGTTCCACCCAATTTCTTTGAAAACTCTTTTTGAAATACGATAAATGAGAACTTATCTTTATTACTTTTTATTGAAGGCGATCTCCGGACAGAACTTTCCATTTGGAAATAATATCAGGACCGGAATTTGAGATAGGAGCTTCTATAGTCAACTCCTTCCATCAAATCCTTTTGGCTTCAACTTGTCCAAAGGCCATTTTTGTCTTTCGCCACAATGATCGAAGAGGATCTCTGCAATTTTCCATTTAATTTAATTTATGAAACTGAAAAACTCATTTTATTTTCTTCAAAGTTTATCGCTAGACAGAACTGGGCATGAAATATGCCAGAAACGAATCATCGCAACAACTTCTTCGAATGAGCAACTCCATTTCATAATCTTTTTCAGCTTCGTTTCTGACACGATACTTCAACGCCCAGTTCTGTCGGAGAAATCGGCCGCGTTTCCTGAAAATCCCAAAATCATTCAACACAAAAAATACTTGAAGCTCACTTATCCTTCAATCGAAATCGAGGTACATGCAGAGCCGGGCATTTGAACGTATTCTCACGAAAATAATGCCCAAAATAAGGGCTTCAAATCGTCGATCCCTTTCCAAAATGGTGCGCTCAAACACACAGTTCTTTCTTCGTCGGAGAAGATGATCCCTGAAAACTGAACCTCATTTAACATTTTGGCAGTTTGGAACAGGGCTGTGCGGCAGTCGATCGCCGAAATTGTCGGAAATAATAAAAAATCAGCGATTGCCGGCAACTGGCACTTTTTTCCAAGTGTTTTTGTTGTTATTTTGGGAAACTTTTATAACGCATCTATTAAAATGTATTTTTTCTTGATACATTTTTATTTCAGAGAGAATTTTCACTCATATTCATGGAACTGGAGCCATCTACGCTTTCTGTTGAAAAATAATAATCATCTCAAACTTAAGAACGTAAGTTGCCGAAAATTGCCGATTGCCGCACAGCCTTGGTTTGGAACTCATCTTCGATGTCCTTCTGCTAACAAGCGACATGAGATATCCAAATAACAGCTAGATGTCGCCTGTCGCAAATGTCATCGAGATATCATGAGTCACTGAAAAAGATCAAAGTCTTTTTCATGACAATTTGATTCCGCGAAATGCAAAAATGATCTCTGACTCTCCAAAATTTAGTGATATTTTCCTTCCTCTAACGGGTATTTTGCATTTCGCGGAATCCAATTCAACACGGCAATAATGAATCATGAAAAAAACGAATATAACCAGTGATTCACTCTACTGATTTCGTGCAAAGAGTCCCTATGCCGGCATTCTGCAAGTCAGAGATTTGCATTTTGCACAGAAGTTCCTCGAATTTTGAATTTACTTTTGAGATCACTTTTGTACAGACGAAGAGAAGTGCAAAATGCAAAGCACTGATTTGCATGAAGCTTTTTTGGGGTTTGCTGGAATCTGAGGGGTCCCTATAGTAGTTTGTTGTTTTAGGGACCCTTGTAGGGGACAAAATAGCGCCCCTATAGGCATTAAAATCTTAGGGGCCCCATAGGGGTTTAAGGTCTGATCCCTAAGCCCCTAAAGCTCGATTTTTATTTCTAAAATTACATAATAATAGCATCAATCGGTTTATCTCTTCAATACGTTTACGGATAAACAAAAAATGACGACCGCTGGGACGGAAAAACTTTTTAACTTTAGAGGTCAGCACTGATCCTCTCGTGTAGGTTAACGAGCGATGATATGAAGCCTGTTCAAATTTCACATTTTAAGCAGCTATGGCTGATTCACGGCTGGCTTGAGCCATTGAAAAAAGGGTCGTGACACGATAATTCACGAGATAGTGCCTGGCTCGTGGGGAGAGAATAAGCTATAATTTTTCCTCCGCGAGCACTGCCTCATCGCGTGCGACGATAATTATTTAATAACGCCGAATTTTTAAATCTTTTCTGATACGAAACCTAGAAAAAAGTCAAAGAATGGATTGAGATTGGAGAATCACCGTCGACGGCGTTCCTAAAGGAAACTCACAAGGGAGCCGATGAGGCGTGTTGCCAAAAGTTCTACCAACCGTGCTTATACGGGCTTAATACGGGGGCACCCGCTGAGACCCCGTGTTAGCACCGCTGGGTTACCCCGCAGTTTTTCAAATTTTAATCAACCTGAACTCAACAAAAGTTTGAAAATTCAAGTCATCGAAAATTTTTTCACTGGAAAACATATTTCCAAATTGTGTGCTAAAGGCTTGAGTTTTTCTGTCAGTTAACGCTTCACTAGAGTTATTGAGGCCTCAAAAGGTTAGACATTCGAGTTAATCAAAATATGATTTCTGAAGCTTATTTTTCATGAATCAATATTTTTCATGAATATTTTTCAAAAAAAGGATGGTAATTAGTTATTTTTTTCAGAAAGGCACACGAATTGGGAATATTTTTTTCAGTGAAAAAAATTTTTTTGATGAGTTCAGGTTGATTAAAATTTGAAAAAAACTGCGGGGAAACCCAAATCCTTTTGTTTCGTGTCTCCAGCACGATAATGCCTGGGGTTGTGATTTAGGTTCCGTTTTTTTCATCGCCTTTTTTTCGGAAAAAAATTCATTCCATTTGAGACAAAGAATCACACCGTAAAGGCAATCAGTAATGAAGGCGACCGATGAAAAAAACGAAGATTTTATTTCTTCTCCTGGCTCGTCTCTTTGGACGTCTCTTTAGCGGTCTCGGCCTTTTTCTGCGCTCCTTTTTCGGAAGCTCCTGAAAACCGACCAGAAAATTTGAAAATATTTAGAAAAGAGCCTCGAAGTCTTAAACTAAAATCGCAAAAAAATTTCATTAAAACGAAATATAATAAAAATCCCATTTCCTAACTACTAATAACCTCCATTTTTCCAATAAGTTATTTAATAATCAATTGTATTTGAAACTTAGACTTCAAGTTTTGTTTTTTTGGCAGCGAACAACTACCAAAAATTCTTAATTTTTTTCTATCAAAAGCCATTACCTAAGGAAGCTGAGGGACGGTCCTTCTTGTGGCAGAAGTAGAGCTTGAGGGCGATGATCGTCGAAACGATGCTCACAATCAGAAGAACCACTATCACTCCACAGGCGATGTACAGCGGCGTGTCTGAGAAGAAAAAGGCGAAATAAGTCTTCCCAACTTGGTCGAAAAATCGAAAAACTATTGACTCAATGGCGTAAAAAAATGATGAAATATAAAAAAAGCTAGGTTTCCAGATTTTTCTCACGGGAATTTTTTTCTATAAACCTACAGTCTTTCTATTTTTCAAATAAGATTGATCATTTTTCCAAACCTTAGAGTCTTTCTTTTTTTGTATCCCTAAAATCCACAGTTGGTTTTTTTGTTCTCCAAACTCACTGTTGCTAGAACCTTTCTCAGCATCAATATTCTGGGAGCCCTGGGCGGCGCCGAGAACCGACGGCGGAGTAGTTGTCAGTGACTTGCAGGCAGCCAGGGTCTGAAACGAGATTACTTTTTCTGAGAATTTTTTCGAGTTTTCCTTTGAAACCATTTATGCTCTTAAAAAGCTTTTAGGTTGTCCAAAGGGAAATAAGAAACGCTCAATTTCTTCTCTCATGCTCTTTTCAAATCTCAATAAAACTTTTTTGAAATAATGCCTTTGACGAAATATTATAGTGTTTAATATACAATTCCTTTGAAAATTTCCCATGATTTCAGTGAATTTTGAATTCCGACGATAAGCGTTTGAATATTGAACCATATTTTTCTTAATAGTTCGAGAAATCTTTCCTCTTACAAATATATTAAAAGGCTACTCGCGACTGTAAATTTGAGCCTACTTGATGGATATTACAAACAATAGAATCGATCGGCTTGATGATGTGATTTCTTCGAGAGTTATAAAACTGCTAAAATGTTTTTTCTGAAGCGATTAAATTACTTGGGTACTTCGCACAAACTTTCTTCTAATTTGGAAAAGACATTTCGAACAAACTGAAATATACTTTTTTATCTCCTCGTTTATTAAAAAAAAACCTCATTTTTCACTTTGTGCAGTTGATCGAGTATATCTTGAGGAATACTTCCTTCTATCTTGATCAAGTCGGTAGTACCGTCGCAGTAAATCGAGATGTCGTCCACTTTGATCGTATTCAACTTCGCGAAAGATTCATCGGCCAACTTGACGTTCATCAATGTCAATGCTGGACCTGAAAACAAAAGATGATTTTTCCAAAAACGGAAGCCTAATTTGACAGTCTAATGAAACGGTAGGGAGATGTGAGCCCAGGTTCCCTTATTCCAAATCAATTACAAAAATGGTGGTATGAAAAAAAGATCAGGAAGAATTCAAACGGCGACTTTTCCGATTTTTTCGTATCGCTAGGGAACTTTCCGACGGCCACCTTTCCGCCGAATCTTTTTCCGACTTCTTTCCCTTATATTTTTCGGTTTATAAAACATATATTAACATTTATTTTCCTATTTCTTTGTGTTTTGATCATGAATAAACTACCTACTTTATATAGGAAGATTCAAAACGAAAAGTTCATCGAGAAAAAAGTTGGAAAAAGATTCGGCGGAAAGGTGGCCGTCAGAAAGTTCCCTAGCGATATTAAAAAATCGGAAAAGTCGCCGTTTGAATTTTCACTGGTCTTTTTTTCATACCACCGAAAATATACTTTAGCTGGCGTTTCACGGAAAATTAAAAGCATAGGGGCAGTAAAAAACGGTGTTTTAGTTCAAAGCAGTACTTTGTAGTGCTTTTCTTTGCGAATCGAACGGTAAACTTGGAAACGTACACAAGTTCCTAGTTTTGAAGAAAAAATTATTCAAAGTCGGAGGGAGGAAAGTTTGAGTTCCCGCGAAAAGGGCGCTTTGCAGTAAAGTCGCTGTATGGACGACAACACGTACTGGGATAAGTTTTAGGGGGCCCTATAGGGGGTCGTGATTTTAGGGGGCCCTATAGGGGGTCTGCGAGTGGCCTATTTAGGGGGAAATCCCTAGGGCCCCCTATAGGGGGTCCTAAATCGCTCCCTAAAAATTGTAAGACCCTCAAGGGGTCGCGAAGACCCCTTGGAACGAACGTGGTTTTTAAATATCTTTCTCATTTTCTAAGTTTTTGAGTTGACTCAGTCGACTCAGTTTTAGTTTAACTTTATAACTTGTATTTATATTTCATCGATTTCTGTGGTGCTTAAGGAAGTAATACGTTATTCACGAACGAGTTGTCAGTAGGATTTTTTTCGTTATGGTTTCAAATTGTATTATAATGATTTGTGCGTTTTTGTGCTCCATAAAAGTTAACACGGCAATCTGTACATTGGTTCAGTATTTTCAGTGTTTCGTTTATGTACAATTGATATATTGGTTTATGTAAATATGTTCAGAGTATTTTTATTTTTGGTATTTTCAGAGTTTCGTCTATGTATAATTGGTCTACTGGATTGTGTGAAACCGTCAGAAATTCACCGGTAGATGATGTTTGTTGGAGGTTTTTGATGTAAATGCGTGTTTATATATTCTATTTGATTATTGCTCGTTAAAGAAGACTTAATTTTTTATTAAGATGCCGCGAAGTCGCGATTTTATTGATGCGCATTGGTTCTACAGCAGCGATGAAGATTCTGAAAGGTATACCGAAAATGTTGATAATGATAAATGATCGTAGAAGCACGGAATCAGCCGACGGAAATTTTGAGCCGCCACATGAACCAGAATCAACGGAAGATTACCGCGGGCCGAGCAATTCAATAAGTTGCTTTCAAATGTCAACGTTGGTTGTTTTTTGCTCACTGTTCAATTGTTCTTTTTTATATGTGCCAAACTTTTTGCCCTTATGTAAGTAGTTTCAACCGTTTCCGTGTCGGAAGTCCCAACATTTTTTATTGAAAGTTGCCCAACCATTTGCCTTGACACAACGGGTTTTTCTTCTATTTTTTTCGCAAGTAGCGCTTATATCAATATGCTTTAGGCGTATCTTTATTGTCTTGAAGAGCTTCTATTAGATTGATCAATACGGTTTCCGTTCGCAGTGATTTAGACGTGTCAAATATTTATACGGGTCTTTTACGGCCAAAAAGTTTTTTGCTTCCTCGAATATCCTGTTACGTATACATATCTTCAGTTTTTTTGCTCGTTGTTTTGTTACTTATGTCTATCTGTTTCCATTGATGATCCTGATTGCTTTTTAATGTTTTCAATTCCTTTCAATAAATTTGGAAACAGTTTCAAACGCGATGAGATGAGTTTACTGCGGATGTGTTAACGATTCGCATTCAATAAGGGTTTCTCTATTTCCTCCCGGAGCTATTTCAGAAATTTTCCGTGCCCCCCTAAAGGGACCCCTAAAAAAATTCGTAGGGGTCCCTATAGGGTTTCATTTAGGGGCCCCTATAGGGCCCCCTCCAAGGGGCCCTAATTTACCCCCTATAGGGCCCCCTAAAACTTATCCCAGTATCGCCATTTTTCGGATTTTCGCTTTTTTCTTCGTTTCTTTCAATTTTTTCTGTTGTCACCAAAGTTCTTTTCGTCACAAAAGCTTTCTATTCATGCATAGTTTGCAAACTTTGATCGCAAAAAAGCTTTTCCGGTGAAAAATGATGATTTTACACAGGTTTCGATTGGGATAGCGAATACTTTTTGTTTTTATTTTTTTATATTTTATTTATTATTCAAAATTAAAAGGCGGGAAAGTAAAAAAACGCGTTTATCTTTAAAATTAGTCACATCTGTAATTTTTTTGAGTACACCGTTCGATTCTGCAATGAAAAAAACTATATAAAAATACTGCTTTCACCTGAAACCCATTTTTTACTGCCCCTATGCCTTCAATTTAAAATGTTCAGCATTTCCCTTTTTCCACTATGAAATGAAACGTACCCGGTCCCTTGTGGACAATTTCTACTAGATTAACCACATTGTACGACGTCGTGTTTCCAATCATGGTGATCGTACTGCTTTTTTCCATCGAAGCCATAAAATTGAAGACAAGTTTTCCACTTGAAGCTTCATCCGCGTATATCGGCGCTTCGGTACACTTGACATTGTCAGGTGGGCATTCCGGTGGGCGAGCGTCTCCATTCTTGTAAGCGTACATGGGCCTCTTGCAGCAATCTTCTGAAAGTTTAGGGTTTGGATTGGTTGTGACAGGGCTGCTGTAGTGAATGCTGGTTATTTAGACGATTTCATGATCATGAAACCTTATTTGCTTAATTTCCAATAGGATTTCAATTTACTCAAGTGTGAAGTCACAGCGTTCTAAAGCGGGGTTCCCGCCCCTTTCCTGAAAAGCATGCGGACGTTGCATGAGTGGGCGTGGCTAACAATCGTCTTTTTCGCGTCGTAATTATGAGTCCGGATTTTTTGATTATTTGAAGGCTAGCATTTTTGTTCCTGACATTTATAGTTTTCAAATATTGCTAGTCATTTCCTATAACTCTCTTAAAATTTCGCAGTTTATTTTCTTGTGGTTTGATTGGTTCAAAGGACTACATAATTGTTCTGTTCACGAAAGTCGAAATTTTTGACTCAGGTTTGATTTTGTATTCTTTTTTTTCCTGTTTAAGTAATTGAAAACTGATAATGTGATCGATTCCTGGAGTTGAAATTTCGATTTTCTAACTTATTTGATACGACGTCTGAACTTTTCGAGTTATAATATGATAAAACGAACTGATAAAAGCCTATGAACTCTATAGAATTATGGAGACTTCACATTAAAACTCGAACGTGAAGAAATTTTTCAGGTTCGTCGCATTCTTCCAATCAAACTGAATAAATATATAGAACAAACATTTTGACTTATGTATTTCTCGTTTATTCATAAAGTGAAGTCACGGAGTAGCGGTTTGCGATTTTAAGCGACGTGGTTACTATCCCGCGTCAGTCATGAAGCTAAACTTCTCGACGAAAAGTATAGTCTCTTCAGATTTCAAATGTCAAGTCTTCGCTCAAGCTCCGCCCCTAATGGCGCGATAAACTAATCAGAGAGCGAGCCACTCACAGAGCGTTTTCGTATGACTTCATTCTACTTGACATTCAAAATCTGAATGGACTATATAAAGGGAAAAAATAAGCAAACCAGCAGAAAAAGCGTTCAGCATTGCCACCATTAGCAACAGCTTCAGGCTCAATTTTTCCTGAAATAAAAAAAGCATAACTTTATAAGAAAAATGAAGATACCTTCAATGCAGTTCCACTTCATGATGGTCAAAGTGTCCATTGCTGAAAAAAATATCAACATAATTAAAAAGAAACACAAAAGAAAAAAACATCTTAAAGCTGATTAGGTTTTCTATGGCCTACAATCATCCGACCCTAATCATTCCGAACCAATTGAGTAATCATCCTAACCAAAAAGGGACTTTTTCATGTGTTCATTCCGAACAAAAAACATGTTCATTCCTAACCAAACGCACGTTCTTACAGAACCAAAGGTACACTTTCTTCCGTTGATTTCTCAGACTTTTTAAACGAAACTTTTCTTTTTGCAATGATTTGTCATTTTTAGATGTGCTTCCAAGTCGAGAAAATCGGCCGGCTCTTTTTCGAACCATGATTTTCCAAACCAAAATCAGAATAATTTCTTAGGCGATCAATTCCAAGCCGCTCTCTATTTTCCAGATGGCGGAAAATAATTTTCCAAATTTTTTTCCAATCGGCCGCCTCTGACCTTTCTTCCCATTACCAGTTCAAATGTTGCAAAATAAGGTTTCTTCGGGTTATGGCTTTTTCCAATAATTGCGAAATCTACTGTGAATCGTACAGATGTATTCGAACAGAATTTGCGAACTTTCAAAGAGAGCGCAAAAAAATGGAGATTTTTCGGAAACACATGTTCAAAGCTTTTCATCAATGCCGTGCTCCGCTTACGTGTTTACTCGAGGAGCCAGAAGCCTCCGCCGGGATTCAAACTCACGTTGGTCGACGTTGGTCTGATGACGATTCGTTTCAATAGCTAGTTCAGCTCAGCGTAGTTTTTATATACTCTCACTCTATTGCCAAGTGGCATTTCCACGTCAGCGTCTATTTTTGATAATTTGGAGTCTGTTTCGATAAAATATAAAATAACGATCACAGACATCCTTTATGCCAAGTTCAAAGTAAGAAAAACTTAGTCTTACAACGATTTATCGTCAGATATGATCCGTTCACGGCTGGCTTGGCTAAAGAGCGGGTTAGCTTGCACGGAGATGGTAGATCATGACGACTATCAATGCGCCTTCCGCAAAACGCTGAATTTTTTTGACTTATTTCTTTTTATTTTTTATTTCGGTGACTGAAAGAAAATCTGAATTTAATGAAACTAATTTAAAAGAAAAAGTAAATTCAATTGAAAAAAAAATAATTCATCAAACGAGGTTCTTTTCAAAGGCGCATGTATGGCCGCCATGATCTACCATCGCCGCGCAAGTTAAACCGACCGTTCGCTGTCCCAAGCCAGCCGTGAACGGGCTATAAATGGTTTTCTGTTATTCACTAAAGATGAATACGGAGTCTGGCGCGAGAGAATGCTAGGTCGGGGCGGTACATTGACGAACTCGCAAACATCTCGCTCTGTCTGGTGGTGCGAGCATCGTCTCATCGCGTGCGACGATGATTATTTAATAAAGCCGAGTTTTTTAAAGTATTTTTTTGATACGAATCCTAGAAAAAAGTCAAAGAATGCATTCAGATTGGAGAATCACCTTAGAAAGCGTTCCTAAAGAGAACTCGCAGGCGAGCCGATGAGGCGTGTCATTTTACCGCGCCACAGGCTAGTGCGACAAGCCGGGCGGCCCGGGCTTTCGGCCTTTGTTTTGAAGAAAAAAGCCTGCGCGGGCTAGGGCCGGACTCTGGAAAAGATTTGAAATTTCATTGCAAAAATCAATGGGTACATAGGTGAAACGGAAAAGTTCCTTTGAGAATCCTTAAAGGATCCTGAGAGGGAGGTATAGCTGAACCACGGCTAGCTTGGGACGGTAAGGGGGCGTGGCCTGTCTGCGCTCTCCACGAGCCAGGCACTATCTCAAGCATTATCGTGTCAGGACCCTTTTTTCGATGGCTCAAGCCAGCCGTTAATCAGCTAAAAAAATGTTCCTCTAAAAGCTCCTAAAATGGTGTAATAAGCTTTTGAGCTACTTTTTCATAGCCTTAGAGGATCCTAATAGAATCCTCTCAAATCTTTCAGAAAATTTTTTTTCTCCGGCAAAACTGAAAAGCTCCCCAAACGCTTTTCTCAAAAAAAGACCGTCAAAGAGTTCTCAGCAGATCTTTTTTATATCACTTCCTTAATTTTTTGCATCTTTTTAACATCCTCTAACAAAATCTGAGGCTATGAAAAAAGTAGCTCGAAAGCTTTTTTACACCATTTTAGGAGCTTTTAGAGGAACATTTTTATTTCCCTCTCAAGATCCTTAACGGCCAAACATATATGTTCAAAAAGTTGATGAAATATTCTCCAAAAATTTTTTTGAATTCAAAATGTGTATTATAACACCGTTTACAGTCAAAAATCGAATAAGAACGATTGAATTTCCGAAAAATCGTTGACCTCCGTGGAAACGTCGATCATCAACAGATGTGGATGAACTTCCGAGTTGCGCTCGCCAACATTAACGTTTTCCTTGTGCTTCTGTTCGACGAGGCTCTCCAGGACAATCTGAAAATTGGCTTTTGACAAGTTATTTATTGAAAATGATGATTCAACTTTAAAATGGAGAATTTTTTTCTCAGATAATTGCTTTGTTCAAGGAGAAATTTATTTCAACGTTCAGAAAAAAATTTTTAAAAATGATTAAAAGATCCATCTTTCAAACAGAGAGCTCGAAAAAGTGAAAGAAAAAAACCTTTAAAGTTGCCACGAATTTTCCGGAATACGAAGAAGAGCTTTACTGAGGAATTTCTGAGGGGTCCCTCTAGGGGTTTGTTGTTTTAGGTGCCCCTATAGGTAGAAAAATAGGCCCCTATATAGCTGACTCACGGCCAGGTTGGGACGCTAAGGGGCGTGGTCTCTCTGCACTCTTCACAATCCAGGCCACGGCGTTCCAAAAGGGAACTCAAGTGAGCCGATGAGGCGTGTCATTTTACCGCGCCCTTGCGTTCGTTGGAGCGTACTTGCACAACAGAAATTTTTGAAAAATTCACAATTTGTTAATGCCGTGTTCAAAGTAATTTCGGGGAATCGAAAAAAATAAAAAAAGTAACGATTTTTCTCGTTTAATTTGAAAACCCGAAATCCTGAAAAATTGGCATTTCGAGGGGCCGCGACGCGCCTGCTACGCGGGTGCTGCAGCATTGGGTCTCGCAACGATCAAACGCGGAAAAAAAGGAAATTTTTCAAAATTTTTCGCAATTAATTTTTTTGTATTTGTTGATTTGATTATTGTTTTTCATTATGGCGCGTTCAGGAGCAAAACGCGAAATTTTTTTCGAAATTCAAAAGAGCGTTCACGGCGATACTTCGAAATTAGCGAATTTCGATTTTTGAGATAATTTCGAGATAATTTTTTTCTTCTTTTTTTCTTTTTTTAGATAATTTTTTTCTTTTTATTTTTTTCAATTTTCAACCCGTTCAAATTTATTGATTTTTAGAAATAGTACGAATGAAAGCCTTAAGTTAATTTTTTTCGACTGTCTGAACTTAAAAAAAGTTCAATTTTTCTCAAATTTCGAATTTATCGTGTTTATTTTTTCCAACGGATGTATCAGAGTGTTTGAAGTTGCAGGTCTCTAAACTATGGCGGGTATTGGATTACCGAAAGTGCTAAAGTTGAAAAAAGGTAATTTTCATTCAAAAAACTTTTTCGCAGTTATTTTTTACAAATTTTGATTCTTTTCACAAAAAAAATTTTAGACTCGTTAGGGAGGCACGAGCGGCTCGTGTGAAGGTAACGCAAAATTTTCGTCTCTACAGTCAAGCATAAATCCGTGATTTTCGACGCAACGGTCAAGAAGAAAATGGAAGGTTTTTATCTATACAATTTTCAATAACTGGTTCATTTCATTAAAAGAAAAGTATTGAATTTTTTTCAGCTCATTCGAACAAGACATTGTTGTTTGTGGCCAGCCGGATAAATTTGGAATTTACCATGTCTCGATTTTGTCAAATACACAGCTTTTAACTTCTCTTTCAATGATTTTGTTTTGTTTTATTACGCGTTTATTTTCTCTATCATTTGTTTGAATAAAGATGATGAGCATTACCTTCTTGAAAAATTAATGTAAAAAAAACAAGCTGCTTAGTTAATCAAATTAAAAACCTAACAACAGAAACTGTTTTGTGATGAGATGTTTCTGAAAGGCAGAAGAAAACAATGAAATTTTTTTATTAGAAAAAAAGTTCCATAAGGAAAGATCCAAGTTTCACGTGTAGTCTTTCGGCGTGTCCTTCGTCAAAACCGTTCGTCTAGGTCTGTAAGCAGAAGAAATTTTTTTCCAGAAAGGAAAAAGCTGGTTGAACGGTGGTATGAAAAAAACACAAGCAGAAATTCAAAACAAAATTCGCCCTTTTTCCGAATTTTTTTCATATCGCTAGGGAACTTTCCGACGGCCACCTCTCCGACGGATCCCTTTCCGACTTTTTTCCCTTATATTTTTTTCGGTTTATAAAACATCTATCAACATATTTTTTTCCTATTTTTTTGTGTTTTTAAACATGAATAACTTGCCTACTTTATATAGGGATATTTAAAACGAAAAGTTTATTGAGAAGAAAAATTCGATAAAAGATTGGTCGGAAAGTTCCCTAGCGATATGAAATAATCGGAGAAGTGGTCGTTCGAACTTTTGCTGTTCTTTTTTCATACCATCGGTTGAACCGTGGTATTCATTTTTTTCGTTTACAACTGAACAAGACATATTGACAAGACATATTGAAAATGAAAGAAAATAACATCGAAGAATAAGAGAACTCACGAATTTATGCTTGACTGTAGAGACGAAAAATTTTGCGTTACCTTCACACGAGCCGCTCGTGCCTCCCTAACGAGTCTAAAATTTTTTTGTGAAAAAGAATCAAAATTTGTAAAAAAATAACTGCGAAAAAAAGTTTTTTTGAATGAAAAATTACCTTTTTTTCAACTTTAGCACTTTCGGTAATCCAATACCCGCCATAGTTTAGAGACCTGCAACTTCAAACACTCTGATACATCCGTTGGAAAATGAACACGATAAATTCGAAATTTGAGAAAAAAATTGAACTTTTTTTAAGTTCAGACAGTCGAAAAAAATTAACTTAAGGCTTTCATTCGTACTATTTCTAAAATCAATAAATTTGAACGGGTTGAAAAATTGAAAAAAATAAAAGAAAAAAATTATCTAAAAAAAGAAAAAAAGAAGAAAAAAATTATCTCGAAATTATCTCAAAAATCGAAATTCGCTAATTTCGAAGTATCGCCGTGAACGCTCTTTTTGAATTTCGAAAAAAATTTCGCGTTTTGCTCCTGAACGCGCCATAATGAAAACAATAATCAAATCAACAAATACAAAAAATTAATTGCGAAAATTTTGAAAATTTCCTTTTTTTCCGCGTTTGATCGTTGCGAGACCCAATGCTGCAGCACCCGCGTAGCAGGCGCGTCGCGGCCCCTCGAAATGCCAATTTTCAGGATTTCGGGTTTTCAAATTAAACGAGAAAATCGTTACTTTTTTTTATTTTTCGATTCCCCGAAATTACTTTGAACACGGCATAAAACTTCGTTTTTGACTTTTTCTGAGACGTTTCGATTGAATTCAGAGTTTTTTTTTTCGTGATTATCATGATGTCCATAAAATAGTGGAAGCTTTCGAATCAAAAAGAAGCAATTCGATGAAGTTTCACTGGAAATTATCCGTATAATTGCTTCTCAGCCTTCAAATCGGTTTTACAAAAAATTTTCAGCTATAAGCCTATTATATTCATTGTTTAAAAAATAAAAGAATGATAGTAAAACGTAAAACAAAAAAAGTTGAATGAATATTGCTGAGAAGTTTTGACAAAAATCACATAGAATGATAATGGAAAAACGCTTATTTGTTGCGTAGTTCTGCGATCTTCGCAGGACTACGCAACAAATATTATTTACTTGAACCATTGACACATCAATGAACGCCAAAAAAGGTCTCAAAGTTTGAAAATTTGACAGAATAGCCCTTATAAAAACCGACCGAACCGACCAATTTTTCAAACATGCCGTCTGCAACGGCGCGCGAACGTGTTGGTGGACCGACAACCCGGTCGTCCCCGCATGAAAGCGCCGGTCTTCCCCGCATAGTGCCTGAGATGTTTCAGTTTTATCGCGAGCTCTTTGTATGCAGTCAACGTCTACAGTAAGCCTAGCATATTTTAAATTCCAATGTTAATCCCAAGAAAAAACCAGAAGCAAACAAAAAACATTTTATTTTGCGAGTGAGGTCATAAAGGCAATCAGGGAAAAGAGGCCGTGTCGGCTACCAGTAATAAAGGCGGAAAAACAGGGACTTTAATTTTTCTCCTTGCTTGTCTCCTGGAACTTCTTTTTCTCGTTTTCCTTCGCCTCGCTCTCCTTCTCTTTCTTCTCACCGGCGACCTTCTTGTCTTCTTTCGGCTTTTTCGTGTCTATCTTCTTGAGCTGGAGTACATCTTTGCCTTTTTGACGCCCCGAGTTGCCCATTCGCTCGGAGGCGGCACTTGCGAATTTCGTACAGATCGATTGAGATCGATTTATTCCATGTCTTCTGAAAAAAATGAACATTTTTTCCGCAATTTTCAGACGCTTTTGACAAAAAGGAAAGCCGCGTGTATGCCTTAAATCACCTACTACGACCTTGCGGACGTTAGAAATGAGTTATGCCAGCTGAGCTATGCCGCGAGCTGTAGCACGTGCCACAAAATATTTTTTATTTCAAAGTTCATGAAGTGGATTCCCCACCCTGTAATTTAATTATAAATCATGAAAAAAAAAATGAAAAACTCAGAAAAAGCGAGGTGAGATAGAATATATATATTAAATGATTCGGATTTCCTCGAAACATGCGTAACACCAAGTGCGCCCTATTGCGAAGTGTTCACATATAGTCTGTTCAGATTTTGAATGTCAAGCAGCTAACTCCACCCCCAAGGCTACAATCATAGGCAAAGTCGGAAGGACCCTCCGAGGGTCCATAAAGGACCATAGAAATGTTCCTTTTAGGGTGATGAAGGCTCTCTTTTTGCTGCCTTTTTGCACCATTTTCACAGCCCTTATGCACCATTTTTGCTGCCTCTCCCTTTCTCCACCATTTCTCGAGCCTTCAAAATCCCAGAAAAATGGAAGGCTCGATAAAGGGAGTCTCTTTGCTCCTTTTCGCTGCCTTTTTGCTGCCTGTCTGCGGCCTTTTTTGAGCCTCTCCCTTTTAGCAGCCATTATCCACCATTCCGACTTTGCCCGAGATATCTTTCGCGTCAATGTTTTATCTACAGATGACGGTGGCCCTTTAATAAGGCTGCATTTTTTGACTTCTTTGGAGTTAGCTGGTTGACATTCAAAATCTGAACAGACTATATAATGGGTGATAATTACCGGAGCTTTGAAAAGTGAGTTTTCCAATAATGAGAAACAGACATTTCATGATCCGTGGTTCGAAAAACTACACAAAAACTTTTCTCTTCACGCAAAAAAAAAATTTTAAACAGTCCGAGCAATACATTTATTCCGCTCTCGTCCGAGATTTTTCCGCTCTCTTCCGAGATTCAATCCGACGCCCGTCAGCCCTGGACAAGCTGGGCGCCGTACTGTTCCTACATGGAGAAGCAGTGATCGTCGGAAACGTTCGAAAATCGTCTACTACTACACAAGAGAGGCGAGATGCTCTACGCGCCGTCTACGCTTGATCAACGACATTATCGCGAACCGACAAACAACTCTTCAATTTTTCCATGATTCAGCAGAGAACCTACTCTGAAGACTGAATAAAAGTTTCAAAAGTTTCAATACATTTATGGAAATTTTGAGCTTCTCGCACGGATGAAAAATAGTGATGATAAAAAGGAGAGAAATGTCGATAAATGTCTTGAAAACTGTTAAAATGCGTACGCTTGTCAACTTCATGCTCATTGCTCATTCTCGGGCGAAGTCGGAATGGTGGATAATGGCTGCTAAAAGGGAGAGGCTCAAAAAAGGCCGCAGAAAGGCAGCAAAAAGGCAGCGAAAGGCAGCAAAGAGACTCCCTTTAACGAGCCTTCCATTTTTCTGGGATTTTAAAGGCTCGAGAAATGGTGGAGAAAGGGAGAGGCAGCAAAAATGGTGCATAAGGGCTGAGAAAATGGAGCAAAAAGGCAGCAAAAAGAGAGCCTTCATCACCCTAAAAGGAACATTTCTATGGTCCTTCATGGACCCTCGGAGGGTCCTTCCGACTTTGCCTATGTTCTTGCTCACACTGAAAACGAATGAAAATAAGAAACGATTGGAGAGAATTGAGAGGTGCAAAGTTATAAAATTAAGGAAGAATATAATTTTGTCCCTTTCAAAACTTCATCATTTGATGGCAAAAACTAAATATTGCCAAAAAAAAACCTGATGGAAAGGTCTACACCGGCAATTTTACGGTCCTTTTGAGCTTCTGGCGCTGATTCTTCTGCAGTTTGGATACCGGGAGGCGCTTCTAGAAAGATTCAATATGATCGTAGTGGACTAATAAAAGTTTTGATGGGTTTTAAAAAGGTTCAAAAAGGCATATGAGAGGAAAATACTAGAAATTCGTTATTTCTGCCGGATAAGTTCGGAAGAATCTTCTCTGGGAAAATTTTAAGTGGCCACTATACAGGTCTACGTGCTACTAATAGACCACAAAAAATTTTAGTGGTCACTTTAGGGGTCAACGGATCAGCATAATTGGTCCAACCCGTTTTTTTTAATTATCAGAGTTACTGGAAGGAATACTAGATGAAAAACTATTGAAGTGGCCACTAAAAGAGAAAATAGTGGCCACTATAGAGGTGGGTTTAGGGACCACTTTAGTGTTCTCTTCAAGTAGTCCTTGGCGAGCCTCTGTAGTGGTCACTAAGAATTTTCCCAGTTACTCTAAAATTCTCAAAATATCTCTTCAAATATTCCATGATTCAGCAGATACAAGATTACTCTGAGGACTGAATAAATGTCAAATGTTTCATTACATATTTTCGAGAAAATTTTAGGATTTTTAAGCTAGTGAAATCACCGGTCGAAAAAATGCGTTTCTGATTCGAACGGAGTTTACGATACATTTGTACACTGAAAACAATTGTCGCGATCCACAGAATCAGGAGGATCCCAGAGGAGAGGGAAGCAATGTACAGCGCGAGGTCTAAAAGATCAACTTCATGTTGGAAACTTGAAGATTATTGGTACAAGGAAAAATTTGAGCGGTTTCGGCTCCTTTTTTTTTGATTGACCTGTTCTCGAGGAGTGTAATATTTATGACAAGTGCCGAGTCCGGCGCGGGAGAAGTGCGATATCGCTGGCGGTACATTAACGAACTTGATATAGTCTGTTCAGATTTTGAATGTCAAGCAGCTAACTCCACCCCCAAGGCTACAATATCTTTCGCGTCAATGTTTTATCTACAGATGACAATGGCCCTTTAATAAGGCTGCATTTTTTGACTTTTTTTCTATCTTTTAGATCAAAAAAGATCAAAATTAGTCCCGCGCAAAAAAAACATCGACGCGAAAAGGTACCGTCTCAGCAGGGGTGGAGTTAGCTGGTTGACATTCAAAATCTGAACAGACTATATCATGTCGATTTTTTCCATGCGCGATCTCGCATTTCTTGGGGCGCGATATCGCGTTTCTCTCGCTTTTCTGACGCACTCAAAAAAAAAAATCGACATCAAACTAAATTTTTCCTAAAAAAAAATCTAGGTCCTGCTGTTAGTTCTTCTGAACAGTTAACAGATCCTAAAAAAAATTTCCATTCAATCTGACCATTGTTCGAACATTCCTTCTCCACATTCTCGACAACTTTTTGCAGGTTCGAATTCGGGACGCATGCCTCTTGGGTCGCGACAAGAACCGACGGCTGTGTAGTCGTCAAAGACTTGCAGGCTTCAAGGGTCTGAAAAATAATAATATTTTTTTCAACACTTTTAGGTTAGATTTTGATTCATGTCCTTAAAAAGTTTGATGTCCAAAAAAACGTAAATCTTGCAAGAGCTTTCCGCTCCTAAATCTTCATGAAAATATTTTCTGAGCGTATTTGAAAAGAAAAAAATTTTGAAAATGAAGCTTTTTTGAGGTCATATTCAAGTGTTTCATATCGTTCCGAATCTATATGCAACAAAGCTTAAAATGGAGTTTTCCTTTGAAACCATTCATGCTCTTAAAAAGCTGCTAGGTTGCCCAAAATAAATCTTGCAGAAGCCCTCAATTTCTTCTCTCATGCTCTTTTCAAATCTCATATGCGTTTGAATTTTGAACCACATTTTTCTTAATAGTTCGAGAAATCTTTCCTCTTACAAATATATTAAAAGGCTACTCGCGACTGTAAATTTGAGCCTATTTGATGGATATAGCTAATAATAAAAGCCATCGGCTTTATGATGTGATTTCTTTCAGAGTCATAAAACTGCTAAAATGTTTTTTCTGAAGCGATTAAATTACTTGGGTACTTCGCAGAAACTTTCTTCTAATTTGGAAAAGAAATTTTGAACAAACTGAAATATACTTTTTTTGTCTCCTCGTTATTCTAAAAAAAAAAAATACCTCATTTTTCACTTTTTGCAATCGGTCGAGTATAGGTTGAGGGATACTTCCTTCTATCTTGATCAAGTCGGTAGTGCCGTCGCAGTAAATCGAGACGTCATCGACTTTGATCGTTTTCAATTTTTTGAAGGAGCCCCTACTCAATACGACATTCTGCAGGGTGATGGCCGGTCCTACAAACAAAAAGTGAATTCAAAGGACAGCCAAAGGAGTCTAATGAAACGGTAGGGAGATGTGAGCGCAGATTCCCTTAGTCAAATCAAGTACAAAAATATACTTTCGCTAGCCTTTAACGGAAATTTTTTTGAAAACATTCAGTATTTCTTTCTCCAGTATTAAATGAAACGTACCGAGCCCTTTGTGAATGACTTCTTCCAGAATGTCAAGGTTGTACGTTGTCGTGTTCCCAATTAAGGTGATCGTATTGCTTTTCTTTAGAGACATTAAAAACATTTGGACAGCTTCGCCACTTCGAGCACGGTCCGCGAAAATAGATGCTTCGGTACATCTGTCAGTTGGCTTGCATTCGGGTGGGACAGCGTCTCCATTCTCGTACGCGTAAATGGGACGCTGGCAGCAACTTTCTGAAAAATTGGAATTTCATTAATTGGAACTTGGTGAAGTGCATTTTCTGCTAGTCAAATGTCTCATGATCATCTCTTTTTATTTTTTTAAACTATAAATTTCAAATTACTTTTTAGGAAATAATCTTTCATGGAACAAATGGAACAGGAGCTCAGCTACAACTAGATCCGGAGCAAAATGATCGCTCGCTTTTCAAATAGTGCAAAATGATTTTTTTGGAAAAGATTTTTAAAGGATTAACTCCGTGTTTCAAAAGATGATGCAAAATTTCGATTATATATACTACGAAACGATCACATAGCTCATAGTTGTTTTCCCTTATGCATAGGTAAAACGGAAAAGCTTCCTCTAAAAGCTCATAAACTGATGTGAAAAATCTTTTAAGCTCCTTTTTCATAGCCTCAGATCCTTTTTGAATCCTCTCGAATCTTTTTAGTTGCCTTCCAGCCTCCTTTTTGTTATGGGATGTGAAAAAGATTTTTTTATTCACTGTTGGCTGAAGTTATTCGACAAAAATGTTATCTTAATAACATTCTTTGGTTTTTGCAAAGACATAGCGACACTTCCAGTGGAAACGCAAATTCTATTTCGTGACGTCATCTTGACCTAACTTATTAGATACTACGTCTGAACTTTTCGAGTTATAATATGATAAAACGAACTGATAAAAAGCCTATGAACTCTATAGAATTATGGAGACTTCACATTAAAACTCGAACGTGAAGAAATTTTTCAGGCTCGTCGGATTCTTCCAATCAAAGTGAATTAATATATAGAACAAATATTTTCACTTATGTATTTCTCGTTTTTTTCATAAAGTGAAGTGGAGTAGTGTTTTTGCGATTTTACAAAAATCGCGACGTGGTTTTTTTATCCCGCGTCAGTCATGAAGCTAAACTTCTCGACGAAAAGTATAGTCTGTTCAGATTTCAAATGTCAAGTCCTCGCTCAAGCTCCGCCCCTAATGGCGCGATAAACCAATCAGAAAGCGAGGCATTCGCAGAGCGTTCTCGAATGTCTACTTGACATTCAAAATCTGAACGGACTTTATGAAGGGAAAAAATAAGCAAACCAGCAGAAAATGCGTTCAGCATTGCTATCATTAGCAACAGCTTCAGACTCAACCTTCCTGAAATAAAAAAAGCATAACTTAGAAAAGAAGATACCTTCAATACAGTTCCACTTCATGATGGGCGAAGTGTCCGTTGCTGAAAAAATATCAACGCTAAAAATAACTGCCGAGATAAACGCGAGACGCTGGCGGTACATTGACGAGCTCGCAAACATCTCGCTTTTTTTCTCGCGCCGGTCTCGCATTTTTCTGGGCGCGAGCTCGCATTTTTCTAGGCGCGAGCTCGCATTACTCTCGCAATTTGAAAATTCCCGAAGTGCGAGATGAATGCGAGATGGCGCCAAGAAAAATGCGAGGTCACGCCGAGAGAAATGCGAGATCGCGCCTTGAAAAAAGCGAGATGTTTGCGAGCTCGTCAATGTACCGCCAGTGTCTCGCGTTTATCTCGGCAATTATTCTTAGTGAATACAATCAAAAGAAACACAAAAGAAAAACTGTTTTTTTTTTCTTAAAACTGGTTTGGTTTGCTATGAGACTGCTTTGAAATAACTTTTTGACGATTAAATTTTTTTAACGAAATACTAAGCTTTATCAAATTGAAATTCAAACTTGAGGAGAACGAAAATTACATACGATCGAAATAGCCCAAAAACCCTAGGGATCATCAACAATTCGACGTGTGAATGGAAGGTTATATAAAAATGATGAAAGATTTAAGGCCGATAAACACGGCATAACGATCTCATTTGCAACGAGTCACTACAATTTTTAAGGAACAGGTCCTTATGAAATGTTCAAAAATATATTGAAATGGGGACATCATCAACGTGGAAATTTGATCGGTTGATAGAAATGAAATGAACGCTCATTGATGACGTGTCGGTCATTTAAAAAAACTTTCAAGGGGAAAAACGTGAAAACAGATTTTTTTAAAATGTCGCGTTGGCATTTCAAAATGACGTGCATTTTCACTTCGCACCATCTTTTTTTCCTTACTTTTGGTTCAAACGACTTTCAAACGAAATTATCACCGAACGTTTATTTCTCCTAAATTTGACCACTGAACGAGCTATCGTTTTGAAAAAGTCACCGCTCTAACGTGCTGAGCGGTGGAAATATATATTCAAACGTCAAACGCGATCGTAGGTCTTTTGGAAAACTACAGTTTTCAAGTGTTCTCATATAAAAAACATTTTGAGCAGTCATTAACTATCAACTACATCGTACATTACCATCAGGCTTTGTGCGAGGGCCGGCCCGGCCCGGCCTTAGAGGGCCTCAATAAAAATGGCCCGCCCGGCCCGAAGCGCGCAATTTTTTTCTAGTCGGATATCAAGTTTTTTTCTACGACAAAAATTATGTTTTTTTGCTCATTTTTTTCACTTAGAGTTTAACAAAAACTATGATTTCAGAAGTAAAAAGTCACATTTCGGTGAAAAATTTTTTTCAAATGAAATTTTAAATTTTTTGAAGCCGGGCCCGGCATGAGCCCACGCGGGCTTTTTCCTGAAAATAAGGCCCAAAGCCCGGGCCGCCCGGCCTGACGCACAAGCCTGATTACCATGTATAGTATCGTTTTGAAAAAAGTCATCGCTCTAATGCCGTGTTCAAAGTAATTTCCGCGAAATGCAAAATGGTCTCTGACCCTCCAAAATTTAGTTATCTTTCTCTTTCTCTGACAGCTATTTTGAATTTCGCGGAATCACTTTGAACACGGCAAAACGTGCTAAGCAGATATAGCCTATTCCGCGGCAGCTTCTCACGTTTTTCTTGCCGCCAAAAAGACCGTATACCAAATTAGATCAAAGTTCTGCTTTTCTGGGATAAGTTTTAGGGGGCCCTATAGGGGGTAAATTAGGGCCCCTTGGAGGGGGCCCTATAGGGGCCCCTAAATGAAACCCTATAGGGACCCCTACGAATTTTTTTAGGGGTCCCTTTAGGGGGGGCACGGAAAATTTCTGAAATAGCTCCAGGAGGAAATAGAGAAACCCTTATTGAATGCGAATCGTTAACACATCCGCAGTAAACTCATCTCATTGCGTTTGAAACTGTTTCCAAATTTATTGAAAGGAATTGAAAACATTAAAAGCAATCAGGATCATCAATGGAAACAGATAGACATAAGTAACAAAACAACGAGCAAAAAACTGAAGATATGTATACGTAACAGGATATTCGAGGAAGCAAAAAAACTTTTGGCCGTAAAAGACCCGTATAAATATTTGACACGTCTAAATCACTGCCAACGGAAACCGTATTGATCAATCTAATAGAAGCTCTTCAAGACAATAAAGATACGCCTAAAGCATATTGATATAAGCGCTACTTGCGAAAAAATAGAAGAAAAACGCGTTGTGTCAAGGCAAATGGTTGGGCAACTTTCAATAAAAAATGTTGGGACTTCCGACACGGAAACGGTTAAAACTACTTAGATAAGGGGCAAAAAGTTTGGCACATATAAAAAAGAACAATTGAACAGTGAGCAAAAAACAACCAACGTTGACATTTGAAAGCAACTTATTGAATTGCTCGGCCCGCGGTAATCTTCCGTTGATTCTGGTTCATGTGGCGGCTCAAAATTTCCGTCGGCTGATTCCGTGCTTCTACGATCATTTATCATTATCAACATTTTCGATATACCTTTCAGAATCTTCATCGCTGCTGTAGAACCAATGCGCATCAATAAAATCGCGACTCCGCGGCATCTTAATAAAAAAATTAAGTCTTCTTTAACGAGCAATAATCAAATAGAATATATAAACACGCATTTACATCAAAAAAACCTCCAACAAACATCATCTACCGGTGAATTTCTGACGGTTTCACACAATCCAGTAGACCAATTATACATAGACGAAACTCTGAAAAATACCAAAATAAAAAAATACTCTGAACATATTTACATAAACCAATATATCAATTGTACATAAACGAAACACTGAAAATAATGAACCAATGTACAGATTGCCGTGTTAACTTTTTATGGAGCACAAAAAAACGCACAAATCATTATAATACAATTTGAAACCATAACGAAAAAATCCTACTGACAACTCGTTCGTGAATAACGTATTACTTCCTTAAGCACCACAGAAATTGATGAAATATAAATACAAGTTATAAAGTTAAACTAAAACTGGGTCGACTGAGTCAACTCAAAACTTAGAAAATGAGAAAGATATTTTAAAAAAAACCACTTTCGTTCCAAGGGGTCTTCGCGACCCCTTGAGGGTCTTGCAATTTTTAGGGAGCGATTTAGGACTCCCCTATAGGGGGCCCTAGGGATTTCCCCCTAAAAAGGCCACTTGCAGACCCCCTATAGGGCCCCCTAAAATCGCGACCCCCTATAGGGCCCCCTAAAACTTATCCCAGTTATAACGGCAATAAACAAAGGTCTTGAAGCGAAATTGGTCAAATTTGACCTGGCATTTTGGCGGAAAGAAAAACGTGATAAGCTGGCGCGGAATGGCCTATATTACCGTTTCTGATATGTCGCTCTGGAGCCCAGTTCTCATCGCAGAAGTAGGAGAAGTTCACAAAAAAATAATTTCAATTTGAATCATTAATGAAGAAAAAAGTCACTCATCTTTCTTTTTTTATGAAATTCAATTGCTGGACAGAACTGTGCACATAGGCAAGGTATCTGAAATGAATATTTACAAAACAGGTATCAACTTTGGCTCCAACTCGTTCATGAAATCTTTGTCCGAAGCCCAGTTCTGCCTTTCGTCTCAAAGGTCGAAGAGCCGAGCCAATTTGAAAATGAATTCATTTTGACTCGTTGTCCGGGACTGCAAATCGTTCCACCCAATTTCTTTGAAAACTCTTTTTGAAATACGATAAATGAGAACTTATCTTTATTACTTTTTTTATTGAAGGCGATCGCCGGACAGAACTTTCCATTTGGAAATAATATCAGGACCGGAATTTGAGATAGGAGCTTCTATAGTCAACTCCTTCCATCAAATCCTTTTTGGCTTCAACTTGTCCAAAGGCCATTTTTTTGTCTTTCGCCACAATGATCGAAGAGGATCTCTGCAATTTTTCCATTTAATTTAATTTATGAAACTGAAAAAAACTCATTTTTTTGTTTTTCTTCAAAGTTTATCGCTAGACAGAACTGGGCATGAAATATGCCAGAAACGAATCATCGCAACAACTTCTTCGAATGAGCAACTCCATTTCATAGTCATTTTCAGCTTCGTTTCTGACACGATACTTCAACGCCCAGTTCTGTCGGAGAAATCGGCCGCGTTTCCTGAAAATCCCAAAATCATTCAACACAAAAAATACTTGAAGCTCACTTATCCTTCAATCGAAATCGAGGTACAGGCAGAGCCGGGCATTTGAACTTATTCTCACGAAAATAATGCCCAAAATAAGGGCTTCAAATCGTCGATCCCTTTCCAAAATGGTGCGCTCAAACGCACAGTTCTTTCTTCGTCGGAGAAGATGATCCCTGAAAACTGAACCTCATTTAACATTTTGGCAGTTTGGAACAGGGCTGTGCGGCAGTCGATCGCCGAAATTGTCGGAAATAATAAAAAATCAGCGATTGCCGGCAACTGGCACTTTTTTCCAAGTGTTTTTGTTGTTATTTTGGGAAACTTTTATAACGTATCTATTAAAATGTATTTTTTCTTGATACATTTTTATTTCAGAGAGAATTTTCACTCATATTCATGGAACTGGAGCCATCTACGCTTCCTGTTGAAAAATAATAATCATCTCAAACTTAAGAACGTAAGTTGCCGAAAATTGCCGCACAGCCTTGGTTTGGAACTCATCTTCGATGTCCTTCTGCTAACAAGCGACATGAGATATCTAAATGACAGCTAGATGTCGCCTGTCGCAAATGTCATCGAGATATCATGAGTCACTGAAAAAGATCAAAGTCTTTTTCCTCGCATGCTGAGCAGGGTAACCCCGCCGTGCTAACACGGGGTCTCCGCGGGTGCCCCCTGTATTAAAACCCGTATAAGCTCAGCTGATAGAACTTTTGGCACTTTTTAGCCCAACTGAGACCCCGCTTTAGCCCATCTGGGTTACCTATTTTTCTTACACCCGTTGTTCCCCCGTTTTAGCCCAACTGAGACTAAAATAACCTCAGAAACACGGGTTTAATACGGGTACACCCGTTGAGACACCTGCTCAGCATGCGAGTCATGACAATTTGATTCCGCGAAATGCAAAAATGATCTCTGACTCTCCAAAATTTAGTGATATTTTCCTTCCTCTAACGGGTATTTTGCATTTCGCGGAATCCAATTGAACACGGCAATAATGAATCATGAAAAAAACGAATATAACCAGTGATTCACTCTACTGATTTCGTGCAAAGAGTCCCTATGCCGGCATTCTGCAAGTCAGAGATTTGCATTTTGCACAGAAGTTCCTCGAATTTTGAATTTACTTTTGAGATCACTTTTGTACAGACGAAGAGAAGTGCAAAATGCTAAGCACTCATTTGCAGAATGCATGAAGCTTTTTTAGAGTATGCTGGAATCTGAGGGGTCCCTATTGTAGTTTGTTGTTTTAGGGACCCTTGTAGGGGACAAAATAGGGCCCCTATAGGCATTAAAATCTTAGGGGCCCCATAAGGGTTTAAGGTCTGATCCCTAAGCCCCTAAAGCTCGATTTTTATTTCTAAAATTACATAATAATAGCATCAATCGGTTTATCTCTTCAATACGTTTACGGATAAACAAAAAATGACGACCGCTGGGACGGAAAAAAACTTTTTTTTTAACTTTAGAGGTCATCACTGATCCTCTCGTGTAAGTTAACGAGCGATGATATGAAGCCTGTTCAAATTTCACATTTTAAGCAGCTATAGCTGATTCACGGCTGGCTTGAGCCATTGAAAAAAGGGTCCTGACACGGTAATTCACGAGATAGTGCCTGGCTCGTGGGGAGAGAATCAGCTATAATTTTTCCTCCGCGAGCACTGCCTCATCGCGTGCGACGATGATTATTTAATAACGCCGAATTTTTTTAAATATTTTTCTGATACGAAACCTAGAAAAAGTCAAAGAATGGATTGAGATTGGAGAATCACCGTCGACGGCGTTCCTAAAGGAAACTCACAAGGGAGCCGATGAGGCGTGTTGCCAAAAAGTTCTACCAACCGTGCTTATACGGGCTTAATACGGGGGCACCCGCTGAGACCCCGTGTTAGCACCGCTGGGTTACCCTGCTCAGCATCGCGTTCCGCCGATGGGGGAGCCACGAAGGGGGAGCCACGAAACAAAAGGCCTTGGGTTTCCCCACAGTTTTTCAAATTTTAATCAACCTGAACTCAACAAAAGTTTGAAAATTCAACTCATCGACAATTTTTTAATTGAAAAACATATTCCCAAATTGTGTGCTAAAGGCTTGAGTTTTTCTGTCAGTTAACGCTTCACTAGAGTTATTGAGGTCTCAAAAGGTTAGACATTCGAGTTAATCAAAATATGATTTCTGAAGCTTATTTTCATGAATCAGGATGGTAATTAGTTATTTTTCAAAAAGGCACACAGTTTGGGAATATTTTTTTCAGTGAAAAAATTTTTGATGAGTTCAGGTTGATTAAAATTTGAAAAACTGCGGGGGAAACCCAAATCCTTTTGTTTCGTGTCTCCCGCACGATAATGCCTGGGGTTGTGATTTAGGTTCCGTTTTTTTTTTTCATCGCCAAAAACCCAGATGCAACAAAAATTGAATTTTTTTTTTGGAAAAATTCATTCCATTTTAGACAAGAATCACGCCGCAAAGGCAATCAGTAATGAAGGAGACCAGAGAAAAACGAAGATTTTATTTCTTCTCCTGGCTCGTCTCTTTGGACGTCTCTTTAGCGGTCTCGGCCTTTTTCTGCGCTCCTTTTTCGGAAGCTCCTGAAAACCGACCAGAAATTTCGAAAAATATTAAGAAAAAGAGTCTCGAAGTCTTAAACTACAATCGCAAAAAAATTTCATTAAAACGAAATATAATAAAAAAATCCCATTTCCTAACTACTAATAACCTCCATTTTTCCAATAAGTTGTTTAATGATCAATTGTATTTGAAACTTAAAGTTCAAGTTTTTGTTTGTGGCAGCGAACAACTACCAAAAATTCTTAATTTTTTTCTATCAAAAGCCATTACCTAAGGAAGCTGAGGGACGGTCCTTCTTGTGGCTGCAGAAGTAGAGCTTGAGGGCGATGATCGTCGAAACGATGCTCACGATCAGAAGGACCACTATCACTCCACAGGCGATGTACAGCAGCGTGTCTGTGAAGAAAAGTCGAAATAACTCTTCTCAACTTGGTCGAAAATTCAAAGAACTAATGGCTCAGTGATGTAAACAATCCAATGCATTATAACAGTAAGAAGGGTGAGAAGTTAATGGGAAAAAATCAATAATGTGGTTTTCAATATCAAGGTTTTCAATAAAATTTCTTCGAAATTTGTGAGTGGAAATAAATTTATAAATTATAAAATGATATCTGAAAAAAGCTGGGTTCCACATTTTCTCACCGCAAAAACCTCTGCAATTTAAATCCTTTAATACCCATTATGTTCACTGAATTTAGTTTTTTTCAAAAAAATATTAATCATTTTTTTCAAAAAGCGTCTAGTCTATCTTTCTATCACTAGAATTCATTTTTTGTTACTTTTTTCCCTAAACTCACTGTTGCTAGAGCACTTTTCCTTCTCGGCATCTATCTTCTGCGTGCACAGTTGGGAGATCACCGCGGCGGAAGAGTTCGATCTCGGCACTCCTGCTCGCTGGGTCGCGCCAAGAACCGTCGGCTGAGTAGTCGTCAATGACTTGCAGGCTTCAAGGGTCTGGAAAAAAAAGTCATACTTTCTGTAAACACTTTTGGTTTAGATATCGATTCATGTCCTTAAAAAGTTTGCTAGGATGTCCAAAGAGTCTTTCAAGAGCTTTCCGCTCTTGAATCTTCATAAAAAATTTTTCTGTGCGCCTATAAAAAGAAACATTTTTGAAAATGAAGCTAGAAAACGTCATATTCAAGTGTTTCATATAAAATTTTGTTCCGAATTTATATGCAATAAAGTTTAAATTGGAGATGTTTTGAATGAAATATCTAATTTTTTTCTCTCCTAGAAAAACCTAAGTCGAGCCTTTGAAAACACTGCGAGATATTCAAATTCTCATCATTCTTTCAAAGAAAAATCGAACCTTATTTCCCACTTTGTGCAGTCGGTCCAATACCTCCTTGAAAAGACTTCCTTCTATCTTGATCAAATCGGTAGTGCCGTCGCAATAAATAGAGACGTCATCGACTTCGATTTTTTTCAAACTTATGAATGAATTGGCGATCAAAGTGTTGTTAATCAATGTCAATGCTGGACCTGAAAACGGAAGAAACGAATTGAAAAAAAAAAGCAAGATCTTGATGAAACTTCGATAAGACTACTAGATTCTCTTATTCCAAGGCAAGAAAAATAATTTGCGCATTGAACATCTAGTCAGTTCCTCTAAGATCCAAGGAATTTTTTTTTTGCTTTTCCTAACACCCACAGTGCATTCCGCGCAAGACGGTCACACTTTAAAAGGAAAGAAAAAAAGGTACCGTAAATAACAAATTTTGCTCTACAAAACGGCGAAAAAAGACAGGAAAAAACAATACCATGAACCGAAAATGTTCAATTTCGATCTAGTTTGGTAAACGGTATTTTTGACAGAAAGAAAAACGAGACAAGCTGATGCGGAACGGGCCTTCAAATATCAGCGCAATGTCGCTGACAAGTAGCAGAAAATTCATATCATGAGCTCCACTTCTTTTCAGTATGGGAAGAAACGTACCCGGCCCCTTGTGGATGATTTCTTCCAAGAATTCGACATTCGCTTGGGTTGAAATCAAGGTGATTGTACTGCTCTTTAACATCGCATTCAAAAACTTGTAGACTTCTTGATTGGCTCGACCATGGTCCGCGTAGATCAATGCATCGGTACACCCGACATTCAAAATGCATTCGGGCGGAATAGCGTCTCCAGACCCGTACGCGTACATGGGCCTCTTGCAGCAAGATTCTGCAAATTCAAAATCCACATCGACTGCAGCTAGAGAAAAGCATCAACTGATATAGTCAGCTGGTCTTAAAAACATGATCATGGTATTTTTATTTTGAAATCTCTTCAATTTTTGGCATTTCCAACTATAAAGTCCAAACTTTTATAAAACTACTCATTCAAGAAACACGGGCTCCTAAGTCCGCAGTAAACGATCGATACTATAATTCGTTTAGATTTCAAATGTCAAGTCCTCGCTGAAGCTCTGCTCCCTAATGGCCAGATGAACCAATCAGAGAGCGAGCCACCCACAGAGCGATTTCGAATGACGTCATTCTAATTGACATTCAAAATCTGAAAAGACATATATATTGTATTTAGCGACCAAGATCTACCGTGAAATGACTATAATAATAAAAGTATAATGTTAAGATTGTCAATACTCATTTGAACAAAAAAATTACGGGTAGAAACAGCATAACATGCGTTCAGCAGTGCTATCATAAGCAACAGCTTCAGATTGAATCTTCCTGAAACAAAAAGATTGAGTTTGAAAAAAAGATGTGAAATAACATACCTTCAATACCATTCCACTTCATTCTTGGTGAAGTGTCCGCTGCTGAAAATTTTAATATAATTGAAAAAAAATTATAGTCTTCTTAAAAATAATTGCTTTCACTTTGAAATAAATAACTTTTCGATGGATAACTTGTTTTCAAAAGAAAACTTAAAATTTTCATTTCGAACTAAAACTTGAGCAGAACAAAGACTCCGACAACTGCGCGCATAAAGGCGCCCCCTTCCCCGCCTAAAGGCGCGCACATCCCGCGCTTTCGTGGCGCAGTAGTGCCGCCGCGTCGGGGGAACTGCGCTGTTGTGCCGCTTTCAATGCGGTGTTACCATTCAAATGGCCTCCTTTTGCTCGATTGGGCTCTATTTTTCGTACTTCGTCAATCATGACTGATTGATAAAGTACGAAAAATGAAGCCAAAAGAGGGTTTGCCTTATTAGTTTACAAAATTTCAGACATCAAGAAATAATTTTGAGATAGATTACCTATAGGAGGATATAAAGATAACATGTTTGTAAAATATGTATTTGAGGAAACTTCATACAAATAAAAACTCAAAAAAACTGTTCAAAACTTTTTTGTAGAGAAAAAAAAAAAGTAAATAGCTCAAAGAAGATCAGCGTAAAAAATGACTAATGAATCGATAGTCAAATGAGAAAATTCAATATAGTTTTTCAATCGAGATGGAAAGAAAAAAAGAGACGACTCGAACAATCAAAATGCTAACGGAATTGACAGAAAAAAATTTAATCTCCTTTGATCGTCAACGAGAAACAATCCAATATCGCGACGCCTTCATCTAGACGAGTCGTTTTTACACGTTTCCTGTAAAAAAATTCGCAATGAACTCTTCGATAAAGCTCTCATATTTAGTTTTATTTTTCTACTTAGAAACATGCATATGCCGTGTTCCAAGTGATTCCGCAAAGCTCAAAATAGTCGTCAGAGAAAGAAAAAGATACCAAATTTTCGAGAGTCAGAGATAATTTTGCGTTTCGCCGAAATTTCTTTGAACACTATCTTTTCTCGCTTGGTTTTCTTATCTAATGTACACGAGCTACTCTCTCGGATTACCCAGTTTTTTTCTTCCAAAAAACGCTTGTTCACTCTAAAAATGTACTTTTCTCATGCAAACATTGACGTTAAACTTTTTTTCGTTCTAGCTTTTTCATCTAAATATGAGGTATTTTTTTAACTTCCAATTCAGAATTTTCTTTTGATTTTTCCCAAATATGGATAGATTCGTATAGCTGATTCACGGCTGGTTTGAGCCATCGAAAAAGGGTCCTGGCACGATAATGCCCGAGATGGTGAGCGCAAAAATTTTTTTGCATTTTTTAAAGAAGAAGAAGAAAGGTTTGTGAACAGCATAAAAAAAGTGAAAAACGTCATTTCTTAAAAAAATTGATTATCAAAAAAATTGAAGGAATTGAAAAAAAGTCATATTTCGCACTTCGATGCCTGTTGGAATTTTTTTCCTAGATCTCTCAGAAATTTTTTTCTATGAATGACGCGAATTGAAACATACATAGTTGTAGTGCAAAAACAGACTATTTTTTTCATTAAGTTCTTCTTTGAGAACCAAATTAATCAAGAAAAATCGTTTTCATCCATTTTATGTCTTTTACAAGGTTTTTGCCTTCAAGGGAAATGCAGAAAACTTTAAACTCCGCAGATACCGTGGATACTCAAAAAAATCAGCGAGACTGCCCCAAGCTACCCTTGTGAAAGAAGGAAGTTCAGGCGCGTACATAACTCTTCCTCTATTTCTTTGGAGAGATTTTTCTCAGAAGCCTATGTGGTCTAGTAAATAATCTACTTTCTTTCCTTGGGCGTAGGTTCATAAGTCGCCAAAGTTTCAACTCGACCCCTGCTCAAGCGAGTCGATTTTTGAGTTTTGGGGTAATTACTATTTGAGTTCGTACGAGAATATTGGAGATTTTTTAGAAAGTGAATTTTTTCCGTTCGTGAAATGAAATTTATTCCATGATAGAAGCGCTCAGAAACACAAAAAAGTTGGAGAGGCTTCGGAAAAAGATATTTAAAAAAGTTAAAGAACCATCTAGAAAAAGCAGAGCTGTGCTTTGGGCCGAGCTAATGGCCGACTCAGCCCACAATCAGTCGCAATCGCGAACTTTTTATCTCACTTTATACTTCACATCACATAAGTTTTCTAAATAACACATTCCCCGTCACTCACTTCCCGATTTACACAAGTAAGAAAAGGGCTCGAATTTTGAAAATTCGGATTCATCTATCATTTTGTACACTGAATCGGATCACTCACAGATTTTCGACATCTTTTTTAGATTCGCCAAAAAAGTCCAAAATCGAAGCGAGTCAGGGATAAATTCGAATTTCGCGAGATTACTTTTAGCACAGTTGAGTTTTTCAATTGCGTTTTTTAATGATATAATTTATGTTAGTTTTACAAACTCGATCGGATACCGGAGAACGTTCTAATGTATAACATTAGCGAATTAGAGTTTTTTTCTTTTCAAATTCGGCAAACTCTTTTTTCACGTTTTTCACACGGCCTCTGGATTTTCTGCACAAGCCACGCCAAAATATAGTTAAATGCTGTGAATTCGAAGTAATATCCGCAAAACTCAAAATTACCCTTGACTGTCAAATTTTATACATTTTCTCACTTACTGATGGCAGTTTAAAGTTTTGCGCATTCTGAAACGTTATAAATCTTGAAAAAATCAATAGAAAACGGGCAAAGTAAGTTTAATTCAATTTGAATATATCGGAGTATTCTCGCAAATTCTCAAGTCATAGCGTGTAAACTCACAGTTTTAACATCGATTCCATTTTTCAAGCCCAGAAACGCTGATCATCGTAGAAATAAAAAAACCTCAGATTTAGTCAATCATTGATTCGACAAGTGACCTGAACAGAAATGAGATTATTCAACGAAAAAGGTAAACTTACCTCATATTGAGGATAACTAAATAAATAATGCTTCCCAAGAGAGGAAGAGAGAGGTCTATCAATCTTCGAATCAAGCTTGGCGGAACAAAACCTGGAAACAATCGGAAAAAAGTTTTGCATGGCGGTAGCAAGAGGAAAAATTTATTTAAATGTTTTTTCAGCAAAATAAAAAAATGAATATTTTCAACGATCCCGACAATGAAAAAGAAATAAATAAAAGAAGAAACGAAGTCCCAAAAACTTTTGAAATAAAAATTGTAAGAAACATTGTTTTCGTTAAATCGCAAACCGCTACTCCCTGACGTCATTTCATGACACCATTCGTAACACAAGAAATAAGCGTAATCGAAATATTTATTTTATTTACGTGAGCATGATTCAGCAGATTATTATTATCTCATTTCATCGCGTCGACTGGTCGGTCTCATTGCCGCTCTCGCATGGGATAATATTCCGACGCCCGTCAGCCCTGGACAAGCTGGGCGCTGTACTGTTCCAACATGGTGAAGCAGTTTATTCGCTGGTACTACCAACGGGCCAACATTATTTCCCAACGCTAGCTGTCACTCCGGGACGTATTGGACAACGATTGTGGACCGTCACCCGCGCCGACGACTAACTCTTCGATTATACCATGATTCAGCAGAGATTTTCTTCAACTTACTCTGAAGACTGAATAAATTGATATGAATTAAAATTGAGATTGAAAAAATTGAAGAATGGGAGGAGCCTGAATTGCGCCTTTGCATTAAAACTGCGCCTACAGAAAATAGGCTTAGTTTTAAGGCTTCACACGGAGGCGGAGCGCGCATAGCGCGAAGCCGACTGTGGCTCGCTTCGAAAAAACTGAGCCACAGTAAAAAATTCGTCAAATAAATGAAATACTTGACATAAAAGGCATTTAGTTTCAAAAAGTGGACACTAATAACACTATCAGGTCGCTCTAAACGATTTGCAAACTTGATACGCGTAGCGAAAAAATCTGCGAAATGTATTTCCCAAAAAAAAAAAAGAAAAAAATTAAAGGAGCACACTGTGCGTAGGCGTGGGCCTCGACGCCTCGGATTATTCCAAACCTTTAAAAGGTTTCTAAAAAAAGTAAGAAAATAGAAGAATAAAAAAAGTTTCCAATCAAAAGGGGATTTTCAAATGTGTTATCTTTCTGTTTCTCATGTGACCGGAAAAGTTTTCACGTCGAATCTAATTTTATAAATTGGAACGTAAAAAATGAATAAAATGATATGGCTGCATGTGCAAGTTTTGCAAATGAAGATGATGTCATAGGGATGACGTCAGGGAGTAGCGGTTTGCGATTTAACGGGAAGTAAGAAACATGTTCGCGCTGCCGCATTTTCAATCTCGTCGCCTCAATTTCGGAGGTCCTCCGACTCTGCCGAGTTCGGGGCGCCTTTATAGTCCGTTCAGAATTTGAATGTCAAGTAGAATGACGTGATTCGAAAATGCTCTGTGGATGGCTCGCTCTCTGATTGGTTTGTCGCGCCATTAGGGGGCGGAGCTTGAGCGACGACTTGACATTCAAAATCTGAACAGACTATAGGCGAAACGGCCAGTTGCGGGCGCCTCTCAATCGGCCGAGGCTACCCTAGAGTGTACACGGCGTCCGTGCCCGAGCCCCACCATCACCGCCGTGCCCGTACCCGCGAAACTGAGGGATCTACTTGTGGGAGAACGAGGAGAAGAACCGTAAGACCATGCTTTCAATTCAATCGACTACACGTTTTAACTTCTTTTTCGCCAAAGGCGGTGTTAGTGCCGCCTTTGGCTAGTCGATTCTATCTGATTAAAACAACCAATAAATATTGATGATGATGAACAAGCAATAACCTTTTCAAAGTTTCGAAGCTCATACTTCAAGTTCTATTTTTGTTAACTAAAAATTAATAAAATTCTCAATTTTGCTATCAGAAAAACCAATACCGAAGGATGCTAGGACTAGGTCCTTTTTGTGGCGCCATAAGTAGAGCTTGAGAGCGATGATCGTCGAAACGATGCTCACAATCAGAAGGACCACTATCACTGCACAGGCGATGTACAGCGGCGTGTCTGAGAAGAAAAGGCAAAATAAGTCTTCCCAACTTGGTCGAAAAATTGAAAAAGTGCTGACTCAATGGCGTAAAAAATGATGAAATATAAAAAAGGCTAGGTTTCCAGATTTTCTCACTGTAATTACTCTATAATCCTACAATCTTTCTATTTTTCAAATAAGATTAATAATTTTTCCAAACCTTAGAGTCTTTCTTTTTTTTATCCCCGAAATCCACAATTGGCTTTTTTGTTCTCCAAACTCACTGTTGCTAGAACCTTTCTCAGCATCAATATTCTGGGAGCCCTGGGCGGCGCCGAGAACCGACGGCGGAGTAGTTGTCAGTGACTTGCAGGCAGCCAGGGTCTGAAACAAGATTACTTTTTCTGAGAATTTTTTCGAGTTTTCCTTTGAAACCATTCACGCTCTTAAAAAGCTTCTAGGTTGTCCAAAGGGAAATAATCTTTCAGAAGCGCTCAATTTCTTCTCTCATGCTCTTTTCAAATCTCAATAAAACTTTTTTGAAATTACGCCTTTGACGAAATATTATAGTTTTTAATATACAATTCCTTTGAATATTTTCCATGATTTCAGTGAAGATTGATTTCCGACGATAAGCGTTTGAATATTGAGCCATATTTTTCTTAATAGGTCTAGAAATATTTCCTCTTACAAATATATTGAAAGGCTACTCGCGACTGTAAATTTGAGCCTACTTGATGGTTATAGCTAATAATAAAAGCCATCGGCTTGATGATGTGATTTCTTCGAGATTTATAAAACTGCTAAAAACGTCTTGTGCAATTTTTTAAAAAGCATAAATTATTATAGTCATTTCGCGTCAAGACAAACTTTCTACTAATTTAGGAAAATCAGCTGGAAATTTCGAACAAACTGAAATATACTTTTTTATCTCCTCGTTTATTAAAAAAACCTTATTTTCCACTTCGTGCAGTTGCTCGAGTATATCTTGGGGGATTTTTCCTTCTATCTTGATCAAGTCGGTAGTGCCGTCGCAATAAATAGAGACGTCATCGACTTTGATCGTTTTCAAACTTTTGAAGGAGTCCCTAACCAATTCGATATTCTGCAGGGTGATGGCCGGTCCTACAAACAAAAAGTGAATTCAAAGAAGGACAGCCAAAGGAGTCTAATGCAACGGTAGGGAGATGTGAGCCCAGATTCCGTTAGTTCAAATCAAGTACAAAAATATACTTTCGCTCGCTTTTAACGGAAATTTGTTTGAAAATATTTAGGATTTTCTTTCTCTCAAGTTTTTAATGGAACGAACCCGGTCCCTTGTGGACAATCTCTACCAGACCGGCAAGATTGTAAGTTGTCGTGTTTCCAATCATGGTGATCGTACTGCTTTTTATCATCGAAGGCAAAAACTTGTGGATATCTTCACCAGCTCGCGCATTTTCTGCGTAGATCACTTCTTCGGTACATTTTGATGATTGGCACTCGATCGGGAAAGCTTCTTTATCTCCGTACGCGGTCATGGGTCTTTTGCAGCAATTTTCTGCAAGTTGAGGATTCTCATTGATAGTAACAGGGCTGGTGTAGTGAATGCTCGTTATCTAGACGCTTTCATGATCATGAAACTTATTTTCCAATAAGATTTATTCTTTCGATTCTATGAATAGCAACGCACTTTTCATGGAGCAAGGAATCAATTTTCCCCAAATCTGTAGCAAAAAAAGGATATGAAAATGTTTTTTTCTCAAAAGTTCCGCTGTGTTTCTAAATATTGAGTATATCAGTATCATTTATTCACTGTTGGCTGAAGCTATTTGACATAAAATGTTATCTTAATAACATTCTTGGGTTTTTGCAAAGTCATAGCGACACTTTCAGTTAAAACGCAAATTCTATTTCGTGATGTCATCTTGACCTAACTTATTAGACTGATACAAACTGATAAAAGCCTATGAACTCTATAGAATTATGGAGACTTCACATTAAAACTCGAACGTGAAGAAATTTTTCAGGTTCGTCGCATTATTTTAATCAAAGTGAATTAATATATAGAACAAATATTTTCACTTATGTATTTCTCGTTTTTCATAAAGTGAAGTCACGGAGTAGCGGTTTGCGATTTTACAAAATCGCGACGTGGTTACTATCCCGCGTCAGTCATGAAGCTAACCTTCTCGACAAAAAGTATAGTCTGTTCAGATTTCAAATGTCAAGTCCTCGCTCAAGCTCCGCCCCTAATGGCGCGATAAACCAATCAGAGAGCGAGCCACCCACAGAGTGTTTTTGGATGACGTCATTGCACTTGACATTCAAAATCTGAATGGACTATATAAAGGGAAAAAATAAGCAAACCAGCAGAAAAAGCGTTCAGCATTGCTATCATTAGCAACAGCTTCAGACTCGATTTTCCTGAAATAAAAAGCATAACTTTAAAAAAAAAGAAAAGAAGATACCTTCAATGCAGTTCCACTTCATGATGGGCGAAGTGTCCGTTGCTGGAAAAATATCAATACAATCAAAAAAAACACAAAAGAAAAACATTTTTTTTTTAAAGCTGATTAGGTTTGCTATAGCTTACAATCATCCGACCCTAATCATTCCGAACCAATTGAGTAATCATCCTAACCAAAAAGGGACTTTTTCATGTGTTCATTCCGAACAAAAAACATGTTCATTCCTAACCAAATGCACGTTCTTACAGAACCAAAGGTACACTTTCTTCCGTTGATTTCTCAAATTTTTTTAAACGAAATTTCTCTTTTTGCAAAGATTTGTCATTTTTAAATGTGCTTCCAAGTCGAGAAAAGCGGCCGGCCCTTTTTCGAACCATGATTTTCCAAACCAAAATCAGAACCAATTCTAAGGCGATCAATTCCAAGCCGCTCTCTATTTTCCAGATGGCGGAATTTTCCAAATTTTTCATCCAATCGGCCGCCTCTGACCTTTCTTCCCATTACCAGTTCGACTGTTGCAAAATAAGGTTTCTTCGGGTTATAGCTTTTTCAATAATTGCGAACTCTACTGTGAATCGTACAGATGTATTCGAACAGAATTTGCGAACTTTCAAAGAGAGCGCAGAAAAATAAAGATTTTTCGGAAACACATGTTCAAAGCTTTTCATCAATGCCGTGCTCCGCTTACGTGTTTACTCGAGGAGCCAGAAGCCTCCGCCGGGATTCAAACTCACGTTGGTCGACGTTGGTCTGATGACGATTCGTTTCAATAGCTAGTTCAGCTCAGCGTAGTTTTTATATACTCTCACTCTATTGCCAAGTGGCATTTCCACGTCAGCGTCTATTTTTGCTAATTTGGAGTCTGTTTCGATAAAGTATAAAATAACGATCACAGACATCCTTTATGCCAAGTTCAAAGTAAGAAAAACTGAGTCCCACAACGATTTATCGCCAGATATAACCCGTTCACGGCTGGCTTGGCTAATGAGCGGGTTAGCTTGCACGGAGATGGTAGATCATGACGACTATCAATGCGCCTTCCGCAAAATGCTGAATTTTTGACTTATTTCTTTTTATTTTTTATTTCGGTGACTGAAAGAAAATCTGAATTTAATGAAACTATTTTAAACGAAAAAGTAAATTCAATTGAAAAAAAAATAATTCATCAAACGAGGTTCTTTTCAAAGGCGCATGTATGGCCGCCATGATCTACCATCGCCGCGCAAGTTAAACCGACCGTTCGCTGACCCAAGCCAGCAGTGAACGGGCTATAAATGGTTTTCTGTTACTCACTAAAGATAAATACGGAGTCTGGCGCGAGAGAATGCTAGGTCGGGGCGGTACATTGACGAACTCGCAAACATCTCACTCTGTCCGGTGGTGCGAGCATCGTCTCATCGCGTGCGACGATGATTATTTAATAAAGCCGAATTTTTTAAAGTCTTTTTTTGATACGAATCCTAGAAAAAAGTCAAAGAATGCATTGAGATTGGAGAATCGCCTTCGAAAGCGTTCCTAAAGAGAACTCGCAGGCGAGCCGATAAGTCGTGTCATTTTACCGCGCCACAGGTTAGTGCGACAAGCCGGGCGGCCCGGGCCGGACTCTGGAAAAGATTTGAAATTTCATTCCCTTTAGCTGATTCACGGCTAGCTTGGAACGGTAAGGGGGCGTGGCCTGTCTGCGCTCTCCACGAGCCAGGCACTACCTCACGCATTATCGTGTCAGGACCCTTTTTTCGATGGCTCGGGAACGGCGCGTTTGGAGAAGTGTCGCTTGCGGAGATCAACCACCCGGCTTTCACGCAGAACAAGGCGGCCGTGAAAACGGTAGGCCTTGAGAAATCGAATTTATCCAGGAAAAGTTCGAAAAACACGTCTAGAGCTGAATTTCGAAATTTGTTGTGTTGATCAAGAGTTGCAACAAGTCTGAATTCTGGGAATTCTAAAGATCTCAGAACATTTTGATGGATTGGAATAAAAATAGGGATAAACTTGCGTAGAGCATCATTTTGTCCGTTGTGCGGTATTGAAGTTTTGACTTTCGTTGAAAATTAATTAAATTTGAAGTACTTTTCGGACTTTTGTAATGCACTGCTAGCGGTTACTTTAGCGGCGTCAGCGCTCTTAAGTGATTACTAGAAATGCTCAGATGCGTTTTTTCAAGTGACCGAGGTCCGAGTTCTGTCAAATATGTAGTGTGCGATAAAAGTGTTCTGTGGAAAAAATAAAGACGCAATTTCTGGGGTTTTAAGGTGAAGAAAGGCGTACCGGAGCACCTCGGACTTGAAGAAAAGTTCCTTGTTGAAGGAACAATCTCCATCCCGCTGGACCACCCTAATGTTGTCCGCACATTAGGGTGGTGTTACGATTCTAAACCTCTGCAGCTACTGATGGAACTGTGTCCGGGTGAGGCTTCCAAAAAGCATTCCTTTCAATCTCTATGAAAAGTCTCTGTGAGATTAGTTAACTTCGAAAATAATTTGAAAAAATTCCGGAAAATATTTTTAAACGAGAATTTTGCGATCGCTGATGTCAATTAGACTTTTTGACACATATCCGCCTAATCTTCGAATTTATGAATTGCGGTTTCTTTCCGCCTAAAGCTTTGGCGGAAGTCTTGTTCTTTTGAGCTTACCGTCAATTTTTGAATTGATATCGTTTTTTGAAGGTGGAGCTCTAAGCACTTTTCTCATGGCCAAGTCTGAGAAAGCCTCGAACCTGACCTTGACGAGGTTCTGCCTCGATGCCGCGAGGGGACTCGAGTATTTGCACGACGTTGGGGTCCTACACAGAGATGTAGCCGCACGAAACTGTCTTATAGATGAACACGGAACGGTATTTTCATGGAACCTGCAGAGAATTCACCAAATTTTTCAGGCAAAAGTGGCGGATTTCGGGCTTTCGGTTAAGGCCTACTACTATGAGATGACTACCGCGGAAAACTTGCCTACCCGCTATTTGCCACCTGAAAGCCTGACGAGCTACTCTTTTAAGGCCGAATCGGACGTCTACGCCTACGGGGTTTTCTTTTTCCTCATATCTGACTAAATTTTGAAACTTTACAGCATCTCGTCTGCGAAGTGTTCAACAAATGTCAAATGCCTTACGCCGGCATGTCAGGACCGGAGGCCCGAAAACAGGTTACTTTTTTCTTTTTACAAAATTAGTACGTTTTTTGCAGATACTCGCGGGGAAAGTGGTCAACGTTCACGAAAGAGCACCCGAAGCTCTTCGCTTTTTCGTGGAAAACAGGATCTTCGCCTATCACGCAATTTACAGGCCGACCATGCCCCAGGTATAAACTTTTTTTTCAGAGCGCATTATTCGACGCAAAATAGCCTTAAATTTCATCTTTGATTTTCGAAAATGGTCATGCGTTTTATAACTCACAACTTGATAACTATCGCCGCTATTTTTTCTCGATACTTGAACAAATCCAAAAAGTTTGAAAAAAGAAGCTTCAGATAGTCGAGTTCATGACAGAGGTCATCAGCATTTTGAAGGAGGTTTGGCTTCTAAAGTTTTCATAAAAATGATTTCTTTTACAGGCGAATCCGGGTGACAATGCAGCATTTGAGATTGGAGCTGAAAACAAGGAAGCGATGCAGCCGAGCACTGGAACTGAAGTGAATCTTTGTCTTGTCTATTGAAGCCCAGAGGTCACACTGGGAATGGCTCCATGCACACCGAGTCCTTTGAAAGAACGTCCGACCAGAATCGGCTTGGGCGATGAGAAATCAAGGAGCCATTTCCAATGCGATCATGCTGTTTTAGTCGTGGAAAACTTCATACTTCTCAGCTTAGTGTGAAAATAGGGTAGGAGAAATGAAAATTCTTTTTTTGATTAAAAAAAGCCAAAAAAATCATATTTTTCGAGCCAACATCTTTTACAGGAAGTCTTTGAGAGACTCGAGCCAAGTTCAGCGGCTCAGTCACCGCCTGTCGATTTCGCTGCATAGCAAGCCCGGAAATAAGACCCACAATTTTCATGTATTTCTTACTTATTAATTATTATACCCAATAAAATTGAAATTATAATGGTGTTCGCGTTTATGATCTTTCAATTGGTTTCTAAACTCTCTGAACGAATTGAATTGAAACTTTGGTGAGCTCTTGGCGAGAAGGGATATTCTGCTGATAGTCTTCGGATAATAGTTCCTCGAAAAAATCCAGGGAGAGTTCCGCAGGCCGGGGTTGCGCGGAATCGGAACTTTCCACACGCAAAACGGGAGGAGAAAAACTGCGAAGTTCTGTGCAACCCCACGAAATAGAAAATGGGAAAATATACAGTTATTGGAAATGAGCGCAATCGCCACTTATTTGACCTAGTTGTAAGATTGCACGTGGCTTTATTGTCTGTTCAGTTTTTGAATGTCAAGTAGAATGACGTCATTCGAAAACGCTCTGTGGATGGTTCGCTCTCTGATTGGTTCATCGCGCTTTTAGGGGCGGAGCTTCAGCGAGAACTTGACATTTGAAATCTGAACAGACTATGTGGCTCATTTTTATCCGATGGCTAAATGCCAAGGCTTGGCTCACTCCGCGATCCTCCACTTTTGTCTTGAAGAATACGGAATAAAAAAAACAAGGGGTTTCCGCGGAATAGGATACACTTTGAATGAAACTACTTTCCAGCTTGTTAAAGGCCCAAAACAAGGCCAGATTGATGGAACGATGCCAAATCTATGAGTCAAGCTCAAATATGAAACTTAAGAAACTATAAAAAGCCATGGTGCTCCCGATACTTTTCGGAATGGCCGGGAGGCCCTGAGGATCCTAAGACCAACCTCAGAAAGCTTTGATTTTCAATGATACTTCAAAGTCCCAAAAACGTAACATTTCCACTCGTATAGTCCGTCCGCCACGACTTGACAGTTTTAGTGTGTCTGCGTCTCTCTGTTCCCTCATCGGCGATGTCAGAGAAACAGGGGAAGAACACGTCATTCGAGAGATAAAAAGGAATCAAAAATTTAGTGGAAGAATTCAAATAGCCAAGTTTCGGTTTACCAACCGGCTCTGACTAGACTTGTAATTTATGATACATGGACACAAAAATTTTGAAAGACGTTCAAAGCTAAATTCGCTTGCAAAAAGACACGAGAAATTTACTTTTCATACTGGGCGTCGGCTTGAACTTGCAGATGGTCATGGCCTCGACCGAGTTGGGCACGTCGTAGAGAATCCTGTGCGCTTCGACTTCCCAAACGCCGGCCTGGGTGATGGCCATCAGCTGATGCGTTTCGTTGCTGCCGCCTGAATGCAAAGACGATGACCCCGACTCGATTTGAAGTTCAGTTTTTGAGTAATCAATTATATTACTCAAACCCAAAGCTACTAAACACCCTGTTCACGAACTGAGTAGGGAACTACTCGGGCTCGGGTACGCGGATCGAGTTGAAACTTCAGTGGTTTATAGACCTCAGTCAGAAGACTTGAAAACAAATGAGAATATATTCCCAATAGAGAACTGAGAAAAAATTAGTAGAAAATCTCGGACATTGGTAACGCAAAACGGACGTGCTCCGGACGTTTCTGGGCGATTCTAGGGATCCCTTAAGAGTTCTGAGGCTACTAAAGTGGTCACTAGAAATGCCCCGACACGTCCGATTCGCGTCCCGTTCGCGTTTTTCAAGGTCTGAGATGTGAAAAATTAGGCTTGAAAATTTTTTTAGAATACTGCTTTTTTTACCTTATTTAATATTTTAATACAATCGCCTCGAATTATCCGGCTATGAGAAACTCTAAAAAAACTTTTTTTCCAGCCAAAAGAAGAAGGAAAACTGAAATTTGATAATTTTTCAAGCCTAAACTGTTCATTTTTCAAAAAAAGCTTTTTTTCTCAGAAGCCTATGGGGTTTAGCAGATAATCTCTCTTGTTTCCAAGTACTCTTACCCGGGTCTATAAGCCACCAAAGTTTCAACTCGAAACGCGTACCCGAGTCCGAGTAGTTCCCTAGTTAAACATATTCTTTCTTAAGCTTTATTGTTTTTTTGCTTATGATAAGCTTATGTTTTTTTGGGAGACAAAATACTCGTTGAGTTTGGGAAAATGATAGAAATTCTTAAGATCGCTATTTCCAATAGGATTGTAGCAGAAAGTGTTTGCGGTCAAAAAAAATTTTTTTCGGTTACGATGCACTTAAAAATCAAATCTTTACCACTCGCGTGCTGGCGAGTAGCACCCGAGGGAGCTATCGCCAATCACCCGTTTAACCTCAGCCGAGCACCAGAAACGCAATTTTTTTAGCCGCGATTAGGCCACTTTTTAAGTCCAGCGGAACTAGGCAAACGCCCAATTCACACGCCGAGCTCCGGTTGAGGTCGAGGCGATCACTCGTTACGTTGAAAAAAACACCGGGTGATCGACATTAGCATCGTTTCGCAAACCTGTTAGCCCAACGGGTGCTACTGACCAGCACTAGACCACTTGAACGGTCCATTTATCCTCGTCACAGTAGTTTAACCAATTACCGTATCGTATACGATACACGCATGTTTAAGACAATGCTGCGGCGGCCGGTCAATATTGCGCCGTCAGTTTCGGAACCAGGACATTTTTTTTATGTTTTATCTTTTTCGCAACTTGTTAAGAACCTACTTCTTGAGGTTACAAGATAAAGTATGCCACAAAAAGTACATACGCTTTCATTTTGAAACCGAAAAAACCTATCCTGACTACCGTAATCCTACCGGCCGCCTTAAACAGGCGTACGCGTGATGCCTGAGAAAAGCTTACTCTGAAAAATAAGTTTGGAAAAATTACCAATGCGTGGAAATCGCTGTTGAAGACAGGGTAGATGCACTCGAACTCGGTGAGCTCGAATATTTGATGGCCTAACAAAAGAAAGTTGAAAAATTCTCGTGATTCATGCCGTTTTCTATGTGTTTCCGTGAAACCCAAAACCATCACGCCAGAATGAAAAAAATTTTTGGAGAATCAGTGGTAACTTTGGATTCAGCGGAATTAATTCGAACACTTTTTTTATATTTTTTTAAAAAATTAATAAAATATACTCCAATGCGTGTTTTAATTCAAAATGAGTATAGTCTGTGTATTAGGACTTGGAATTTCACCAAACGACATTCCGTTGTTCCGCTGCGTGCTCGGCCGCGCCCTCAATTATTTATTTTATTTAGGAACTCGACCAACACGTGTCCTTAGTGGAACAGTCCATCTATCAAAAATGAGAACCAATTCAAATGAAACCGATGCTCGCAAAAACGCTTCGCGACGCAGAGGAACAGCGGAACGTCGTTCGGTGAAATTCCAAGTCTTGGCACACAGACTACAATAAAACTTCGTTTACAGTCAAAAAGTGAGTTAAAATGAATAAATTTGCGAAATGTCGTTGACCTCTGTGGTAACGTCGATCATCAACTGATCTGGATGAGCGTCCGAGTTCCGCTCGTCGATGTTCACGTTTTCCTTGTGCTCCTGCTCAAAAAACTATTTTTAGCTTCATTTTTGACTTTAATGATGAAATGGATCATATTAAAGAAACAAAACTTTTGAGGGTAATTTTTCAGGGAGCGATACATTTTTTTCGAGGCCTCAGCGAGCGTTACTCTCGCTGCGATATAGCCCATATAGCTAATTCACGGCTAACTTGGGACGCTAAGGGGGCGTGTCCTGTCTGCGCTCTCCACGAGCCAGGCGCTATCTCGTGCCTTATCATGTCAGGACCCATTTATTGATGAGAGAAGCCAGCCGTGAATGAGCTATAATATTGGGTGCACAACAGTTAAAAAAAATTAAAATTTTAAAATGATTGGTTGAGAATAACAGTAAAGACAAGATTTGAAAAAAAATAGCCTATAATGCACTTTTCTACGGAGAAAGCTCAATTTAACGGATCGGGATTAATTTCCTTTCGGATTTTTAAACCAGGTAATCCACGGAGCAAAAGCTCCTAGAGTTCCCTTTCATCTTCCGGAAAATTCGCGGCCACTTTAGGGGGTTTTTTTTTAGTTTTCTGGTCAACTAATAAGGTCAATTTTTGGTATTCTCTTATTTTTCTTTTTGAAGAAACTCATAATCCAGATGAAAATATGATTGAAATCACATGAACAGTCAAATTTTAATATGAAATTCGAAAAATACCACTGTCTAAAAACGCAACTGCGTTCAATTAGAAATCGCCCGGAAAATTCTCATTTTGAAAAAAAAGCGGTTTCGAATACGCTTCAACATGAGCTAATAAACAATTTTCTATTTTTCTGAATCAATTTCCTTCTTGGGCCAAAATTAAATCCCACTTAATCGCATGATGGCCAGGTGGCTCAACGGGTGTACCCGCATTAAACCTGTTTTTTTTTTGAGGTTGTTTGAGTCTCAGTTGGGCTAAAACTATCGCGAGAAACAAACTTTTATTGGCACGAAGATCGGAAGATCATTCTCAATATAGCTGATTCACGGCTGGCTTGAGCCATCGAAAAACGGGTTCAGACACGATAATACACGAGATAGCGCCTGGCTCGTGGAGAGCGCAGACAAGACACGCCCCTTAGCGTCTCAAGCTAGCCGTGAATCAGCTATACCCAGCATTGATTAATTACCCAAACAGACCCGACTTGATCTGAATTCAAAAAAAAACCTCTTTCGCAATATTACGAAACCCCCAAAGATTGATTACCGACGACGCAGCTCAAACCGATGGATCACCCACGCAATCATTTCGAAAATATTCAAAATGATACAACCCCGCCTCCATCAGAACCTATGAATTCATAAAACGATCTGATCGGCTCAATAGAGCCGTTGCAACCACTTTTATTTTATCTATTTTATTCCCTTTATTCTCCTATTTTCCTATTTTCCCTCTATCTTATTTTTTACTATATTTTGGTACTTGACTAATAAAGCATTAAAAATCAAAGCTCGCAGAGAAATACACCAAAAGTATTCTACACTCAAAAATCACTGAACTACTCAAATTGCAGCGACTTTCTATTAGAATACCGAAGCTAATAGAGACGCCAAAAAAAACAAGGGAACAACGGGTGTAAGAAAAATATGTAACAAAGCTGTGCTAAAGCGGGGACTCAGTTGGGTTTAAAATTGCCAAAACTTCTACCAACTGTGCTTATACGGGTTTAGAACGGGGGCACCCGCTGAGACCCCGTGTTAGCACGGCTGGGCCACCCTAATCAGCATGCGAGTTTTCACATTCGAAGGTCTTCATAAGTGGAAAACTCAATGAAAAACAAATTTAATCGGAAATCGCGATGGATAGTTTAATGATGTTTTCTATTTTGAAAAATTGGCTAGAACATTTCTTGACGTAGCACGTTATGAATCTGAACATTTCAAGCTGCAAAACTTCCTAGTTTTCGAAAAAAATATTATCTTATAGACAAAAAAACCTATAAAATTTTTGTTGGAATAGGCTATTTTGAGCCTATTCACAAGAACTAAGTTTTTGCAAGCTGAGATATTCAGAATCTTCCTCCGATACTAAAAAGAATTTGACGAAACAAAAAAACCTTGCCAGCCAGTTATTTTTCTGGTCGACTGAATTTCCAGCAAAACTCACCATTTCCAAATGTCCTCTCGACAATTTCAAGGCATCGAGGAAACTCGGAGCGTCTTGGACAGTTTCGCAGAGTTCTCGGAAACTCGGGCCAGTCCGTAGGTCCTGCAGGCGTCCGTCGGGATTCCGCCGGTCGGAAAAAAGCCGTCGAGGAGGTGGTCCCCTTCGCCGATCCCCTCCGGCGAGAGAAAACTCCTTGAGAAAACTCCAGAAAATAATTAAGCGGAAGAGGGGTTGGAAAAGTTTAGTAAGCGTGAACGATATGTAACTTATTTAATTTTTTTTTCAAGATATTTTTCGACATTTTTCTTCATTTTTTCTAAATTTCAGGTTTCATATTTCAAAAAAAGAGTCATCGAAAGGAAGAAAGAAAAACGAAAGAAGAACAAGAACAAGAAAAAAAAGAAAAAGATGTTTCGTGCTAATCCAAAAATTTTTTTCTACACCAGTTGTCTCTTTTCGAGGTCTTTTCAGTCCTTTGTTGTTGTTTTTCAAATTTATTTTCACTGGTTCAACCCGTTCCAGGAATCAGGACCGGTGGAGCCGATCGAATCGTTGATAATTTGTGGGCGACCGTCCCTCGGCGCCTAAACTTTCGTGATTTTTTTTATTTCATTCATACATGGGCAGACTTATTTTAGGGCGAAAGAAAGAAAAATATAAGCCAAAAAAGAAGTTTTATGCTAACCCCTGTATATTGTTACCCTTATACTAATGCTTATGTTTGACATTATTGCAAATAGAGAAGATAAAAGCCTAGACTTTGAGTTTAAAAAATTCAAACATTACACAATGAAGATTTCGAACACTCTTCTGTAGAGAGGAGCCGACCTCATGACATCTACAGACTGAAACTGGCCTTTCATCCACTAGGCTTCATCGGAAAGAGATCCTGCTCGTCGACAAAATTTTGGGTGAGTATGTCAATCAGCTATAATTTTTCCTCCGCGAGCACTGCCTCATCGCGTGCGACGATAATTATTTAATAACGCCGAATTTTTAAATCTTTTCTGATACGAAACCTAGAAAAAAAAGTCAAAGAATGGATTGAGATTGGAGAATCACCGTCGACGGCGTTCCTAAAGGAAACTCACAAGGGAGCCGATGAGGCGTGTTGCCAAAAGTTCTACCAACCGTGCTTATACGGGCTTAATACGGGGGCACCCGCTGAGACCCCGTGTTAGCACCGCTGGGTTACCCTGCTCAGCATCGCGTTCCGCCGATGGGGGAGCCACGAAGGGGGAGCCACGAAACAAAACGATTTGGGTTTCCCCCGAAGTTTTTCAAATTTTAATCAACCTGAACTCAACAAAAGTTTGAAAATTCAACTCATCGACAATTTTTTAATTGAAAAACATATTCCCAAATTGTGTGCTAAAGGCTTGAGTTTTTCTGTCAGTTAACGCTTCACTAGAGTTATTGAGGTCTCAAAAGGTTAGACATTCGAGTTAATCAAAAATATGATTTCTGAAGCTTATTTTTCATGAATCAGGATGGTAATTAGTTATTTTTTTCAAAAAAAGGCACACAGTTTGGGAATATTTTTTTCAGTGAAAAAAATTTTTTTGATGAGTTCAGGTTGATTAAAATTTGAAAAAAACTGCGGGGAAACCCAAATCCTTTTTGTTTCGTGTCTCCCGCACGATAATGCCTGGGGTTGTGATTTAGGTTCCGTTTTTTTCATCGCCAAAAAAACCCAGATGCAACAAAAAAATTGAATTTTTTTGGAAAAAAATTCATTCCATTTTAGACAAGAATCACGCCGCAAAGGCAATCAGTAATGAAGGAGACCAGAGAAAAAAACGAAGATTTTATTTCTTCTCCTGGCTCGTCTCTTTGGACGTCTCTTTAGCGGTCTCGGCCTTTTTCTGCGCTCCTTTTTCGGAAGCTCCTGAAAACCGACCAGAAATTTCGAAAATATTAAGAAAAGAGTCTCGAAGTCTTAAACTACAATCGCAAAAAAATTTCATTAAAACGAAATATAATAAAAATCCCATTTCCTAACTACTAATAACCTCCATTTTCCAATAAGTTGTTTAATGATCAATTGTATTTGAAACTTAAAGTTCAAGTTTTGTTTGTGGCAGCGAACAACTACCAAAATTCTTAATTTTTCTATCAAAAGCCATTACCTAAGGAAGCTGAGGGACGGTCCTTCTTGTGGCTGCAGAAGTAGAGCTTGAGGGCGATGATCGTCGAAACGATGCTCACAATCAGAAGGACCACTATCACTCCACAGGCGATGTACAGCAGCGTGTCTGTGAAGGAATGTCCAGATAACTCTTCTCAATTTGGTCGATAATTCAAAGAACCTAATGATGTACTCATATTGAAAAATGACATCTGAAAAAGGCTAATTCAACATTTTCTCACCGCAAAAATCTCTACAATTTACATCCTTTAATACCCATTATGTTCACTAAATTTATTTTTTCAAAAATATATTAATCATTTTTTTCAAAAGCGTCTAGCCTATCTTTCTATCACTAAAATTCAGTTTTTGTTACTTTTTTCCCCAAACTCACTGTTGCTAGAGCACTTCTCCTTCTCGGCATCTATCTTCTGCGTGCACAATTGGGAGATAACCGCGGAAGAGTTCGAGCTCGGTATTCCTGCTCCTCGCTGGGTCGCGCCGAGAACTGACGGCTGAGTAGTCGTATGTGACTTGCAGGCAGCCAGGGTCTGAAACAAGATTACTTCTTCTGAGAATTTTTTCGAGTTTTCCTTTGAAACCATTCATGCTCTTAAAAAGCTTCTAGGTTGTCCAAAGGGAAATAATCTTTCAGAAGCGCTCAATTTCTTCTCTCATGCTCTTTTCAAATCTCAAGACAACTTTTTTGAAAACATGCCTTTGACGAAATATTATAGTGTTTAATATACAATTTTTTTAAAAATTTTTCCATGATTTCAGTGAATTTTGATTTCCGACGATAAGAGTTTGAATATTGAACCATATTTTTTTCTTAATAGTTCTAAAAAAATATATTAGAAGGCTACTCCTGACTGTAATTTTTGATCCTACTTGGTAGATATAACAAATAACAAATAAGTCATCAGCTTGATGATGTTATTTCTTCGTGAGTTATAAAACTGCTAAAAATGCTTTTTTTCTGAAGCGATTAAATTATTTTTGTGTACTTCGCACAATTTTTTTCTACTAATTTGGAAAAAGAAATTTTTGAACAAACTGAAATATACTTTTTCTTGTCTCCTCATTATTCTAAAAAAAATACCTTATTTTCCACTTTTTTTGCAATCGGTCGAGTATAGGTTGAGGGATACTTCCTTCTATCTTGATCAGTTCGCTACTGCCGTCGCAATAATTCGAGATGTCGTCCACTTTGATCGTTTTTAACTTCGCAAAAGATTCATCGATCAACTTGACGTTCATCAATGTCAATGCTGGACCTAAAAACAAAAGATGACTTTTCCAAAAACGGAAGCCTAATTTGACAGTCTAATGAGACAGTAGGGATATGTAAGCGCAGATTCCCTCAATCTAGAAATAAGTACAAAACTATTTTTTCGCTAGCCTTAAACGGAAAAATAATTTATAATATTCCGTATTTCCCTTTTTCCGGTATTAAATGTAACGTACCCGGTCCCTTGTGGACAATCTCTACCAGACTAGCCACAATGTACGATGTCGTGTTTCCAACCATGGTGATCGTACTGCTTTTATGCACCGAAGACAAAAAATTGGAGACATTTTTTCCAACTTCAGCTCGATCCGCGTAGATCAATTCTTCGGTACATGTTGATAATCGGCACTCGAGCGGGAAACCTTCTTCAGCTTCGTACGCGGTCATGGGTCTTTTGCAGCAATCTTCTGCAAGTTGAAGAATCTCATTGATTGTAACAGGGCTGGTGTAGTTAATGCTCGTTATCTAGACGCTTTCATTCTCATGAAACTTATTTTCCAATAAGATTAATTCTTTCGATTCTATAAATCGCAACGCACTTTTCATGGAGCAAGGGATCAATTTTCCCCAAATCTGTAGCAAAAAAGGATATGAAAATGTTTTTTTCTCAAATGTTCCGGTGTGTTTCTAAATATTGGGTACATCAGTATCTTTTATTTACTGTCGGCTGAATATGACAAAAAATGTTATCTTAATAACATTCTTCGATTTCTGCAAAGACATAGCGACACTTTCAGTTCAAACGCAAACTTCTATTTCGTGACGTCATCTCGACCTAACTTATTTGATACGACGTCTGAACTTTTTCGAGTTATAATATGATAAAAACAAACTGATAAAAAGCATATGAACTCTATAAATTATGGGCACTTCAAATTAAAACTTGAACGTGAAGAAATTTTTCAGGCTCGTCGCATTCTTCCAATCAAAGTGAATTAATATATAGAACAAATATTTTCACTTGTGTATTTCTCGTTCATTCATAAAGTGAAGTCACGGAGTAGCGTTTTGCGATTTTACGAAATCGCGACGTGGTTTCTATCCCGCGTCAGTCATGAAGCTAAACTCTCGACGAAAAGTATAGTCTCCTCAGATTTCGAACGTCAAGTCCTCGAGCTCCACCCTCTAATGGCGTGATAAACCAATCAGAAAGCGAGCCACCCACAGAGCGTTTTTCGTTTGACTTCATTCTACTTGACATTCAAAATCTGAATGGACTATATAAAGGGAAAAAATAAGCAAACCAGCAGAAAAAGCGTTCAGCATTGCTATCATTAGCAACAGCTTCAGACTCAATCTGCCTGAAATAAAAAGCATAACTCAAAAAAGAAAAAAGAAAAGAAGATACCTTCAATACAGTTCCACTTCATGATGGGCGAAGTGTCCGTTGCTGAAAAAATATCAATACAATCAAAAGAAACACAAAGGAAAAATTATTTTTTTTACTTAAAACTGGTTTGGTTTGCTATGAGACTGCTTCGAAATAACTTTTTGACGATTAAATTTTTCTAACAAAATACTTAGCTTTATCAAATTGAAATTGAAACTTCAGAAGAACGAAAATTACATACGATCGAAATAGCCCAAAAACCCTAGGGATCATCAACAATTCGACGTGTGAATGGAAGGTTATATAAAAATGATGAAAGATTTAAGGCCGATAAACACGGCATAACGATCTCATTTGCAACGAGTCACTACAACTTTTAAGGAACAGGTCCTTATGAAATGTTCAAAAATATATTGAAATGGGGACATCATCAACGTGGAAATTTGATCGGTTGATAGAAATGAAATGAACGCTCATTGATGACGTGTCGGTCATTTAAAAACGTTCAAGGGGGAAAAAAAACGTGAAAAGATTTTTAAAATGTCGCGTTGGCATTTCAAAATGACGTGCATTTTCACTTCGCACCATCTTTTTCCTTACTTTTGGTTCAAACGACTTTCAAACGAAATTATCACCGAACGTTTATTTCTCCTAAATTTGACCACTGAACGAGCTATCGTTTTGAAAAAAAGTCACCGCTCTAACGTGCTGAGCGGTGGAAATATATATTCAAACGTCAAACGCGATCGTAGGTCTTTTGGAAAACTACAGTTTTCAAGTGTTCTCATATAAAAAACATTTTGAGCAGTCATTAACTATCAACTACATCGTACATTACCATCAGGCTTGTGCGAGGGCCGGCCCGGCCCGGCCTTAGAGGGGCCTCAATAAAAAAAAATGGCCCGCCCGGCCCGAAGCGCGCAATTTTTTTCTAGTCGGATATCAAGTTTTTTTCTACGACAAAAAAATTATGTTTTTTTGCTCATTTTTTTCACTTAGAGTTTAACAAAAAAACTATGATTTCAGAAGTAAAAGTCACATTTCGGTGAAAATTTTTTTCAAATGAAATTTTTAAATTTTTTGAAGCCGGGCCCGGCATTTTTTTCAAATGAAATTTAAAAATTTTTTTGAAGCCGGGCCCGGCATGAGCCCACGCGGGCTTTTTCCTGAAAATAAGACCCAAAGCCCGGGCCGCCCGGCCTGACGCACAAGCCTGATTACCATGTATAGTATCGTTTTGAAAAAAGTCATCGCTCTAATGCCGTGTTCAAAGTATTTTCCGCGAAATGCAAAATGGTCTCTGACCCTCCAAAATTTAGTTATCTTTCTCTTTCTCTGACAGCTATTTTGGATTTCGCGGAATCACTTTGAACACGGCATAACGTGCTAAGCAGATATAGCCTATTCCGCGCCAGCTTGTCACCTTTTTTTCTTCCGCCAAAAAGACCGTACATCAAATTAGATCAAATTTCTGCTTTTATAACGGCAAGAAACACAGGTCTTGAAGCGAAGTTGGACAAATTTGACCTGGCCTTTTGGCGGAAAGAAAAACGTGACAAGCTAGCGCGGAATGACCCATATAGGCCAGCTTGTCACGATTTTAATTTTCCTCGGAGCTACAGAACCCTTTCTGGGCTTCGCTTCGATGCTCTCGGTGTTCCCCCCTGCGTGCGCCTTTAATAAAACATTATTTCTGATCAAGATATTGCTTCAATTCCCGCTATCTCTTTTATTTATAAGTGATCACCCAAGCGGCGCCAGCGCCGCTTACGTGTTCACTTGAGAAACCAGAAGCAGGCTCCGCCGGGATTCAAACTCACGTTGGTCGACGTTGGTCTGCAAGCTGGCTGATGACGATTCGTTCCAATGGCTAGATACGTCCAGCGTGTCGTTTATATACTCTCACTCTGTTACCACGTGGCATTTCACGTCAGCGTCTATTTTTTTATAATTTGAAAACATTTCGATAAAGTATATAGTCTGTTCAGATTTTGAATGTCAAGTGCAATGACGTCATCCAAAAACACTGTGGATGGCTCGCTCTCTGATTGGTTTATCGCACCATCAAGGGTGGAGCTTGAGCGATGACTTGACATTTGAAATCTGAACAGACTATATCTCCCGAATTCATTTTTAACGATTATAAAATAATCGATCATCGATGATAATATTCTCGCGACTATTTATAAATCGCGGAAATTACTTGAACACGGTATCCATATAGCCGTCAAGATCCGAAATTGGTACGAACTATAGCCTATCCGCGCCAGTTCGTCAAAAAGACCTTATACCAAATTAGATCAAATTTATGCTTTTATAACGGCAAGAAAAAAGATCTTGGAGCGAAGTTGGTCAAATTTGACCTGGCCTTTTGGCGGAAAGAAAAATGTATCAAGCTAGCGCGGAATGGCCTATAACAACGTTGTGGGTCAAAAATTTCATTGTGGAAAAACTTCAATTGTTTTTTTAACCGAGAGAAGAAATTTACAATTATTTTTTTGATCTAAACTGTTTAGAAACTCATTAAATAACCTACAATTCAAAGAGTTTTTTTGAAGATATATGACGAACGAAAAACCGCAATAAGATCGACTTTTTATTATACATAACAATAAAAAAATATCGAAAGTTTGAAGAATGGAAGTTGTCGAGCTCGTTGCGGCTATTTTTGTCCAGATGCCTGCTCTTCCTCCTGAAATAAAAAAAGAAGGTTATTCTTTATTTACTTTTGTAGAACTAAAACTGAAAAGTAACACAGACTGACAAATTGATACTTGAAGTTCAAGTCGAAACAGAACTGGGCAGCAATATGTCAGAAATTTCATGAAATTGCATGAAATCGCGTCAACTCGCTTGAATTTCTATCCATCCATCCAATATAGTCTGTTCAGTTTTTGAATGTCAACCAGCTAACTCCACCCCTGCTGAGACGGTACCTTTTCGCGTCGATGTTTTATCGCGCGGGACTAATTTTGATCTTTTTGATCTAAAAGATAGAAAAAGAAGTCAAAAATGCAGCCTTATTAAAGGGCCATCGTCATCTGTAGATAAAACATTGACGCGAAAAATATTGTAGATTTGGGGGTGGAGTTAGCTGCTTGACATTCAAAATCTGAACAGACTATAGCCTATTCCGCGCCAGCTTGTCACGTTTTTCTTGCCGCCAAAAAGACCGTATACCAAATTAGATCAAATTTCTGCTTTTATAACGGCAAGAAACACAGGTCTTGAAGCGAAAGTGGTCAAATTTGACCTGGCATTTTGGCGGAAAGAAAAACGTGATGAGCTGGCACGGAATGGCCTATATTACCGTTTCTGATATGTCGCTCTGGAGCCCAGTTCTCATCACAGAAGTAGGAGAAGTTCACAAAAAAATAATTTTAATTTGAATCAATAATGAAGAAAAAAGTCACTCATCTTTCTTTTTATGAAATTCAATTGCTGGACAGAACTGTGCACATAGGCAAGGTATCTGAAATGAATATTTACAAAACAGGTATCAACTTTGGCTCCAACTCGTTCATGAAATCTTTGTCCGAAGCCCAGTTCTGCCTTTCGTCTCAAAGGTCGAAGAGCCGAGCCAAATTGAAAATGAATTCATTTTGACTCGTTGTCCGGGACTGCAAATCGTTCCACCCAATTTCTTTGAAAACTCTTTTTGAAATACGATAAATGAGAACTTATCTTTATTACTTTTTATTGAAGGCGATCTCCGGACAGAACTTTCCATTTGAAAATAATATCAGGATCGGAATTTGAGATAGGAGCTTCTATAGTCAACTCCTTCCATCAAATCCTTTTGGCTTCAACTTGTCCAAAGGCCATTTTTGTCTTTCGCCACAATGATCGAAGAGGATCTCTGCAATTTTCCATTTAATTTAATTTATGAAACTGAAAAACTCATTTTATTTTCTTCAAAGTTTATCGCTCACAGCGTTCTAAAACGGGGTTTACGCAAAAAGAGGCGCACACTATTCTCAATGGAGCGCGTGACTTGGAGCGTTGTCAATCAAAAATCAAAGTGCTTTTTTTTCTTTAATTTACATGCTATTAACTTTTTTTGATTGTTTTTCAAAATCTTTTTTTTGTTTCTATGCACGTAAATTTTTAATTAATGTTTTTAAACGTATTAGAAAGTTTTTAAAGTATCCATAGCTCGGTAATGTGTCGAAACGTTGTTTATAAAAAGAAAATACTGTATCCAAGAGACAAAAACCGAAAAATCGAAATTCCAACTCCAAGAATCGATCAAAATATCAGTTCCCAACTAATAAACAAGAAAAGCTGTCAGTGCGCAAAAGAGAAAAAAATTTCGACTTGACGAAAAAAATTCAAAAAAAGGTGTAATTGGTCTGTACCTAAGAGACAAAACCCAAAATCGAAATTTCAACTCCAGGAATCGATCACATTATCAGTTTTCAATTACTTAAACAGGAAAGAAAAGAATAAAAAATCAAACCTGAGTTAAAAATTTCGACTTTCGTGAACAGAACAATTATGTAGTCCTTTGAACCAATCAAACCACAAGAAAATAAACTGCGAAATTTCAAGAGAGTTTTAGGAAATGACTAGCAACACTTGGAAACTATAAATGTCAGGAAAAAAAAATGCTAGCCTTCAAATAATCAAAAAATCCGGACTCTTAATTACGACGCGAAAAAGACGATTGTTAGCCACGCCCACTCATGCAACGTCCGCATGCTTTTCAGAAAAGGGGCGGGAACCCCGCTTTAGAACGCTGTGCGCTAGACAGAACTGTGCATGAAATATGCCAGAAACGAATCATCGCAACATCTTCTTCGAATGAGCAACTCCATTTCATAGTCTTTTTCAGCTTCGTTTCTGACACGATACTTCAACGCCCAGTTCTGTCGGAGAAATCGGCCGCGTTTCCTGAAAATCCCAAAATCATTCAACACAAAAAATACTTGAAGCTCACTTATCCTTCAATCGAAATCGAGGTACATGCAGAGCCGGGCATTTGAACGTATTCTCACGAAAATAATGCCCAAAATAAGGGCTTCAAATCGTCGATCCCTTTCCAAAATGGTGCGCTCAAACGCACAGTTCTTTCTTCGTCGGAGAAGATGATCCCTGAAAACTGAACCTCATTTAACATTTTGGCAGTTTGGAACAGGGCTGTGCGGCAGTCGATCGCCGAAATTGTCGGAAATAATAAAAAATCAGCGATTGCCGGCAACTGGCACTTTTTTCCAAGTGTTTTTGTTGATATTTTGGGAAACTTTTATAACGTATCTATTAAAATGTATTTTTTCTTGATACATTTTTATTTCAGAGAGAATTTTCACTCATATTCATGGAACTGGAGCCATCTACGCTTCCTGTTGAAAAATAATAATCATCTCAAACTTAAGAACGTAAGTTGCCGAAAATTGCCGATTGCCGCACAGCCTTGGTTTGGAACTCATCTTCGATGTCCTTCTGCTAACAAGCGACATGAGATATCCAAATAACAGCTAGATGTCGCCTGTCGCAAATGTCATCGAGATATCATGAGTCACTGAAAAAGATCAAAGTATTTTTCATGAAAATTTGATTCCGCGAAATGCAAAAATGATCTCTGACTCTCCAAAATTTAGTGATATTTTCCTTCCTCTAACGGGTATTTTGCATTTCGCGGAATCCAATTGAACACGGCAATAATGAATCATGAAAAAAACGAATATAACCAGTGATTCACTCTATAGTCTGTTCAGATTTTGAATGTCAAGCAGCTAACTCCACCCCCAAGGCTACAATATCTTTCGCGTCAATGTTTTATCTACAGATGACAATGGCCCTTTAATAAGGCTGCATTTTTTGACTTTTTTCTATCTTTTAGATCAAAAAAGATCAAAATTAGTCCCGCGCGAAATAAACATCGACGCGAAAAGGTACCGTCCTCGCATGCTGAGCAGGTGTCTCAACGGGTGTACCCGTATTAAACCCGTGTTTCTGAGGTTATTTTAGTCTCAGTTGGGCTAAAACGGGGGAACAACGGGTGTAAGAAAAATAGGTAACCCAGCTGGGCTAAAGCGGGGTCTCAGTTGGGCTAAAAAGTGCCAAAAGTTCTATCAGCTGGGCTTATACGGGTTTAATACGGGGGCACCCGCGGAGACCCCGTGTTAGCACGGCGGGGTTACCCTGTTCAGCATGCGAGGTCTCAGCAGGGGTGGAGTTAGCTGGTTGACATTCAAAATCTGAACAGACTATACTGATTTCGTGCAAAGAGTCCCTATGCCGGCATTCTGCAAGTCAGAGGTTTGCATTTTGCACAGAAGTTCCTCGAATTTTGAATTTACTTTTGAGATCACTTTTGTACAGACGAAGAGAAGTGCAAAATGCAAAGCACTCATTTGCAGAATGCATGAAGCTTTTTTAGAGTATGCTGGAATCTGAGGACTTTCTGAGGGGTCCCTATAGTAGTTTGTTGTTTTAGGGACCCTTGTAGGGGACAAAATAGGGCCCCTATAAGCATTAAAATCTTAGGGGCCCCATACGGGTTTAAGCTCTGATCCCTAAGCCCCTAAAGCTCGATTTTTTTATTTCTAAAAATTACATAATAATAGCATCAATCGGTTTATCTCTTCAATACGTTTACGGATAAACAAAAAATGACGACCGCTGGGACGGAAAAAAACTTTTTTTTTAACTTTAGAGGTCAGCACTGATCCTCTCGTGTAGGTTAACGAGCGATGATATGAAGCCTGTTCAAATTTCACATTTTGAGCAGCTATAGCTGATTCACGGCTGGCTTGAGCCATTGAAAAAAGGGTCCTGACACGATAATTCACGAGATAGTGCCTGGCTCGTGGGGAGAGAATCAGCTATAATTTTTCCTCCGCGAGCACTGTCTCATCGCGAGCGACAATGATTATTCAATAACGCCGAGTTTTATAAATCTTTTTTGATACGAAACCTAGAAAAAAAGTCAAAGAATGCAATGGATTGGAGAATCACCGTCGACGGCGTTGCTAAAGGAAACTCACAAGGGAGCCGATGAGGCGTGTTGCCAAAAGTTCTACCAACCGTGCTTATACGGGCTTAATACGGGGGCACCCGCTGAGACCCCGTGTTAGCACCGCTGGGTTACCCTGCTCAGCATCGCGTTCCGCCGATGGGGGAGCCACGAAGGGGGAGCCACGAAACAAAAGGCCTTGGGTTTCCCCACAGTTTTTCAAATTTTAATCAACCTGAACTCAACAAAAGTTTGAAAATTCAACTCATCGACAATTTTTTAATTGAAAAACATATTCCCAAATTGTGTGCTGAAGGCTGGAGTTTTTCTGTCAGTTAACGCTTCACTAGAGTTATTGAGGTCTCAAAAGGTTAGACATTCGAGTTAATCAAAATATGATTTCTGAAGCTTATTTTCATGAATCAGGATGGCAATTAGTTATTTTTCAGAAAGGCACACAGTTTGGGAATATTTTTTTCAGTGAAAAAATTTTTGATGAGTTGAATTTTCAAACTTTTGTTGAGTTCAGGTTGATTAAAATTTGAAAAACTGCGGGGGAAACCCAAATCCTTTTGTTTCGTGTCTCCCGCACGATGATGACTGGGGTTGTGATTTAGGTTCCGTTTTTTTTTCATCGCCAAAAACCCAGATGCAACAAAAATTGATTTTTTTTTTGGAGAAATTCATTCCATTTGAGACAACGAATCACGCCGTAAAGGCAATCAGTAATGAAAGCGACCGATGAAAAACGAAGATTTTATTTCTTCTCCTGGCTCGTCTCTTTGGACGTCTCTTTAGCGGTCTCGGCCTTTTTCTGCGCTCCTTTTTCGGAAGCCCCTGAAAACCGACCAGAAAAATTTGAAAATATTAAGAAAAAGAGCCTCGAAGTCTTAAACTACAATCGCAAAAAAATTTCATTAAAACGAAATATAATAAAAATCCCATTTCCTGACTACTAATAACCTCCATTTTTCCAATAAGTTTTTTTAATAATCAAATGTATTTGAAACTTAAAGTTCAAGTTTTTGTTTGTGGCAGCGAACAACTACCAAAAATTCTTAATTTTTTTCTATCAAAAGCCATTACCTAAGGAAGCTGAGGGACGGTCCTTCTTGTGGCAGAAGTAGAGCTTGAGAGCGATGATCGTCGAAACGATGCTCACAATCAGAAGAACCACTATCACTGCACAGGCGATGTACAGCGGCGTGTCTGAGAAGAAAAGTCGAAATAAGTCTTCCCAACTTGGTCGAAAAATCGAAAAACTATTGACTCAATGGCGTAAAAAATGATGAAATATAAAAAAGGCTAGGTTTCCAGATTTTCTCACTGTAATTTTTTTATAAACCTACAGTCTTTCTATTTTTCAAATAAGATAAATAATTTTTCCAAACCTTAGAGTCTTTCTTTTTTTTATCCCTGAAATCCACAATTGGTTTTTTTGTTCTCCAAACTCACTGTTGCTATAACCTTTCTCAGCATCAATATTCTGGGAGCCCTGGGCGGCGCCGAGAACCGTCGGCTGAGTAGTCGTCAGTGACTTGCATGCAGCTAGAGTCTGAAACAAGATTACTTTTTCTGGGAATTTTTTGGAGTTTTCCTTTGAAACCATTCATGCTCTTAAAAAGCTTCTAGGTTGTCCAAAGGGAAATAATCTTGCAGAAGCGCTCAATTACATTTACTTTTCAAATCTAAACTAAACTTTTTTGATATTATGCCTTTGACGAAATATTATAGTGTTTAATATACAATTCCTTTGAAAATTTTCCATGATTTCAGTGAAGATTGATTTCCGACGATAAGCGTTTGAATATTGAACCATATTTTTTTCTTAATAGTTCTAAAAAAATATTTCCTCTTACAAATATATTAGAAGGCTACTCGTGACTGTAAATTTGAGCCTACTTGATGGATATTACAAACAATAGAAGCGATCGGCTTGATGATGCGATTCCTCTGAGAGTTATAAAACTGCTAAAATGTTTTGTGCAACTTTTATAAAAAGCATAAAATATTTTAATCATTTCGCGTCAAGACAAACTTTCTACGAATTTAGGAAAATCAGCTGGAAATTTCGAAAAACTGAAATATACTTTTTTATCTCCTCGTTATTCTAGAATACCTTATTTTCCACTTTGTTCAGTCGGTCGAGTACAACTTGGGGGATTTTTCCTTCTATCTTGATCAGTTCGGTACCGCCGTTGCAATAATTCGAGAGGTCGTCCACTTTGATCGTTTTTAACTTCGCGAAAGATTCATCGACCAACTTGACGTTCATCAATGTCAATGCTGGACCTACAAACAGAAGATGATTTTTCCGAAAATGGAAGCAAAAGGAGTCTAGTGAAATAGTAGAGAACAATAGAAACAGTAGGGAGATGTAAGCCCAGGTTCCCTTATTCCAAATCAAATAAAAAACTATACTTTCGTTTAAAGTTTAACCAAAAAGTTGTTTAGAATAGCCAGTATTTCCCTTTTTCCACTATGAAATGTAACGTACCCGGTCCCTTGTGGACAATCTCTACCAGTCTGGCAGGATTGTACGATGTCGTGTTTCCAACCATGGTGATCGTATTGCTTTTTTGAACCGAAGACAAAAACTTGTGGATATCTTCACCACTTCGCGCATTTTCTGCGTAGATCACTTCTTCGGTACATTTTAATGGTTGGCACTCGATCGGGAAACCTTCTTTATCTCCGTACGCGTACATGGGTCTCTTGCAGCAATCTTCTGCAAGTTGAAGAATCTCATTGATTGTAACAGGGCTGGTGTAGTGAATGCTCGTTATCTAGACGCTTTCATGATCATGAAACTTATTTTCCAATAAGATTTATTCTTTCGATTCTATGAATAGCAACGCACTTTTCGTGGAGCAAGGTATAAATTTTCCCCAAATCTGTAGCAAAATTGGATGTGGAAACTTTTTTTTTTCTTGAACGTAATGTGGTTTTCTAAATATTGAGTACAACAGTATCTTTTATTCACTGTTGGCTGAATATGACAAAAAAAATGTTATCTTAATAAGATTCTTCGATTTTTTCAAAGACATAGCGACACATCTAGTTAAAAACGCAAATTCTATTTCGTGACGTCATCTTGACCTAGCTTATTAGATACTACGTCTGAACTTTTTCGGGTTATAATATGATAAAACAAACTGAAAAAAAGCCTATGAACTCTATAGAATTATGGAGACTTCACATTAAAAACTCGAACGTGAAGAAATTTTTTTCAGGCTCGTCGCATTCTTCCAATCAGAGTGAATTAATATATAGAACAAATATTCTCACTTATGTATTTCTTGTTTTTCATAAAGTGAAGTGGAGTAGCGTTTTGCGATTTTACAAAATCGCGACGTGGTTTCTATCCCTCGTCAGTCATGAAGCTAAACTTCTCGACGAAAAGTATAGTCTCTTCAGATTTCGAACGTCAAGTCCTCGCTGAAGCTCCGCCCCTAATGGCGCGATAAACCAATCAGAAAGCGAGGCATTCGCAGAGCGTTCTCGAATGACGTCATTCTTATTGACATTCAAAATCTGAATGGACTTTATGAAGGGAAAAAATAAGCAAACCAGCAGAAAAAGCGTTCAGCATTGCCATCATTAGCAACAGCTTCAGACTCAATTTTCCTGAAATATAAAGAATCAGTTTTAAAAAAAAAATTAGAAAATGAAGATACCTTCAATGCAGTTCCACTTCATGATGGTCAAAGTGTCCAATGCTGAAAAATATCAACATAATTGAAAGAAACACAAAAGAAAAACTGTTTTTTTTTTTCTTAAAGCTGATTAGGTTTTCTATGGCCAACAATCATCCGACCCTAATCAATCCGAACCAATTGAGTAATCATCCTAACCAAAAAGGGACTTTTTCATGTGTTCATTCCGAACAAAAAACATGTTCATTCCTAACCAAAGCACGTTCTTTCAGAACCAAAGGTACACTTTCTTCCGTTGATTTCTAAAAATTTTTTTGAACGAAACTTCTCCTTTGCAATGATTTGTCATTTTTAAATCTGCTTACAAGTCGAGAAAAGCGGCCCGCCCTTTTTCGAACCATGATTTTCCAAACCAAAATCAGAACCAATTCTTAGGTGATCAATTCCAAGCCGCTCTCTATTTTCCAGATGGCGGAATTTTCCAAATTTTTTTTTCCAATCGGCCGCCTCTGACCTTTCTTTCCATTACCAGTTCGACTGTTGCAAAATAAGGTTTCTTCGGGTTATGGCTTTTTCCAATAATTGCGAACTCTACTGTGAATCGTACAGATGATTCGAAAAGAATTTGCGAACTTTCAAAGAGAGCGCAGAAAAATGGAGATTTTTCGGAAACACATGTTCAAAGCTTTTCATCAATGCCGTGCTCCGCTTACGTGTTTACTCGAGGAGCCAGAAGCCTCCGCCGAGATTCAAACTCACGTTGGTCAAAGTTGGTCTGATGACGATTCGTTTCAATAGCTAGTTCAGCTCAGCGTAGTTTTTATATACTCTCACTCTATTGCCAAGTGGCATTTCCACGTCAGCGTCTATTTTTGATAATTTGGAGTCTGTTTCGATAAAATATAAAATAACGATCACAGACATCCTTTATGCCAAGTTCAAAGTAAGAAAAACTTAGTCTTACAACGATTTATCGTCAGATATGATCCGTTCACGGCTGGCTTGGCTAAAGAGCGGGTTAGCTTGCACGGAGATGGTAGATCATGACGACTATCAATGCGCCTTCCGCAAAACGCTGAATTTTTGACTTATTTCTTTTTATTTTTTATTTCGGTGACTGAAAGAAAATCTGAATTTAATGAAACTAATTTAAAAGAAAAAGTAAATTCAATTGAAAAAAAAATAATTCATCAAACGAGGTTCTTTTTAAAGGCGCATGCATGGCCGCCATGACCTACCATCGCCGCGCAAGTTAAACCGCCCGTTCGCTGTCCCAAGCCAGCAGTGAACGGGCTATAAATGGTTTTCTGTTACTCACTAAAGATAAATACGGAGTCTGGGGCGAGAGAATGCTAGGTCGGGGCGGTACATTGACGAACTCGCAAACATCTCGCTCTGTCCGGTGGTGCGAGCACTGTCTCATCGCGTGCGACGATGATTATTTAATAAAGCCGAGTTTTTTTAAGTCTTTTTTTGATGCGAATCCTAGAAAAAAGTCAAAGAATGCATTGAGATTGGAGAATCGCCTTCGAAAGCGTTCCTAAAGAGAACTCGCAGGCGAGCCGATAAGTCGTGTCATTTTACCGCGCCACAGGCTAGTGCGACAAGCCGGGCGGCCCGGGCTTTCGGCCTTTGTTTTTGAAGAAAAAAAGCCTGCGCGGGCAAGGGACGGACTCAAGAAAAAGATTTGAAATTTCATTCCCTTTGAGGATCTTAAAGGATCCTGAGAGGAGGAATAGCTGATTCACGGCTAGCGGGACGGTCAGGGGGCGTGGCCTGTCTGCGCTCTCCACGAGCCAGGCACTACCTCACGCAGTATCGTGTCAGGGCATGTTCTAAAACACGAGCGGTTGTGGGGCACGAGCGGCACGACCGTTACTAAATCACGAGCGGTTTCATTTTCGCTCCTTCGCGAACGCTTCTAAATCACGAGCGTTTTTTTGGCTTATCGTTCTGTTCGAGCGTTTCTAAACCGCGAGCGTTTCATTTTAATCATTTTCTTTATTACCATCCAAGTGTGTGTTTTTCATATTTCTACCTTCTTTTTTTCTCCTTGAATAAAAAGTTTTGACGATCTTATATGCACATTTTTTTCGCTCAATTTGTTGATTGATTCACATTTGAGGTTCATATAATGGATTTTTTCTAAGTTTTTTTGCGGTCTCTATAATTTCACAGATTCTGCGTATGGCAAAATTTTTTTCTAATAATTTCATCTGATTTTTCATATTCAATATTTCACAGATTTTTGCGTATGATAAACTAATATTTCACAGACGTCTCGCATGAAAGTCAATATTTCTCAAATTTTTGCGTATAGCAAATTTTTTTCTAATACTTTCTCTCAAAATTTTTTTCTGGTAATAGAATCTCATATTCGAATTGATGCCATTCATATTTTATTCTCCTCTTACCCGCTAGAATAGTTTTGGAGATACTACCAAAAAATTTATTCGTTTCCAAGCTTTGAAAATATTTATCATGAAACGAAAAAAAAAAATACGAAATTTACGAAGTATCAAAAATAAATTAATAACCGTAGCGAATGAATGAAATAAATGCCATAAGCGTCTGGTGGTTCATCGGTGAATGACAGCCGTATAACGAAACAGATTGGAAAATGAAAATATAGAAAAAAGGAAATCAATGTATAAATCAGAGTTTATATTAAAGAGTTCAGGTATGAAAGTTCGACAATGGAATCTGAAACATCCAAATTATATGAGAAAAAACCTCAATATACCATCCATTGGCTCCAAAAAAATCATCCGGAAAATCTTCGGGCGGTGTGTAATTGCTTTTAAAAAAACTATCAGTGAGAAGGCAGGGAAGAAACTTACGACATAGTGGGCTTCGGACGATAACCAGAAAATGCAGCAAGCTCCCGTTGTTCCAGAAAAATGCAGCAAGCGGCCTGTTACTAAATTTTTATAATTTCGTATTATAATTCCGCCCAAACAGCGCTTATAAAATGACTATACTAGCTAGATTTTTTTGCAAGAAAACACAGATGAGAATCAGAGAAAAAGTTCATATTTTTTAATTTGTCATAAGCAAAATCTGAGAAATATTGACTTTCATGCGAGACATCTGTGAAATATTAGTTTATCATACGCAAAATCTGTGAAATATTGAATATGAAAATCAGATGAAATTATTAGAAAAAAAATTTGCCATACGCAGAATCTGTGAAATTATAGAGACCGCAAAAAAACTTAGAAAAAATCCATTATATGAACCTCAAATGTGAATCAATCAACAAATTGAGCGAAAAAATGTGCATATAAGATCGTCAAAATTTTTTTATTCAAGGAGAAAAAGAAGGTAGAAATATGACACACACTTGGATGGTAATAAAGAAAAATGATTAAAATGAAACGCTCGCGGTTTAGAAACGCTCGAACAGAACGATAAGCCAAAAAAACGCTCGTGATTTAGAAGCGTTCGCGAAGGAGCGAAAAATGAAACCGCTCGTGATTTAGTAACGGTCGTGCCGCTCGTGCCCCACAACCGCTCGTGTTTTAGAACATGCCTCGTGTCAGGACCCTTTTTTCGTAGCGCCGCTAAATCCAGACGTGCACCCCCACGTGGGGGCTTGCCTCACGCGCGCCAATTCAAAAAGTGCGCTGGCGCACAGACCCCAATATCCCCCATTAATGTATATCCTTTTTTCAGTCAATCTTTCCGTTTATATTTTTGTCGAAAGATTTTTTTTCGGTTAATTTCGCCATAAAAGTGAATCAATAAAAAATAATCGAGTTTTTTTAAAATGAAAATAGTTTTTTCGCAAATTTTTTTCCACTGGTCAATCGTGATAGAGATACAAATAGTTACCGAGTAGCTACCTTTTTTAACTAGCTCAGCAAGTCTTAGCACGGTTATAGGCCATTCCGCGCCAGCTTGTCACGTTTTTCTTTCCGCCAAAAGGCCAAATTTGACCAACTTCGCTTCAGGACCTTTGTTTCTTGCCGTTATAAAAGCAGAAATTTGATGAAATTGCCACTTCGTAGAGCATCTTCTTGTGCGTCGAACGGTGTTGAAGTTTTGACTGTCGTTGAAAATTAATTAAATTTGAAGAACTTTTCGGACTTTTGTAATGCACTTCTAGCGCACGGCGTTCTGCGTAGTGGAAGAAAATGTAAAATTTTTGAAAATGTGGAGCGGCTTGGAAGGGTTGCTCCACCTAGATTTACGGTAGACAGCTTGCGCGCGAACATTTGAATTTCTTGTTGCTCAAGTGCTTAACGTGATTTTTCAGGCATGCAGGA